GGTCAATATCAAGCACAGGGACATCCCGACCGGAGAGAGTGGTCGCAAATATAACATCAGCATGGCGAGTATGGTTCGAAAGAACAATGGCCCACGCTCCATAAAGGACGGCACCTAGTGAGAGCCCATAGAGCTGAAGCGACCGGCGAAGAGGACCCTCGGGAAGCTTGCGTTGGGCAACGGCTGTTTGGGCCAGGGGTACAGTGTTGATGACACTTGGTTCCGTGTTCGTAAGATACGTCCTCCAGAAGCGATCATGCTCGACTGTAGATGTAGTCGCGTTATGGTTTACAAACTGTTTGAACTGAGGTCGTGGGCGGACTTGAAGCCCCAGGTAGACGTCTGCGACATCCTGGTACACGAAGCGATGCGACCAGTAATCAAACAGGGAGTGATGCATAGTGACAACAAGAACTTTCCCACAGACGATAGCCACTCGGAATAATGGACCGGAGAGGGAGAATGGTTGTTGCTTATCTCGTGCAAGGTACTCCCCAAGGTCTGCCGTGGACTCCACCCAGGGCAAAGCGATGTCGTTTCGTACCACCTGGAGTAGACTGCGGCCCTGGGCCTTGAACGATGTGCGGAGGATGTCGCTCGACTCGAGAACGGTGTTAAAGCTCTCTCGCAGCTTGCGGATATCAAGCTGTCCAACATCCCACGTCCTCTGGTAAGTATACATTCCCTGGTCCTCACCCAAACTAGCGAGCAGGCTCTCTTGCAAAGGCGTGGCTGGATATGCATCACTGATGTTAGGATCGGCATTGAGTTCCTGCCGTACCTCAGGGTCCTGAACAAGGGCAAATGGGTGCAGGTCATTACTAGTATCTACCACGACTGTCACGTAAGATACCGTCTCCTTCAAGGTGGCGTTGCCGAGTACATCCCCAAGATCAATGGCAATTCCACGTTTCCGCAACTCCGAAGTGACTCTAATGCCGTCGATGGAAGTCCCTCCCAGAGAGAGGAAGGAGGTGTCACGACTGATGGACTGCTGCGGTAGAGCAAGCACGTCAGCCCAGACACTCGCGATCTGCTGTTCGGTTGGGTCGGTGATAGCATCTATAGCAGCATCTGAGGCCGCCGCTTCAACCAGGCCTTCCCACCCTTTCGCAAGTGCTTCGCGCTCAATGGCGCGAACATCCACTTTCCCATTTCCATTGGCTGGAAGTTTGGACATTTGCATCCACAAAGAAGGCACCATGTACGCCGGCAGCTTCTGCTTACTGTGGTCACGGATCGATGAAACCATGCTGCTCCACTGTTTTCCGGAAGCGGGGACGACTGCTGCCACCAATACGAGTCGTTCTCGCATCTCAATGGCAACCGTCGCACAACTATGGACCGCTTCATGTTGGGATACAACCCGGTTCACCTCCGCCGGATTGACCTTTTGTCCGTTGAGCTTAACTTGAAAGTCCATGCGGCCCAGGATCTCAATAGAACTGTCCGCATGGATCCTCGCAACGTCCCCCGTCCGGTACATGCGTCCCATGCCGAAGGGGTTTTCCACAAAGGCCGCTGCAGTATCTTTCTGGGCACCAGTGCTCGCGGTGAGATAGCCCCATGCTAACTGCGGTCCCGCCAGGCACAGCTCACCCGCGACGCCCATCGGGGTCAGCTCAGTTGTGCCGGGTTTCAAGACATACGCTTGTGTAGTGTCCGTGGGGCGTCCGACAATGCCCGGGTTGCTGCTGCGCAAGAGGCGCTTTCCGAAGTTCAGTTGGGCACATTCACTCAGGCCGAAGGTGTTCCGCAGATCGACATGATCTGCCCAGGTGGTAACGAGCTCGCGGGGAATGCTCTCGCCCACCAGCGTGACCTGTTTTAAGTCGGGTACATCACTGGGATTCATGAGAGACAGTGCCGACGGCGTAATCCCAAGGGCATCCACCTGCATGGTGCGGATGGTGTCAGAGAGACGCGTCGTCAGCCTTTGCTTAGTAGCTAACAGGAGAGTGCCTCCGTGGGTCAGAGTCGACAGCATCGTCCGCTGTGCGGCAGAGAAGGTTGGATTATAGAACAGCAGCCAGCGCTTTTTGCCATTCAAGGTATGGTACGCCATCCCATTCGTGGCCGCCCCGTGAGTGATAACCGCACCCTTCGGCGTACCAGTCGAGCCGGAAGTGAACACCACGTAGCATGGATCTTCACTTCCAATTTCGATGTCCAGGTTTTCTGACGCTTCTACCGTACCTGTGGTAACCATATAGTCTTCAATTGCCAACGCACTGGGATACGGGGATACGTAACGACGGCTCGCCAGGACCAAAGTCGCGGAGCATGTTTCGATAATTCGAATGTTCCTTTCAATGGGTCCCTCTGGATCAAGTACCGTATATGCTCCACCTAACTTCAGGATAGCGAGTAGAGTGATAATAAGGCCCGGTGAGCGGTCGAGACAGACTGGGACAACCTTGCCCTGGAGTGGAGGCAGCGCGCGTGCCATCCGATTCGCGCGAGCGTTGAGCTCTGCATAGCTGAGTGGGGCATCCTCCTCAAACTGCACCGCGGCAGCTTTAGGGCTGTACATGACTTGTTCCTCAAACAGACGGGGGATGGTCGATATTTGGTGCTGACGGGCCAACGCCTTGGCTGTGTGCACCTGAGCCAGCTTTTCCTCCCGCGAGCCCAGTTCGATATCCTCCAGGCGAGCGTGAGGCAGGTAGAATTTGTTGAGCGCACTGTACAGAGCCTGGGAGAAATGTTCAAGGAGCAGCTGGGCATCTGCAGTCGCCGTGAGGGGCGAGTGACACAGTGTCAAAGTGATGACACCGGTTCCATTGATGAACATTGCCAGGGGAAACGGCGCCAACTGTCCCGCTAGGGTCGGCCCATTCGGATCTGGAGAGTACCTTAGAACCGACTCGAGGGGTTTTGTCAGTTCTTGGGATATAGTTTTGTATCCCAGGTAGGCATGTGGGGACGCCGACTGGTGGAAGGTGGCGAGGCGGCTGGACAAGCCGACGAACGTCTCCTCGCTGGACACCGACAATCGGACGGGATAGGTGTGGTCGAGGTATCCCACACACGAGGCAGCATCAGGGAAGCTCGCATCGCGCTCCACGGCCGCGAAGAGAATATCGCTGGCACCAGAATGGCAGTGCAAGACATAGGCCCAGAGGGTTTCAAAGATGAGTTTGCGTGGGAGCCCAGAGGCATGCTCAATCTGAGATAGCCCTGGGTGGGAGTTGTCATCGAGATGGAGGCGAAGCGCCTGGCGATCTTGAGACGCACTCATGTCCGATAGTCCTGTCTCCCAGGGGAGAGAGACGGGTGGCACGGCACCACTGAGCTGAGCATTCCAGAACGCAATGCTGCTGGTAGTGTCTTTTGTCTCTTTGAGGAAACGTTGGTACGCCGCCAGCGGAGTGTGTTCCGGCAAGGGTAAACCGCAATACAGCAGGACGAAGTTACGCTTGATAGTCTCGAGGGAAGTACCATCGACAGCTGCACGCCGTGCACGGAGTGTCAAGCGATAGCTGCCGGTACTGGGGTCGCGACAGACGATCAAGTGTGCCAGATCATCCTCCGCTGGAACATCCGCCAACGATGAGTTGGAGGAAGAAGCATTGCTCCCAATCGTCTTAGTATCCCACTGGATTTCCGGAGTACGGTACACCACCCGCTGATACGTCTGCCCCGATCGGGGATCTAAACGGAAGACCGTACGGAGGCCACAGTCTACAGTTATGTGTTAGGGATTCTAGGGATTCACGTTCAAGTCAAGAAAGCTGGAAACTCACGGTGGGAGCAGATCTGCGTCCAGCAGGACTGAATTCGATTCACATCGGGCGCGGACTGTCGAGGCAAGATCAGGCTTATCTTGCACCAGGGCATTTCATCCGACTCCAGGATTTGGCACTGTGCCGGCGTCGCCGGCCATTCCACCTCCCGGTCGTTTCCATGGAGCAGGCTCTCAATGTCGCCCAAGTGCTGGTCGTACAGAACTTCTGCGTGGCTGAAAGGATCGGCGGACAGAAGGTCAATGGTGTTCATCTGGATGAGACTCATGATGGCGATGTCGTTGCTCTTCGTGTGCGGAAAAATGAATCACGAGAGTACTTCTTGAATGATGAATGCTTTTTCTGATCTCTGTTGCGAGCGTTGATGGGTTGACGACTGGGTGCCACCACGCCCGTGCTTTATAGTGTTTGTTGATCTTGGTTGAAGTCATGTTGAACATCGCCTGTCCCCGTAGCTAGGAAGATGTCCGTGCCATGCTTTGCGCTATTTCCCCCTCCCGCGGTTGGAGCCATTTGACTTCAGCGATCCAAGCTTATGTCGTGATGTTGCAGGTTCCGGGCCCGGGGTCACTGCACTGACTTGTCGAATTCGTATGCACGACCCGGAACCTGTGTCTTGCACCATGTCGCCGGCCATGTACAGGAGGCGGAACAGGACTAACAAACGACATGGGAGGATCCAGTGTCGATGTCGTCCGTGTGTTGGGCCCACCATGGGAGCACGGACGCGTGCTTCGCGACATCTCGGAGAATTTCGCACGATGATTGGGTCTGTGCAAACTCACGATGGGCCTCTCCGAATCGAGGGTGCCAAGCGCCAAGGATGGCGTGGGAATGAGAGTGAGAGGGGGAGTGTGGGAGGGAAAATGAAAGACGGAGACAGCAAGAGAGACAGAAGAGCGAGAGCGGAGGGAGAGCGCCGGAGCGGAAACACTGCGGGGCCACTGACCCGGAAAACGCTACCCTATCTTAACAACTGCCAACTGTCAACCACCAATACTGGCAACAAGGAATCACCACCGGAAATGATCTCTTCTGCTCGCTGGCTCATTTCTGACCTTCCGTGCCCACCATGCCGGTCAGTACAGACAAACTTTACGTTATAAAAACCTCGGATGGTCCCATACCATCAACAACTCCAGCTCACCAACAATCACCAGATCTGATCACCACAGTTAAGACATTCAATCCCAACCCAAACGCACACTTCCTCCTTCTTCACGATACATCTCATTTGCATCGACTCCTGCCATCATGACTTCCTGGAGTAACCGCGATATCACCAACAATCACCTCCTGCCGTACGTGGACTCCGCCACGGCTCCGGAGGAGGTCAGCGCAGCCCTGAAAACCCTTCCGTTCGAGCGCAACATCTTCAAGGTATATTCTCATAATCTTTCCATGATCTTCTGCGATGGTAGAGCGATGCACTAACAGCTGATCTCCAGCTGATCGCCAATGCGCCCACCTTTTTCCCAACTTTCATGAAACTTTTGACCTGTGCCTGGTCGCCCGAGCGCAGCTTACGCTCGAAGGATTGGCAACTGGTCGTCTTGCGCACCGCGTCCCTACTCGATGCTCCGTACGAGTGGGACGTCAATGAGCCCGTGGCCCGAGTCTTCGGGTACACCGATGCACACCTGGCGGGCCTCCGCTCCGGGGACTTGAGCTCGACGGAGCTCTTCTCTGACCGCCAGCGACTGATCAGTGCGGTGGTGGAGGATCTTTGTCTGCGCAATCGTGTCGACAAGGACACGGTACTCAAAGCCAAGCAGGTCCTCGGGGATGAGGCTTTGATGGACCTGTTTTACACCCAGTCGATCTACGCATTTCTCGCCCGCACCATGAACAGCTGCTTGATTGACTTCGATGCGCCGATTCCGGGATTGGAGGACATGCTCCGGAAGTACAACGCAGCCATTATCGAACGTGAAAGTGCCTATACGGATTAGTTCTATGGGATTGATAACCGAGGATTTTGCCCTTAAGCTGTATATAGATTCAGTACGTCTTTAAAAAATATTATATGTTTATCCACTGGTACACATCCACATTAGGAAAGCCGTAACCAGTATGTCGTGGGACGACTGCGATCGCAAGCTGACGCGTTTGGACCAAGCCTCTCAAGCGTTGCAAAATGCATCGGGTGTCCCGTAATACACCCGAAATACAGCTTGCCGTGTTCGCTCTAAGTCAATGTGGGGTGTCCAGAATCTGTAAGACGGGGAAAACCTCGGAGAACCTTCGCCGCCGAGTCAGCGACGGGGGGAATGTCCATGACTGAATGCCAAAACCAAGGAAGCTGCCAAACTACGAAGTCAACTGCTGAAGCTCTTCTTTCTTCTCTTCCCAGTGGCAGTTGAACGTTGTGTTGGGTTCAGGATGACAGGCACTCTTCCGTCTCGCATTTGCGAGATCTCCAATACTCGAGTTCACCGTGTCGCGGGCTCATGTTGTGTCTTCCGCGCATCTTGGCAAAGAAGCTCGTACGCTAGTTTAGCTAGTGTCCCTTGAACAATAGCTATCCGGCCTTAAGCGCGGTAAGTTCGGCCTAGCGCGTTTTAACCCGGACGATATTTTAGTCACATTTCGTCAGTTGTTCAGGTTGAACCTCCGCTTCACGTGATGCTCTATCCCCAGACTCTTTGTAGAGGAAGAAATGCCCGCGACCTGGTGGCAGAAAAATTCGAGAAAATTGTAGATGTAGGTTCAGGGAGACTTTGACGTTTTTAGCACTGTTAATAACCTTTCACAGTTATCCTACGCGACCGGTATTGATATTATCATCGGTGTCCTGTCCCCCATCTCAGCAGAAGATATATATATATATCCCGTGATCTATCCACAGATATATTACAGTCCATCCATGGGTAACACATTAAAACCAACATCGACAACAAGTCTTCGGACGGCGATTGGCTGAAAGGAATATTGAATCGAGAGAATTCCTGTTGAGTAGGACTCTCAAAACAATCGTGATGATGCCTGAGAATTATTCCGGGCAATGTGGCGATTGTTCCAGACTCCGTTTGCCAAGACCGTTAACCTCGCAAGGGTCTATAAAGAAGGAAGATCCGGTCTCTGCTCCGCGTGGCTTTTCGCGTGGCCTTCCGGAAATTCGTGGGGAGCTACCATCCTCCTGTTGCTAGGAGTGCCCTCATAGACCCTCTATGCTCCTAGCCTACGAAAACCCTGCTATACCGGTAAGGAAAGCTGAAACGCATTGGAAGGGAATCATGATAGGACTTGTCATTTACGCGTACGAATACAGAGACCAACAAGACTGAGAGAGACTCAGAATTGCACCACGTGCTTGGTGCACCCGACGGCCGGTCCGACCTTCCCACCGACTCTCGCCAACACCGACTGGACCTTCCTCTCGAGATTTCCACCATCCCCGTCCTCCTCCAAGTCCACGCGGTTGACCGATGGCGCAGTGATCTTCCCTTCTTCGAAGAGGTCGGTGAACCACGAAAGGAGGTCAATCTGTGCCTCCTCGGTGTACCGACTCAGCGCTTGGGACAGTCGGAAGTTCTTGAAAGTGATTTGTTTCCAGAAGATTAGCTCCTGGTTCAGGACTAATTGGCCGCCCGCGCCTCCCAGCGACCCGTAATTGATGAAGGTAGCCCCCGGCGAGAGCATGGCGGCGAGTCGTTGACCAGATTGTCCGAAGACCGCATCCAATGCGAGGGCAATACGCTTCCCAGCCGCGATCGCGGCCGGGCCTTCTTTGGCGAGTTGGGACTCGGTGACGACCACACGAGCGCCCTGATCAAGAAGTGACTGTCGCGTGGTCTCGATATCATCCCGGTCTCGGATCACACAGATACTCGGACAGCCCTTAAGCAGGGCAAATTGCACCACCATCCGCGCGATCCATCCCGTCGCGGCATTCAGAACGACCCAATCTCCCGGACGCAGGGAGGGGCAGCTTTCTAACAGAAGATAAGCCGTCGAGCAACCCGTTTTCAGCAGACTAGCGGTAGTTGGCTCCAAAGTTTTCGACACTTTCAGCACGGCAGATGCCGGAACTACGGCTTCCGTGCGCCAGGTCCCCAAGCCGTGGGCACGGGGGATAACGTGGTCCCCGGGCTTCAACGCATCAACGTCCGTGCCGACGCGCTCGACGCGAGCCACGCCATCGTATCCTGGGATGGGTTCGTTGTTATAGCGATGGTGTGGCTGGACGGGGTACCGGCCGGCAATCACCAACAGATCCTGGGGATTCACAGGAGCAGCTAGGAACTTCAGAAGAACCGAGTCCACGGGGATCGGGGCGTCGCCTACAGCATCGTGACGGTAAATGCGGATGACACTGGCGGGCTCTGTCGACTGGCGCTGGAACGTGACCGTTTGGGCGGACATGATATCAGACCGGGCAAGATTGACGAAGGAATTCAGTAGGAGCAGTTAAGGCGACTAAGAGATGCGATATTCCAACCACAAGCAATTTTGGGCATCGTTATTATAATTCCCATTGCAATCGTATCTCCTGATAAAAGTATATACCACTTGATGGTTTTTGAGGCTGGATATCTAAGCATTTCCGGGACCCACAGGGAATCCGGGCGAACAGAAGCCTCGAGTACCTTGACTCCACACTATTTCCGACGGAGATCTTCGAGCTTGGCGCAGAGGCATCCTGAGGGAGGGCCAAGAGCTGAGGAACTTCCCTTGACTTGGTCGAGCTTCCGGGCCCCTTCCGGTCGTGGGCACCGACCGACATGGCCAGCGCCACCTAGCAACTCCGTCTCGGGAGCATGGCCGCATGCTACACACGAGCATCGGTGGAAAGACAAATCAACCGGGGCATCATGACGATAAATAGTTACTAGTGTCCCTGACAATGGAACTTGTCATCATACTCACCTCAGCCAGTCATCAGTACAACGGCAAAAGCCAATCCCGCCAAACAAAAGCTCTGAGGGCCTGCTTCACATTTCAACCGACCAACATTTCGTCAAGACTTGTTATCACGATAATGGAGACTCCCAGTGATTCTTTGCGCTCTACTTCCTCTGAGCCGCCCTCGGAGACCCCGATCGAGAAGCCACAGTCCCCAAGAGACGTGCACGGCGTTAAAGTAAGACATCACATCATCCATGCTTATTGATCCCTCACTAACCCCATACCTACAGTGGGCCCTAGTGGTCATTGCGCTGCTTTCATCCCTGTTCTTGTACGCGCTCGACAATACCGTGGTGGCGAATGTTCAGCCGAAAGTCGTTGAAACCTTTGGCCATGTCAGCCTGGTTCCTTGGCTGGGTGTCTCCTTTGCTCTGGCATCGGCTGCTACGACCTTAATCTGGTCCAAGGCCTATGGCACCTTCTCCGCGAAGAAGCTTTACATTGGAAGCACGGTCGTGTTCATGGGCGCGTCGGCTCTCTGTGGTGGCGCTCCAGACATCAACAGCTTCATCGTCGGTCGTGCCATCGCGGGTGCCGGTGGCTGTGGAATGTACATGGGCCTGTTGACATTGATGTCGGTGACCACAGACAACATTGAACGTCCGAAATATCTTAGTCTGACCGGTTTCATTTGGGGTATCGGCACAGTGCTGGGTCCAGTGGTTGGCGGTGCCCTCGGCGACAGTAAGGCGACCTGGCGTTGGGCATTCTACCTGAATCTGCTGGTCGGGGCGGTCGTGGCTCCGGTCTACTTTCTCCTCTTGCCTGACTTCAGGCCCCAGAAAGATGTCCCCATCCTCAAGCGGTTTGGCCAGATCGACTACATCGGAGCACTGCTTTCCATTGGTACCCTTCTATGCGCGATCATGGCAATGAACTTCGGTGGCGTTTTGTGGAGCTGGAGCAGCCCGAACAGCATTGGTCTTTTTGTGGGCGCCGGTGTCCTGTTGATTTTGTTTGTGATGCAACAAATCTTCCACCTGGGAACCAACTTCGAGAACCGCATGTTCCCTATGCATTTCTGGAAGAGTCGTACCTTGATAGTTCTCTTCTTCACTATGAGTGAGTCCTCCCCACATTTACTACACAAGCGTGCGCAAAGTCTAAGTACGGTACAGTGTTGGCGACATTCGGCAGCTTCATCGGCATCTACTACTTGCCCATCTACTACCAATTCACCCGCGGAAGCACAGCCATTCAGACCTCCGTCCATCTACTGCCCTTCATTCTGTTCTTGGTCGCCTTCAACCTGATCAACGGTCAGTACATGGGCAAGACCGGCTACTACTACCCCTGGTACATTTTTGGAGCTGCTCTCGAGTTAGTCGGCGGTGTCCTTATGTGTAAGTCCTTCGCACACACTCCGCATCCATCACGAAACACACCCTAACAAGTCTCGCTCCAAAACAGATACCGTGGACGAGCACACCTCCGACGCAAAAATCTATGGCTACACCATCATCCTGGGCACTGGCGTCGGTTGCTTTTGCCAGGCGGGCTTCGCGATCGCACAGATGAAGGTCAAGCCTGAGGAGATCCCCTTCTGTGTGGGCTTCATGACGGTCGGACAGATGATGGGGATCGTTTTCGGCACGGGTATCTCCGGCGCCCTGTTCGTGAACTTCGCGCAACAGGCCCTGCAGCAGGTCTTCCCACTGGCCAGTGAGGACGAGATCTCGAATGCCATCTCGGGCGTGGGGAGCCAGCTCCTCCGCTCTGCGAGTTCCGAGGATTATGCCGCGGCAATTCATGGTATCACCAGGGCGATCCAACTGGCCTACGTGCCCATCATCGCTGCGGGAGCCATTTGCTTGGTCTGTAGCTTGCTGATGAAGCATGAGAAGGTTTTTGTTACTGGCAGCTTCGCTGGCTAATTTCGTGACTGGAGCCGGGGAACCAGATCTTAAAACGCTGGAATGATAGCACTTTATGAGAAGAGGATTGGTTAACAGAGTGGAGAGCCGCAAGATGTTATTGAATACGAATCTATGTAGAGATGTGTGGTCAGCTTGATTACGCACATACACATGAACCAGGCAGGCCCGCGGCTAGAGGGAGAGGCCGCTACCGAAAATAATGGCATTATGATTTTACTGTACTCTGCAATATATCCCCAAGCCAAACGCTCAATGATTCGAAAATGTAGTACTGGCACTCAAAAGACCAGCTAGTCAATGCAAGGCTACTGGCCTAACACGCGACATTGGACGTCTAGCTTTTCAGGTGCCTCGTTGATGAAGCAGTGTCAAAATCCGGAATGGCTTTGCGACTATCAATCCAAAATTCTCCGTGACATCGAGGAGCTCTTGTAATGTCTCAAGTGGCTCACGGAAATCAGATTTCGAGCGTGGTAACGTGTGGACATTTTTTCTGGTATACATCTAATGACGAGCAGAAATTGCAATGGATTCATTGCCAGCTCCTCTACAGGCTATGGAGCAGGGACACAAACAAAGAAACAGACGAAAATGACACTAACAATGCCCGGCAAAGGCTTGACGCTATAGACATGGAACTCCATGCTCTCATTGATGTGTTATCTATACCTACAAAAGGAAATAGGAATGGCTTCGTTTTATTCTCTCCTCTAGAAGGCTGAAGCATCACTCTCAGCACTGAAACCGGCCGCCTAGGGATGGATGCTGGAAGCCCGCATCAAACAATGCCACGTCATTGATCCGAAATCCGTCGCAAGACGGTGATATTTCTAAAATCGGAAGATAGACGGCTCCTCAGGAAGATCTGTGTATGCCTAAAATAGGTCAGCTTGCTGGATACAAGACGAAACATGAATAATGACGGAGCTTACCCAGGAGTCTAGTTGTGCCCACCAGGCCGAAGTATCAGAGCTATCCGGGAAACCGAAACTATCATATAATTTGAATGAGTCGTTCGAAAGGTGAGAGGCAGAGAGGTCGACGAGCAGTGGTTCAAACACCATGATATTCGGCTTCGGGGAGGCTGCGGTAACCGGGGCGGGATGGAAGCTAGGCGAAAGAAAGCTGTCTGCCTTGGAAAGGCTTTTATGGCTGTCATCTTCTGTTTCCGTTTGAGCGCCTGGTCGGTGACTGGAGACGACTTGTCGGTGGACCTCTAGGCGCAGTTCCTCCAGAATAATGCCATAGCGACGGTTGGGACTACTCCGGGAGGTGGCCTTCCCGAGATGCTGTTGGCAGGTCTCGGCGAGGCTGAACAGATATTGCAGCTGACTGCTGTTTTCCACCTTCCTGTTCGATGTATCGCTCGTCGACGACGCTTGATGCTGTTTGATGATGTGGATGTAGACCACACTAATGGCACAGAAACACACGTAATGGGTAAACCAAAACCCATGGAGGAGAGCTTTTCGGCTGGCGAGTCCGTTGATGATAGTCATAATTTCCTCGGCAGCTCGATGCATTTGTGCACATAGGTGGCGACGCTCGATTGGGGAATATCCTCGCAGTCATTTAAGAGAAATAACCGTGTGATATGAATGATTGCGTGGGAGTAGGCGAGCTGCTGGATCTGAGATCGCCAGCGATCCATCAATGGGGCTCCAGCCTCTTTCCATCGTTCCAGTTCCAGGGTTAACAGGATGGCTGCCTTAAAAGGAGACCCTTCCGGCGGATTGGGGGTGTACAGCTTCCTTGAAATGTCTGCCAGCACCCGTGAGAGCCTGCGAATGGTTAGCTGGAATTTGGCTTTCTCAAAAGATGCCTCAAGTCAGACAGACCGGTAATGTAGTACGGATGCAATCATCAGATCGTCGGGCACGCCAGAGCGCATGCTCGGCTCATTGATCAATAAGTCTTGATCTGCCACCTCGTCCGGAAACTCTTGATCAAAGTCCTCATCGTGCAGCAACCGTGGTCGACCGAACATCACGCTCAGATACTTGTCCAATGTGTACACGCTCCAAAAGGTTCTCTTCCGAAGTTCTTGCTCCAGATATGTGCCCTTACCCTCCCTGACCATCGCAGACGGCCATTTGCGATGTATGTTCAGAGCGGTCAAGAACTGAACGGTGGTGCCGAATGCGAACCAGCACTCACTGGCTCGCGACGACGCCAGGAGGTAAAGGCTTTGGTTCAGTCTCGCTTGTACGGTCTCTAGCTGTGGTGCGCCTGACTCAATAGACGACATCCACTTGGAGAGGGCAAACCAGCGTTCGCTTCAACATGCCATCAGCCAGTGGACGAGTAAACAAATGCACCAACTTCAGGCTTACCTCTGCTCGTCATAATCTACATCGGACTCGGGAGCTCGCCGCTCATAAAGTGTACCAATCGCAAGAACACTGTACACAATACAGCACCGTCCCACCATCAGGTCTGTGGGCAGGTTTGTGACCGAAATGTTGCTCTGGTAGATCTGACGGAGCCATTGCTCGACATGACCGCGATGCAAGAACCGGTAGGTCACAACGGCATATTCAAAGTACGTCGCGACCATCTCCAGTGCCCTCTCCAACGGAGGAAGGGTGAAGTCTAGCTTATAGAGGCTGGAATACGGCTTGTCCCCAAATTTGGTGACCGACGGGCTGTCCGAGAGCTCGCCATGGAACCCGTCCGAGACACTCATGGCACCGGTGGACGGCGTCTTGTCTTGGTTGAGGCGTTGACATACCCGGTTGATAAACGAGGTTCCTGACGCCAGATCTAGGTAGCCTCCCTGGAAGTCCGCCGTCAAGAGATCGGTACTGCTCGTTGGAGCACGAGGAGCAGCCTCATGCAGTCCGGGCCGTTGAAGCGATGTCAGGAAGCTCGAATCCTGTTTGAAGTGCTGCTGTTTGTCCGGCTGGTCAACGAAGGTCAGCTCCAGCGGTGGCGGCGGTGGCGGGCCAAGTCCCCTGGCATACGTCGTTTCGTATTCACAGACCAGCGACAGTCGCTGGCAACGCGCACATGGACGAGTCCCGCTGCAGCGAGTCTTTTTCTCTTTGCAAGTATCGCACGCTCTGGTAGTCTTGAGTCGCTGGCAGCTCTCTCGCCTGACGGGGCCAGATGGCTTTCTCTTGCCTTTACTGGTGGTGGGGTGCTCTTCACCCTCCCCGTAGCTGGGATCCACTGGCGGCGTCCCTTGCGGCTGGATCGTGGGGGTGGATGGGTTCATCTGCACTTGATCAACTCGCGGTCATATAGAGATCAGTTTTTGGCCGTTCAGTCGTCACTCGGGAGAGGAGCTGAGTATCTCTTCCAATGTGAGAGTTCAGGTGGTGCACCCAAAGGATCGAAAAGTTGTTGGCCGTCCCTCATGGCTCGAAAGCCCGGCAGGGGAGGGGGGGGGGGGGGGGAATCGGAGTAGCAGGTGCATACACGGCATTGCGATTGTCTGTGTGGGTGAATCGAACCAAAGCACCGGCGATGGCAAATACGAGACATCGGCTAATCAATGGAGCAATTATCCATTGGCGGGTCCCCGTTGGAAGGAATCAGACCCTGACGGGTGGCTTTCACGGTCAGGGTCGATCTTTGACCGAGCAGATTTAGGGCTTGGCCAATCCAAGCTCTGGACCGGTCTCCGTCCCACCAGCTAATATCAGGTCCAAATCTTACGGTGATTTAGGGTATCGACGGGAGAACGCTAATGGCCCGCCGATGTAACGGTACCACGAGATGCCCAACTGGCCGTCAAGACTTGAAGATACCCTCTGGGGATCCATCGCATCCCAGAAACCAACCCGTACCAGTGTCAACCGTGAGAAATGGAACCGCGATGAATTGTCTATGCGCTGAATTGTCTATACGCTGATGATGCGTCAGACTTTCGCGGAAATAGCCGCCATTGAAGACACGGGTCCTGCCGAACCGAGGCAATCTAAATCTGGCGCGGATCCAAGGTGGCTATGCCGGATTTTAGCGCATGAAATTAAATACATGCAGCCCGCTCCGTCAGGACTAGCCGCACCGGTTCGTCTTCAGGAAAAACGCAGCCACAAACCAGGATGACTGCAGAACATCGATTATATGTAAGTCATCTATCATCATATCCCTTTCTGCTGGCGCGAAGAGCCTCCTCCCTTCTCCAGAGGCCGGTTCCCATCGAGGACCGGGGGGTCGATCGCCTCCAAACGTAACGCGCCGTGCCTCGGAGATACTTGGTCACCACTGCAGCATTGTTTCCACCTAATCTTCGTATTCTGTTTATAGTTGCTGCCGGCTACTGCATGCAAATGATAGCGCCGAGTGCAACGGCTCTTGTTTACCCAATGGACCGGGCTCGGCCTCATGGCATTCTTCAATTTGGGACCTGCCTCCGCAATTTCCCCATGAAGGGGCCTTTGCAGATCTTGGTGATGTTTGTTTCTCAGAATCTATTTCAATCACACCATTCACTCGCCAAGACTGTAGGTTACACTTTGTTATTCACTGGACCGTGTCCGATATGGCGTTCTCATGACCCTCGTGGCGTTAATACCACTTCTTATGGGGTCATCATCAACTAGTGGCCAGCTACTCTTCATCAGACCAGCTAGATGACATGTCGCCCGGGCTTGTGCAGGGGTTGATGATCTCTATTTGACGTTGGTCCGGAAACTCGGACGAAGTTCCGCTGCTTATACGGCTATACCACACTTCCGTATTCGTACACGACCGTGTCAAGATTGTAAAGCATCCTACTTAGGGGATAAGAATCAAACTAGTTCCCATGTGCATGTCAGAACCGTGCAACACAACATGATAGGCATGGAAAGAGAACCCGTTTTGCGTTGTCTCTGGACAATCTCATGCTAGTTCTTCAGCGCGAGGGATGGTCAATAGACTGTATTCCATTGTTCTTAGAGCTACACAATAAGCCCAAACAACGAGGCTTCCTGGATTGAGAACCGGAGTTCTTTTCCACATCCCCAGTTTTAGCACTGGAGCTGACCATTTACCAATCTCCATACTCCATCTGCGTAGAGACGGTCAGTGAGGGTCGACCATATTTAACATCCCATGAATCCTTACCTTCAGCGAAGGCCTTCCCAGCTGCCATGCGATCAATGCCAGGGATTACGGTTGTCAGGCCTTGAGTCACGTTGTCACAAAAGCATACGACGCGGAATTTCTCCCTTGACACTGGGAAATATTTACAACCCCAGCAACGGCCTCTTTGAATGCCGTATCCGCTACAGTTGTTAATATCCATGGTGCACAGTGACTGGATAGGAAGTGGTATACTTCTGTTGTGCGATCAGCCTTTCACCCGCTGCATCCCAACCAAGACAATTATCCAGGCGTAGCTCCGTCGAGCGTCGTCGGTTCGGGGATCCACAGCTTGCAACTAGCCTCGCTGGAGGAGGTGGGCGTGGCTGGATGTCTGTCACGTTGATTCCACTGTCTTCTAATGCCAAGATATCGTCCGGCCTGCCGGATATTGGTGGTATGTTCTGTAGACTTCTTAACGGTAGGACCCGAATATTCTGACACTGGTCGTGTATTTCTCGTGTGTACTGGCTCCGATCTCCAGTTGTTCCAGCTTGAACTCCAACCCCGGGTGATGTCGCCAATACTTCTGGAACTGACACTGACAGGCACAGAGCAACGATCGTTGTAATCATGGTCTTCAACATTCTTGCTGATGTTTGAGGGGCTCAGTGAGAGAAAAGTGCGGGATCTCATGCTTTGATATACTTTGGTGGGTTGTTTTTTTAGGTTTTTGTCGCGAGGCGACGGTGGGCTGTTAGACGACCTCCATCATATCATCTTGGTCAACGCGGGCTGTGGCATTGGGCCATAGCATCAGGAGCTGTAAACCCATGGTCTTGACCACAGAAAAGGGGGAGAAGACGAGATTGCACCACGGATGAGGAACGGGGCAAACGGGACGGTGGCAGTGAAACTGTATACACGACGACACAAAGAAAAGCATAGCCAAGTCCGAGTAATAGACGCTGCACTTGCTGGTGAACTGAAGCGCTTATTGGATCAACGTTGCCCCATTGCTAGAGTATAGCAAGCCATTGCAGCCAGTCCGTATTTATATAGTTTCATCATAGTTTTTGATCCGATATAACTACCTACTCCCTGCTTTGTTGATACTTTAATCTATTTGATTGGAATTCAAATAGGGGCATTCGACCGGGTCTTTTCACCCTTCGAGCTACTCGTTCTCAAGAAACGGCTTCAAGTGCGATCCTATACTGTACGGACCATTTCGGAACATGGGTTCTTCCCTTGTCCCTGGGTGCCGGTCTGCAGACTCCTTCGTGCTTCCACAGACGAGCGAGAGGTTTTGGCATTCTCCCATAACTGGGCGTTGGCCCAAAAGCTTACTATCACCATAGTTGCATTCAATAACCATCACCCTTATCCCCTTGTGAGCAAGCCGGGTAAATATCCAATGATGCATATCGTTGCAACAGCTTCGCTGTTGCATGGTGCCAACTGTGCTATCTATATCACATTTGGGTGATAGGAGAAGCGCGCAGTGCTCTGACTAGACTTCTCTGACGATGGTCCTTTGTTCGTGACGGGGGCTCACGGGGGTCCATGAAAATAACCCCTTCGAACACTATCGTGAAGACTAAAATCTCCCCAAACGGCCAGCTGCCTCGATAGAGAGAGTCGGACATTTATTTACTATCCATGGTGCCCCGTTATTTTTAGGCTTCGATTACGAGGCCATAACGAATATTGCCCATTCTATCTATATACGTATATAATAACACAACTGGTACGTTGATAGGTTCAACCAACTCTAGTCAGTCAGTCAAAAAAGTGCCGTACAGGTGGGCAATGCGTGGCATTGCCATATGCCGAGCCGCCGTATGTCAGATAGCCTGCATCTGGAGTTCCAGACTGCGCCTTGATGGCCATCTGGTCGCCGAAAGCAAAGGCTGTCTGCATGCCCATTAACATATGTTGAAGGATATGGCAATGTACCATCCATACGCCAGCATTCGTCACCCGGATACGCCACGCCCGCCAGCCAGATGGTTGCAGAGCTGTCGTTGCCTTTCTGTATGCATACAGGACAGTCGTGTCTCGAGTTACCGGATGGGTATCCTTCAAACGGCGCTCATTTTCCGTTAGGTTGTAGAGCCCATCCCCTCCGCCGATGTCATAGTAATGGCGGCCGTGGGCGTGGAACGGGTGGTTCTCAACACCGCCGGCAGTAACCGCTCCTTGATTCTGCCAGACAATCTCTAAAACCTCACCCAGCCTGGCAGGGAAGAGACGGGTTTGGTTGTCAAACCCATAGCCACTGGCAATTGCCCGCTTATACGAGGCGTCCAGATCTAGTTTTCCTTCATAGACATCGACTAGATAGGGCGACTTGGGAAAGGTCTCCACCCAGTCGTACCCATTCTGAAGCCAGATGGTCCGGTCACTGACGTTTTGGTGAACATTGATAATGAGGCGCCGGGTGACTTCCTCAGCAGTTGGAAAGTTCGGATCCGGGTAGTATGGCTCGAATGCGTAGTCCAGCCAACCGTAAGTGATATTAGCTACAGGGAGTGGAGGAGTGACAGGGACAGTAAGGAGATCGGCCGTGGTAGGGGATGGATACTCCAAAACTGCATAGGCGGTAAGGACAGTTGGCCGGCCTATGGTGGTGAGTTGAAAGTAGAATTGTCGGGACTTCGCCTTTTGCAACTCGGCCTCGGTCTTGGTCTTGAGAAGCACGCTATAGCGCTGGCCGCTGGATATCTGTAAGTAACTTGTCTTCACAGGCTTGGTATAGTGGCCGTCCGCTTCGATAATCTCAAACATATCATGGCTCTCTATGGACAACGAAACGAAGGATAGCGCAGTTGCCCCAATAAATCGCAGACGGTAGGTCTTCCCGGGCTCGACGCTGATCGCGGCCAGCTTGCATGGCCCAGTAGCATTACTCGCCAATCGGCCTTGGCCATTCACCAGGACGGCGCCGGTCTCTCCACTCCATGTGAAGTGAGTAGAGGTGAGGCCATCCTCAATCTCTTCATCCGTCTTAGCGAAGAAGTCTGATAGAGCGATGACGCGCTCTTCGTCGTACTCGTATGGTGAGGGTTGGGCCGATTCTACAAGAAGTGCCCCCCAGGCCGTGAGGGCCTGGAAGCCAACATGGGAATGGTAGAAGTACGTGCCAGCATAGCCGACCTCCGGGCGGACTTCATAGTCGAAGAAGTGGCCAGGGGGGATAGGCCATTGACTCGCCATGGGCGTACCGTCGGAGAAGGGCGCAGTAAACGCAGAAAGACCATGCCAATGCTGTGATCGCTGTAAATATAACTGCATCTGCCCGGAAGAGGGAACCAGTTCCGTACCATGGTGACATTTAGATCCTCCATGTCGTTGTAGACCCGGATCCAGCTCACCTGACCCTCCTGGATTTGCAGCTGAGGGCCTGGGAGCGACCCATTTACCAAGACCGAGTATCGGTTCATGCATGCCTGGTTGAAATTCTGAGCAGTCACTCGAAGGATATGGTCTGGCTGAAAGGAGTCGTCATGGAGAACGAGATGGCCCTGAGTGGCTGTGACCAACCCTAGGACCAGGCAGAGTGTATGTACTATGCCTCGCGTATTTGCACCTAATAGTCCCATGATCAGAATTGGAGAAGTTAGATCTAGCCGTGAACAAGCAAAGACAAAGCATGGGGAGGGCACAAATTTCCTATTTATAAAAGACTGACATTTATCAATGCGGCTGTGCCCATCATGCCCCGTGGGTCTAGCGGTTATTTTTACGAAGTGTCGATCAGAGGATTCTCAGTGCCAATCGACGTTCCGGACCATGTAAAATATGAGCCGAAATCTTGGCGTTTTCTATTGAAGCCACGACTACCATATCCTTCTCAATCTATTGACCACCAGCTCCTCAAAATAGTATTGTACTATCTCTAAATATTGCTACTACACCTGGAATACTCCTATCTAGTATTATACTATGACCCCGGGGGGGGGGAAATCTAAAGCCCTAGTAATTTCTCCAAACAGGGTACTGATAGTCCCTAGTCTCTACATTCAGGGCACTGATGCTCCCTAAAAACAGGATACTAGTCGATAATCCAGAGCTTTATCTTACATACGATAAAGAATATAATTGGTTAAGTAGCATAGTGGATCTCTACCAATAGACTTAGTGGGTCAACCATAGTGTATGTTGGTAGTATTGGCAAAGTTGGTAATACTTTACATGGTCCCGAACTTCCATTGAGTCCACCGTACGATGAGGAATGCCAACAGAATGCACAGCTATGACCGGGACCCTCTCTACCTCAGGCCGCCCGCGTACGATGTGGAGCCCACCTGGATCGACATCAGACGTGGCTCAATGGCTCCTCCGGGGGCTGGGATTCGCTGGCAATTCTCTCTTGGCACGCATGAAGTGTCCCTGCATTCCCAAAGAGAGTATTGCGAATACAGTCAGAAATACGCACTCCCGCCTTAATCTATCCCGGTGGTCTGTATAACGCAAACCGGTATATTATTCGAGATCGTGTCCATGGAACTTGTTTCCTCTCAGCAACAGGACAGTCACTACGATAGTTCGCTACACGCATATCCCAGGGAGAGAATGTCACCGTGGCTCCCTTATGGATCACCAATTCCTCTGTGAGTACATATAGAAGCTCAATGCTTACATTTGCGTCGATACGAAGCCGCGCTCTTCGGCGTTTGTCCCGATATTTGCTATGCGATTTCTGCTGAAAGATACTAAGGGTGAGAGCAACTACACACGATGGGCGCTTGCTTCTTTGACCCAGGTAATATGGGGAGTGCATTGGGGATGTTCAGCCCTTTGTATCTCTTAAATAAGCAGGAAAAGGTCTGTATTATGGACTAACAAAAAAAAACATCATTATAATCATGTGTAGATCGTATAAGGAAACAGCACAGCCGATATGACGAAAGGTAATCAAGCCGACATTACCTCCAGCCTAGATTGGAGTATTCACCACCTTGACCTGTGAACTTGCGATGTATTTCACTGCTACTGCCTTGGTCTCTGTCACTTCCACCTCGGACTCTGCAGTGGGATAGAATGAGACTTTTCCACCCTCACCTATCACACCCGCGCGGTCCAAGTGACCGCGGCCGCGAACATACGGGTCGAGCTTCCAGTAATTGAGTCTCATTTGTTCAATAATAGCATTTCTGCGCTCTTTGGCAGCGGCAATCTTCACCGAGTCGCCCTCGTCTGCGACCTCGATCCACTCGGCAGTCGCTTTCAGTAGGTCTTCGCCAATCTGCTCACGCTCCGAAAGGAGGGCGTCCCGGGCCACAGTATCTGCCATCCTCTCATTCTCGCCTTCTACCGGCTCAATGAACTGGTACTCGTATTGGTCCTTTCCACCTAGCTCCTTCACAAGGTGCTCGGGGGCGATATGCCTCTCGAGGTCTGCCGCAGTGTAGGTGAAGTCGACCTTGGATACAATCACGGGATCCATCCACCCCTTGATAATCCTCCAAATTCCTATGCACCACTCCGTTAACGTTCCATGGGAGAATGAAGACGCAAGTTGACCCACCTGAGAAGATCCATGGCGCATTATGAATCAACATGACTCCCAGGGACTCGGGATAGTTGGCCTGGAAGCAATCAATCAAGAACTTCACAGGCGCATATTCCTAAGCAGGAAACAATCGTCAGCCATGTACGATCCGTAATCGATAGCGCCCAGGGTACCCACCATATTGGAGAGGGAAAAGCCAGTCATATCGAATATAATGTTCTGTTACATCGTGTTAATGGGATCCTCTGGAATGTGGACGACTGCACCTCAGGCGTTGTGTCTGGTAAACGGGAAGAGCAACTGGGTACGTACCACGGATTCGACTGGGGGGACCAGGACGAGTCGTGCGGACTCGATGACATGCAGGATATAGCGTTTGATCACTTCTTCGCTTTGTGCTTTCGGGTTGTGCAGTCGGGCCTTCACGATTCCGATCGGGCGACCGGCACGGTCTGTTCCATGAACGTAGCATTTGCCCATGCGCATCTGCGCCAGAAATGCACTACCGGCCTTCGCCTTCTCTGGATGCGACTTATCCTGTGCCTCTGTCAACGCACGCAGTTCGCTGTTAGAAACGACCATCTCATTCACATGCTGCTCTTTCACGCGCCACACCAAAGCTTCGAGCATCATCGCGAAAGCCTTGCTGACATCCCACTTACGAGCCCGGATAAAACGGAGGAGCAAGCCGTCGGGGTGATCTTGTTTGGCGGTACTCAACAAACTGCGGCGGATCTCATTGACCGAGGCCCGGTTCAAGCAGTCGCGGATGGACTTTAGCTCGCTGCTGTTGATTCCCAGACGCAGTAGGATCTGATCTAGATCCTTTGGAAGGTTTGAGTTGCTCGTGTTGGACACTGTCTTCGACAGAGACGAGCTCCGACGGTGGACCGGCCGAGGCTGCTTCTCTTGGGTCTCCAAACTCACATCGTGAAATTCTGGCTGCGGGAGATCATTCAGGGCTAAGATGATGGACCAGATTTGGCGCAATTTAGCTTCCTGGTCCGACGAAAGATTGCCTACGTATCCTGGAGCGTTGGTGGCAGCATGGTGTAAAGACAGTAAGAACCGAGGCGCACGGCGAGAGAGCTCAGGGAGAATACAAGGAAATATCCACTACTCAAAGTGAAGCCCGGCGTGATAGTTACTGCAGGGCTGCTTTTCCTTTCTTAAGCCTCTGAGATCGGCCCCTCGTTGATCAGCCGTGGCATATGAAAGCCACCCCCGCAACCCTGATCGACAAAACCTCGGATCTCGATTAAGGAAGCCGGAGCCAAGCGCTGAACCATTTTGATTTCCCCTCTACTTGACCATGGTATTGTCGCTCATTGGTGGACGACACCAAACCTTGATGTCTAGTACCGGTCTATCAGCCACACCCTCGCACTGCTTTCCCGGAGGGGAATGTCGATTCGAAGTGGATGACGGCCCCGATGCCGTCGGTTTGCGGTGCAGACTATGCAGTTGGAGGTAGAAATCATCATAGCCTATTTGCCCTCTGGCATATGTATATATATTATGTCGGAGCACCATTATACCCTCGGTATGTCGTCCGGCGCCGTTGCGAGACACAGGCGTATCGTAATCAGAGCCGCGGTAAGTGGGAAGGATATCCTTGGTGTTGATGCCCGGTTAGCAGATCATTATTGACAACGGTAGGAACACCACGGGGGAAATGGTGAAGCCATAGGGTAGCTTTCCGCTGTCTTTCCCTGTCACATACCTACTGGGCTGCGTGTCTGGTACTAAATCGATCGTAGGTGAAATTGGACAGAGTAAGAGGATATGAAGTCCACAACCGTGATGGCCAGCGTCTCTTCCACTGACTGGCGCTTGCGAATTGGTAAAATTGCGAGGGGAGAAATTCTACCCTAAAGGAAAATGAATTTTACTAGAATTATTACTTTGTATCACCCACAGGCAAATCGATAGGTAATATATAAAGATAATAGCAAGTTTGTAGACACCCATGTCGCTGAATTCGCCGCACGATAGATCTTCTTCCCCTCCTCTATTAAAAATTACTATTTAACTTATGTACTCACTTCTCAACTGCAGATATCATCGAAAGCGCAATATCTATAAATGCACCTGTGCCAAAGGCGTAAAGGAGCGCCATGGCGGCTAAAATATGGAAGAGAAGTCCCAAGAGTCGCTGGCACTCACTATTTACCAACGCCCAAATCCGATTCGTGGTTTCAAAGCTGTCATTTCCATTTGGAAAGGGAACGCCCTCAGGGACATCTTTGGACAGAAACTTGCATAATGGTTCCCATCCATCCCGGACCTGATACTCAAGTAAGTTCTCCCGCGGTACCATCTTGCGCACCATTTTGTAATGGGTCTCATAAACGGAAACACCATGGAGCTGGAAATCGCCCTGGAAGTAGTCTGTGAAGGCGCGGATGAACATCTTGCGAGTGAATCGATTTGGACTGCGAGTGAGGATGGCGAGAGTGTCTACGACCGATGACCAGGGATGGAAAACGTTCTTGAAAAGAGTGGCTTGCACAGATCTGTGCGTTTATTAGCTCCCGATATTCAGGCATTTCGGTCAAGGTTGCCCTTCTCACCTATGCCATTCTTCAGCGTTGCGATTTGTTAGGATGACTTTCGCCTCAGGGTATGCTTCTATGAGTTCTCTGGCAAATACTGCGGCGGGTATATCGGTAACCGCCTGGGGTTCATTAGCTTACATATCATATAGCATTTGAATTGTTTGAGTGTTCCATACTTGGCAATGGCCGAGGAGCTGGTCCCATTCTGTTCTGCCAAAGGGTTTTCCTATCCCATCCCACTTGGCAGCCATTGCGTCAAGCCACATCTCACAGTCTCGGGGATTCTCTGTCGCAGCGGTGTAACCATGATATACATCCGAATAGCCGAGCTTCAGTAAAGCCTTCTTAATCGCTATGGTGGTCAGGATGCGCAAGTTCCAGCGGTGTGTATGATGCCAACCTACAATCTGTGCCGGTCCTGCTCAACCCAAGCACTAGCACTTTCATTGGGACAACCCGACGGCATTTCCTGCGGTCGATATTGGTCGGAAACGTGGCCTGCATACTGTTCAATGCCGAATCCTGTTGGGTTAAAAAGAGCCTTTGACCAGTCGCCTACTGAGATGACTGGAAAATATATAAATATGTCTGCACCCGACCGACTCGTGCTGCTGTCAACACCTACGATTTCGGTAGCGTAATGCAAGGATTTCCGCGTGAATATCTGGATCTCACAATGGGGCGCTCTGTATTCGGAAAAAGCAAATGTTCAGGGAAGCAAGGAGGGCGTCAAAATATGATGGATCGACCCGTGTTCCTGACCTGTGCGATTAGGTTCTTGCTGTCGTCCCTGGACTCCCAAACGACGGATCTCCCACTGGAGGACACATCAGAGATTATATGGACCCTGGCTCGCTCGATCTCGGGCATACATCGGCTAACCTAGCTTCCCGATCTGTTGCTGGTCGCTCTCCCAAGACGGGTGAAGATATCATAAAATGCCGCTGTTTTAGGTGCTGGGAGAGGTGTTGAACCTTAGCAAATTGCCGCAAACGCCAGGGGCTATATGGTCTGTGTAGAAAACCCCACGCATCAACAAGGAGAGTGAGGGTTTCTGAGGGAAGAAAAGATTGGGACGCAGTGGAAACAAAATGGCGTTCTAGGGCTGCAGGAGAAGGATTTCTATACGGTCGCCTGGCCATTTCCAGTTCTGGGAATTTCTTTTCTTTATAGCTAAGGTTCATCTGATGTTTATCCAAGTGGGGACGATAGCCATGGACTTGTCTCAAACCCAGACGCACTGGAATGTACTAAGTTTGGCGCGCTCATCTTCTCTTCTTCCAGGCACGAGCCCCTTTCATCAGTTACCCCTAGATATGCCTGTCCCTCGTCCCCCTGAGAACTGATCTTTGGTCAAATTGTCTCACGAGGTATTCATGGTAGCGCCTCGGGGCAATGGAGACGATAGCAATTAGCGAAAAATGCTTCGATATGCCACCACGGCCGATCGGGTAACGATGGCCTTGGGCGCTGTCGCGGCCGCTGTGGCCGGAGCGGCCCTATCCACCGTTCCTGTAAGTCTTATTCTGCATTCCAGGACAGGAGCCTGCTGAGTTTGCGGCGTCACAGGTGGTCATTGGAGCCTTCACCCAACATTTCAGCGATTTCCTCAAGGATAAAACGTCCTCGGATGACTTGGAGCATGATACCCGCCATCTGGCCGTGTATTTCATCTATCTGGGTATAACCTCGACCCCTCCATCCATAAGCAAATTGAACTGACCTCGGAGAGGAATCATTTCGTTCGTTGGGCTGTCGCTTAGTACTTTGGGGTTTACGCGGGTCGCTGAGTCCAGTACCTATCGTCTACGGAGGGCGTATCTGTCTGCGCTCCTCAGGCAGGATGCCGCATATTTTGAGTCTATGGGTCCGGGGGAGGTGACTGCGTGCATCACGAATGATATTAGTCTCATACTTGACACCTGGTCGCACAAAGTCAGCATCCTATTGACCGGTCTGTTTGCGTTTGTGGCGGCGCTGATAATTGCGCTATCTCGTAATTGGCGTCTGGCTCTAGTGTTGATCTCCATGCCCATTGGAATGATTGCAATCATGGGGACACTGGGAGCCTACATGAGAAGAATGCAGCAACGAAGTGGCACCGTTTATGCCAAATCGGCGGACTTTGCTGAGGATGTATTTTCATGCGCCCGCAGCATAATCGCAGATGGCGCGCAGGGACGGTTGTCCAAGCGATACGAACAGATGCTAATCCCAGCATTGGGAGCCGATCTCCGGAGCAAAATATCCATGGCAATGATGATAGCTCTCACGATGACGGTGATTCTCTGGGGGTATGGACTTGCTGTAGGTGAATCTACCAGTGTTGTGCGGATGGCAACTCACCATATCATTCAAAGTTCTGGCAGGGAAATCGCTTCCTACAAAAGGGAGAATCAAGTCTGTCGGATATCGTGACTGTTTTGCTGACATGCACTATGGCTGGAGTTCTGCTGGGCCAATCTGCTCCATTTGCGGCCTCAGCCATGCAAGCTAAGGCGATGTCCGCCAAGATCTATACTACAGTCGATCGTGTCTCGCCGCTTGATGCGTCAACAAATTCCGGGGTGATACTCCCCTCATTCAAAGGTGACATTGAATTTCAGGGCGTTCGGTTTGCATACCCTTCTCGAGAGACTGCAGCCGTTCTGAACGGACTTAACTTGCAGATTGAAGCTGGGACGTCCATGGCAATTGTTGGTCCCTCGGGCGCTGGCAAATCGACACTGCTGGCCCTCATCCACAGATGGTATGATCCATTGGAAGGGAACGTATTGCTTGGGGGGCATAGTATCAGTCGACTGAATCTCCACTGGATGCGATCTAAAATTGGGTTCGTTGCGCAAGACCCATTCCTATTCGACACTTCGATTCTTGATAATATTTCATATGGCTTAGGGGCAGACATTGATCATGTAAGTTTGTAAGGCTGATTGTTATATGGGCCATATTCTAAGGGTTACACAGCTTGACCAGGACACCATAATGGAGAAGGTGCATGAGGCAGCCAAACTAGCAAATATCCATGATTTCGTTCTAAGCCTACCTGGGGGATACTCCACGAGAGTCGGTCAAGCTGGAGGTCTTCTTTCAGGTGGCCAACGCCAAAGGATTGCTATTGCGCGAGCGGTTATCTCCAATCCTCCTATCCTGCTCCTTGATGAGGCGACCTCTGCACTAGATACCAAAAACGAACAAGCGGTCCAAGAGGCTTTGCGGAGGGTCTCGAAGGGGCGGACCATGGTAATAATTGCACATCGGTTGTCGACCGTCCAAACTGCCAATAAGATTGCGCTCATGGAACACGGGAAGATCGTCGAGCAAGGAACCCACGATGAGCTGATCTCCCGGGGCTTGAAGTACGCAAGTCTTGTTCGAGCCCAGGAAATTGCACAGGCCCGTCCGCCATTACGACCGAGACCAGGCAAATGGAGAGAGAAAGGGTCTGCCCAAAAGCCAGAGAATGCTGGACCGGTGACAGACTCCATCGGCGGTTCGGCAGAGAGGTCTTCATGGGGACTTGTGAAGATAGTCTGGCATCTGAATAAACCTGAGCGGCTATTCATGCTCATTGGGATCCTTGCGAGTGCCTTTGCCGGTGCAGGGTACCCCACGCAAGCGATACTATTCGGAAACGCAGTAGTCTCCATTGCATCCCCAAGTCTAGCAACTGACGGCCATGATCCCAAATTCTGGGCCCTGATGTATGTTGTTCTCGGACTTTGCCAGTTCGTCTTTTACACGATCCAAGGAATCTGCTTTGCCATCACTAGCTCCCGACTGGTCTACCGAACACGCACCAATGCGTTCGTCTCTCTTGTCAACCAAGACATGTCCTTCTTCAACCAAGTAGAGAACTCGTCTGGAACTCTAACCGCGTTCCTGGCAACCGAAGCAAGCAAGCTAGCGGGTGTCAGTGGGACCACCTTTGGGGCAATCCTCAACAGTGTCATGACACTCGTAGCGGCCATCGCCGTTGCCTGCTCCTTCGGGTGGAAGCTGGGGCTAGTGGCCGCATCTACCATTCCCATTCTGCTCACCTGTGGGTTCTTACGGTTCTGGGTCATCTCATGGGCGGAGTCCCACGCGAAGCGAGTCACCGATGCAGCAGGTGCAGCGTGTGAGGCTGTTTCGGCAACTACCACGATCGCTTCTCTGCGTATCGCAGATCGGATTGTCGATCGATACTGTGAGAAGCTTCAGGCCGAGCAACCTCGAACCCTGCGCTTCAACCTCGTATCAAGCATTACGTACGCGGCTAGTCAGTCTCTAGTCTTCTGGGTCACTGGATTTCTCTTCTGGTACGGCGGAGTCAAGCTCGTTGCGTCTGGCGAGTACAGCGTGCAGCAATTCTTTATCTGTTTCACGGCCATTGTCTGGAGCTCCCAGGCGGCTGGGATGGTCTTCTCGTATGCGCCAGATATTGCAGGGGCCCGTAGCGCGGCAGCTCAGCTGGCTGACCTTCTTTTCACCCGGCCAACAATCGACGTGCGCCTCCAGCACGGTGACGTTCCTGGAGAAATCTCAACAGGTGTGATACTGTCCTCGGTGGACTTCGAGTTTTCCTCTCCCCGTGGTCCTTCTACAGTTCTACGAAACATTAACCTCACGGCCGAACACGGTCAACTTACTGCCATTGTCGGCCCCAGCGGAAGTGGAAAAAGCACCATCCTAAACCTGATCGAACGCTTCTACAACCCCACCCGCGGCACTGTTCTGGTGGGTGGAATGGATGTCCGTGGGTATCATCTAGCCGATCTCAGACGTACAATGTCGTTCGTCGGACAAGGCGAGTGGATGGTTGGCGGCACAATACGTGACTGCTTGCTGAGCAACGAGGAGAACCTGTCCGAGGGTGAAATCGCGGCCGCTTGTAAAAGCGCGAATATTCATGAGTTCATTGTTAGTGGCCGGGCGCCTTACACTACTGGGTTATATTGTTTGAAGGTAGCTAATTCCTGTCCAGATCTCCCTTCCCAACGGGCTTGATACGCCGGTGGGTAGCAAAGGCAGTCAGATGTCCGGAGGGCAGAAACAGAGAATCGCCATTGCCAGGGCACTACTCCGGAAGCCTAAGATCCTGTATGTACTTATTTACTGCTGTCGGCAGATGCAAATCTAACTGACCGTTCTCAAGGCTCCTGGACGAGGCCACATCTGCACTGGATGCACTTTCCGAGGAGCATGTCCAAACTGCTCTCCGTGCTACCGGAGGAGAGCGGACAACAATTGCAGTCGCGCACCGTCTGGCCTCCATCACCCACGCGAATTGCATCTACGTGATGGACCAGGGAAAGATTGTCGATTGTGGCTCTCATGAGGAGCTAGTCAGTCGAAGGGGATTGTATTGGCAGCTCTGGACATTGCAAGACCTAGAGACTGGATAATACTCATGCAAGTGATCTTGAAAGCTTGAGCGATATATGTCATGCTTATTGGTGGATTGTGTAGGAAGCTCATCGTGTTCTGCTCAGCCTAGCCAGTGCTAGCTGGAGAATTAGGTCTAAGTCTTAATTTGACACTTGCCCCGTTTACTACCAAAAAGAGACAGCAGGTCTATAGTTGGCTGGGAGGCACTGCATGACTATGTCTCGTGAGAGTATCCAACCTGGTAATCTTCAACTACGAGCTGGTGGGGACGGATTTGATGAAGTCTGGAAATAGATGAATCGAGGCTTTCCCCCGATGTATTAATAGGAGAATCGCCAGCGGATATGTCGGCAATGCAGGGCCCTTAATTCATGTCCGCCTCTTGACAGACGAGCTGAGTGTTAATGACAATGGCACAGAGCGGGTTTCTTCGTATAGTCAACCCTTTTCGAGTTGAATGGCTGCCAATCAACCATCAAGCTCTAACATATTCCGTCTTCAGCTTATGGCATCAGCCCATAGTTGTGGAGATTTCGCGACAATGCGCCCATATCATCACTGCCGACTTCCCTGGTTTCCTCCGCACCCGTATCGCCTTTAACTTCATACATAAATGCAAACTCAACAAGAAAAGATGCCAATGTTACAATGCTGTGATACAGAATGAGAACCACTTCCTTCAAACGATCTCGAAGAGACTCACAAGGTGATAAAGCTGAAGGCTTCAGCCGCGTACTTCCTGCTGCAAACGGTTTCCCCGTTCCAGAGGACGACGCGACAGCCGACATGGTTAAAGTCACGAGCCAAGAGAATAAAGGCCGTCAGCCAACTACAGTAGAGAGGTTAGCGTAGAGGCTATGGGATGGAGTTTGGGGGTAATCATCGACGCACAGATACGAGAATGCCAAGTCAAACGCCAACACAGGCAGGAAATTGCCTTTGCGACGCCTGGCAACACAGCTTATCACCAAGGTGATTCCGTATATTGCAGGTGTCAGAACCGCCTAATACCCTATTGTTAGATGAACGGTCGAGCTAGGAGTCAATCGGGTTGACTTGCAATGACCAGGGAATATATCACAGTCGTAGTTTTGGTGTGCTGGACCGCCCAAGCTGTAATCCCCAGCACAATAATAGCACTGGCGCATTGAATGACGTGGATACAAAGAGAGAGAACGCTCAGAGCGTCACTTGTTCGTCCGCGACTTGTCATCGTGAGTGCCTGTCGAATACTTGATCTTAGAGCAGAACGCAATTGCCGGCGATGTTTACAGGTCGAACGCGGAGTTCAAATACGTCGGCAAGTTGGGTTTCCTGGGTCTTGATGTCATCAGTCGATGGGCTTCGGTTGTGGCTTTTGCCACCCAACTCGTATTTTGTCTGGGACAATTTGCATCCACGAGCCGACTTCATGGTTTTATGTCTCCGGAGGCAGGAGTAAGTCATGGCCAAGGGAGATACAGGGACCCGTAGAAGGTATATCTTGGGAATCTCTTTCTCAACTCCTCGAGGAGCATTCCGGCATTGGGAAATCTATCGAGCAACACTCGTCTCATGATGACTATTTCGTTTGATCCAGTCTAGACCGCATTAATTTGCGACTCTACCATGGCTGTAACCAAAGTTCAAGTCACAATAACTTCTGCCAGGTATGGCCCAGCCGGGATAGCATTAGCGACTGCGGAGACGCTAACGGGGACTTGTTGATAGACCTCCTCGGGGTTGTTCACAGACGCCGCCGCCTCAAAACCGGGGCACAGAGTTAGCCAAGCCCTACAACACTTTCCACGGTCCAACGTCCGTTCGGCCATGGAGGCGTAGTATTGTGTTGACCAAAAGACTCGACACTGGGGGAGAGAACGACAAGGGTCAACACAGGACTAACATCACCCACACCACGGCCGATGTTCACTACGATGCCCCCCCATGACACTGCATTTGCTGGCGATCTTGCCCAGGAAAACACGACTACGTATGACTTTGCCGAGGCAACCTGTTCCACTGCACTCTTCTTCTTCTTCTTCGTGTACGGGTTCTCCTCACAAGTCCCGCTCCAGCAATAAGGGATGTTGGGATACTTATCACTTTCCGGCCCAATCATGGACGGTCGTGTGTAACTGAATTCCTCTTAAGATCTCTTTCCCTGTGCCGTCTACTGGTCTCAAAGAGATATGTGATGTCTCGATCTACTACTATAATACTGGTACGGAAGACATGCTCGTAGGTTAATTTCGACCTTGCGAGAATAAGGCGCCCCCAGGACGCTAGGGGGTAAGATTTGTTTCTACTGGGGTCCAGCCAACAGTTGCAACCTTTATGCTTCTATAATTCCGGGCAGTGTACTTTGGCATATATATAGCACTAGGCTAGCAGGCTGTTTGTTGTCTAGATAGAAGTCTGGTATTGATATAAGTATCTCTATCCAAAAGCGTTTTATTTTGTCTTTTTGCGGAGATCTGGGTCGGTGTTGTGAACTAAATAGTTAATAAAGAGTATTCAGTGTTAACAAGCTGTGTATTGTTTTTACTCAAGCAGTCCCAGTTAAGAAGTTACAACTTCGCCGCTCTACAGCTGTTTAATTAATATCAGCATCTTTAGACTGCTGGCAAAGATGAGAATCATTAGATTGTGAATCGTGATCCGTATTATAAAATCGAGATTACAAGAATCATTTCTTCAAGCTATATCCGTCAGTGCTAACAAGATCTGCGAATCTTCTCCCCAAACTTCCTTGGTTGAATTACTATATTACGCTCGTCGACTGCAGCTTTATGTACTGGCCTACTATTGAGCGTTACTTTTCCACTCAACCAGACCGTGCACATGGATTAGATTTGTTTCGACATATCCTATATCTCTTTTTCTTTTTCCCCAAGCAGCCGCTGGAATGAAGTTGTAGTTGATCTGTTGGGGTTGAGAGATCCAGAACTTGCTCGCTGGGGCATCGGTCTCTTGGTGAGCGCTCTCCCGCTTAAATATTTACCCATCCCAGGCGCTGATTTCAGTGATGGTGGTTGTCTTTTTCTCCTTGCTGACTTCTATGTAAGTACTCACTCCTCAAAGCTTTTTTTTTCTTTCTTTCTTTAAAACAAGCCAGCCGGCGGCAATCCATTGGGCATGTGAAGAAGTAAAAGAGAGAAAGACACCAAGGACGAAGAAACAACGTTGTAAATGGTACTTCCACCCACCGTAGGCTCCCGGATTTTTGAATTCGGGAAAGATTCTCAGCCGATCCAGTTCACGTTACTAAATACTCTAAAGGACTTAGTTAACCGATTTCTCCTTGGCCAATTTACTCCAGAGTAAGGAAAGCTGCGTCATCGCGTTTTTAGCTGGTGGAGAAGGGCGGGCTACCATTGATGATTGGTACCGGCATCTGATGTCCGATCTCGCTTAGATCGTCGGTGCAATTTCAATGCCCCTAGGCGCGATTCTCAGACACCCGGTGTTTGACTAGAAGCTTGAATGTAGCCAAGCTTACGTGCCATATACAGGCATCGCCAGTTTTCCACTCGGACAAGAAACGAGTCACAGGATGAGCTCGACATGTAGCTGACGGCCCCCGTCTCCGGTTAGGATCCATCATTTTCGGGGAGGCGACCGTGTGGTATCAAAAGTGCTGCAAATGGAGACTTCCCCATACTCCTGATTCATTAAACTGGTGGTCCTTCGCTTAGAGCAGCCAGGAGACTCTGTCATTCATTCGTGCGGTACGTTTCTCTACAGGCAGGGTAGGGAATTTGTTAAATAAGCTGATAAGCCCTGCTAGGATAACGGTCCAGATATCATCTCGTTCCAGAAGGTTTTGTTCTCGCCTCTTCTATTCAGCGAAACTTCATTGATTGAAGTATTCTTCCATTCTTTATATTCCTACGGCGACTTCATTGACTGAAGTCATTTGTCCTTCACTCCTTCGTTGTCTATTCTCGTTGACTGAACATGTCTCTCTCTAAAGTAGCAAGCGTGCTGCTGGCCTCAGTTTCGCTGGTCGCGGGCCACGGCTATGTCTCAAGTATTGAGGTCGATGGTACCACTTATGGTGGCTACCTGGTCGACACTTACTACTACGAGTCCGACCCCCCCGAACTGATCGCCTGGTCCACCAATGCAACGGATGACGGCTATGTCGCCCCTACTGCGTACGACAGCTCCGACATCGTCTGCCATCGTGGCTCTGCGCCTGGTGCGCTCTCCGCTCCGGTGGCTCCCGGTGGAACTGTCAAAATGACCTGGAACACCTGGCCCGACGATCACCATGGCCCCGTCATTACCTACCTGGCCAAGTGTAGTGGCTCGTGCTCCGACGTCGATAAGACCTCACTGGAGTTCTTCAAGATCGACGCTGGAGGCTTGATCGATGACACGGATGTCCCCGGCACATGGGCTTCGGACCAGCTGATCGATGACAGCTTTAGCCGCAGCGTCACCATCCCCACTGATCTTGAGGCGGGCTACTATGTCCTGCGCCACGAGATTATTGCTCTTCATGGCGCTGAGGACCTAGACGGTGCGCAGAACTATCCTCAGTGCATCAACTTGCAAGTCACCGGCAGCGGTACCGCAACGCCCAGTGGTACTCTGGGTACGGCCCTTTACAAGGACACGGACCCTGGTATCTACGTCAATATCTGGCAGAGTATCAGCTCCTATACCATTCCTGGCCCCTCTCTCTATACCGCTGGAAGCACGGCTACTGCAACAGCAGCGGCGGCTGCTACCACGACCACGTCAACCACCCCCGCTGCCATCACCACCCCACCCACTGAGGTCGCGGTCGAGACGAGCGCCGCCGTGGCACCATCTATTCCATCCCAGACGACTCAGATCGCTTCTTCAACGACAACGACGGTGGCTGACGACGTGGCTAGCACGGCCTCTTCAGTCTCGTCTACTACCTCGGGTGTCCTCAGTGGTTCTTGCAGTGACGAGGGTGCCTGGTACTGCAACGGTGGCACAGCCTTCCAGCGCTGCGTGAACGGACAGTGGGATGCATCGCAAAACATGGCCGCTGGCACCGTGTGCACAGCTGGTATTTCCGACACTCTGACTATTTCTGCTGCCAAGGTACGCCGCAACACCCGTTCCCTTCGCCATCGTCGGGCCCACGGTCATCGCCAGTAGATTTGAGCGCGGGGGTATGGCAACGTGGTTCATTCAAGGTCTAAGTCAAGATTTGCGGGGATAGGTAGAATTTGTTCAATGATCTAGGTAACTGGTCTTATATTAGACATCTTCACTATTCTCAGTTCTTTGTTCGGGGCCCTGCTACATTATCAAGATACTCAACTAGTATCATGACAAGTTGAACACCATTAGTTGAGACCATCCCCTGTCTATTTAGGCGGATCTATAAAATAAATACTCCATTGCAATGCCTTCAAAACAACTTCAGTTCCTCCCAATGATAATTTGGCCACCAAGAAGCAATATATGTATCTCGCAATGCAAGAGTATTATAGAAATATAAAAGTAGACTTCTCACGACTTTCTAAAACTCAATATCTCAATCGCCTTTTCCTTACTACCGTTCTTGCTTCATCATAGGATATATACATGTCGTAGCCAGTTGCGAGTACCTTCCACAAGCAGACCAAAACGATAATAAAATTAACCGACCCGGGAGACTCGGAATCCATACTTCATTTTGACTATGCATCTCAACGATAATATCTCTCTGGAAGATACACCAGTTGAATGTGGGTCGTAAATCAACCCGCTTCTTTCTCACTTCCTTGTCAATTGATCTAGGGCACCACGTGGCCATGGAAACCCTGGTTTCTACAACCTCGATGATTATCCACAGCCATACCTAAGTGGGCCATGACAGGATCAGAGCGCGAATATTAGCATGCGGATTGGTCGTGTGAAGAGTGGGGGATCAGCTCCACATCCCACTGCTGAATGACGAATTGCTGAAGACGTGATTGTATGCGGAATTACGGCGCTCCTCGACTTCTTAATAACGGGCCCACCCACTTCGAGAGCCCACACTTTGCCCACTTTTCCATCTCCTGTATTTGTTCTCAAAATGGCGAGCATTTCGATCCCCGAAACACCACGTGTAAAGCTTAATGACAACGTCTCTATACCGGTGGTAAGATCTCTCGCAGATGGGGCTTCTTGTAAACTAACCGATGCCGACAGCTCGCCTACGGCACCGGTACAGCCTGGTACAAACATGGCGACGATTCGGTCAACCGCGAATTAGTGGAAGCGATCAAGACCGCAATCCGACTGGGATACCGTCATTTGGATGGCGCCGAGGTCTACGGCACCGAAGCCGAGCTGGGTGTAGCAATTAAGGAGAGCGGAATTCCACGCGAAGAACTCTTCGTCACAACGAAGGTGATTACAAACATTGCGGATATCCCAAATGCCATCGACCAGAGTTTGCGCAAACTTCAACTCGATTACGTGGACTTGTGAGTGCATGGATGGCAAGATGTCAATCAAATGTATTGTATGCCTAACGTAACGCAACAGATACCTGATCCATTCACCGTTCTTCGCAAAAAGTGACGAGGAGCTGCAACAAGCATGGGCAGCCATGGAGAAGGTCCAGCAAGCTGGAAAGGCCAAAGCGATCGGTGTATCGAATTACCACCAGTCACATCTGGAGACCACACTTAAAACTGCGAAGATTGCACCCGTCATCAACCAAATCGAGCACCACCCCTATTTGCAGCAAGAAGAGCTGCTCCGCTTCCAACAGGCAAGGGGGGTCAAGACAGCGAGCTACAGTCCCCTGACTCCCATTTTGCGTGCGCCAGGAGGGCCAGTGGATGCAAAGGTGGCGGAACTCGCTGCAAAGTACAAGGTCACGGAAGGAGAAATTCTACTCAGATGGTCCATCGACCGCGGAGATGTGGCAGTCACCACGAGTAGCAAGGAATCTCGACTGCAGGAGTTCCTTCATGTTCTTACATTTCAGCTGACCCCGGAAGAGGTGAGAGAGATCTCACAGCTCGGCCAGGGGCGCCACTACCGGGTCTTTTGGCGAAAGCAGAATGGAGAGGAGTAATGCTAGGCAATATTCCCATGGATTAGGATTTTGCTACTATGGATAAATACAATGAATATCACCCTATGGACTAGACAAAGTACTGGGAAGGATTATGTACAATAAGTAGCAGTACCGATACCTTCTTGAATGAATAGTCGGTGGATACGCACAGGAATCTGGACGACACTCACCTCGGCTATACGGAAGCTGTTCCACATTCCACAGTCTTTATCAATGCGGGGTATGGATTTACTAATGTGATAACAACCCCCACATACGGCTGCTACCATCCTCTATCTCTGCTCTATGCATCTGGAGCTTTCACGAGGCTCTTGATGATGTCCTTTACTAGCCCTGCTTAACTAAAGAAACGCTCCTTCGGCTTTACGGGGCATACAAAGAGCATCCCTTGCAGAGGGAAGAGTTAGTATGGGTGGACGACCTCATGTAGAGTTAGTAAGGGGTGATTACAAGCTCCATGATCTCATCGACTCTAATAGATTAGCTAAAGGAAAGAACCCGTGTTCATGGCCTGGTAACTGCTTATGAAATGACTGGAACTGGCGATGTATCCTATGTAACTAACCTCCATGATGTTGCTCACAAGTACGTTCACAGGCTCGGTTCCATTCTTCTCCCACACAAGACAAAGCGAGCAATAGTCTGGCACTGCAGCGCAAGGAACGAGCCCGATGTAGTAGTCCTGTATTGCAAAAGGGTTCCTGGTAGACTGTGTGTATGGCTTTAGCACCTGACCATCGATAGTCAGGGCTACTAGGCACCTGTACCTCTCCCACTCTCTACCCATTCCTCTTCCACCTCCTTGACGTCTTTGCTTTGCGCATTTTGAGCACCCGTGATATGTGCCCCGATTCCGCTGCATTGATACTTCTTAAACTGCCGCGTTGGGACCTCAGCCTGGAACATATCGTCCAGTTCTTCAAGGGAGCGGCCCCGGGTCTCGGGCACCGTCAAAAATACCCAGATTAACGCAACCACAGAAAAGCCACCATAGATGAATGTTACCGACCCTCCTAGCCGCGCTTGCACATATGGATTAACAAAATTGATCGGGACCGATGTTAGGAAGCTACCCATCGAGGCGAGGAAGAGCGTGCGCTCGCGCAACTGGCCCGTCCCTACTTCACCCGCCACAACCCAACAGCCGGGGCCCCAGGTGAAACCATACATGCAGTACCAAAGGATCAGGAGTGCAATGGATGCTGTTGCTGCAGGCGACGTCCCGTAACTTGTATCTCCGGTGGCAATTGCGATCCCGGTTCCAAACATTGTGCCACCCAGGAGGATTGCCCCGATGCATAACGAGTACCGCCGACCGATCTTGTCGAAGCTGAAGAAGGTGATGATGTGGACAGCAAAACTGCAGCCGGTCACCATCAGGTTGGTACGTAAGGGGTCAGGGAATTTCAGTTGCTCCAGGAAGGTGACGATAAAGTTCTGAATGAAGGAAACGCCCTGGGCCTGCTGCAGCACCTGGACCCCGATAGCAATTATCGTACGTCTCCGGTTGGAGCCTCTGAAGCAGTCCCAGATGGACGTTGCCTTGTGCAGCTCTTGTTGCTCCTCGGCCTGGGCCTTAAGAAGTTCTACCTCGTACGCAATCGTGTCTGGGTAATTCGATAGCGATCTCAGGACTTGTTCAGCCTCTTCAAAACGACCACGGTAAATGAGGTAGCGAGGCGACTCGGGGATAAATGCATAGAATGCGATATATCCAATAGGCACTAGCAACTGACAAAGTATGACAACCCTATCGAAGTTAGCTCTCACGTCGTACCAATTCAAAACTAGCAGGGATGCGTCCTACAAATACTGCCATTTATCCGTCCTGGACCGCGATAGGTAGACCACAAGGGAAGCCAGGAAAACACCCAGGGAGTTGAAGAAGCTATACAGTCCAAGAAAGGCACCTATAGATACGTCAGACCCTACTGTCACTATGATATCCCTTACGAACATACCTCTAATGCGTGGTGGTGAGCACTCCGACAAGTACAGTGGTACGCAGTTAGATGCCAAACCAATCCCCGAGTAGACAATGATTCGGCCAACGACAAGTTGCCAGAACGATGTCACCGCGGATGCCTCGAGGGTGATGCCGATTAGCATCAGCAGCGACAGGACCAAGAACGAATTACGGCGGCCCAGCTTGGATGCGACCATTGGGGCCATGATGCAGCCAAGAATGATCCCGGCCGAGCCCGTCCCTGTGCCGACCGACGTCTTTTGGGATGGAATCACGAAATGCCCCAGGGCATCATCATATTCTCCATATTTCTTCTGGAACTGAGAAAGACCCAGTGCGCCTCCCCACCACCCGTTATCGAATCCAAAGCCTAGGGCCCCCAGAGATGACACCCCGCCGACGAGGGCAAGCCGCCAGTTGAGGTCTTGATACAGCGGCTGGGCCTTCAGCTGTTCCAACATATGTGAGAGCATAGCGTACTTATTGAAAGTGGGACGAAGACGGGGTGAGAGATGGGGCAATCAAGGCTAATGGAGCATGATATACGACTCTATAGGGCCATTCCTTTCCCCGCATAATCCCCAGACCTCCACGAATTGGGAAGTTTGAACCACTGGATGTGCCCCCACGAAGTCCCTGAGATGATGTCGGATGAAGCCGACTATTCCGGGGTACCTGCATGCATATGGAGGAATCGTAGCCCGTGTGGGAGGCTGCGTCCATGTACTTAACTTTCCGTCGCAGCGTCATTGTTCACTTTAACCTCCACCGCTCTTCCCAAGGCGTTTCTTGAGATTACTCTCATTCATTACTAGTTACCAATCTATGGACGATATTCACTATGGCGCGTCATACCAAGACTATCGTGCAGTCTGCTATCCTCAAGTCCGCCGCGAACCTCACCGCGCAGCTCTTCCGCTACTCAACCAACCCCACAGCCCAGCCGCTGGACTGGCAGCCTGTCGTTGAATTCGCTATCTTCGGCCTCATCCAGGCCCAAGTGAACTGCCATTGGCAGGAGTTCTTAGAAGATGTATTTCCGTCGTACTCGGCCGCAGACAAGACCACTGCGCCTAAGAAGACCATCCAGTGGCGGAACATTGTCTACAAGGTTCTTCTGGATCAGACAATCGGACTCTTCTTAATGAATACGATCTTTTTGGTTTGCACCAATTTCACCCGATTCAGGAGTGCGTCTCCCCTGGTAGCCGAAGTCAACCGGAAGATCTGGCCCCTGATCGTCAACGCTTGGAAGGTCTGGCCTGCTTGTTCTCTGTGCAATTTCCTTTGGGTTCCTGTGGAGTCCCGCGTCCTTGTCGCCTCGTGTGTGGGATTCGGGTGGAACATCTTTCTCGCTTTCTTTGCGATGGTCAAATAGAGGGTGTTGGGATGGTTGGGGCATCGCAGACTGAGACAGAGATATTTATGTCTAAGTTTAGTGCTGGGGATCACTTGGGGCTGTTTCTGGGCGATGAGTAGTTACTAGGAAAAGCTGGCGATATACACCACTAGTGTCTCCATTCTATACAGAGATCAATAACACGGTGTGAGTTGCAATGTGATGTTTCTCGTATTCTACTCGGAGCCTTGACCATCTGCATCGCATGTCGATTGACGTGATAAACGGGCCACCCACGCTAAACTGATTTAGTATATAAACTAGTAGCACTTAGCAAATCCAGGCGCCGCATCCAATAAGGAAGTTCGAAGCACCCAGGAAGTCTCAACCGTACGTTCCAAGAGGGCAATTCCAACCACCACCGCCGTCCCTGATAAATCCTAAGCGCAGCGCCTCACATCCGAGACACCAAAACCATACTACTGCTCCTCATCGCTCACAGGAAGCCATGGCATGGTTGCATAAGGTGTCTTCCTTGTTACTCGTGGCGGGCCTGTGTATTCAACTGTCGTGGCAATCGCAATGCACAGGCTCGACTGTCGACAAGCCGCGGGTTTTGGTACTCAGCGACATCGACAACGAGCCGGACGATGCGCAGTCCTTGGTCCGCCTGATGGTGTACTCCAATGAACTACGCTTGGAAGGTCTGGTGGCGACGACCAGTATCTGGCTGAACGATACGACCCGACCAGACCTCATGCACGACATCGTGGATGCCTTTGAATTATCAGTGCCGTATCTCCGCCACCATGCATCGGGATGGCCCGACGCGAGCGATATCCACAGTCTAATCGCGTCCGGGCTGCCCGTGTACGGTATGGATGGCGTTGGCGAGGGGAAGGACAGCAGTGGCTCAACACTGTTGATCAATGCGGTCGACAAGTCCGAAGAGCCTCTCTGGGTCCTGGTATGGGGTGGTGCGTCAGTTCTGGCGCAGGCCTTATGGCACGTCAATGCCACCCGATCGCCCGCGGATCTCGATCGCTTCGTGGCCAAATTGCGTGTGTATTCCATTTCCGACCAGGATAACACGGGGACCTGGATGCGGCGCAACTGGCCGAACCTGTTCTACATTGCCAGTGTGCACCACTTCAATCGCTATGCCGTGGCTGGATGGGGCGGCATTTCGGGTGACAACTACTACCATTTCCCTAACAATGCCAATCAGGAGGTCATCTCATCCGAGTGGGTCCAACAGAACATACAGGCCGTTGGCCCCTTAGGTGCCAAATATCCGGATGCGGACTTCATCCTCGAGGGCGACACCCCTTCCTTGCTGCACATTCTCCCGAATGGCCTGACCGACCCGGAACACCCGGAGTGGGGATCATGGGGTGGTCGGTATGGGCCTGTTACCTTTGGAGAAGGTCATTTTGCCGACAGTGTTGACACTATCGTGGACGACTCGGGGCGAACGATGATGGGATCCCATGTCACCGTCTGGAGATGGCGCGAGGCGTTCCAGCGAGACTTTGCGGCTCGCATGAAGTGGACGATCGCATCCAGGTTCTCTGATGCGAACCACGCGCCGGTTGTCGCGATCGACGGGGACAGGACTCGTCGAGTCGTCCAGATCCCGGTGGAGCCAGGCCAGGAGGTCGTGCTGGACGCAACAGACTCCTGCGATCCCGACGGAGACAACCTGACCTTCAAGTGGTGGCAGTACTTGGAGCCTTCTTCCAATAACAACAATCCCCGGAGGGATGTTGCTGAGCTTTCACTGAGTTCGACGAATGCCCCTCGAATCACTGTCACAATCCCCCCGAGCGAGGTGATACGACGAGAAGGCCGTAACACACACCCGGAAAGCGACAAGCACTTGCACCTCATTGTACAGGTTTCTGACGGTGACTTGGTGGCCTATCGTCGAATCATCTTCACGGTGCCAGGCTTGGGAGCAGTTCGGGACAAGCAGAAGAGTCACGATGAACTGTAGACATCCGATCGTGTATATCACCATCGACCTTACATCGTTATTCAGGCTTAGACATCCTAGTTGAAACAGCGAGTATTATGCACGTCTATACTAAAAGGAACCACTGTTGAACAAGAATGTGTCGAACAGGCTATCTTGATTAGAATGGAACTGGACCCACACTTGTTCATACTAGTACCACAATCAGTTAATGTAAATGGAAAACCTTCACTCCTTGACGAGTATGGCCGATAGATTTCATGGATCTCGAGCATGCGAATGAAAGCAGCTAGCAACCCTGGGGTTGAGAAGGCTCCAAGTCGGGGATTGTCCGATGCCAGGCTTCGGCCCCGCAATAAATCGATTACTCATGGTGGGGATTTCCTCGGCTGTCCAGACGAGTTCCTACGGACCGGAGACATGAATCAATGCCTCTGAGTTTCCGCATGCATGCTCGATTGGATAAGTCTGTTCTAAAATGGCGAACGATACCCCCGTCTACATCTTAGGGCTTGGAAGTATCGGGTGTTTTGTCGCCCATTCTCTTCGTTCTGGACCCGAGAAAACCCCCATTACACTCCTGCTTCATCGAGAGTCTCTGCGCCATGAATTCGTCTCCACGGGACAGAAAATAAACCTGCAGGTCGGGGATGACGGAGACGTAGACGAACAATCTGGCTTCAATGTTGAGGTGTTAGGGTGCGATTCCACACGCCTATCGCGCATTCGTTACCTTATTGTCACAGTCAAATCGTCGATGACAGTAGACGCTATCAAACCTGTCAAAGAAAGGCTCGGGCGAGATTCTGTTATCTGCCTCTTCCAGAATGGCATGGGCCAAGTGGAAGAATTGAATGAGCAGCTATTCCCCGACCCAGCTACCCGCCCAACGTATATGTTCGGGATCGTTCGGCACGGCGTCTACCTGAAAGCGGCCTTCCAAGCTGTGTTGGCTGGTCGCAATGGCTGTGTTTCCCTCGGCTTTATGGACGCAGATGGCTCAGACCGATCCCGGACGAGAAACCGTTTTCTTATCGATACTTTGCTCCGATCAGCAGCTCTTAATTGCGAGGAATTAGACTGGACATGCCTTTTGCGAGATCAACTCTTCAAGCTGGCAGCGAATTGCGTCCTCAATCCTCTCACAGCGCTGCTAGATGTTCGAAACGGCGTTATCGCAGAGATGGCGCAGGTCAGACCATTAATAAAGCGCCTCCTACAAGAGATATCAACGGTGTTTGGTCGGCTGCCAGAAATCCAGAACCATTCTACTCATGATCCCTCATGCTTCTCCCCCACGTCCTTGGAGGCCGTCGTGATGGACACGATCAGAAAGACAGCGGCAAACTCCAGCAGTATGCGGGAGGATATCCGTCAAGGGAGACCAACAGAAATCGAATTCATTAATGGTTGGATAATCAAGCGCGGCAGGGAACTGGGGGTCGAATGTGTGGCCAATTCATCTCTAACCGAACTGATCCGGTCGAAGAGTAGTATCGCTCATTAAGTATGGAAAGCTACAGTTTCATATATAACCGATTGATGATGCAGCAGCTCCCGATTGAAGGTCTATGCGCAGTTTCCGAGGTATTCATGGCGAGAGAGGGTGTATGCTACAGAAGGTAGCATCAAAAACCCAGTTCTCTCTAGTAGATAGCAGTGAAAGCGTTTGTCTGGTACTCCTCCATACTTGCATTGGGCCATAATAGCCCTGGTGGACAAGAGACACTAGCCTTTGATGAACCAGGGATCTCTGTCCTCTATCTTGGCAAGGCTTATGTCGGGGAGTATCTGATATTAGTAACGTCATATTCACTAACTTTCCTGATTCAATATACTAAATATTAACTTGTGTTGGAGCTTTTATATTGGTTGGGCCTTGAACATATTTATCATGTTTAGAGCGCCAAATAATCTGGAGCACGGATATTATGTACTGTACCCGGACTCCTTCGACCCTCTATGATAGTTCAGTTGAAGTTAGTATCATTTATAGTGTTGTCAGTGTTCTATAAGGTGATATCTTGTCTGTACTGACCACGATTCCTTAAAACCGGACTCATTCTTTCTCGTTCATTTCCCAATCGTCCGAAAGATGGACCAGCAAACTGCCTCCTACAACAATTTTCGTCCAATGATAGACAGTATGTACCGAACACTTCCTCCCTCTCCCTCTTTCTGTCTCTGTTACCAGTCCCCCTTCCTTGCTATTCGAGCCGGACTGTCTGTCGAGACCAGACGTATACTATCAAGCCCTAGTCCCAAAGTATTATATCTCCAGCTCGAGATTGAACTTGGTCTGCTGTTACAGTATACTCTTTATCAATCAATGCAGGGCGATAGTCCAGGACCGGTTTTCTTTGTGTGGTATTCCCTGAATGAGGGCTATTGTCAAGATAGATTTATATTTATATAGTATATCTCAGACAGCAACATAGAAAGGATATCTGTACCAGATACAATTCTAGATCTGCTAGCTATTACATATATAAATTCTTATTTGATGTTCAAGAGCTAAAGCTAGGCGGTTCTATTATCTATTATTATAGCCTTCCACGCAGGCACGGGGAGTAGCTGGGGTTTGGTGAAATATATCTAATCTGGCACGAGGATTCCTCTATGGGACTGGGGAGTCCCAAGTGACTATATGGGGTCTTATCTGGCAGCTAATCTGGGACAAACAGGTTTAACTATACTGGGAGATATAAGTGTTATATTTATATATAAGTATATAGAGTCTCCGGACTTTATTTACCGATACTCTACTCTACTGTTACTACTATCAGACCGTGTATAGATTATTTTATCCTACACTGTATAGATAATTTTCAGATCTTGATATATCTATACTCAATACTTTATAAGACTTATATTTTCTCATGTAGACAGGGCGTCTCTGTTCTGAGTATAGAGCTCTTCGGTCCGAATACTATTGTCCCCGAGAGAGAGAACTGTATATTGTTATATTTTTGCTACTATAGGAATCCCACAGACCGGCCAATAATATTCTGTAACTATATTATCTGGGAGCTGTTTCGCTTCTATTGTCTAGAGAAATTGTGGGAGTTTCAGAATAGTCTCTGTAGATATTGCGGGGTTTTTTTTCTGGGTAATTCTGATATCACAATCAATGTAGCAGAGGACGAGGGTTTTGTTACTATAAAGCCAGGAGAATACTGAAGCCTATCATAGACAATTCCAGAAGATATTTATAGTTGGCAAATAGGAGAGACATGACATTATCTGTTCAAGGATGGTACAGTCGACTGATGGGACTACGGAGGAGTGGAGGAACATACCAACACGACTGTCGATATGCCGCCGCATCGTTGGGGGAAGGTAAAACTGACCCGGCGGATAATTGGGGTCGACCTCAACCCGTGATACCGGCGTCCAATGCGCTTGAATTTCGCACTGTAGAGAAGGAATGAGATTATAGAGCTATACTATCAATGTAGGCTTCTTGCCTTTATTCGAAAAACGGACATCCTGACACAGGTGGGAACGATGTCCAAGTTCATCTTGACCGGTGCAATGAATACTAGGACAATTTGGGGGGGGGGGGGCTCTAGTACTCTAATTTATGGCCTTGCGAACTTTGAAGGTTACTTAGTAGTGAAAGTTAAATGCCCTTCGGGTCTTTCTACCATCCCTGAGACATCCATTGGTTCGTTCGCGCAACCTCTCCATGTATGTCTCAGGGCCCTTCTCCACGAGGTCTCAGAACCTGAAGCCGAAGCAAGATCCCGCAGCAAACATGAACGACCATGTCGTTTTATCAAGATTGATAAAGTATAATATATTTGCCCTACATCTGACATGAAATTCACCAGTAGAGTACATAGGCAGCCCCATCAATCTCCATCCTCCCCCGCCTCGTCAATTACACAGTCCGCCCTAGCCGTAGTAAGGGTTCCTGACCTTGGGCAATTTACCAGGGTTCTTGCAGCACTGGCCATTGATGTTTTGGCCTATTGAACGGAGCCATCAGTCACGATTCATACATGGACTCAGGACAAGACTGTTAAGACAAACATACCATTGGAGTCGTAGAGGCAGTTGTCCGCACCAAAGTAGACATCACCATAGTTGCTGGGCCAAGAAGCGTCCAGAGAGCAGCCAGGGGTAACGTATTGCTTGGTGGAGCTACCGTCGAACCCAGCGTAAATGGTAACAGGGGGGCTGACGGAAACGGAGCTGCGGACAGCGGCGTCATCAATGGTAATGTAACCCTTGTTGACATGCTATTGAGGATTAGACAAACAGTTGGGAACCGATGAAGGACAGAGGATGTACCAGGGTAGTAGCCTGAGAGAGGGCAGCAAGGCCCAAGGCAGCGAGGCACAGAATCTTAACCATTATGACTGATTGAGAAAGAGATACCGGGAAAGGAATACGAGGAGGTTGGCTTCGTAGAGGAATGATTGCTTGATGATTCTGTCTGTATTCGCGGGGGGTGGTCACTTATATAGCTTTCTTCGAGCAATTTGAGCAGACCTCCGTATTCATGCTGTTGGATACATTCCGCTTAATCTCAGTATAGTTCATCATACCTAGATTTGGCCCCCAAGGGTGATTGATTCTCGACACGTTGCATGATGACTTGAATATTGGACCATAGCTGTGGAGTATATCCTTTCCAAGACCCTAATAGCACGCGGTGTACTCGCTTTTCGGCCTCCGTCGTCCCCAACTAGCCAGTTTCCTACAATCAGAAGCCTCCCCGGCTGTATAGCATTGGGATCCACTCATCGCAGCTAGTCACACGGTGAATATCCTCAGTGGTATGAGGTTTTTTACCGCCGGCGCAAGCTTGGCGGCTGCTCACTACCGTTGCGCGGAGGATACTGAATCTCCGGTCGGTTGCAGATGTCCCCACATTGAATTGGCACCGTCAGGGTCTACTACGCTCAATGAGTGCAAGAGAGACGTTAGTTAGCAAACGTACCATCTGAAGATGAAGGTGTTCGATTAATTCCCGGTTACGTTGACACCATTTTACTCAATTGTTGCACCTGTGTGCTAAAGAACATTCCTTTTATCCACCAATTCCCACGAAACCCAGTATGCTATATGGCATGCGGCAGTAGGAGTGAAGACCAATGGATTCACTCAGTGCGGAGGGATACAGCTGAGTCTCTCCAAACGACCGAGCAGATATCCATGTGAACCTTGGCTCAACCGAGCTGCCAATTTTAGGTGTTTCTGCGATGCCCAGGATCCTGTGACAACTCAGTCGGCTCGGCGAACCCACTCTGGATAGTACAGAGTAGATTGGTTAACAGTCGATTAAAAGGTGTTTAACGCACATAACTGCCTTCCCCATATAGCCTACGGTAATTTATTAATCTATTTGAATTTGATCGGTCGCTACTAGTATCTCGAACTGATCTGTTTAGTCTAGGATATGGAGCCCTCGGGTCTAACCCCTAACCTACCCAGGGATTCCAGTCTAGCGATATTCAGATGAAAGACTCCAAAAGTGGACCTGCCTCTCGTTGGAGAACTCCACTCCTGCTCCACAACCGCGCATTAATCCTGTCGGCAGTGTCGAGGTCAATGATCGGTAGCCTGCCGAGTCCCGTTCGCCAAGGTTATCGGGAGCGACCCGAACCATCCCCCGGACGTACGGAGTAGTCGTCGTCAATTGGTACGATGACTGACACATGGATTCGCAGTCGATCCCGTTTTTAGTCATTTTTTGTGGAATTTTTGAAGTTCACGTTGTCTATATGGTGGTTACTAATGTATCGATATGCTTCGGCCGAGAGTGTGAGAGTATATATATCTCCCTCCGTACCCTGCGCACACTTCATTAATTGTTTCCGGGAGTAATAGATTGACCATATTTACCATTCTACGTTATCCTAAAGATGGGAATTTCCTTTTTTTTTCTTTAAAAAAAAAAAAACGAATACAAGACTTCTCATTCAACACTGCTATCCTAAACAGCAGTGTGGTCGCGGTATCGTCTTGACAACACAGCATCGACAACCATTCTTTTGACTTTCCACTAACCTACATAACAAAGGCAATGGCCACGGTTGATTCTATTAATAACTAAGAACAACACCCCTCCCGCATTGGGAGTCGTAGTAGACCAGCAAGATCAGTATTAAGGACTGTCATTTCCCGGATGATCAGCGCTGGAATCCGCACTGCCTTTGTCACGAAGGGTTTGCGCGACGAGCAGCTCGTTTCCAGTCAAAGTCAATTCATTAGTTGCTTTGTGTTCTTTATCAAAGATGCACAGATGGATGCGCCCGGTTTGTTGAATGCACCCGATGCACCGATTGCATCCAACGCCCGAGTGCCCGGTTTCTGTGCAGGGCGTTCGGCCGGGGTTGTAGCGCGAACTATACAATCCTACCACGCGGAAAGCTTGCTTGATATCACTGTAAGGAGCACAAAGGGTGTCTGAGAATGGTGGAGAAAGCTAATGAGCCAATGGATGCAGAATCTCCGATTTCCATGCCACCGCAAAGGTTACAGCCGCTAGTTGCGACATCTCTGATGCTCCCCCCCAAAGCTTGGATAGTCGTACCAGGTGGTAATTTGGGAAAGAAGCACAACTTTGACTATGAATTTAAGGACTTCTCAGCTCTACCCGTGGTTGCTACGTGTTATACACTCACAGATGCTTGAGCCGTTCAAGCCTGGCCTGCTCGGACTCCTGAGACGTCAAGGAAGCATACTATATATCCACCAAGCCAACCTTTTTGCCAGGGTTTTGGTGGAAATTAAGAGTCGGACCTGGATCCACATGGTCTTTGTCGCAAATTTTATACCTCTAACACTTTCACGCTTTGCCCTGATGGCTGTGATGGCTGTGATGGCTGTTTTGCCTTAACCCGTAGCAACGGTTCAGGTTTAGTGAGCTTCAAGAAGCGCCCACCATAGCGAAGATAAAAAGCCAGGAAGACCGCTCGTCACTCTTGCCAATTCCTTTCTCAAGCGTGTTCTTCTCAAAGGGTGGTATTTACCTTGAAAATCCACCATTAGTGCTCCTGACGCTCTCTTGTCTTATTCAAAATGCGGTTTCTGACGACTCTGTTGATCTCGACTTGTGTGATCTCTGCTTCTGCAGTCGCAGTCGATACACCTCCCCCCTTCATTCAGCAGAGACCGCCTACTCCTCCTCCCAAATCCGTTTGTCACTGCCAGGACCCACGCAACCCAAATGTTAACGGCAAGACGGAGCTCTGTTGTATGAAACATAGTGGGGCCCTGACGACGGCAAAAAACGGCCAGCCTGTGTGTCAACATTTCAAGAACCAGGCGGGCAAGACCGCGTTTATGGAATGTTGCCAACCATCGGCGAGCTCGCTTGCTGATGTCCGCTTTGCAAACGGGAAACCTGCCCTCCATGACTATGCGGTCTGCACATGACTGTAGACTATCCAGGAGCTATAATAGAGGTAGGCGAAGCTACATCCATTGTTACTCGAATGCGTTACTCATATTACATCTAGAGCCAATACGGCATTTCTCTGAATGGTGTGGGGATACAGGATCATGGTATCCTGGTCTGAACAAGGGAATGGGGTCTGGGACGGTCGTCTGCAGAGGTCGGATTGTGTTATGGGGTTGATGCTTTTGGGATAGATGGTCATGATTCAGCTGTGTTCGCATAACAGAATATCTAGCATGGATATATTACCTTCAGCCTGTTGTCTCTTTGTACCATGTGAGAACAAGGCTGGTAAAATCCGACTGCCAACCCTGAGGGCTCTTCAGATCCCTTAAGAGCTTTGGCTGATTCGTATATTTAATACACTATCCGCTGCTATTTGTATCAGCATCCAACCTGGTTTGATACTATCAGTCTCAATAAACAATCCATAGCAGAACAGTAACTCTAGTATACTAGATGCTCAGTGTTACAGGGATTTGTGCTAGAGGGAAAGTTGTTTTTAATAGGAGGCTGGCCTATAGTTTTCTCTCGTGTTGTGTTGTCCACGTCACGTCAACGGAGCCCTAGGACACTGACCACCAGTGGGAATGTTCCTTTACCCTTCATATCACCATGCGTTATAACCACGGTAGGTGATACACTACGATCATTGGCTGTTCCACTGTCTCAACTAAAACAGGTTTCTTTGATCTTATTCAGCCTTCTCTTGTGGTATTCTTTGTAGCCACGGTCTTGGCTTTGCGTGGCGCAGGGACTGTCGGCTTACGGCCCACCACAGTCCTTTAGTCAATACTTATTGCCGTTCTCTTCCGAAGTGACAAAGACTCCGTAGTTAAGTTTGACGTGCGCCATAGTCGCGATGACAGACCGGGACCTCATGCTGTACTATTTCATTTTGCTCCTTGCACCCACACCTGTCCTGGGTCTACGAGAGGATAACCTGTTTGCTACCGACACGAATGACCTTCTGCGCAATGTATCCGCAGAACACTTCGAGGCTGGGGCTCTACCAGCTGTAACACCATTGATTCGGAGATCGACACAGGGTGAAAGGGTGGAGTGCGGTGCTGGCTTAGGGTACTGTGAGAGTATGTGAAAGCGCACCTACTCAGACTGCGTTCCAAAAGGTTGGGCATTTGTTTTTTCGTTCTGATCGCTGCCTACAGATATCGGAGGCTGCTGTCCGACCGGCACTCTCTGTTGTCAATATGGTTTCTGCCTGCGGCCCGGTTACACATGCTGCCCTAGACAGCCTTGCCCACCGAACACGGTCTGCTGTGCTGGAGAATGCCACCCTAAAGGTGGCCAATGCTGTGACAACGGTCGCTGCTGTAGTGCCGGGAGCCACTGTGGAAAGAGCCAGTGGCAGGTCACGGTATGCTACCGGGATCTCACCGATGAAGAAGTGAGGAATCTTTCGGAGACATTCTCGAATAAGAACAGTGTCCCGGGACAGCCATCATGGCAAGGTGGCTCTCTACGCATTATTTGCGTGATATTACTCTCACTGTATAGGCTACTAGAGTGGTAGTCATACTGATTGCTCCCTCCGCGTTCTAGAAGCCGAGGTCCAGCATGAGAGCTCAATAAGACGACTCAACGGCGATAGAAGGATACAGGCTAAAGTCGGCGACCAAACTTCTCCATCAGTGAGTGAGATTATGGCGTTTGTCTGGAAATGGAAATACAGGCGAAAATTGTCAGAAGTTGGAATACGAATTGAGGACTCATGATATATATGAACAACGCCGAAACATGCAGAAACAAATAAACAATTATTTGAGTGGGAAGATGGGAGATACTTTCTACCTCATCTCAAGTAGAGAACGTTCTTTTACCCATTTCACCGCTGATAGATACTGAGAAGCGACCCTGGCCATACAGCAACGTCGGCCAACATGATACTACCTCTGGGACCACCACCAGAGACTGTTTTGATATATAGCGTCATCCTCGTTTCCAACAAGGAAACCCCATTTCTTCAAGAACCAGGGGGAGACCTCCCAGCTGCGCGCATCCCAAGGGGTCCCGTTTCCACGGCCATGTAAAGAAGTCGCCGTCGAACCCCAACACCGCATGCTATCATGCGCCAGATCAAAACACAGCTCATCCTCGTTGAACGCTGGGGTCCCGGATGAGATTGCTCTCAATGCTTTGGCACGAAAGGAGGGAAATGGCACAATGTCCAGATAGGGATGATGGGGGATCTTTAGTTGCTCCGGGGTGGGTTGGAGATCTGCAGCCAAGGTATGGTAGGAAATGGGCTGGTACCGGGAACAAAAGGGCGATTCCGAACCATCATCTACAAAATCGCCCAAAGATAACCCTAACTGCCTGGCATTTTCGAGAAAGGCAGAAGTGCTTGAGAAGCTCGTGAGTTTGATTGTTCTCAGATCGCTGGATTGCGGTTCGATCTGCAACAACATTCTTGCTGTATTAATGCCTACAGCGTCGATACTCCACCGAGAAGGTCCTTTCATTTGCGATAGACGACGAACCCCGGAGTACAAGGCCAGTCCAAAGTTGAAAGACACTTTGAGGTCAGATTTAATCAACTCGAGCCAGCAGCAAAAGCATGTTTGATTTGCTAGATCAAACAAATGATTATCGAGGGCTCCGCCCATCGCAATAATACCATATTTGAGGATGGACGCAACCCCGAGTTGTTCCGCGTCCAGAATTTTCGCGACGTTCTCTAGATCAGAAACGCTAGCGAAATAGCCTAACAGCTCTCGATATAAAAGGTGTGGCTTAGCACTGCGATGATGTTGCATACAGCAAGGCGAGCTGAATGATGTGAGCTTCAGGCGTGCATCATGCGATCTTATTCCAAATTCTCACATTGCAGGGTGATTGCTAACATGATAGAGGGGTTCAGGGACTGCTGAAACCGCTAATTGAAGCCGACCCTCACTCTGTTTCACAACTTCGAGGCCTGCTACTTGTCGCGCCTTTTGTCGCTGACCTTTGCCTCGTCGGTTAATTGACCCGTCGCTGGTAACGGATACTAGGACTTACGACTTCGCCGCTTAGCCCGTGCATTTTGCTCTCGTCGGCGCTCTCGCATCCATGGATATGGATACTTTGGATCTTCCGACATTAGGGGCAGGTACTGAGGGTCTTGTTGGTGTTACTACCGTCTAGACCTTACCAGGTGGTGTTCAAGTACGAGAGCAGACGTCACGCGTCTTGTGGAAATAAGCCGGAGCTAATCGGCGTTAAGAATAGGTGCCTTAGTAACAAGGTTTATCATCTTCCACTCGCACCCCTTGCACAGTGATCTACCGAAATGTTCATTGAAATAAATTATAGGGCCAACAAAATTAAATACTGCTTCAGAGACAACCCATCACAAGTATGAACGGACCTGCTCCTCATTCCACTGCCAGAATTTCTCACACAACTCCGGGTCAAAGAGGTCTTTGCGACCTGCTACCACCTTTCCCGGAGGGACAACTACAGCACATGTTAGACCTGTTCAAGATTGCGTGGGGAATCCGTCGGGGCTTGGGACATACTCCATTTTCCAGACTTCACGGACTCGATCTCAGGCTGAAGACCGGCATAGAGCTCGGTATAAGCACCCACTTCCGGTGGTTGGGCGACTAGTTTCTATAAGAACATTAGCACTAATATTGTTGATGTGTAGGTTGAACGTACAACGGCAGCGACTTGCCAACAAGGCATTGTCCTCTGTAGGTCTGTCATTGCAGTGCCCGGATCAAGAGTCTACTTGAAATCAGCAGGGGTTTGTGGAATAATATTGCTCTGAAGACCCACGTAACTGCCGACACCGTCCTTCTCAGAGCGCCGCGCAAACTCCACGGCTAGCAGGATATTGGCGGCTTTGCTTCTTCCATATTTTGTCCAAGCTCCCTCATCCTTGTGGTAGTCCATATTCGAAAAGTCAATCGCCGGGGTAGGGGCCATCCTGACCGCCGAAGAGGATAACCATACTACGCGCACTGAGTTCGGAGGAGAATCCGCCGCAGCTCTGACAAGAGCTGGATAGAGCAGCTTCGTAAAAAGAAATGGCCCGACGACATTCGTGCCGAGCTGAAGTTCATAGCCCTGAGCGGTTGTGGATCCCTGTGGAGGGATCATAACGCCAGCATTATTCCAGAGAACGTGGAGCTTAGATTCCTTCGTCAAGAATTCCTCAGCTGACTTTTTGATTGTCGATAAATCACCGAGGTCGAGCTGTAAAAAGACGAGTTGCCCTCTAGATTCGGGATAACGTTTCGTAATATCGTTGATTACGCTTTGCCCTCTGGAGGCGTTGCGGGCCGCAAGATATACTTTACCGCCATGTTGATAGAGAATGGATGCTAGATGCATGCCATATCCTGAGGTAGCGCCAGTCACCAGGAAGGTCTAATTTGTACGCTATGTTAGTATATGGACGTTATTTAAGATGTCCTTCGCATACCTTGCCACTTTGGTCACTAAGATTTGCCTCGGTCAAGGGAGGTTCTGATGACGAAAACAAGCCCATTGTTGATTGAGAGAAAAGATGAAGAGCCAGGAAATTGTGGATTGTCTAAACTTCCTCCACCGGAAGAGCGAGGGAAATGCGGACCTTAATATAGCCCACGATGGCAATGGGTTCACTTACATCTCATACTTTCCTCCATCCTGATCCATGCCAAGTATGGTCCGGATGTCAGCATTAAAGTTTAGACTCTTCAATTGGACGAACTCGGTGGGGCGAAGGTCAGCATTTAAGTTTCAGGATCTCATTCCGGAAGTTCTACTGACGATCATTCGATTTGGTTTATCCCTCATGCATCCAGCACCAAAAGTGACTACTGGGGTATGTACACAAGCTCTCCGTTCGCGCCCAATATGCACTATAGCAACCTAAGTTCATGGAAGTAGTCTCCCGTCTGCAATTGAAGACCACGTGAGAGCGATCCTGAAGCAAGCGTTTTCTAACTGTAGAAAAACACGTATCTAGTAAAGGAATCCGATAAGACACAAGAAAGCAGAGCCCATTAATCATGTTATTCAGCTAAACAAAGCGGTAGGAAAACCCATGTAAGCTATTAGTTGTTGTAACCGAGCTTCCTCGACATATGAACTAGTCGCCGCAGAAATATTCTGTGAACGTAACTGTCAAGAAATGTCTTCGATGTTGCTACCTTGTATCCAAATATATATCCACTACTGGCATTGCTCATGGATGCAGCAGACAGCAGACTAAATCTAAAGGTATGGCCCGATTGCGATAACCGAAGGAATGTGATGGGAAACATGCAAGCATCAGCAGGCGGAAACTAAAGGGTGTAAAGGGTCAGCTGATGATGCCGTGCCCTCTCCTTGCATACCCGATGAAGATACCCGGTTCTATTTCAGCAATTCAAGTCATAAACTGTCCTGATGTACACTCCAACTGAAGGCGGTGAGTCTCACTGACTAATCAGTCTGGATAACGTCAGTGGGTAGGAGAACTCTGGCAGTCCTCCGTAATCAGACTCCCCACTCAATATCGCAGAGATCAGATGTCGACGTAGGGGATGTACCCATCCCAGAAATCCAGCTTCGCTTCCATGGGTTACCGAGGACTAGCATCACCGAAAGAGCCTAGAATATGTGTGGCTTCAAGCAGACACTATATAAAATTGCGCTATTCAAGCCGCAAAATGGTCTACCTGCCGAGGAGCTGTTTGGCAATATAATATGCATCACGAACCTCCTCATGATCCCGATACTGCTTGAAGATATTGTTAGGTGATATATATTGTCTTCCTTTACTTCGGCTTGATCGACCAACAGGGGAAGTGCCATCTACCATTAGTAGCATCGGCCACAAAACAGAACATTAAAAACGGTTGGTAGCACAATCCAAACGACATTGAAGGTGACTTTACGCACTCTCGCACTGTGTTAATTGGAGAACACTTAGCCGTTCTAATAAATATGCATTCCCGTGAAAGTTCAGGGGGGAGATTGGGAAGGGGGCCCTCGCAAGTACGCCCACAGTCGCGAGGGAGCCCGGGAACGCCAGATGTATCTCTAACTGAATTAAGGTCGATCGATATGACGCTGTAGTGATGGGTTGGTCGCAACTTTTCCTGTCCCATAATAGTAAAGCAAAATAAGACTAACTGAGTGGCAGAGATATCCATGCCCGTCATGGACGGCTTGACAACCACCCGATATTTTGAACGCACGAAAAAGGTGCCACCTGCCACTATAATCATACTAACTGCTGTTCTGTCAGCCTCTATGCAGCATGAAACCATGATCAGTGGGGTCAATATGTTTCTCACAAAGCCTAGGCCGCTGAAGCAAATGAAGGAAATACTACGGAAGCTATCTGAAGGGAAGTATGTATCTGACGAGATGAGCTTATGATGTGATGATAAATGTGCGTATATAGTAATAGCAATCAAGATTCTAGAAAGGGTGCATCAGAGGTATGGACTTGTATGAATAACAGTGGCTATGGTCAGCGATGACTCCTGCTTCACTCTCACCGATGACTTATGTGTAGCGACTCGTATATATAGGAGAGCTTATTGTTTGACGTGGAAATCACGTACTTCACCAAATCAGTGTATTGTAATCCGGAGTTTTGAGATCTATTCTATGTTCAAAGAGAGTCATCATAATGTCAATATCTGTCGTAGCCGTGAAAGTGCAAGGCCTGCCTCGCCGCCTAAAATTCGTCGTGCCTTCTCTGATGAAGAACGGCTAGTCCAACCACCAATCAAGCACCCGCTCCTCCTCTTAACCCAAGGTGACCGTGATGCCAGCACTAGCAGAGCAACTGTTGGTGTCGGTATCATCGGGCTGCTGATACGAATCGGCACAGTCGGTGTCTCCCGCTGAGCAGGATGCAGACGAACAACTCGAATCATTCGGGGTGGCGGAGAAGCCAGCAGTGATGAACTCCGAGCTGGAGTCCAGGTTGATAGAGGAGAGATCCCAGTACAGGGTGTCACCATCCGCGGTGTACTCGAATTGCAAGACACTGGTCTCACTGTCGGTGGTTGCCATCTTGATGGAAATACCGCCGGTAGACTCGGTCTTCCAGGCCTCGGAATATGTGCCCCCGGAGGAAATTGTCTGCGCTTCACTAGCGCTGTCGGAGGTGGACCAGAGGTATACGGTGCTGCCGAGATTATTCACGATCTGGACGCTGCCACTTCCACTTCCACTTCCACTTCCACTGGCACTGGCACTGGCACTGGCACTGGCACTGGCACTGGCACTGGCGCTAGAGCTGGCGGCGACGGAAGTGGTGGTCGGAATAATGCTGGTTGGACTACCTCTCGGGTAGTGATGAGGAAGTGCATAAGCAGTCATGGTAAAGACCGCCGAAAGAAGGATTTTAGAGAGCATCATGCTGGGTAGTGAATGAGGGTTGACAAGGGCTGTCGCAGAAATAAGGAGGGTAGTCAGATTTGGCTCTAATGAGTGGCCGGTAAACGTGGATTTAGGAATGAATGTCGGAGGATCAACCTCAACGTCAAGTTCAATCAAAGAAAGGAATGGAAAGAACGGTAAGGATTGTGTGTGCAATGTGAGAATGCAGGGCAGGTGCAAACGGCTGCAGATTGGGGGGTGTAGCTCTATATATGTCTCATGGTGGAGCCGGAAAAGATGGCCACCACCATAATCAACATAAGCCACTACTCCGTTCGACGCATGGCCCAGCGTGTGTCATATCAGAAAACGGATGGCCATTTCCACGCGAACTGTGGAGCACAGTCTCGAACGTCCAGGGCAGGTGTTCCATTGGCCCAGGCAGCCTAGGGTTTAGATGCTTAGGCAGAAGCCTACACCAATACTACGATTGCCCTTGGACGACATTAAAGACCAATCTAGAAACAACCATGGATAGGGCGGGTCTCCCACATGGTTCTGGACCGACTGGTCGGTGCCTGACGCGTAGAGTGGAGCCGGCGCTTCGACACAGCCCACAAATAACACTCGATACGTAATCCCGGCTGTGGCTGTCTGACGACGCTTCGCCCCAGCACTCCCAATCGAAATCCGATTTAGGTACTGCGTAGCAGGGCTGGACTCGTCGTTTTGTATGTGTCGGATTTCTAACGAAGCAGCATCCGCTGTGGCGTCTGAGACAATAAGGGTTTACCAGACACTGCAGCCCTAAACTCACACAATCCACCCCCTCACGCCTAGTTCATATTTCAAATTCCCTGGCAATCCGTTTTGAGTCATGATCGGCCATTAGAATTAATTTTTGCTACCTTCTGGTTATGTCTTATGATGTGCCTTTCGGACATGGGATATATATGGTAGGATTGGGGCACACTGGTGTGGCAATTTGTGTAAGAAAAGAAAGTCGCCCCTGAGTCCGTCTTACAACCTAAGGAGTCCTTAGGCGCTTCCTCATCGTTATTTCCCTTGAACAGCTAGCGGTTTGTACATTTAATGTTATGTGCCCCGCTCTCCAAATATCAAATCATCAAGCCAGTAAATGCACGGAGCTTGTTGGTGGAGTTTACAGCGCAAACCGATCGCAAATTTCTCGAACAGAGCCCGTACTAATTTCAAGTCTTGCCATTCCCACATGGCTCGCAACATGCAGTAGCATGCTGTAATATACGTGTAAGGCAGGTTTCTACTATTTGGAAAACTGCAAAGATCTTGTATGTGACCCGTGTTAGAAGACTTATTATCGATAGGGTACTGGAGGCCGAAGCATGGCCGAGAGGAACCCCCTGCATACATCTCAACTTTCTTTTAGATGGATGTTCTGACCGAGTCGTAGATCTCTTCATTCAAAAGTACCGTGCCTCTGACATATTCAACGCGAGAGACGTCTTCCGAAAGCCACATCGGTTGTTGGTGTAGTCCACGCACAGTGCTATCGTCGAAGGTTACATAGGTAAGGCCCCTGGTGTAACCCTTGCGCAAAGGAGAGAGGATGAGGTCCAGAAAGATATTCTCCATAGCCGGATAGTCATGGACTAGGTCAATCTGGAGTACACGTAATCGGGACAGTAACAGTGCGGTCTCTATTAATTCCTGGGGTGGATATCGAGTTAATGGTCGCTCAGAACAGCGTTTTACCTACACGTAACTCACTCGATTCAGGGTCGCTTGACTCAAGCGGAGTTCCTCGATACCAGGCAGTACCTCCACCACTTGTTTGATATCTGGCACGTCTAGCATGTAGCTTGGCCCATCCACGAACGAAGACAGGCCCAGAACCCTCAAAGTTGAAGCATGGTGCCTTTTTAAGACGCCAACGAGATCGCGGATTGGCTCCATGGTTGGTCGCTTGTTACTAAGTTGAGGTTCACCTTGACGTATATACCAGCTGCCTTATGGTCTATTGATACGGCCTTTTGGCACTAATCGAACCAAGAATGAAACATATAGATTTGAAAATAAGGCCTGTTACTACCAATATGCCTTCCGTGCACAGGATAGCAATGACAGAACAAGATATACACATGCGTCGCTAAAACGTGCTAGCACACGTACGATGGCACAAGGGGATATCCCCGGAATCTACCATGACACTGGATGTGAAAGATGCCATAATAATGAAAGCTTGAAGTGGCCAAACACACATAACACCGACATGAGATTCTCTGACACCATATGCAGGCTTAGGATACCTCGGCGTTGTGTTGGCAGGTTCGTCTCTTCACAATATAAGGGATTATCATATTGTCACGTCACAGCGCATATATAACTCCCATCAAGACAACGCTTAGAAGCAACGTCACGCCCGTCGTGGACCCCCATGCTTGCACAGGGCCTAGAGACCTCCAACGCCTTCTGTCTCAGGGATAGTCGTGGGATGATTTTCTGCGGTAGTAGAATATGTCCTCATTTCGCGCCTCGAGTATTGATTGATTTTCGTCTATTCTCCCTCACTTCCCGCTCGTTCTCCATCAGGATATTCTGGAGGCAGTGTCTCCCCTGGTCGTTTCCTTTGGCTCGGACGTCATTAAGGAGCTCTGTGAGCGCATTCTTCATGTGGAGACTGTAGGCAAGCGCCTGTTTGTTTGGCTCCTGCACCTGAACGGTCGACACCGAGCCAGTCTGATCGTGCATCCCAGCTGTTGCGGATGAACTCGAACGCTTGATGACGGGGTTCGAACGAAGAGTTGGTACACAGTTGGTCGACGCGGCCGGGTGGGCACTTTTGCGCGGGTGATCCATGGTATAGAATATGAATGATACAATGCTGTAGGAAGTTCACTCTCGATCTAACGGTATGTCGAAGACATGCTCGATATAAATCAGGAGACGTTGTACACAAAAAAAGGGGCGTTAGGGTTAAGCGTAAGGATGACGTATCCCACGATCTGCGACTTCGAAGCAGTGGCGACGCACTTGATTGGTCGGGACGCTTGCCGGACTGTTTAACCATAGGCGTATACTACTAAAATAATACCAGGAGCACCTCTATAGATCATGCATGCATTTCCCTGTCCTAAGTCCCAGTTGGAAAAAGTCACCAGTCACGACAAATGAAGGTTGTACATACCGCGTGAAGACGAGCGCAATGCGAAACCGCCTAACCCACCTACATCTTTGAGAGCAGAGAGCCTAATAGACATGTCGGTGCTACTGTTACCAGGCCTACATTATCATAAAGGATGTCGATTTCCTTGACAATGTCTTATAAAAGCTTTCAGGCTGGTCTTGAGCTATATCCCGGCCCATGATCAAACAACCTGGGAATGGTAGTGGGCAGTCCCCCCGTATATACGAACTATATATGCAGTATGTACCGAAGCCAAAGAAAAAGGATGATGAACATATGGGCACCCTCTTTTAAAGACAAATATCTGCCAACGGAGGAATTCAATTTACACCATCGAATAGTCAATCCACCTATAGCTTCGGCCTCCCACTTCCGGAAAAGTGATACACAACATCACTAAATTTGGTTTCTGGAAAGATATAGAGCCATTGGAGCTCTTCCTCCTCAGCATTCGTAACCGAGTGTTCCATATCACCCGGGATGAACACTGCACATCCTTTCTCAACTTTGTGGTGTATTCCCTCGATCGTCACGACTCCTCGGCCCTGAAGGATGTAGTATATCTCGGCCTGAGCATGGTGATGACTGCATAGGTATCCAGAGTATCCTGGACAGACAGCGATCCCCGCAGAGAGGTTGTTTGTTGGGGTCTTTGGCTGCGTGAAAAGCGTGCGCCACGACACCTCGCCTCGCGATGGGTCTTCGAATGACTCAGATGCTAGATTAGAAATAGTGCTTGCTGAAAGCACGATCGGTTTAGTTTTTGGCATTGTAGGAGCTGCGATTATCTTAGCAAATACGAGCGGGTTTGTGACGACTATCAAACATACCAGGACGATGGAATCCGATCTTTCTAAGAGATAAGGGAGGATATAACGTCTTGATTTATGTTATAACGAAGGTTTTGCAGGCTTGTCGACAGCTATGCAATCTTCTGTTGCTCCGTCGCCCTCCAAACCGTTCGGATGAAGGGAATTTAACCTTGGGGTGAGGAGAGATACTGGGCCCAAGCACACAACCCTGGATTTGTTGCCTCTTTCGGGATTAGCTTTGGAGTGGTATCATATCACATCGAGCGATATCTTGCATAATAGAATATTGAATTGGGGTATTGAGTCTAAATAAAGGGTTAAATACTACATGCATAGAGGTGTCCAACGCCCACCTTGCCTAGCTGTTAACCACTCATATACTCCTTTTCCTGCGATTCTACCGCCTCTCGCAAGATCTCGCAGATCTTCCGCAATTCTGCCTCAGTAACAGTAAAAGGAGGCGCCAGGAGGACGTGATCGCCTCGCATGCCATCCACCGTCCCCGCACCGGGATAGACGGCCAATCCTCGGTCGAACGCAGCTTGTTGGACTCGCAAGCCGAACTTAACCGTGGGATCAAATGTCGCCTTGGTTGCTCTGTCCTGCACGAACTCCACGGCCCAGAAGAGGCCTCGTCCGCGAATATCGCCCACTGATGGGCAGTGTGCCAATTCTGTCCTCAATTGCTGTTCTAGGACCTGTCCCAGGGCGGCGCAGCGTTCAACCAGATTCTCTCGACGGACAATCTGCTGAACCGCCAATGCGGCAGCGCAAGAAACAGGGTGAGCCTGGTAAGTGTGTCCATGATTGAACGCATTGCTCCCTCTGCGGAGCACATCAATTACCTTCTTGTGGACCAAGACTCCTGCGATGGGTGCATATCCGCCCCCTAGTCCCTTAGCGATAGTCATGATGTCGGGTACGACCTTCTCCTGTTCAAAAGCGAAAAAGGTCCCCGAACGCCCCACGCCACACATAATCTCATCAAGTATCAGTAGAATACCATATCGATCGCACAGGGTCCGGACGCCGGTAAAGTAGCCGGCAGGGGCTGTGACGCAACCCGCGGTCGCGCCAACGATCGGCTCGGCTACAAAGGCAATAATCTTCTCGGGACCGATGCTGAGGAATTCCTCTTCAAGTTCACGTAGCAGTCGGGCCGCAAATTCGGCCTCTGTCTCTCCCGCTTGCTGGTGCCGGTATGCGTACGCGGGGGAAACGTGAGAGGTATGAGGGTACATAAAGCCCGTAAAGGGAACCTTGCGAGCAAGGTTTGACGAAATTGACATGGCAGCAATGGTATTGCCGTGATAGCTCTGCTGCCGGGAGACAAAGTGGAGTCGTGCAGGCTCATTTTGCTCATAGTGATATTGTCGCGCCAACTTTAAAGCCGACTCGATCGCCTCGCTGCCACTGCCGACAAAAAATGCCTTCTCCAGTCCGTAGGGGTTTCCGCTCAGAAGAAAGTCGGCCAGCCTCTCTGCCGACGAGGTAGTGTAGGACTGCGTATGAATGTAGCTGACATTCTGCATCTGCTTCACAATGGCTTGATGAACCTCTTCTCGGCCGTGACCGATTAAGGCCACTGCGGCACCCGCACAAGCATCGAGGACAGTCCGGCCATCGGAAAGATGCAGTGTCAGCCCTTTCGCCTTCTCTACCATGACAGGATGTTCTATGAGGGAACGGTGTAGCAGGTGGCCTTCGCCATTTGGTTTCACAGTTGGCAAGGTTTGCCCAATTGGTCTTGGATCGACGCTATCGTCCACTCTAGAAGGTGCCATCTTGGTAAAGTTGAATGGTTCGACGTGAGTTCAGAGTATGGTCTCGGAATGTATTCGATACTCTGCGAGTAGGCCAGCTATTTGCAGCGTAAGAAAGGCTGGGAGTCAGAGATTCACTTCGACATATCATGAGTCCCAGTACAATGGACTGAGTCACGATTAATATATACGGGGACGTATAGGATTCTCAGGCTTTCCTCCTTCCAAAACCGAGAGCCGAAATCCGCTCGGCTTTCGCAGCAAAATTTCAGGCTGGTAAACCAGAATCAACGATCCTTCTCATAGTCTAAAAGCCAATGCATTAAACACATCTGGTAGGGTATTGTGGGACGGATCGCCCTGAGCCACCGTCCGGATCTATCTCCTCGATATCGCGGCTATTGTTCGAGAGAACTTGTGTGGATCGTTCTTACCACGCCTTTTTTTCTCTTTTCTAAATCTCAACTTTTTCTTTCTTCGTTCCGGGCAACTGTAATAAATAGCACACAATATCTCATCAAACAGTTCGTAGCAGTCAGGAGGGTTGTATCCGCCGTATGCTATCGGCCTCGATAAACAGTGGAAGCTTTTTCTTGCCTCTGAGAGCAAGTTATGAACGACGTGTGGAGTTCGCGGCCCGAAGCAAGAAGACCAGATCGGTGAGGAATTTGTGTTAAAGTGCAGCGTATAATAATAATAATAAGATAATTAGTATTCATAGGGTGGGGTGGAATTGAGTGAATTCCGGATCGTCGGGTTTGAACCAGCATCGGGTTTGCCAACAGAACATCGGATTTCAACCTTCGACTTGGGGACTGTGCAAGCGACTTGATCGACATCCCTCGGGTTCAAACAAGTTCTCGCGACAACTAGTCTTGTACTAATAATCCTACTGTGGATTCCTTCAGGTAATATCGGCTTTTTTCGGTTGTATAAGAACACGTTAGACGCACAAAATGCTTGAAATTCGGGAGGTCCCCCTGAGGAAGAAACTCGCTACCAACAATATTGGCATCGCTTGAGCGTACAGGACAGGACAAGACGCACTCTGGAATAACACATGTGTCGCCAGTCATGGAGGAACATGAGAAAGGTCCTTCAGCGCCCCACACCAAAATAGAGGCGCCATTGCCTGTCACTGCTGAAAATGAGTCCTCACACCCGCATGATGATGTTATGGACGGTTGGAGAGGGTGGATAGTTGTGGGAGCCGCAGCTTGCTCTCTGTTTGTCTATCTCGGCATCATTTACTCCTGGGGGGTTCTGCAAGTTCAGCTACTCGAATCAGCCTCCTCTTCCTTGACGACATTGACGTTCATCGGCTCTCTGTCCACATCCTTTATGGTGTCAAGTAGTATCCCGGTAGGACTCATGATCCGAAGGTGGGGATATCAACGAACTGCTCTAGTTGGAGCAGTTCTTATGGGTCTAGGGGAATTCCTCGCGAGCTGGGTAACCGAGTACGTCGGTGCATTGTTTGTGACACACGGCATCATCTTTGGCGTGGGTGGAGGCCTGACGATTCTGGTATGTTTTTCATGACTGGTCCCTTTCTTTCTATCATTTATGCTTTCGCCGCTGTCAGTAATACTGGGTCATCTTTTATCTCACAAATTGAACCAGACTTGTTCGACTGCCCCAATGCAATGGTTCGAGAAGCACCGCGGGCTAGCCGTGGGAATTGTCTTCGGGGGTGGAAGTCTAGGCTCTGCCATCATGAGTATTGCAACCAACATGATGGTGAAGCAACTGCCACTGGAATGGATATTCCGTGTTCTGGCGTTTCTGCTGTGGGGTGTTTGTACTCCAGCTGCATGCCTTATCCGACAGCCATCTCATGCGAAGAACTCAGTCCCCCGCCCGCAATGGTGAGAACTGCCCGTTGTACAGTACATTGGAACTATCGGACGATTCTAACACTCTGAGCCGCCCAGGTATCGTTTCCGTGAGAAGGAGTTCCTTATCTTATTTGTCGGCACAGGGCTGGCTTGTTTTCCCCTTTTTGTTCCCCCTTACTTTATCCCTATCTTCGCGCGATCGGTTACGCATTCTCAGCATATAGCAGTCATCATGCTGGCCATTTGGAATGTCGCCTCCACCGTGGGACGGGTAGTGGCCGGCTTCTTGTCAGATTCGGTTTTGGGTCCGATCAACAGTCTTATCCTCTCGCTTGCATTAGCCGGGATCAGTGCTCTCGCCATCTGGCCTTTCTCTAGTACAACGGGCGTGCTATCCGTCTTCATTGTACTAAATGGATTCGGGTGTGGAGCATTTTTCAGTCTGGTTCCCAGCACTATAGGCGCGATGTTTGGTGGAAAGAACACGCTTGGGATACTACCGATCATCTGGGCAGGATGGTTCGTGGGCTTCTTTTTCGTAAGCTGATGACATCCTCCACTTTCTTTATGTCATGACATCGTACTAATCCTCTATAGGGGTCGCCAATTGCATCTGGGATTTATTCACTTTCCGGAAAAGCGGACAACATCGAGTCATATCGGCCAGCAGCATACTATGCAGGTGCTATGTCCATAGTTGGTCTTTTATTCGCAATCGTTCTGCGCGCAATGTACTCAACACACCTGCTTGTTAGAATATGATATTGCGACTTAACCGCAGAGATATCATCCTGATACTAGTGCAAGATCGATGTCCTCCAATGTAGGCCACCACTGCGACCATGCGCCCTGTTCATGGGAATAAGTGCTAACCTCCGTAAGCAGATGAGTGAGCGGTGCGCTAAGATTGTCCAACTCAGAGTTAGGGACCACCCGTTGCGCGGGGTGACTATAAGTCACTCCTGGGCTTGCTCCCTCGGCTCCTTCAATCTCCTGTATATGCTGATTCGATCGGTCAACGACTCGAAATTCGTGTATCGACTGGTGGAGATGGTCGAAGTCCTGCCGGGACTTTCCCAAGTATCTTCCCCTGTCAGCAGAAGCGCGCTCATATAAGAGTGAGGCATGTTTGAGAGTAGAGACCTAATGAAATATTAGAGTTTCTCCATACAAAAGATAGAATATCGATGGCAAAGAGACGCACCCAAGCCTCTCCGAGCTTCCACACGTGTCGAAACTCCTCCAAGTAAGAGAGACAGAAATTCATCAGTTGTTCAGCCTGGGGACTTCGACCAAGGTTCATGCGGGGGAAACGGTAGATGTAGAGGTTCATATACGACGCGGAAAAGGCACAGAATCCCACAAACGGCGTCATCAGATGGGCTCCACATTCAGATGCTTCGTGTAGAAGTCTTGCAATGTATTCCGCTGCCGAGAACAGCTCGAGTGCGCTCGATTCCCACCAGCCGACAGGCGCTTCCGCTTCGAGCAGAGGGTGGTCCACAGGTCCTCTTGGGCCCGACTCTGCGGTGGGCATGAAGGGAAAGTATTCACGGTGGAGCATAAGAGTGCTATAGACAAATACGGATTAGTCTTCCTCTGCCGAATCGAGAAAATAGGATGGCCAACCTTAGATAATAGAGAAGATTAATATATGTGAATGACTCTCCATATCCCAATGTCATGTGGATCGCCACACTGTTGCTGGGGTAGTGAAGGCGATCATGTTGGCCAGCCCTCCACCTTTCCAGTTGGGCCTTAGTTCTAGACCACGGAGACCCTGAGACCCAAGGGCAATTCTCTGGGGCACACATCCCCGGTGCTCGACGTCCGTCGTTAAAGATAAAAGTCATTACCTGTGCCCAGATATCAAACCCAGAAACTAAAATCTCGTAGCATTGAGTTATATCCAGAAGGCCCGACGGCAAACGTTCAGACCAGGTGAGGTTATGCCCCGTGTGTCCCGGATGAAGGCTTACGTTGGTTCCAAAGGCAAATTCGACAGTGTTCAAAGGCCGTGAGACTTTCAACTTCTCCATCTCCGACATGGGAAGCATGGGTGGGTTGTAAGTACCCGAGCTGATCATGCGATCCATGATAAAGCAGGCCCAAATCGTTCTATTCTCTATCCCCGGAGCAACTGTATCTTTTGCTGCACCCGGGCTGAAGTCAGTGTCGAGAGGGTACGGGGCAATACGTCGACTTTGTATGGATTGCATGATTCGGATCGCGATACCTAGCATATCCGATCAGCCTTGTAATTATTCCATGCGGGCGCTTCGGTCAAGACGTACCGCAGTACACCCAAGCCTTATGGAAATCTCGGCATCCCCACTCATAGAGTGCCATCATCAGGAGTGCCTGAACAACTTGTATGTCAGGTGGCTGGAGAATGAGCTCTGAGAGACTCTGCCGAATGTAGTATTCATAATGTTTACTGGGTAGCAAACTCATCGCCCAAGTTGGATTGAGTAGTGATAGTTGTGTTTTCGTTACTAGAAGGGTAACGCCGAGCAGAACCTTCGTCTCCTTCGAGCAATCTGACTGAAACGCCTGCATGAGTGTTGGGAGATGAAGAATTCCCAGCTCGGGGAATTTGTTCGTAAAAACGTTCAAAGACTTGAGGATCACACTAGTCGGGAGACTACCAAGATGTTCGTCGATCTGTGAAATGTCCACCTCGCCACTGGAAGATTCCGGTGTTAAATGTGGCCTATTATGTCCTTGGTCTGATGAGGCCGGCTGGAGCCTTGTTTGTTCCTCGTAGTCATCCTTTGGATTCTCGTTCCTCCGGCGTAACTGGCCTCGCCTGCGGGAACCCCTCGAGGCTACCTGTCTCGGTCTGGTGAGAACGCAACCGGGAATCTCCGATTTCTGACACTTCTGACATGGCGGACTACCAGTGTTGACACACTTAATTTTGGATTTTCTGCGCCGTCGGATCTATTGGTGAGCCCCGGGCTGACCTTTAGTTTACCGAGGGTGATGTTGATGTCCTACTCACCGGCAAAACGCGCACGAAAGACTCGAGCGCATACTTCCCTCTGCTAGCCTCTGTCGCTAGTGATGCGCTACCCTTGACTGCCAAGACTCCCGATCAATGAGCCAGTTCGAGGAAGGGGGATGAGTTTCGGGTTTGAAGACAATAGTAGAGACAAGTTGGGAGAAAAGTTCAATTCCGATGTCAAACCCGAGGCGCTGTCACATGACCGGGACTGAACGCTCTCGGTATGAACATAAAGTTCATGAATTAGGGTCAACGATGAGAACAAAATTAAACATAAAGATGGACAGGTATTACATAAATTCGCTATGTAGGGAAATACATTGGTCTATACTCTGTCAGGTCGCTGTGGGTTAGAGAGCGTGAAAATCAGGACAGCGAGATCAGAAAACAAATAATGGCTAGATATAACAGACACAATCAATCCAGAGACATATTAGACATCCATTACGCTTATGCTGCCTCTCTGGGTTAGCATCACATAGCAGCTTTGGTGAAATGAGCAACATAGGGTGTCATCACAACATGTTGAGCATCAGGGATAGTCCTCCTCAACTCTACTGCAACCTAGTGCAAGGGCTGGCAATGCCATGGAGTCCGACAGTGTCAGACAAAACGAGAATTAGCGCCACAGTCGGCGTTATTAGACAACAGAGGGTCTACATCTGAAATCATCCTTTGCTCACCAGTACAGCCATCTAGGATGCCCGCGCCGGATAAACGGGAGGCTTAAAAGGTACGCCACAGGCACCCAGTGGTTAGTAATGGTCAGATAGCAAATGTGCAACAGTGGCGGCCAGGCAACGGTAGTAAGTAATCGTGTGGTCAATCGTTCACTGTCGGTAGTGGTCAGTGTCGTCCATGTTGACAACAATATCGCGGCAATTGTAGCGAGAAGCAGGCAGAAGCTTTGCAAAATGCCGTTTTGCCAAAGGTCTTGGTAGAGCATTTTGAAAAACGAAGACTTCGTGATGCGATTCCAGGAATTTTCTTTGCTTCCAGTGACAAATGATCCTTTGGGGGCGTTTGAGATAAAATGGAATCGTATGACGGCAGATAGGTGTGCTACAAAGCGAGATAATCAGTTGGGTTACTCGCGCGGTTGCCATAATATATCAGTCACAGGAAAGGGTAGGTGAAGCGGGACTTCTTACCGCCAGCTAACCAACTATTTTCCAATTGTGAAAACGGGGAACCTCGGATTCCCGCATGGACAGTCTGGAGCCACCCATACGCCCACATTGTAGAGACATGAAGCAAGCCCAGAATCACCTGAGCCTGGATCAGGAAGGACGAAGAAGCGGGGATGAGTGACCGGGACATTAAAAGCCAGGGAACAGCACCATATCCAATGACGTGGCCTACCAATCCTAGAGTGATAGCCAAACCACCGCATGCAATGCTCCACTGAAGGTGCCGTGGCATGGAGCTGTTAGTCGGTGGCCGTAATGCAAACAGTTGCTGGGAATGCCCAATGTGCCATCTATTTCTCTGGGCAATATGTCCTTCGAGGGATGTGGGGACAAGCCCGAATTGCAGCGGCTCTTGTACTTGCACAGTACGATATCCCATGCCCCGTAAAATCAGGGAAAGCTGCCAATCCTCCGAAAATGAAAAGGTAGGATACCCACCCACATCAATGATTGCCTTTCGCCGGAACACCGCCCCTGATCCTGCATCAATCGCACGCCCACAGCGGTCTAGTTCGGCGTTCTGACAGGTGTAAAAATGAAGGCGAGATTGTGAGAGGGGATCCCCAGCAGGAAGGTTGTCAAAATATTGCCGTGTGGTGACCAACGCTGTCTGAGGGTTGAGAAGCAAGTGAGGAAGTGTTGCTCTGAGGAACTCCGGCTTTGGAATAGAATCCGCATCCAGGATAGCACAAAATTCTGGCGGAGTATCCTTCTGAACAGTGAATAGTGCATAGTTCAGGTTTCCGGCTTTAGCAAATACTCTGCCTGACTGCCTTCCACGTGTGTGGTAGGAGAGAAAAGGCCATTTAGCGTGCAACTCCGAGATAGCATCACACAGCTGGGTTGAGGCGCCATCGTCAAGTAAAAGTACTCTCAGCTGAGACTCAGGGTAGTCCATAGTGCAGGCAGCGCGAACAGTGTCCAAGATCACACTAACTGGCTCACCGCAGCAGGGGATCAAGACATCGACTCGTGGCAAGTTTTGGCTGCCTCGGAGCCGTAGCCTTTTTCGCGGCCCACGTTCAGGTTCCCCACCGGCTGCAACGGTGAGGCGCTGATCTTGATAAGACAGGCCTGATCATCGGTCAGCGTTATAGAGCTCCATAATCCGATTTAAAGTAAGGCATAGCTTGCTTGAACTTACGACCAAATATAACTTCGACGGCCAACATTAACCACATCTGCCAGGATTGTTGAGCCTCCAGCAGAATCATAAGTAAGCGGACAGGATAATAGACATTACAGGTCCATATTGCTGCTCGGGCTGCCTGGTAGAGATACTTGCGGTATCGCCGTCCCGACCATATTCGAGAGTCCGGCGGAAGCTCTTCAATCTCGCCGACATATTCATAAATCATCTCTTGCTATCACGATGCCAAGAAGCAAGTCCTTCGTCTATTTCGAAGTTGATCAAGGTCTTCCTCCTTGTTTTGATGCCTCAGCAATCGATGTCGGCCGTGTCCCTTGCTTTGTTTGTCTAAACACCGCGCATGATGAGCATGAGTCTCTTTCCTAGTCCGTGAGACGAACTGGAATAGGGGTAACACACAACCTGCACGAGAAAACCAAATTACAAGCTGCTCCTGGGGAAACGTCGGTGTGGCTTGGTCTTTGTTCTAGAATTTACCATTAACGGCCCACTAATTCCCCGTTTGGGGAGATTCTAGATCACCAGTAGGCGGCAACCCTAATTATGTTTAAAAGGGGGTGCTCATTGAACGCTGCTTTTCCGTCAGCATCCGGCATGGGAATACTGTAGGAACTAGGCTAAGCATTGACCCGGTTTTGACTGGAGTAAACTGAAAGAACGAGAACTGCTCTCCCCACAATCTTCGGGGTGCAGTTCCGCTTATTTCGTTTCATCACGTTGCCCCTCATGCAGGGATTACTAGTGGATTGGAATGAGAAATGCTTTGGCTGGTAAATCTGTCCGTGCCATATCTGCCAGTCGTTGACCGCTGTTCATGGAATTCGGCATAGTAATGTCCAAAGAGCAAGCCATCCTGCTTTCACGGACCTAGCGGCTGACTGCGTAGCTGAGATTATCTTGGTAGCTCCCTCGAATCATTAGAGCCATAACAGAGCTGAAACGACGCCAGATTCGGAGTTTCCAACAAAGACAACGATGGAGGGACAGAATACCCCCTGAATACCAAATAAGGCTCCCGAAATTGCATCACGGGGATATTGTAAGCGACATACACAAGGCCAAAAATAGTTATCGGAAACCAATTGTTTTGACGCCACGGCTGGTATCCGCACTAGGCTTATTTAGGTGTGGTAGCGTCATCCCCTCCGGAATCGGAAGAAATATACGCCGTCTCTTCGTCTTGCTCCAAAGATAGGACCTCAAGATATTGATTACTGTTAGTATAATAGTAATTGGCGACTCAATCTCGATATTCTGAATATGTAAAGATAGTCAGAACGGAGCCTTATGGAGTACTTCGCTTTAAGCTTGGGGTATATGGTATACCTGATACCTCTTGCAAGATTGCTGAAAAGATATATATACATTCAGGTATGGGGTAGACCATCATAGTAACGTGGTTTATGCACCGTGATTCGCTATTCTCATATTTCGTGACGCCAATCTCTGGTGCCGCCTTTGATGGTTGGATAGTACTCAAAGTTTTTTGCAAAAACGTAGTAACGAATCTCACAGGGCGATGCGACAGTTGACAGGCAGGGCAATTTATTGAAAAACAAATAGGATGTAGTAAAAATACCCTAAACCTCTTTTGGAGCGCGTCTGCCGCTTTTGTATTTAGCATACCCTTTACGGCAAGGGCTACGTTGTATGCAGTCTAGCGTGTCAATGGGCCTTCCTGAATAGGCACGTTGGATCACTGTGGAATCTACTCGAGCAAAACCATGCTTTCGTTACCGCAGTCAGCCTACAAGAACAATAGAAGCCATAGAAAGAAAATATTAGTCAAATTCGATCAGTAGCCAAGAGTACACGGAAGGGTCGATACCACTATATCGGTGTTCTGTGGGTATCTAGAGAACGTTGCCGTGAAGTAAAACCACTTTTCACGCCGCCGAGGGTATCTGACGAGCTGCACAGCAACCTCGTCGACCATAGATGTCATTTATGCAACTTTTGCGTACTTTTCCAATGCGAGATGAAGTCTTCCCCACCGTGCCTCATGCCATTTCTGCAGGTCATCCCATTCAGGAAGCGATGCTTTCGCAAACTGCAGCCAACCACCGACGATAAAATCAGCATACGATACGATATTGCCCTCTAGAAACGGACCCTCTGTATAATTGTAGATCTTGGCCAACTCGGCAAGCGCTGAGTTGAATCCTTCCAGAATAATCTGTCTGGCCTCTCCCGTGACCGTCAGCTCATCCCAGCTTTGTACCCCGGCTCTGGCCGCAAAGGTCGCATGGGATAGCTCCGCCGTCCTCGGATTCAAAGGCATGCCGTGGAAGAAGAGAATCACGAAGCGTGAGAAAAGAGCATCCACGTGAGCGTTGAACGAGGCATGTAGACCCACGCTCGACCGTGGGAATAGCCGCGGTGCACCAGGATATGTTTTATCCAGGTAGAGCGCGATGTCGAACGAGTCTCCCACTTTTTCGCCGGTGGAAGCATCTTCGATTACAGGCAGGGTATAGAATGGATTGCCATCGCCGAATGTCCGACTCGGTGGTACGCCGAGCGCTTTGCGCGTTGATGCTACCTCAGGAAGATCCACCCATTCAGTCCGGTATGATACGCCTTTGAAGTTCAGCGAGTATCTTAGCGATGACTTTGGTTAGTCTCTTGCATGGCGAATTTGTTGTCAAGTGAACAGGTTGACAACGTACCGTGCCTTCCACGGATTGGGAGCGAAACATCTGACTGGCGGACCAGATGTGATATCATACAAGATAATTGGTGGGGAAGAGTTCATGACTGATGTGGCAAAAGCTATGAAATAACTAACCGTCAAAGGGATGGATAATTGGGTCTTAAAACACTTTTGCCAATCCGGACTGAGAACTCCAATGACTGACGTTCGTCTCTAGTTCAACTTCCCCCATTCTTCACGTAACACTGTGCAGAGTATCCCTTGCTTTCACAGTCCACTAGTAAATATGGCGGGGGGGAGTTAATACTAGTTTTGAAGAAAGACCCTGGCTTTATTTTTTTTGGGTTTTTTTTTTCTCTTTTTTTGGTGCCCCTTTCCCCCCTTTGCTCCCACTGACGAAGCACCGGGTTCGAGCGTAACAGTCATTGTGTTTCAGCCACAAGCATCGAATGGATTCATCCGGCCAATGGTTGACATGTACAGAAAAGAGATAATAAAGAACATATTAATAATGAGTCTGACAGCATGCATGACAAGTGATACACGCGATAGGCGATGAAACTCAAGAATGCAGTTATGGAGACATGTACGCTCTGCTCTGTATTGGTTTACGAGGTGGTTCAAGCTGTGGTATCCTCCACATCGCAGTGAGTGCATATTTGACACAAGATAATCATAACAATAGTCTCTGTGGAGGCTATGTTATTGAAGCAGCTCCTGTGAATGGCGATTACAACAAGGGACAGTTGTTGGATCAGAGTCCAGGCTTGATATAAACATGACCGGGCTAACGTCTTTTGGTACGGTACAAGACTGGTGGCCAATCAGAATTCCCCTCAATCAGTCATCATGGGCACAAAGTGGGTTATGCCGGGGGTTACATAAGATACATAATTCGCCTTGCATAACTTATCGTGGACAGATATCAACAATTTTTCAAACTTCATATTTGCCGCGTGCATTCGCTAGATCAAACCAGGTAAACTCCGCGCCCTCTAAGTCGTAGATGCTAATAACGCTATAAAAGTACATGCAATTCTCATCTCATGTCATAGAGCCGACCCCGGTTCAAGTTCATCAAGATACCAGCAGAAAGCTAAGCAGAACGCAGACCACCGCATACAAGGACCTAGAGATTCCCAATGTCCCACCAGGCAGAAAATCCGTCGATATTCCCCATGCCGGACTCGGGCTCCTGGTAGTCCATATTGTCCATATCCGGAAACTGGCCCGTCCAGAGCCATGGCGTATTCATCATGAGACTGTCAGCCGGTGCGACCAACTTGTCGGCGAACGCGAGGCTGTCTGGCGAGGATTGCATAGATGACACGTTGGCCACGCTCGGTTGCATATGGGCAGCCTGTCCGCCATCCGCCGTATTGACAGTGACTTCAGGTGACATGGCCACGATGACCTCCAGCGTACAGGAGCTTTCCCCCGCGTCGTCTCGTGAAATGGCGGGTATCAACGTGGGATGTAATAAGCCACCAGACATCTCCTGCGGCTCTGGTATACAGTTGATTTGGAGTAGGTCCCACATCAACGGGATACTTAGGTGGATCTTGGACGGCATCCAGTCGTAGTTGACATTTTCTGAGCCGCATGCAATTCGGGTCATCTTGTCCAGAGTTTGGTCCTGGAATTTAGTTAGCACTGGATGTGGAGCGCTCGACGCAGGGTACCTACTAAAGCTTTGCAGGCTGCAGAGAAAGGAACGAAACTTTTCAGAAAGGTCCGACATTTATCGAAGTCGATTTTTGATTTCTGTTTGAGTCGCGGATCCGCTGCGGAACAATAATAAAGATGTACGGTCGCTGCAATCGCGGCGGCGTGCCCAAAGAAGGGATCAATTAGGCGCATTTTCCTTTCGGAGACCATATCAATCATACGAACAAGCCAGGTCGCATGCAACACAACCAGCTCGGAAGAGCGTCTCCAAAAGGCGTTGGGGATAGAGAGGTTCGGATTCGACTGTGATGCTACGATGTAGAGGAAAGGGTGGTTTAGCACAGCCAAGATACAATGATACGTGAACTGCGCTTTCAGCCATGGCGTCCAGTACCCCCGGTTCATACGCAGTTCCTCTGCCTTCCGCTCATAAAATTTGACCGAGTCGTATCGGTGGCATTGAGAGAGCTTATTCTCCACCTCAGTGAGATCCGAGAGTATCATTGTATATGTTGAATCATGGCGCCAGGGCTCCTTGAGTCGATTTTGTGCGCAGTCGGATACATAGGTGCGAACCCTGCTCCAAACCCATCCGAAATGAACTGCCAAGCTCCAAATGCCTATATCCTCGGGCGTGGAGCACCCAATATCATCCCGGGGTAACTTGGGCGGCTTTGGTTCGAAATCCTTTGAAAATCCCCGGTCTCCGCCGTGGGGAGCACAAAAAGGACGCAGGTTCTCGGCCGGGAGGCTGAGAAACCCATTTTGCTGGCCATATGTCTGTTCGAGTGATTGGAGACTCCAAAACAAGCGTTTCTTTCGTTCAGTCAAAGGACTTTCAGGAGGATACCCGGAGTCTACGTCCATCATCGCCGACCGGCAAAGCTGAAAAGCGAGGCCAAGATGGAACCGACCGAGGTGCACGTCCCCGTCTATATTCTGTTAGTATGCGCATTGTTCAGCACAGTCGCTTCTGAATGATCAACCAGACCTATGAATGACGAATATGAAAGCAGGCATAGACTTTCGATGGTTTCGAGGTCCACTGAGCCATTTGCCACGCGGAGCATGATCAGCGTTCGCGCGGTATTTCCATACCGCTGCGACTGACCCGGCTCACGCGAAAAGCGCGCAGTCAGAGCTAGGACACTATAGATAAGCTCGTCCGAAAGACTACCCTTGTCCTCGAGGTCTTCATAATCGAAGCACCAGATCGGCTGTCGATGACAGTAATGGAAATACAGTTCCAAGGCTTTGCTGACTCCCGCTGAAGAGGGATGGGGATTTGAGTCCTCGTTATTGCCGAATCCAAAAGAAAAAGAACCCGACCCGGGAGAGAAGCGCTCAAAAGCCGGTTCACCAGAGGATGGGTTGCTGTTCTTTGAGTAGGGTGCCTCTGGTATATCTTCGAGCTCCTCGCGTTTCTGATCTTGACGGGCCGCCTTGACCGGTCTAGAAAGAAAGGTCAGAAGAACATTCTGACGGAGCGGATTATAGTATACTCTCTACCTGGAGCCACTTAGGATGAGATTTACCTTCTCTTCCAAGGATGCCAGCCGGTCTTCCTAAGATATATGTGAATCCATGTTCAATCAGTAGATGATGGGAGTTGTTTGTTACGTACAGATTGTCCACCCCGCGATGCCCTCCGGGCCGATGTATAGAGACACGGCTGATTTAAGCGGACGCAATTTGAACAAGATGGCCTTTCTGCGGGACAACGAGTTTTCTTCCTCCTGTGGACACCTGTCGTTGGCGTCTACAAGACAACAAATCGACGAACGGGCGGGGATAGGGAAGCGACTTACCTGCAATTCAGGCAGGCCTCATGTGAACGCAACCTCCCACGATTGCTCTCCCGTGGCATCATACTCGCTGCAAACAAAAGACAAGAGACATGGTTGGAAGAAGTGAGGTACAATGACCATAAGAATAGAGAAAGTCAATCAAAGGATATAGCTCTACGGTGATGTAAGGGGCGATGATAAATACCCCCCACAACGGCCAGTCATGGTGAATTCAGTGTGTAGCAGGGAAGGAGGGAGGGAGGGGAAAGGGGGAAAAAAACAAAAAAATTAACATAAAATAATAATCATAAATACAAATAACAATAGTCAACCAAATGCAGCTGAGGGATGGAGGATTCCCGATAAGATGCCGAAGACTCGCAATGGAGTGAAGCTGCAGCTGTCGATAGAAAGGGCAAATGACAGCCTCGTGACCCCGCCCTGAGTTGGCCCTAAAACGACGCCAATCCGTGGATCCAGTCTGAGAATTGCAGGATCTAGATTCCCACCCAGGCTTTTCTTCTTGGAACTTTGCCTTGAAACGGTTAAAAGTTCCCTGCGAGCAATACTAGCCGCTTGCCCCCACAAGAGCCATCTAACAATAGTGCATGCTTTTATTTTTGTTGATTTTTGTTTTGGTGACTACCCGCCACAACATGGAGAACAGGCATGGCAAACATTCCCATAGAATTCCTAACAGGGGGTCCGTGAATTGGAGATTACCTAGTAGTGGACTTTTTTACGGAAAGGGAATAAGGAAAAAAAAAAAGGTCGCCCATCCACAGGCGTTGATCACATATGATGCCAGCCAACGAGGTGTTGACCTTTTGAGAACCCCACCATTAGGTTTAGCATCATTATCATTCCAATGCGTATCTAATCAGAGAATTACCTATCTATTACATGCTGATAAGGAAGGACAGTGAAGATCCCCCGGGAAATGCACAGTCGCAATCCGGATTGTCTAACTTTGACCGTCTTTGGTCAACCGCCTACATTGTCTTATCTGGCTCAGCACTGTGCAGTTGGAACTGTGTATAACACCTATAGTGGTGAATAATAATTTCAAAAATGATAACTTGATAAATGTCTAGATACTATGCACCATAGTCTCCAATGCAGTAAAACGAACGCCCTTCGGACCGTGAGATTCCTGTAAGCAATGACGTCAAGAGAAACAGAATACTCCTGAAACATGATGATCCGCTATTCCCATTGCAACCGATAAAAAAAAAGGGATAAAAATAAAAATAAAACGGCGAGACGCTGAACAACTAGACGTGTAATCTAAAAGACAAGTGTTTCATTAGGTTGGCAGCCTGTGCCACCACAGCACCCGCCGACCGCTGTAGACCCCTTGGCCTGGGCATCTAGCTTGTTGCAGAAGGTCATGTCCTCCTCGCTGGTAGTGGCAGTGGTTGGGAGTGTTTGGCGAGTTGGCCAGATCTCACGACCTGCTTCCTGCTCTTTCTTGTAGTGCTCCAAAACAAGCTCGCGCACAACTGTCTGAAGGTGGAGGGATCCCTTCTCCACATCATTACCCAGATTGCTTTGGACGGCCATGCACAGGTCCTTGTCCTCGGACATGATCCGCTTGTATGTTTGGCTAATCAACTCGAAATCTTCGTCGCTAGTGTTCTTGTTGCGGTAAACTTCATACCGCATCGTGGTTTTGGTGGCGGAGGTCGGCACAAATCTCTGCATGAAGAAGAAGTGCGGGCTATCTAACGGTCAATGTGGTTGATCATTGAGCAGCGAAACTTGCAAGCACTTACGAAACAGTCATAGAAGCGTTAGGGAAGTAATAAGTGCTGGCAACCCTCAAGCCACGGGCAATTTGCTCTGGGGTGGAGTTAGCGTAGTCGGTGATGCTGCTATCCTCGGTATCGACGTTGTGGGAAGCATTTGGGTGGTAGCGCTCGTTAAGGCTGCCGGCAAGGATCTTCCAGTTGTACTCTCCCTCCAAGTCCCAGGTGTGATCGAAGCTGTACTCGTCCCAGTTGATGCCCCTGAACCGTTCCTGCAAATCAATCTTGCTGAAATCACTTTCCCACGTAATCTCGGGCTCTTCCTTGGCGTCTAAGTTGACCCATACGAATCCATTGTTATCAACGTGGACATGGATCTGGAAAAGGCCATTCTTGTTCTTGTCGAATCCCTCGAGATCCTGATAGCCAGGAGCCTTGGCGAGTTTGCCATTGAGGCCATACGACCAGCCGTGGTACTTGCAGGCGAAGATTCTGGCCTTGCCCTCCTGCTCAGTCACCACAGGAAAAGCACGGTGTCGACAGACGTTGTGGAATGCGTTGAAATTTCCATCCTTGTCGCGGACTAGAATAAACGGGTACCCGGCAATGTTATAGACCAAGTAGTCACCGGTGCTAGGGAGGCGCATCTTATGGGTGATCAACATCCACTTGCGGGAAAAGATCGCACGGCGCTCCAGCTCCCACATCTCGGGAGAGGTGTACCAGTTGGCAGGCAAAGACTCGTCGTTCGGTGGGGTAGCGCCTGACGAGGCGACCTCATCTTGACCGAAGTAGTTCTTCCAGATCGAGGACATTTTTTGGGGATGCTCTTCTGAGGTTCGAGGTTGGGAATTAGATCGATCGGGCGTAATAAAGTGAGGACTAGATGCTGTTGGTTGCTCAGGAATGATTCATGAAGTGTTCAAATATGGTTTGCTTTTTATATCCAGCCATGTTTTTATTTCCCTTATCACCGGAGCCAGCCTCTACGAAGGTTGCCCCGTGGGGATGGCCCAGACCAGTGGTTCGTACCGGTCACAGGATCGGGACGGAGTATACCAGCCGTGCACCGGCCGACGGCTCAGAGAGCCGAGATAACTCTGCAGGCGGTCATGAAAAGGGGATTACTGGCGCCCAGAACCAGGCTTGGGGGACGCCACACGGCATAACTGTTCCTGATGCCGTGTTTATCATTCGGAGAGATTCCCATTGGGTCGATCCTAGCTTGGCACTAACGGGCAGAAAGGTTCCTTTACCCAGAATGGTCATACATTCCAGTTATCTGATGTGCCCTAAATGCCCCATCAGGGAGAGATGTTCACTTTGCTGATAACCCTAATGCCATTGTTTATGCTGCATACCGTTTGTGCTTTACTATAGGCACTTGTTGGACTTGGCCCCTGGGCTGGATATGTCATAGATCTTGCTAGAAGTCTTGTAATGCGTTCTGCATACCGTGTATATTAAAACACTACCCCGGATTCTGTACATGTTCTGCAGCTGTCGCTCGTCCTATACACCGAAAGATTGTCCGCCCCCTTGCACCATCCAGCCCCAGCGATGTCACACCTAGAGGACACCATCCATCCCCTCCATCCTGGTGACCCGGGACCGATGCCCGAGAAATCCGAGAAAGCGCCATCTCAGCACTCAGATCTATCTTCTGAACATGCCGCAGACATCCATCACGGCACTATTTTGGGCAATGAGGTCCACGCCGGACTGCAACGTAGACTCGGCAATCGTCAGATACAGCTGGTCGCCATTGGTGGATCCATTGGAACTGCCATATTCGTGACCATCGGAGACGCACTCCGTAAATCAGGCCCCGGTGGTCTGCTGCTAGCATTTCTGATCTACAATGCCATGCTCGCTATGGTCAACAACTCCATGGCGGAGATGTCGACATACATGCCCGTGAGTGGTGGTTTCATCTACATGGCCGGCAAATGGGTCGACGATGCGCTAGGCTTCATGGTCGGCTGGAACTTTTTCCTCTATGAAGCCATCATGGTCCCCTTCGAAATCACAGCGATTAATATGGTGCTGTCCTTCTGGCGTAACGATATCCCCCCAGCGGCTGTCTGCGTTGCTTGTATTGTAATATACGCGTGAGGTTCCCAAATGCATCCGAGCCATATCCACGCGATCATCCCTTACCCAAGCGGTCTGGTTCACCCGGCCCCTGCGACTACGTGCTAAGACTTGTGTATAGTTGTCTGAATGCCCTAGCGGTCAAAGGCTATGGCGAATCCGAATTCTGGCTTTCCGGTGGGAAAGTCATCTTGATATTCATCCTGTTCGCCTTTACCTTTGTCACCATGGTAGGAGGTAACCCGCAGCACGACGCCTTTGGATTCCGTCATTGGCGTCATCCTGGCCCGTTCGCAGAATATCTCCATACGGACGACCTAGGGCGATTCGAAGGTTTCTTAGCCGCGCTATGGGCCGCCTCGTACACTTGTGTCGGTCCGGAGTACATCTCAATGGTAGCTGCCGAAGCAAAGCATCCCCGTATCTACATCAAAAATGCGTTCAAGACCGCCTACTGGCGTTTCGGAGTCTTCTTCGTGGGAAGCGCTCTTTGCTGCGGTATCCTAGTCGCCTATAATGATCCCACTTTGGTCGCAGTGTACTCCGGTGAGTCCGAGGGTGCAGGAACCGCTGCTGCATCGCCATACGTAATCGCAATGGATAATCTAGGTGTCAGTGTATTGCCACATATTGTCAGTGCCCTCCTAATAACGACGATCTTTTCCGCCGGCAACACGTACACTTACTGCGCCACGAGGAGTCTGTACGGCCTCAGTATTGATGGTAAGGCGCCAAAATTCTTGAGCAAGTGTACGAAAGGAGGGGTGCCAATCCGCTGTGTCGCTGTAGTCATGGCGTTCCCCTTTCTTTCCTTCTTAACATTATCTAGCAGCTCGTCGCAAGTTTTGACCTGGCTCATGAATCTGTTGACGGCAGCCGCCATTATCGATTATATTGTCATGTGTGTCACGTATATTTGGTTCTATCGAGCATGCAAAGCGCAAGGTTTCGACCGTTCTAAGCTTCCTTACAAGGGCTGGTTTCAGCCCTGGTGCGCCATTATCGGCCTTCTGTGGATGACGATGATTGTAACCTGTTATGGGTACACCAGTTTCACCCCCTGGAATGTGACGACCTTTTTCACGCACTATACGATGCTTCTATTTGGAATCATCACATTTGGCGGGTGGAAATTGTTCAAACGCACTCGGCTATTGCGCCCAGATGAACTCGATCTCACCTTAGATGCTCCCGATATTACTGCATATGAAGAGGCCGCGAAAATCAACGATCCCCCGATTGGGTTCTGGGCTGAGCTCATCCAGCCTTTTAGGTCAAAGTGGAAAACGACTCAAGAGCACCTAGACCGTACAGTTTGACGCGCCGGTTCATCTGCAGGTATATAGGTGATGGTAACAAGACATAACGCATGATATGGGGCTATACTGATGTCGTAGTGCTTGCACTATCTTTGTACATACAATTGGCCATTCTGTGAATATGCCGGTCGAGCTAGGATGTATGTATTTGTTGTACCCCCAGCCCTTGAAAGCTGGATGTAGCCATGAATGAGAGGCATTGAAATTGAATGATAGAATTCTTTAGTACGTGTGGCATTGAGTGAAGAAGAATGACATTGGCTTGTTGAATCGCACCTGACTTTTTGCTGTCAACACCCGTTGAGGGACACTTCCCTGTGTCGAGAAAGTACTTCGTCTTTATGGCTGTTGCCGTTGATATATATGTACTTGAGCGTTAAAGACGATGGTGCTCTCTTTCCAACTTCCCTTCAGAGCTTAGTGCCTTCGCAGGCAGATCAGGATTACGTCCGGTCACATGAGCGGTTCAATGCCCAGAGTACATCTTTGGCCACACGGAATATACTAAGAATTACCTTAGGAACAAAGCAGCGACTGGTTCCCTACGCGGAAACTGGTGCTGGTTCGGCCCGTCGGTGCCGTATGCGCGCTAATGGCGGTTCATAGATGCTGCATACAGACCCTAAACCAAGGTGCTAGTTACCCTTCTAGGTTTTATACTTGTTGGAATGTCAGCCATTGGCCCAGGTTGATGTTTTGAAAGCCGTTGATCTGCACACGGCCTATGCCATACGAAATCGTCTTCAGCACTTCATAGGCCGGAAGATTTCCCCTCAACGAAGACAATTGATGTTTACAAACGAGCTGCATCCTGTGGCAACGGCCGTCTCCTATATCCCGAAGAAAAGAATAAGGATATAAACATATGCAAAGAGGGATAGAGAAACAGTGAACTGCCGATGATCTGTCCACGGTAAGTCCATTACCTTGTTACTTACGATATAACTTACTATTGGCACTGTCAGTATGGGACAGTATGTTCGGCTCTACGAATATCTACTAGCTCGGATTGCCGCACACTACGATTCCGCGATAGAAAAGGGTTACACTTCCAAGAGTCCCTCCATTCCCGACTGTTAGTTGGTCCTTCCACACCCAGCCTCAAAGCTTGGAAAGAAATGCCATTGTAAGTCATCGGGTTCAATTACTCTTTCGCGCCCGAAACCAACATTTCTTGCTGTTCCTTCGACTTAAGCTATATGTGATGGGTGGCGCAAGTTTGTGACTATATTCTTGGGAACTTATCACGGGTGATGTTGGTTCTTACACGAACCCCCGGAACTACTCTACAGATGTATAAATTGCCCTCCTTATGAGGGACAGCTCTACCATGATAACCGACAGTTTCGGCGAGAATAGCTCAACGGGTAGACGGGGCCGATAGATCAGAAAATGTGCATCACTTTTTTTTTTCACCGGGAGTCTTTGGAGAGAGGGACAGGCGGCTATTGGGATTCAGGTAGCGGTCCTCAGGCCGTGAGGCCCTAAAGTCGTCCTTCTCATAGACAGGGATATCGGCGCTGAGCACGGAGACCCGAACGTCGTCATAATATTGCCGTTTTCTTCCTGAAGTTCCCCTTGAGGCATTTGATATAATCTGACCAATCTGGAAGGGTTTTGTTGTCTATACTTCGACGCCACTGCGTGAACGGTCTTCTATAGCGATGGCCGGCCCGGCTTGAACCATCTCCACCCCCGCAGCGTCCGGTGCACGGCCGCATCTTGATAAGAACGCATGATAAGGGACTGCAGATGTGGGCCCGCTCGAAGTCTAGGGGGCGAATTGACTGGCTCGTAATGCCAGCAGAGACTGGAAGACAATTCCTAATCAGGGCATCCATTCCCCGTGACAGTCAGCTGATCCTCAGCCACGTATTTAATCTTTGCCCTTTCGATATCATGGTGTTTATTCTTCAGCAGTAAAACGTAATTTCTACCTTTTACTTCCTCAAACTCCCTTAATTTGTTATTATTACTACAATTAAAGAAGTGAGAGAACCAGAACAAGAAGTACGATCCATCAACATCTGCACAGATACGTTTTATCTAATACTTCATCTTGTTGTACTTTCAGACGTAGCATTGATATACATACATACTTCTCAAGGATGTCTCAAGCCCTGTATATCACCTTACGAGCCATCTAGTGAGCGCTCATAATTCGAGGTGCACACTTGTATAATTCTTCCTTGAACCAAGCCTTTTTCCACTTGCATCGACTTAGCGATCGGATTAAAGCAACATAAACTGGTTGGGATCCAGATATTATAGTTGACTCAGCTAGCTCACAAACCGTTGGACCAAGTAGTTATTGGTTGACTTTCATTATCTTACCTATCGGAGCATACCATGGGAATGATGACTACTGTTCTTATTTAGGGGTTATCTGCAGACTCAGCCACTTCCATTGTACTCCCTAACTTGCTAATGGCAAGATGAGTGAAGCCTCTCTTGGAGAACTTCCAAGGTGCCATGCTTCGGTATGGTCTTGTATCGGAGTCCCTAATAATCGAAGTACAGACTTGATGATACCCTACTACAGTTCAGCTGGCCACCAAAATAAATCAAAGAAATCCAGTACGGGTTATCCACGCAATTCTTAGGTCAATCATAACACAATTATTAGCGATGGGAGCCAGAACGAAAGTTCAATCGAACTGATCGATGTTTCCAACAATCAATGGCCGATCCACCGCCAAGGAGTAAACTATTTACCCAGGCTTTCCAATAGTGGTTGATCCCGAAGTCTTTGGCCAATAGAGTACGCCATTGTTAAGGGAAAGTGATGTCTCCTTTTTGAAGTACACAGAGGTACTATTGTATAGTCAGTTCAATAGATGTTGCAGATCTGCTATCTTCTTCAGTCAAGTGGTCAACGACTCCGAGTACAGAACCTCCCTGTTCGATTATAAAAAGACTCATATTCCTTGTCCTAGGTGCCTCTGCGATTGCTTACGCTTCACTTACGTTCAAAAAGGCATCCAACAAGATTAAGCTCACCAAGGTGCGTTGTATCTGCTTCCTTCAAAAGTCTCTCTTGTCCTCATACCATTTATAGATCGTCAAGATGAAGGTTCAGCTTTTATGGTTTCTCGCAACGACCAGTCTGGCCTTCGCAGGCTCCAGCAGAAGAGTTACCCGGCAAGGAATTGAGAGGCGTGGTGAAGATTATACTCAGTGTATATCGTCGTTGTTGAGTAATGCTCTGTCCGATGTTCAAGCGGCCCTACCATCCGCGGAACCTTGCGCTGGGGTGTTTGAGAAGCAGATTGGCCAGTGTCTTGTTGAGTACACAGATCAACCCCGTGATGGGAGAGCCAAAGGCATGGTCGAATGCTTCAATAAGCAGGTAACGATATTTCAGTCTGCGTTATCAGCGCTATCCCACTAATCAACTTCATCTCTAGGTTCCTACTCTTGACGAGTGTATGGCATCCAGTGGAATCCCTGCTGCAGATCGGCAGAGTGCTCTACGAAGAGTTTCAGAGGCTAGAGCCCATATGTTTAGTGAAGATCCGAAGATCGGCTGCGATGGTAAAAGCTAAATAGATGGAAACGGGGCTTGACGGGTATATATACACCATACGCTAGATTTTCAGGAATATAGTTGTTCCGTTACTCGCTCACAAGTTGCTTAGTGTCTTGGCCGTAGGGTTGGTTAGCTCTGGCTTCCTACTACTTGGATGAGCTGACGTAGATGTTGAAAAGATTGCACTGAGAAATAGAAGACTTGGACTCGATAGGAGACGCGTATTTCTCTATTATATCTAAATAATGAAACCTGATACTATCATTCTGGATGCAGTGTGGGTCCTGGAGAAGTGTTCCGAGGCGGACGCTGCGTATCTATGTATGGATGTACAAGGTAGCCATTCAGCATAAGTGGTATTGGAAAGGCTATCAGCTCAAGTACACTATGGGTAAGAATGTAGCAGAGAATCACGCCTTCCGCATGGCTCATCTTTAGTATCATCATACCCACTAACCAATGCCAGGCAGAATTGATGCCTGAGGTGATAATGACCTCACGTGGCCGGCAACAGACTATGCCGAAAAGGGAATGGTGCCAACCACCTCGATCGTCATTTTGATCGGATATGATTCTCATCCACCACGGCCAGAAACTTGTTCCTCGGAATTGAAGACTATGAGTGCTCCGAATGATAATTATACGATACACAAAGTCTCCTTGAAACGTACACGGCAAGCCTGTGGTCCTTGTCGGTAGGTACAATGTCAATGGGCGGAGGGACGCACAATCATCTCCATTTCATCATAGTTAAACGGGGAAACAAGCTTCGAGGGCGGGAAATAGAATGCTGACGGCCTGGTACCTTGCAGTCGGAAAAAGGCGCGCTGCCCAGGCGAAAAGCCGACATGTTCGCTCTGCCAAAGGCTCGGCCAGCGCTGCTCATACGGGCCGCAGGCTGCCCCGAGTCGTGTTGGCACCACTAGAGCTTCTCCTGCTCATGGACAGGAGCGCGGTTCGGGAGAGGCCGGAGATGTAGGTACCACCACGGTTTGATTGATTCTTCCCAATCGCTGTATGTTCCGTTGGGTTGACGCTTGCTTGCGCTATCGACCAGCCCAACCTGTCGAGCTCGCAACGATTCGAGCGCATTGAGGACAGATTGGATAAGATGACAAGCATTCTCCAGTACGCACGCGATTTGGTTTTTAAATATTATGCCCCTAAATGTGAATCCTTTTCTAATTTTCCCCCACGCTTTCTCCCAGGGAATGCTTGGTGAGGAACAATCCGTTGACTGGAGTGTCGAGCGGAAATTCACTCCCTTCTCATGGCTATGGCCACCGCAGTATGGGCAATTCTCCAGTAGCCTTTGGTTTCCAAAATGCGGAACGTCGTTATTCTCTGGGGTACGTACCATATGCTTTCTCCGTTCCTACGCTAAACTGATGGAATAACACCGAGAAGGACCTCGCTGCCACCTGATCTTGTCAAATCTGAAGTGGAGATTTATCTCGCCTATTTTCACGACCAGCCTTATTGTGTTTTCTCCAAGGACTGGCTCTTGAGCCGAGATCTGTCATTGCCCCCAGAAATCGCATTCCCGTTAGTGGCTCTTACTTCTCGGATCTCACGCCGCTCGCCCGGACCCACTGGAAGCGGCGTGCTTCCCACAAAGCACTATGCCAGCAAGGCCTGGGATATCTTGTCACATCAGTACCAGAGCGGTAAATTGGGTCTTTCATTTTTACAGGGAACATTTCTTATGGCTCAGGTGGACTTCGCCGACGGCCAATCCCATCGAGGGTATTCATCTGTTGCACTGGGCCTCCGGACGATCCAATCCGCAGGCCTGAACAAAGATAAGTATACGTCGTCCCTCACAGATTCAGAAGCGGAAGAAAGAAGACGCATTACATGGGCCTTTTTCATGCTGGATCGCAGTTACAATGCATCTCGAGACTATTCATTGTGTCTTTCAGACAAACATTTCACCATTCTTTTTCCTGCACCGGATACGCCAGCCTCGCTCTCTGGCGAGGAATCGCTGGCTCGTGGAACATTACACGACGGGCCCGAAAAGCAAGGAGTGAAGCTTGATCACGGCATTCTGGCCTGTCTTCTTCGACTGTACTCGATTTGGGGCAAAACTACTGATTATGTCTTTGAACCTTTCGATAAAGATGCGCTGCCCCCCTGGCGATCAGGATCGGCGCTGGCCGGTCTGGAGTCCGACTGGATGCAGTTCGAGACTCATTTCGCAGATATACATCGCTATCGAAGTGTTGACTTCCGACGACGCGCTCGTGAAGAGCCGCATTGTCGCTCGTACCTGTGCAGCTGGCTGTGTGTTCAATTTCTCTTCCATTCCGTTCAATGTTTGCTGCACCATCCCTTCGTCAACATGGTTAAGCTCCGCCATATTGACGGAAATATACCCGCAACCTTCCTGCAGAAGTCGTATGAGAGCTCTCTGATTCATTCGAGGTGGATTGCGCGGTTCATCGGAGAAATGGAGGAGGTTGACTTCCGGCTGTACGACCCGTTTATTGGCTATCTCTGTGCAATCGCCGCCACCATCCAGCTCGAGAATACCGCCAGCAGACACCCCCACATCGCCCAGCTGGGAAACAGCGATTTCCGAACACTGGTTGACTACATGACAGACTTGTCGGCGCATTGGGAAAACATGGGGGTCTTGGTATGTTGGGCCCGAGCCGATGTGTGATGTCTGCTAACGGTGCTGCTGCAGGTGAACCGGGTGAATAAACTGGCCGCGAGACAGAAAAACTACAAGTCGCTCTACTATAGCCAGGACACTTTCTCCGGGGAGTTAACCCGCATGCCCACACCGTCCACCATCCCAAGAATGTCGGAGGCGGACGAAGCTCTGATGTGGAATATTCTCGACTTCAGTTCGTCGTTCACCCCTGCTGAGATAGTCCAGCTCGGGGACTTGGTCCCGTCACCGTATCAGCGGATGGAAACCGTCAGTCCGAATTTCCCGGATCAGTCCCTGGTTGCAAATGGACAAGGCGCTGAGCAAGGGACACAGACTCTCAGCGGGCGGGTTCCGGGGCCGGGAGCCACCGATCCTATATCAGAGTGGCCCTTTGCAGAAAGACCTGGTACCAGTGGATTCGACGCGGCAATCGCCGACCTGCCCGACTGGATGATGTTTGGGGATTACGTCGCGGAGCAACTGTGAGGTTCGAGGAAGTAAACGATGGATACCTACCATACTCGGGTATGATATCATGATCATGACCGGACGTTTGAATGACTTATGATGAACTCAGCACGATCGGAAAAAATAAAGAAAAGAAAATGTTTTAAGAACATATTTACATGCTTGTTTGCGAACGTAAAAGCGTACAGATCTAACGATCTAATGTCGTTGTAGCCAGTGCGCATTCTCAACCAAAAAGTCTCTCTTCAAGTCAAAAAGTAATAAAATTCGTCTCACATTACAAACAACCGTTTACTGTTCAGCGGGTATATGTGTTTCCAGGAAAAGAAATTCGGCGTCCCTTTACATCTTGCTCTGCCTTGTCGCCGCAGCGGTCAAAGCGCTGGCAAATCTGTCATGTTCCTGCGGAGTCAACTCTCTCCTCTCAGGGCCTCCACGACTTCCGTCCCCTTTGAATACATCGCCCTGGAAACGCTCTTTGTACTCGGTGGGGAACGTCCATTTCTGCAACAAGTCTTGCGAGAGCTTCTTTTCGAAGCATCCAACGACGTACTTCCCGATTACAGGCAAGAATTTAAAGGCACTGTGATCAGGGTTAGACCGGTTGTTCTGGTATCGGACTTGCCTTCTAGGCTCTGGGTACTTACTGTCCGCTACCGCCCGTGGCGATGAACATGTTCTTGTGTTCCGGGTGATAATCCATGATGAAATCACCGGTCGGGGTGTCGTTGTACCAGCATAGCGCGACCCGCTCCCAGCCCTTGGGCTCTAGGTCTGGGAAGAGGTCCTTCATACCGAGGTTCAGGCGCTCGACGGCCTCATCGGGGATGAAGTTGGCACGGGTAGATGGCGGGGCAGCTGGGGGCGCAGAGACGCCGTCTTGCGAGTGGGTGTAGCCGTAGCTGTGGACGGCGACTTTGAGGATGTTTGTTCCGTCATGGGGAGGGAAGCAGAAGAATCCAGTGGAGAGGTTAAAGTAGACGGGCATGTTCCTCAACCGGACCATCTCCTCGGGGGTGAGCCGCATGTATCCAACGATCTGAGCGGCCGCGACCATGGTGTTCCAGGAGGGAACGAGACTGGCGGTCCAGGCACCGGTAGCGACGATGAACTTGTCCCCTGTGATCCGGTTGCCACTGCTCGTGCGGACCGCTTCGATGGTGTTGTCCGCCCTCCTCTCAAAATCAGTCACTTGGCCATCGGGGCCAGTGATGAATGATACGCCCGCCGCGATACACCGAGCTGCCACACGGGCCGATGCGAGACCTGCATCTGCCCATCCGCCCGAGTTGTTGAAAAAGGCGTAGAAACCCGGGTTGCCCAGCGGGCCGGTAAGTTCGGGGAACTCCCGCTTGCAATCTTCCACTGTGGGAACAGAGTGCCAGGGCTCGCCCATCTTGGTCAGAATCTCTCTGGTCTTGCGACTGTACTCCTCGGCGGCGGGCTGGATAGGCTGTCCGAGGGTCTCGTTCTGAGTCACCCAAAGACATCCAGATTGATGGAAGGCTTCTTTGTATTCGGGTGTTTTCCATAGGTCGAAAGCCTCCTTGCCCATGCGAGCGTATACCTCGTCGCCGTAATCGAATCGAATCACGCGGGAAATGTCGTTACTGGAACCATCGGGAACAGGGGGCATCGCTCGGTCGAGGACGGTCACAAAGCGATACCCTTCCTCCTTCAACTTCAGGGCGGTTCCCAGGCCAAAGATGCCCGCCCCGATAATGATAATGCGTTCGTTCTTAGCTGTCATTGTGTGTTGGTGTTAGAGAATTGCGGTGTGAGTCAATCTCTTTTATAAGATGTGGCTCGCGCCGACTCATCGTGATGTTTCCGTGCATCACGGACCGTGGGCCGAAACACGGTGAGGGGCAAGTACCGGATTCGTCCATGGATCCCAGCTCGGATCTCAGGTTCGCGATCGAGGAGCCACAGAAAGCCAAGAGAATTGGCCACCATGCAGTGGAGAAGCACGGTCCGTATACGGAGTACGGACCGTGCCAATTGGCCTGGCTCGGATCTTCGCGTTCTCTGGGGAAGAGATCTGCTTGTCCAATCCCAGCGAAAACATGGCAGGGAAATAGCCAGTAGCGCCGGACTGTGACAGCATTCTCATCACAGACCTTCAGCACAAAAGTATCTTCAATGATACCCTGAGAGGTTGGTCGGCACGTGCTGCATAACTGGGATTATGCCCTTAGTCATCCACACTGCATAACTAGCATATCCGGATACAGAGAATCGGCTCTCTGTTAACCAGATCAAACCGCGCTTGCCGCAGGGCTGGCGGGAGTTTGTGGCGGGCGAGGCTGCGTCGCATGGGCAGGATGGGTGACAGAGGGTTCGGGGGTTATAGGGGGGCAAGGGTTGAAGCTGGAATGGATGACCTGCCTACTCTCTATGTTGTTTAGACTAGAGAAGAGAGGGCAAAGAAGCTACATGGGTTGCATTGACATATCTTGGGCCCATACGCATAATACGCCTTGAAGGGTGCGATGCGCGACACTGCGGTGCAGGACTTGCCTTCAGACATGAAGAGACTGTGGACAGTTATTCCCAAGCTACCTCCAAGGCAACCTAGTCCCTTCTCTCTGCAATAGTCAACCAGTGATCTGCGTTGCCCAATAACGCTTCATCCTCAACAAACTGCATCACGACATCCACCCAACGCTCGTATACGTCGGGGGGTAGGTCGCCCAGCTTCCCGGCCAATCCTCCCCCGAGAAACCCTTCGCAAGGTACAATCCGGGACAAAGCAAGCCCGACCCTATCCTGACTCCTCAATAGCCTATCAACCTTCCGAAACAATCGCCTTACATCCTCCACATTGGTATGATACGAAGGCACAGCAGGATTCCGTGTGTACCTCCCTGAAGAAAGATACTCACGATAAAAATCATCGAATTCTGTCGCGAGACGAGCTGGATCGCGTTGAGCGATATCTCTCAAATGCGCGTATTGCGTGACGAATGCGACCGCGAGAATTCCGTTGGCGCGAAGCATGGAAGCGCAAGCACAGAGGACGTGTATACGTTCAGATTCCTCGAGGAGGTGATACATTGGGCCCTGGCAGAGAATCAAATCATAGGTGGACGCTGTAAAGACGGTCTGTAAATTTCTTTCCTTTGGATATACCCGAATGGCTCGTGCATCGGCTTCGACAATCGCGTCGAGGGTCACACCAGACTCTGCGGCAAAGGACTTAGCCAACTGAAGCTCCGACCTGGAGATATCAGTCAGCGTGACTGAATGGCCTTGTCGTGCCAGCTCAACGGCTGGATAGCAGCATCTTGTCAGCACGGGCTGTCTCACGGTAGCTTCCCCCCTTTCACCCACATAACGGGCAAGAAATGCATTGGATGGCTTTGAGACGATTGAGCGTAAAGAACAGCATCGACTTACCGTAGCGGCCTGTCCCCCCGCCTAAATCCAAAATCCTCAGGGGTTGATCAGTTCGCCGTCGTAGCTGCTCTAGACACTGGTCAATTACCCTCAGCGAAATCGAGAACTCGAGGGGGCCAGCATTCAATCGATTGTGCTCCAGAACTGCATTTTGATTGTACCACTCTGCAACTACTTGGGTATCGGTCATGGTATTCTGTCTCTTGAGCTCGGCTCGAAGGAGAAACACCGGGATACGGAAGGGTTTGGATCTGTTGAAGGCCAACCCGCCTCTTCGCAAGGGGAACTGAGGCGACAAGCACGATTTATATCTCTTTCACCACCATGAAATGGTATTGGAGGTCAGCTGTCGTTTAACGGGGCGCTTCTCGTATTCGTTACCGGCATCTCCGGAGCACCAAATGCCTCAAACTGTTCGTAGATGTGTGCCCTGTCGCCCCACTCGACCTCAGAAGTTGTCTGAATCTATCCCTCGGACGTTACATGATCGACGATGCTTGACAAAGTCATCCAGGACTCGACCAGGGACCGGCCCTTCGTGTACTTGCCCTACAGCTGGGCGTCCATGCGTGATGCCCGGCGACAAGCATTTGTCAGCCAAATCCACAACTACAAGTCACGCAGAAGAGTGGTCTTGCAAGCATTCTATGGGAGAACATGATATCCAAGTCACTACAGTACGTAGACCACACCTCGGTCACGACCGTTTTTCCCTCGCCCGCAATGATTAGCGATCAGATAAGATTCAGTTGACAGATTTTTTTTATCTTCCCCAGTCGCAAAGCCCCTGAAAGCTCCGATTGGTACCTCGGATCCACTTAGTCGCCATGGCAGACTCCATAATGTGGTATCGTCTCTTCTGCACAGCCAATTGACGGAGCGTTAGATATCGGAGCTCCAGCTGACCCCTCCGAGAGAGTGCAAAAGCCCAGGTACACCGGGTGGATGAGGAGGGCAGGCCAATCTAGACGGTCAGAAAACGCAATCCGGAGAGTTTCGTTTCTCCCCTTCCCTTCCTCGTACATCCTCGCTCGTTTCCCTTTCCCCCGAGACGGAAAACTATAATATTCTTCGCTTCACCTTTCTTATCGTCTCGTTTTGGTTCTGTTTCTACATTACCCCTTGGGCTTACTGCACAGCAATGCGATCTCGGCGGACGAGTGGCGCGAGCGCTGGTGAGCGCCAGCCCCTGTGGGTAAGACCAGATGAGCTGGAGGACAGTGACAACAAAGACCTTGACAATAAGCGCCACCTCGGCCTCTTCTCGACGGCCCTACTCCTGTAGGGAATACACCGTGACTTCCATTCCGCTGATGATCTCGGGAACTGAGTGCGACGCAGGACCAACCGCATGATCGGCGCCGCCATCTTCTCCGTACCGTCTTCCATCTTTCTCAGCGTCGGCAGTGTGGGCGCGGCACTTTCATTATGGGTGGTGGGGATTATCCTGACCTTTTGCGGATTTTACATCTACTTGGAACTGGGCTGTCTGATGCCGCGCACCGGTGGCGAGAAGGTGTACTTTGACACGGCATATCCTCGGCCCTACCGTCTCGCCAGCACGCTTTACGCCTTCTACGTGCTATTCGGATTTCCGGGTACAATACCCCTACTCAAACCCTTTTTGCGCGTGCTAAAGGAACATACTAAGATTCAGTCACTCTATAGGCCTGGCGAGTATCGTGGTCGCGGATAACACCCTCTTGGCTTTCAATATTGCTGCCGGTGAGACCGGGCAACGACTGACCGCGGTTGGCGTGATGGCCTTGGTCGCCGCATGCCTCTCGATATCTCGCGAATGGAGCGTGCGAATTGTCAACTCGTTAACCTTGCTGAAGCTTGCGACCTTCCTGTTGATTCTTGCAACCGCGTTTGCCATTGTCGTGGGTGTCCTTCCAAGCAATGTTGATACCGGTGTCAACTTTCGCCAACCATTCGCTGGCTCCTCAACCACGGTATACGACTACACGGTCTCACTGTTCAAAGTGCTAGAATCTTTCTTGGGGTGGAACAGTGCAAGCATGGTGTTAGGGGAGGTCAAGAACCCCCGGAGGACCCTCAAGGTGGCTGGCCTGCTTGGCGTCGGCTCAGTTGGCATGCTCTATCTGCTCATCAATGTCTCCTATTTTATTGTTGCGACACCGGATGATATTAGCCGGGCCGGTGTGCAGCTGGTCGCCCGTCTACTGGGCAGCATCTTCGGGAGCGCAGCCTCGCGTGTCACCGCGGCCATGGTCGCTCTCTCCACCTTCGGCAGTATGATTTCGACAGCATTCGCCGTCACGCGGGTGATCCGGGAGCTTGCCATGGAAGGAATCGTTCCAGCAGCTGGCATTCTGTCCAAGTCATCCAAGTCCGGTAACCCGGCCACCGCGACATCGGTGTTCATGTTCGGACCGTCGGTAGTGGCCGTCCTACTCTTGCCCTTTGGTAGGTTGATCAACATCAGGAGGTGAATGGTGCATGTACTAATATATGAGCAGGGGATGCCTATGCCTTTCTACTGGATGTGAACCAGTATTTGCTGGTGATGGTATACGGGGCTGTCGTGGTAGGTCTCTTCATCATTCGACAGTACGTTCCAGCCGCAGACTATCCGTTCCGCGTCTGGACGTGGGTTCCATGTCTCTTTCTTGCTTGCCAGGTTTTCCTACTACTGTCCCCCCTTGTATCTTCCAGCGGGGCTGGCGATACCAGCTTGCCGTTCTGGCTTGCCCCAGCCGTGTCCTTCTTCGTGATCGGGCTCGGTATATTGTACTGGCGTCTGAAGTCGTTCGTCGCCTCTTCCGGGGACGAGCCGTTTTGGACCCGACGGGATAATGTTGAGTCGTATGGCTCCGTGGCCACGTCATAATTCGGCACCGCCACCAAGACTAAGACATCCATCATGGCAGTGGACATATATACTAGCATAGAACTTGTTTCATTTTTTCAAGACTATCCCACCGGTCCTTTCAGGAGGTTACCTGACGTGTACCACCCGTTTCGTCTGCCCTCCCCTTTTGCCGTAACCGTCGTAAGTCGGCCTCATACGATTCGTGTCCGCCGGAAAGAATTCTTAACAAGGACTAGCCAAGCAGGTTTCTTGCAAATTCTTAATGCTAGATAGAAGCCACGTGGACATCCTCTAGTAGGGTATCTTGTCGGACTGGAAGACTATGTTGAAGCCCTCCTTGGATAGGACAATTCCGGGGACATGAAGAATCATCACATGTGAAGGCGCTGCCATGTTTATGGCGCTTATCTCAGTTCACTGCTTCCTGCGATCCCTGGTCTGTTGAACAAAGCACATGCTATGTTTTCTTGGACTATGGCAGTGGAGCAAACAGAAGTTGGAATATAGAGAAGCGAATACGCCCCACTGTCTCAAGGTCTCACCTGGCGGGGCCCAAGCAATTTCTACTCAATTACATGGCGTAGAAGCTTTGGACAAGCTCTAAATTCTCGTTAGCCCAGCAGTTGGGCTGCGTGTGGGATAATCCAAGCTATTGGCCCCTCTAACCCCGAGGTACGTAGTGATTCAGCCCTTCGATAGCCAACATGGAGGTCTTAATGAGAAAGGCGGCTCATAATAGCGAAGAGAGAGAGAGTAGGGGAGACGGCCTAGGGGCTGAATAACTGAAACATAGATATACGCGTGACTATTTGTACGGAGTGGTCTACACGGATCTGCAGAAGCTACCCTCTCGGTACGTTCAGACGCGATGATCAAATGCGTATTTCACTGTCCGACCTCATACAGAGTAGGTACGGCCACAGGAGGATTCATGATATCACGGCCCGGCGTCGGAACTTGTCTGTACCAGCTGTGGTCCCTATCGGGCGTGCCGAATCCTCAGCGAGTGCCGAAAAGTGGCAGGGCTTCAGGAAGATAAAAATAGAAACACCGAATCGGCTGATGATCGTCGATGTCATGTCGGTTGTAGGGAAAACTTCCGCCTCAGGGCTCGGAGGTCGAGAAGCCGTGTGAATCCGATCGATGCGAAGTTGCCTCTTCATTGGGCCTTCTGCCCCTGTTGTTTTCCCGAGGTTTTACATGGTACTCATCTTGATTCCTGGACTTTTGAGAGAATGCGGGCTACTGACCCACTTCACTCTAGATGACACCCTATTAAGGCTTGTCATGGTCAAACCATGTCTCACTGCTTCTCCACTGTCTGGATATTTTCGGAGACTTCGAGATTGAAGTAACTATTAGCTTAAATGTCAAAAGATACAGGTTAACGACCGGGGTATAAAGGCCACTGGGTTTACCATCCGCAGTTTCCTCGGCATCAACAAAATCTCCCTAAACGACAAGCTACACTGAGCGGACCCTCGTTCATAACCAAGTCTCTACCTCCCAACACATTCAAAATGAAGTTCTCCGTTGCTGCTTTTGCCTCCCTCCTCTCGGTTGTCAGCGCCGCTGCGGTCCCTTCTAACGCTACCCTCCCGGCGGCCTTTACTCTGGTCGCTGATGGCGGCAGAACCGCTCTGACCGATGGGCGTAAGTCCCCTTTGCATTGAAAGTGCAATAGTCCAGGAGCAATCACTGATGGATTCGATACAGAGTATGTCTATGTCGGCGGTGACGCTACCGACGGCAAGGAAATCCTCATCCTGCGCTCCGCCGCCAACGGCATGGTCTCCTTCACCTCCAAGGACGGTGTCCCGACTGCCTTCCAAAATCTCTACATCGTCGAGAAGGATGTGACCCCCGTTTCCGTCACTATCCCCCACTCTGGTGCGGTGCCCGAGAACGGCAATATGAACAGCTTCGGGGTCAACGCCCAGGGCTACTTCACCAACAATGGTCGCCCCTGGTTCTCCGTTGACGTCGGCGACGCCCCCTCCAAGCAGGTCTACTGGTACGGTGGTCACAATGCGGAGTACTACGGCCTCAACCTGTGGGTCAAGGAGTGCAAGGGCTGCTAGATGGGGTCTGTCGGATTGTAAATATGGGTTCCGCCATACATCTTGATTCCGTTCGTGGGGCGTTTTCTTTCCTGCAGCTTTTGAAGGTCTGCAAACTTTCAGTCAGCTCCTGCTTTATGCTCGATACCCGGGACTCTGTATAAATCGTCGATATGTTTTTAACTTCTGTTCTATGCAAATATACTGTTTTGTTCCTATTGTCAGTTCTGCCGCTCGTCTAGCTCAGTGAAATCTCTTCTCAGCGACGCTGAAGGTCCAACCCTCCGAGAAGGTACCGTATTGAACATCATCCCGGTCGTGGAAGATATCATCATAATGGGCGATCCGTGTCTCCGGGTGTTCTGCTTGGCGATAATAGTGATGCGCCAGCCTCTGCATCGTGGGGCTATTCCACATGGTCTCCATCCAAGCCAATGCATGGGGACTCGCCGTCTCAAGGGGAAGGTTGTAGGTACGGAAGCGCTGCGCGATTCATCCATTAGCAATCACAGTGACATCCCCAATAGAGAGATAGCGACTATACACACCCAAAGAGTCGGCCAAAAGAAGGCATCCGCGATACTAAACGATCCAAACAGGAATCCTTCATCCTTCTCGTTCAACTCAGCAAGACGGGCCATGGTTGTTCGTCTCGCATTGTCCCAGATGACGAGAAGCCGCTCGATCTCCTTCTTTGCCTGCTCGGACACGGGAACATTCCCCGTATACCGGGCAATGAAGTTCGTGCCGTAGGTATTTCTCAGTGTCGAGAACCCCGAGTGCATCTCCGCTGCTGCGCTACGTGCCAAGGCCCTGAGCTGTCGGTCGCGCGGCCACAGATTGAGCTCTGGGTTCGACTCGGCCAGGAACTCGCAGATAGCTAGGGAGTCATTGAGGCGGATATTTTGGCCAAGTGAGCGACATTCCAGCAATGGGACGAAACCCGTGTGGGAGACCCGTTTGACCTGCTTCTGTCAGTTTGCTGCCCACGAGAAATGTCGAGGATATGTCGTCTACCTCAGACAGGTGGATAATCTGTGCAGTGTAAGGGATATTAAAGTACTCGAGAACTGCTTCCACGCGGCTGGTCCAGCCTACCGTATCACATCGTTAGTTTATGCTAGAGTAGGAAGGGTGATGTTGTGTACTGGAGTATCTCGTATGGGTTCCAATGAGATGGTAGTCAGGCTGCTGTGTTTGTTCGGCCATTGTGAATCATTCAGCTACCTCGAGAAAGTCTTGCAATTGCTTGTCAGTGCCAATCATCCGAGGAAAAATTTGTGCTATATATAATTCTCTCGTTGCAACGCGGAGGTGGGGGTGGTGAGTCATTCCTCGTATTCCAACTTGTTCAACTCCCAGATGGATCTTCTATGATTATACTATTAGATCCACAATTGACACGTGAAGTGATTTTGGAGAAGCTTGCAAGAAGATCATGGTTCGTTTAATTATCCAGTCTCTTCATGCGAAGAAGATGTTTCGGGCCTATCTTAGACTGACGACTAGGAGATAGATAGATATATACCTCGAGCTAGAATAGATTTAAAGAGTTAAGCAGCTAAGAAATAATCTTACCTGTTATTTCCTTTTACTGCATATTATTTATTCTATCATAACCAGTATGTACAACCATAGGACATGGAGAACAGGGCTTCCCACCCACCCAGACGTACTTCAGCCACAGCCTAAATAGAAATCGTGAACTCAGGAGTACTTGGTTACGCCGCTTACTGAATACGCTAACCGATACTAAATGTTCTCGACTGATCAAATTAGTAATATTTTATTTTGTCTTATTTTTTTATTTTTTATTTTGCGTAGATCAAATGAATAGCTGACCCAGTATTGACAATGATTCTTTCGCCTTCTGCCAACATCATTGGAAGCAACGCGCGAGTAGAAGGTATGGTCCGCGTACATTAACTTCCCAGGTCATCCACCAATCCTGTATCTTGCTGTCGGCAAATCCGACCCACTCTTCACAGTGGCCTGCGTTGTTTATAAGGACATCCAGGCGGCCGAGGGCTCCCTTGACTGGAAGGGCCGCAGCAGCCACAGACGCTTCGTCCGTCACGTCCAAGAGGATCTTTGGGACGCGTGGAGCACTGCATCCCGCGGCTTCGGCTGTCCGTTTGATCTCTTCCTCGACATTGTCTAGACAGGACCTGGCTGCGATGGCTATAGCTGCCACTCCAGACGTGGCATAGGCGATTGATATTGCCCTACCAACACCTCTTGAAGCCCCTATAACGAAGACATTTTTGCTGTATGGGGCGGGATGGATTGTTGCATTGATAGCTAGGTAGGTGTTATGGTGTATTGCTGATGTGTAATAGAAGTCTACCCACAAGTATTAGTTGCTAGTAAAAGCAAACAAACGAAGACAGCTCCACCTAACTCAGACATGGTAGTATAACCCTGGTCTTAGGCGTAGGAAAGATGAGGGAAAATTATAGTCAGATGCTTCCTCGAACAGCTTTTAGAGTACTTATACACCAGCATAATTTATAGCGGGCGTACTATGTAAAATTGTCTAGTCAACCCCTTCTCGTCGACCAACACTACGTGGCATATATTATGCATTGAAAGCGGAGAATCAAGAAAAGAAAAGAAAAGAAAAAGAAAAAGAAAAAGAGAAAAAAAGAGATTAAAAATACAAAACATTGTTGAAACAAAGTATAATCATGTAAGAATGGGGAAATGAGGACTGCCTGACGAAGAAAAGAATCATCCTGGTATGGGATTCGACGCGTTGATTAATGAGGCATTATTATTCACCATCGGTGGGAGCCATACAACGGCGTATATCCTCTCCTATGCTATAGATCATGTTCTCAGCGCTCCTGAGATACTATCCCGGCTACGTAACGAACTTCAAGGGACTTCAGCAGCTATAAATGACGAGTTTGACTGGCACCAGATCAAAACCTGCCATACCTCGTAAGACAGCCTCACCATTCTCCATATTATATGGACTATTAATTAAGAGACAATTCTGCATTCTTAGACAGCAGTCATAAAGGAGACCTTGCGAGTCTTCTCTGGTATTCCAGGAAACCTGTCACGAGGGATGCCTGCTGAAGGGATGTATGTCCAGTCACAGTTTATCCCAGGAGGCGTGAGTCGTTCATCTATTTCAAAAAACAACACCGCTGCGATGAAAGCAAGCTGACCAGACACAGACAATCGTATCAATGAGCACATTGAGTGTCCATAATAATCCTTCTCTTTTCCCAGAACCTCGAGTTTTTAATCCTAATCGCTGGCTCGGGGAGTCCGCCAAAGTTCTAGACAATTGGAATGTGGCCTTTGGCAAAGGGCGCCGTCGTTGTGTTGCAAGCAAAAAAGTCCCTCCGTCCAAATTTTTTTTCATTAAATTGAAAATCAGTGTTTGCTAACAGAAGGAACAGTCTTGCGTATATGGAAATACATCTATGTTTAGCTATCTTCTTTCTCCGCTTTGACATGGAGCTAGCTCTTCGAGACAGATGAAACAAGTATCGAATGGTCTGATTTTATCTTGGCTGTCAATAGGAAGCCAGTGAAGGTTCGCATTACCAAGGATCATCTAGCATGATCTATAGGTCTGTTAGGAATTCAAGGAGTTTTGCGCTCAATGGTTTGTAAATTCTTTGGTCCAACAGTAGTGGCAGTTTAAAAACCGGCTTCTCTAGCATATCTTCCTTCCTCTATAAAAGAAACTTAATCATCCACCTATTTCAGAAGGTAAACTACAGTGGACATTGTAGAGAGTTAATGCTGAATGACTTCTCGTCAATAAGGGCAATAAATTGAAAAGTTTCGGGCTACAAATTATATATAGTCTCAAACCTCTATTCTTACTCTAAACAGCTCATAAACAAAAGATAAGAAAAGACATATAAATTAGAAAAACCAATGAAAACGTATATGATATAGGAAGCTAATAAACTTAACCTTTTGGGCTTCAGACGTTCTTTAACTGTTACTGGTTGATTCACGATTCTATCTTGAGTCCTGAAGTCCTCGCATTCGAATTCGGAGCACGAATGAATGCCAAGAATGAAGCGGAAGCTGACATCAGCTACAATCGAATTTATGCCGATCAGACCAGCAAGGAGAAGGCAAAAATACATTGTAGCCTCCAGAACAACCTCGTAGACATACAAAAATAGAGCCGAAAGCCATGGCGTCTCCATCGGATCCTTTACTCCGCCAGCATAGTTCCAGATATCACCGCCAGCGACGGCGATATCTGCCAGGAGAAGAAGACGAACAAGAAGAGCCCCTCATCGCACGGTGGAGGCGAGCCGCGCGGGACTTCTTATCGTCGCGACGGGGTCATTATCTCGTCCTGCTGCTGGTGTCCATCGATGTCGCTTGTACCTTTGCCGATTTTCTCATCGAGTTACATGTCTGCGAGTTAACGAAACATGGTTCCCACGTAGCAGCCGGGTGGGGAGTCACTCAGGAGGTACTCGCGATCGTCGGATTGGTCTTTTCGTGTCTCTTCATGCTGGAACTGATGGTTACTATATTCAGCTTTGGAAAGGGGTAAGTCTTATCTTCAGTTGCTCTTCTGTCCACATCTATTTCGAAAATACTATGGCTATGCAGGCTACCAAGTTCACACCATAACCCCAGGCCTGAAGGCTGACCGAATCACTAGCTACTTCTCGTCCAAGTTCCACGTCTTTGACGCGCTTGTGATTGTTATCGCATTCGGTGTCGACGTTGCTCTCCATGGCATAGAGGAAGAACTGGGGTCTCTGATCGTGGTACTTCGATTATGGCGTGTGTTCAAGATCATCGAAGAACTAGAGTCAGCCAATGAAGACGCGCTGGAGGAGTATGAGCACGAGATCGAGAGGCTGCGCCAGGAGAATACATATCTTCGCCAGAGACTCAACGTGTCTTTCGATGATGCTGACCCGATGGATTAGAGTGTGGATCACAGTGGACATAGTCGACAGTAACCGTGCACAGCTGGGTTGAAGTCTTTCCGAGAAAATACTAGTAGGCAATGGTACACATTAAGTTTGTATTGCTAGGATTACAAATTTTGGGCTAACAGCATATCCCTAACGGGGAATACCTTTGAGCTTCACGCCTGCTTGTGTGATCTCCAGCCAAACCTTCATTTTCTTCGATACATCCTCCATACCGCTGAGACTGGGATTCCTCTCAAAGGAATGCTGCCCATCCACAGCCAAATCTGAGAACAACAATGCCAGAGGCGATGATTTCCAAATGTATTGGTTTCGGGTCTTGATCATGGTCACCACCAAGAAAATAATCGTCATGCCAACGAGGGCAATTGGAAGAATCATCCAGGGCCAGCGAACGCTGACGAAAGACTCCACCGTCCAGGTCATGCCCCTGACCGATGCTTTGCAGACCTGGTTCCGGGCATGTGTTGTGAGTGACGTCGCGAGCGACGTGAAGACGGTGCTGATATCGGTCAAGTTGCCTTGTACACCATAGAGAGCTTTAGCGGTATCGGTGGACCAGTATGGTCGATTGGACATGTATAATTGTCCTGTCCCGTTCAGAAGGGGCGTAAGGGAGTTAGCCATCGCCAGTCGACTGAATGCATTGACTGGATATGTGCACTCGCTTTTGTCGTCATGTTGTGTCCCGTTCACGTAGCAGATGTCCGGAGTGAGGGCAAAGTTCTCCAGGCCAGCATTGGTTGTTAGGTTCGAGAAAGTAGCGGAAGACGTTATTCGCTCGTTGAACTTGCCGTCCTTGACGGTTGCTTCGTATGTGTCGATACAGAAGTACAGCGCACATTCAGTTGCGCTGACTTGGGGTGGTACTCCGTAGCCGGAGGCACTGATAGCGGTGAAATTCATGATGAGCGGCAGGCCTTTTGTATCTATTTGGAGGAGCGGGAGACCATTTGTGGAATTCATGAGGTACATCGCCGTCTGCGACGTGCTGAAGCTGAACCCATTCGGTAATTTATAATCATAAGTCTCCATCGTACTGAATCCAAGGGAGGTTTTGTTCAACGTAAGCTGATCGGTGACGTTGGCGCAGCGACTGCAGAAGCCTAGAGATTGGTAGGGAGCAAATGTGCAATTCCCTGTCGGGCAGGTCGTCATCACGGAGGGACTGCCTGCGCTCTGGTCTTGGAAGATCCCCGTGTAGATAGATGCCAGCGTAGAGAGTAGCACTTCGTTCTGCCCTGGGCCTGCTCCCTCACCGTAATCGGTGTACATGCTAGTGTTGCAGATTTGAATCGAAGACGAGTTGGAAGAGTGAACGGGTCGCATATTGATTGCAATCACTTGTTGGACGAACGGGGCAATGGCCGCCGCGACAACGAGGACTAAGCATCCAACTGTCACCAAGTATCTGTTTTTATCCGCTCAGCGCTGGACCGCATTCGGGTGTGGTGGAAAGCTGCAACACCTACCGAGGTATAAACCGAAGCAGTACCAGAGCGGCTCCGAAAGGCCCCCGACTCGCAGCATCCAGCATTGCCAAGTCACTCAACTTATTTCCTCGGCTGAACCACGACCATTTGAGTTGAGATAATGCCTCCGTAATTGGGAACGCCATGGCGGCCTTCATGAGGGTGGTTAGAAGAGAGATAACGGCGTTCAGGGTGATTCCATACGGCCAATCCGGCATGGACTTCCCATCGTATATGTACAGCACCACAATAATCCCAGCAAGCGCTGCCACGGCAATCACGCAGCTCAAAATCTCCCATATCCAACTTGATCCCAGAGACCCTGACCCTTGCACAAGGACGGCCTGATCGGAAGCCGATAACGGTTGCCGCTGCGCTTGGTGCTCCGGTGGGTCATCCATTCTGACATACGAGAGACGGTATTCATCTTTGGCATGCTCCATGGTGGCTAAGGTCTATACACATCGTCCCTACTGAAGGTCGAAATCACCACTGAAACAATGTTTAAGAGGTTAAATTCAAGCCACACTTGAACCCGTGGGAAAACATGCTTGAAAATTTGGCGTTGACGTAGCATCGGTTGTGGCGACGATATATTACCGGATTAGGCTGATAAGTGAAACTAGGGCTTCGATCGGCGCCTCGTGGCTTCAGCCGAAGACCCATACATTTCCCCTTCCAGCATAGATGGGGAACGCTAGGTCCATGATTTTCTGAGTCAGGAGGTGATCGGCCATAGGGATCTTCCTCTAGGTGCCCCTTAGACTGGAGCAGAGACTAAGACGACGAGTCCAACTGTACGCCCCCTCAACATACCTTCCTAAATCTGGTAAAAGAGGTAGTCTTTTAATTAACATCGACATGTTCATGCTTCTATAGGGTTTGAAAAGAACAGTAGGCACTCGAGCTATTTTTCTCCGCAGAGTGTCGCGTCAACGTTTAGTACAGCCAAACGGTGTCGGCAATTTCGGAGCCATGGAACCGTTTTATCAGCCTCGGTGGACGGCGTTGTTGATCTCTTTCTTAATCTCCGGTGTGATCATCTCTTGATCTCTTTCTTGTTTTTCTGTTATTCCCTCTGTCCTTGTTGGTATGACCTTCCTCCCAACCACGTCCGGTGGCAAGAGAATCTCCGACAGCTACGAATACATGTCGGGAGTACCCGACCATGAATCCTGCCATGTCGGAAATTCTGTTAGAAGGATTCATTGGTGCGACTACAGAGTTTTACTTAAAATTAACTGCCATCAGTCGTCGCATTCTTGGCACTAAGCTAGACCCTGCTTGCGGCTATACTCTATGGCAGGCGTGAATTAAGATCAAGAGGCGAATTGGAATGGCTGGCCAGCTCGGATACTAAGTGTATTCGTTATCGTCGATTTCAAACCAAAGTAGATATCATTCCGTAGTGATCCAGCGATACCAGACTTAAAGCAATATCAGAATAGCAGCGGCGTATCAAAGCACCCATATCCCTTCACAACACTCATCTCATTCACATCTTCATGTTTAGTCTTGAATGACCACCCAGCGACCGAATTCTGCAGCATCTCACAACGTCGACCCTCCGTGCCCTCCCGCCAAAGACATGTCCCGAATATGCCCAGTTCCGAGATAACTCCCCCCGAATCCAACCCGGCAGCAGATAACAAGACATTCGACACGGACGGTGACCGGATACGCTTCATGAGAATATACGCGCCCCACTGAGACTCGGGAATCGAAGCCAGGAAATCAGGAATGTCCTCCCCGAAGATATTATGCCCTCCGCCTTCCAAGGATGGCTTCAAGATATAATTCCGTGAGAGCTCCGGGTCAGTCGCAAGACGACGAGCGCGGGCTCCGGCCTCAGAACCGTCGAGCGGATACATAGAGACAAACGTTGATCGGATCAGCGCTGCTTTTGCGGCGGGTATGAAGTGCTCCAGCGCTCCAGGGGCTGTGAGCGCACATTGGACTCTTTTGAACGTGCAAATGTGTGCCAATAGCGACGGACATTTGATCGCCATGGAAAGCTCGATTCGAAGACGAGCTTCTCTGCCGGTTGCATCGTACTCGTGTGCCTCGTATCCGGCGCGCATATAGGCGACGGAGATCTCGACGCACTTCGACCCTAACCATGGTGGATGGAAGAGAAGTTCTCGCGATTCGGTTAACGTCGTGTATTGGAGGAGATCGAAGGGGTAATTGACTCGATATGCGGGAATGGGTGGGTCGTGATCCCATAATGCGTATTCGAGAGGACGCTCGTCGGCGATGTTGAAATTGTTGGGCTGCACCACGAATAGAACGGCGGTGTCGGTGGCCATGATACTCTTTTTCGGTCCATATGCATCGTGAGCAGCGGCGAGACATGCAGAGAGCGATGCGATATTGTTGTTCAGGGGCAGAGCAGCGAGTGAAATGTTGATCAGGTGGCCATCTCCGGTATCATAGGCATTGGTGCGTGCAAAGTAGCGATGCATCTCCACCGCTTTGTTCGCATGGGTTGCCCCTGCGCACGAGAACGTGTTCAGCTCGACCTGCTTCAAAGAGCCATCAAGATTCTCTCCTGGTCGGAGAGGAAACTCTGCCCCAGGGCCGTCCAGCATGTAATCCGATCGGAAAATGCCGACCGATAGCTTTTGCGCATATCCGACTTTTTTCACCTCCTCATGGATGTCCCAGAGCGCTGCAGCGAGGGGGTCAACCGGAATCAGGCCCTGGATTGCCTCGAAAATCCATTGTTCATCTTCAGCCATACCGCAGTACAGTTCATTGTAAATAGTTTGTAATCCACAGGCGCGATCGAATTGCTCTCGGGGGAATAATGTAGGAAAGACCGTGACCCCCACGGGATAGCAGTGGGAGGAATCGTCAGGGAAATGAGTCTCGGGATCAATGTGCTTGAGCAATGAGCCATGATTGATTTGCCAGTCTACGATGTCGGATATCAGGGCGAGACCTCTGTCGTCGGAGAAGTCAGGGGGGTATTGCTCATTTGAAGCAGCCATTGTTGGGTTGTTTTGGTCGCGTCAGTTCAGTTCAGTTCATCCGTTAATTCATCATTAGGGTTTCAGGTGACTGTGGCTGTGTCTTTAGCCGCATTGATGGGCCTCTGCTTGATCAGATACTTGGTGGCTACCATTTTGGCGGAATATCCAGCAATTAGGTGTCCTTCAATTATATACTAGGGTCTTGATACGTTATAAACAGTGCGAAGCAGCAGACGAATTGATCGTCGCGAATAGCGAGTGAACGAATATCACAAGAAAAGAACAAAAGCTAAGTGCGAACCGTGTCATCATAATCTATTCTAGAAAGCCCCTGTCAGGCCCCATGCCCTCGGCTTCATTTGCTCTCGGCCGCGAGCTCCTTGAGGACCTTCTTCCATCCATTGTCACTAGAGAAAGGTGTCGTGTCGATCTCACACTTGGTACCTGGTTCAGGCAGTGTGCCGTCCATGAAATAGGCGCGAGCGGCCTTGGCCGTACAGAGGGATGCCTGTGCGAAGCTTGCATGCTAGAAAAAGAAGAAACAGTGAGTGGCTGAGCATCTACGAATCAAAAATCAGTGAAACTTACCCCATAACCACCATGTTCAAGCACAACACTATTAGCAAACCCTGCGCTGACATTGCGTGCGGCTGCGAGAGGTGTGACCGGATCACCACTGTTGCCAATGACCAGGATTGGGTTCTTCGTCGTCGCCTGGAAATCACCCGTGTATCGCTCCTTTGGCTGGATCTTCCATTCCGCACATCGAGTGAGAACATAGTCAGAGACATCTCCTCCAATTCGGCTGAGCTCGTGCCGTTGCTTGATGAGCGAGAGCACATCCTCCTCGGTGTTGTCGGTACGGAACGAGTCACTGCATTTAATTCCATACTGGGCTTCAGCGTCCAAGCTGGGGGGGGCAGATGTGATTTTGGTGAGATATTCTCCTGCCTCCTCTAACTTGCCCGTGATGAGGTTATTAAGAAAAGTCGAAAAGTCGTCCCAGCCGGTTGGGGAATAAAGCACACTGAAAACCTGAGTTTTCAGGGTAGTGTAGTCGAGGAGGCTGGGCGTGCCTGCAACTGGGATGAGTATAGGATTGAATTTCACATGATCGATCAATTCGTAGATAGCCTCCTCAACCTCAGATGCAGTGCGGTCTCGGGCCAGCGGACATTTATCGGGTGTAGCGACACATTCCTCGGCGAACCCAGTAAGCACCTTGTCCGTGTCGACGAGCATCTGCAAATCGCTGCATGAGATAAGTATGAGTAGATGTCTCCACCAAGCTTGGAAGATGGGATAACACACCGGTTTAGCTGGTATTCATGGGGATTAGCGACTCCATCGAGAACAACTCTGCCTATCCTATCCGGAAACATCGAGGCAATCGTGGCGCCCAACACAGTACCGTACGAGAGGCCTATCGAAGTTCAGGGTCAGCATATTGAGTACACGACATCGCGAGTAGTAGGGGTTGCCTCACCCCAGTATCGTAGAAGTCCGTCTTCACCCAGTGCGTCAATAACCTGCATGTAGTCGCGCGCCGCAAAGGCTGAAGACATAAATTGACCGGTCTTGTTTTGGGATGCATAACAGTTGTCGGCAAAGACGCGGGACGACACATTGTTGTACCCCAAGGCGACGTCAGATGCGTTGCCAGCGAGGGACGGGTATAACTTTGTGGCTGCGGCTCTTTCTTCATCGGTGGCATAACAGGAGAATAGAATGGTTTTGCCCGTTCCTCTGTGCAAGAACGGGTTAGCTTGGTGATGAGAAGGACAGCTACGGGGATCGAACACTCGTACCTTGGGGTGATGACGACGAGATCGTGGTAGCCACCGGTAGCGCTATATAGATATCATGAGCCCTACACTTCAAAGTCCCAAAACGTGATGCAAGAGACTTACGCCTGTAGCATCGGCCCGTACGTAGCTAGACCTAGTTTGCCATTGTCACCGGGGCCGCCAAAATTGAGGAAGACGCTTCCTCGTGAAGGGCTGTTCGGGGCGCGAATCCGAGTGAGCTGGAGGTTCAGTGTAGCATTAGAGGCTTCATTGGTGTAGTCTAGGGGTACAGGGAACGTAGCACACTCCGTGGCGTCGGTTCCGTTGGGCTCACAGAGGCTCCACTGGATTTGCTGGTTACGAGCATGATGCGTTGGCGACCGAATGAGAGGCGTCCCCTGAGCAACTCCTATGAGGAGAGCGCAGAGCACGTTGAAGGGACGATACATGCTTGTTTCACCTGGTTAAAGGAAAACTGATCTGTTGTCTGTTAACCAAGCGCAATCATGGTCCCATTAGTTGGCTTATATATTCGTAGTCGGAAGATTTCCCCATCGCCATGAATACCCAAAAATAACCACGCGACCGGAAATGTTCATACATGCCGCTGCATTCAATGAGCACAAAAGTTAAAGTAATGACCTGTATATTGACATCACGGTGGCTATCACCAGTCGTTCACTATCAGATAATAAGGCTCAGCGGGTGGCGGTCCACTTGGCAGCGGGTTGACATCTTGGCCTCTAGGAGCAGCATGACGAAGCACCTGGGCGGAAAGCCTTGGACTTTGTTGTGCATCCTCTGTCTAGGTTGTTCTGTTGGTTGAGCGCTCAGTCCCATAGGCTGGGAGCTCGTATTCTGGCTGACCCAACACTAGTTGGACGGACAATTGGACACTTCGCTATGTAGGAAGCAAGTACCACTGAAGCATCTTAATCCAGCTGTCCGTCGATCATCACTTGGCTACTGAACCGGGGGTGGAGAGCAGCATTGGCAAGCAATGATCTGGAAAGCATGAGATGGCTGCGCGGACGCTGAATGGCCACCGCGCGAAAATTGCCGATGGCAGTGCCAGATTCTAATCGGGAATAGCGCGTTTGACAAGGTTCTAGCGCTCGATAACGCCAAATTGGGCATAGGGATTCATGGCTGGCCTCGTATCCACCGCTCATCATTGAGCATCAGTGCACGCCAACTGCCTCGCCATGAACTCATTCCCTCCTGGGAAAACTGCCTTGAAGCGAGAATTGTGCCCCTGGGCCCAAATGTTCCGAAACGGTTTGCCAAACCAACTGCAGTTTTCGCTCAGCATACAAAATGTCGCTGAACATCGGGAAGCGAGGCAATTCGGAACTGCCCTACCAAGTCTGCGTGCATAGGCGAAGTGATACATCTACTACTTGAGGAGCATAAATGATCTTTCCAAACGATGAACTTCCCGTCGAGCTTTGGGAGAACCCTACCACGGGGCTAGGCTGCCCAAGCCAGCACTGCTTCTGCCGGAATATGGGCCCCACAAACTCAGGCAAACCGATACTCTGACTCGCTACATGGGCTTCTGGGCAACAATGACCAGGAAGTCGAAGAGCGCATGCATGCTGTTTGCCATGACCTCCCTCCGAACTGCAGCGTTAAGTACCGTCACTTCCTCCTTCCGCCAGCCTAGAATATCCGGGAGGATGGAGGCTGTAAAGGCGTCCACGCCCTCGACAAAGTTCACGCGGTTGAAGCTGCCACATTCCTTTAACCGCTTATCCCTTGGCCAGTTCCCAAGCGGGAGCTTAAACTTCCGTTCGTCGACGATAGTAAAGCCAGCGTCTTCCACCCAAGCATGCATATTGGGAGCCGGGTCCATGGTTTGTCCAATCTGCAGACACCCCTCCTTGAGCGCATCCATCATCTTCACCGTGTTGCACTCGGGCGGCAAGCTGTCATCCTCCGAATATAGTGTATTGATTGATTCCTGCAGCTCCAGATACCCTCCCGGTTTCAGATTCCCAAAGCATTGCTTAATCAACCGCGGCCAGTCCTTAATGGAACCGGCCATGTAGCGACAGTGGATGAGATCATATGGGTGACCCTCCACCCAGTCCTTCTCGACGTCGTCAATGTAGAATTTCACGTTCGGCGGCACCCACTGGGGCTGGATGGGGCTGATATCGTTGCCGACGATGGCTTCGGCTGCCGGGTATTCATCGCCCAAGTGCATGGCCCACACGCCGGTCCCGGTGCCAATATCGAGGATCCGTTTTCCTGTAAGGTCGATCGGGGCTAAGAATAATCGATTGTGCAACAGTCGGTAGTAAATATGGTGCACCATGTCCAGTCGCTCCTGTTCGACTTCGTCGTTGGGGAAAAGGTAGTTTCCCGCGTGGGTGCTATGATAGCGCCGACCGTGGCGGAATTCGTATTCGAGCACCGTGGATCGTAGGGACGTACTGGCCTCCGACGAGGTATCGTCCGTCAGATCGGGAGTTGCCACCCCCCAGTCGACCTCAATCGTGTCTTCATAGTCGGCCATCGTAGTTGTGCGGTGGGAACGCGAAGAGACATGTTGTCGTGTCGCGGTGAGGGTTTCTCTGGCCACGTTGTCTCCGAAGAAGCGGGGAACCTCTTGTTCTTTGTCCGGCCGATTCACTCGACCCTAATTTACGCTATGATAGCAACTGTGGGGTAAGACTTCGTATTCTTGGAAGCATCGAGGCAGTCCCATGGATCGGGATCCACCCGTGAATTCGAGTCTTGGTGTTCACGGTGTACGGAGTACTTGTTGTTGCTACCACAAACCCGCCGCTGTGTGCTGTTTCTGACTGACTGACTGTCCGCTACGTCTTGGCAGCGCCTTGAAAAGTTTCAGGATGAGATAGTAAGATATAGAAAGTAAGCTGCAAACATTATTAAATAATAACATTAAATGGTATCAGTATGCCAATCGCGCGTCAGGATATATAGATATATATATATATATGCAGAAGTTCATATGGGTTTCCCCTTTATACGGTGGGCCATCCATCGACCCAGTTCAGCCGATTCCATCCAAATTGATAACTTTCGACAGCCAGGTTCCCATCCCGAGGCGCATAGTGATAGTAGAGGACCGGTCCCTGCTTATCGTTCAAGACACCCCTAGAATACGTCAGTGACAAAGCTTTCCCAAGCAGCTCCAAGTTACTTACTGTCCGCCAGGGCCGTAGATATTATCGTGGCTTGCGAGCACAGTGGTGCCCCCACTTTCGAGGCAGGACACTCCATTTTGATCGACCTATCGCGATCCAGATTAGTACCAACATCAAGATGAGGAAGAGAAAATAAAAGAGCCGAAGTCACTTACGAAATCACCTCGGCCGGTCGAGGAACGGCACACATTGATCCGATACTCCTCGCCTTGGGCAGGGAAATTGGTGTCGTATCCATTAGCCTTGCCGGAGGAGAAGAACAGGTAGTAGAAGTCGTTCTGGTGGAAGAGGAAGGGTGCCTCAATGGCATGATTGCCGGTTGCATTGTAGGCAAGCCGGCCCGGGGCTGTGTTGCCAATCTTCAATGGGCCAGTCAGGTCGATCTGGAACAAACCCTGCCAGTAAGACCCAAAGTTAAGAATTTGTTGGTCTCCAATCTGGATCCAGTTGGCGTCGATAGTGTTGTACCCCTGAGAGCCGTCAGAGCTCAGACCAGTGGTACCATGGTCGGTCCAGCTGCCAGGCTCCATTGTTTTGGAGCTGGCAACCCCGATGACGGAGTTTTGCGATCCCAGGGTAGAGACAGCATAATACATGTAGTATGTGCCGTCTTGGACGTGTACATCGGGAGCCTGTGGAAGTGTTAGTGATTGGTCATCGGTCTCAACACAGTGAGGGAAGGACTTACCCAGAGGTTCTTGTTGCCATCGTGGTCGATGGACGAGCCATCGGGCAAGGCATAGCCCACTTCGGTCCACGGTCCTTGAAGGGCATCTGCAGAGCTGATATGGATACCGTTGCCAGTAGAAAACAAGAAGTATTTGCCGTCTTCTCGTTGCCAGAGGCCAGGATCATGGGCCCAGCAGTTGCCGCTGCAGGGACCGGGCTTTGCGTAGGCGTTGACCAACGCCAGAGGCAAGGACAAGGCAGCCAGGAGTGAGAGCATGATGAAAGGCAATTGAAGTGGACTGCGTCTGCTCATTCGTGCAGCAGATTCCGCGGGCTTCTCGAGGGTTTATGTATGCACCCTCTCTGCTCCCTGGATTCCCCTTCCGGCCCTGACATCACGACCAAGAGCATTCTGCAGTATTCGGCGGTACAGGTCACAAGGCGCCGTGCACTACATATCGCACTAAAGTTTTCTCGCGAGTGACTTTTTTGTTCATCTAAACTAGCAGCCAATTGTGAAAGATGCGGACGGTTAGCCCCGAGTCAGGCTGTGCTTTCCTCCAGTGTATACTTCCGGCGTCTGACAAGATTAGGATTCATGCTAATGGTTTAGCTTAAACTTCAACAACTTCCCTTGCAGAAGAAGCCCCGCAGCTGCTCAGAGCAGGCGGGTCATGTCTCTCGCAAGGCACAGGAATAATCGGGCAGCAGCACTGATGCCGAGCTATTTTCGCTGGAGCGATTGGTGTGGGATGCAATACATCTCACTCCAAGGACCGGACTATGACAAGTCACTGGGATGGCGTGCTTGGACACGCTAAAAACGCCACCCAGATAGAAAGAAGTTACTAGGTGAAATTCTAACACATGATAAAGTGTGTACTAGGGCGAGTTAAGGGCAAGGGAGTGTTGGTCTAGTACTCTAAATGACGTAGTCATCGGCTGCGTTTCGCTGGAAACCTGGGAAAATTCCCCGTGATTTCCGCAGCCCTGAATGTTTCCCCCTGAGACATGTCTGCTGGCAGATGCAAGGACACAAAGCAATAAATGTCCGATCCCCAGGGGTTGCCGTTGGGCAGTGGACAGGTAAAAAATCGAGGGACGAGGATCTCCCGTGTTATTGGGTGCATCAATTTGCCTTGACGATTGCCTTTCACCGACTTTTACCCATTTCGAGTTAACTATCGAAAATCCCCTCGCGTCAGGAAACGTCGATCGCATTGTCTCCCCCACACTTGGCCGGGCGATCTTCGGCCGCCACAGCAGCCATCGGCAGTGGGCCATATTAATTAAACGGCAGTTAACTTGCTGGTGTAGGCCTGGAAGTTGATAGAAAAAGGAGCACAACGCATGGATGGCCGTATCCATTTTGCTACGATAGGTAAATTTCGCAAAACTGACACTCGATATGACAACAGTGGGGACACGCCTCATCACAATAGAATAGTACTACTACGAGCACACTTCTCCTTATCCACCTACTAGTATTTTCCATATTTCCCGCTCCGCATAATAACCCCACTGCGGTCCATAGCGGTCTTGGACTCACAGATGCCAGATGCCTGTGCTAACCCATGCAGAACGACGCCATAACCACTTCAGATAGGCTCATACTGCACACCCATAGAGATATAGCTCTTCCTCTAGTATGATCACCCGAGGTGATCGCCTGAGTGGTTACTCATGTGTATAACTCCACCGCTTGTGGCCTCATTGGACAGACGCATGTGGGTAGAAACAACCACCACCAGAGAGAGCGAACCAGGAAAACCATGAGGGACAGAGCAACTAAACCACAACGATCTTTTCCGTAGTATTCCGCGCTGCCAAATTGCACACCATCTTCGTATCTGAGGTTGTTCCCCTCATGCCCTTGGCAGTGGTGCCTGCAGTCAGCCGTGCGACGTGGCATGGCCCGAGCAAGACCGTGATGTTGGGCATCTCACCTTCGCGAGGCTCTGTGTTTTCTAGTGTGCCATGCTGTACCATACAGATTGCGCTGCGAGGACAACACCGTCCCAAAATGCGGCTGAAGTCCATGAGTCCAACCGAAGAGCATCGTATAGGTCCACTGCTCCACATCGAATCCTTCCGAGCCCAGACCTGCGTGAGGGGAAGAACAAGCAACTGTGGCTATGGCTCTATTTCTCGTGTTAACTATTACTAACACAACCTTCTTCGAGCCTTCTCCCTCTCCTGAACTGTTGTTTCGGTGTCTGATGAGGGGAGCCGAGGATCGTTAGTATATTTTTTGTCTTTTCACAAGCAGTCTGTGCGAGCCGAACATGGGTTGCCTGAGAGTAGGCTGTGCATTCTCCCGAGAGAGAATAACTGAATGTCTGCTGTCTACTGTCTACGTTCTAAAAGGGTTGGGAATCCTTAGCGCTGTCTCCACGGCTTGGACGCTCGGCGTCTGCTTCTGATGCTAGAAAGAGCGGAACACATACGGAGGAATATTGTGAGAATTGTATGCGACGGTGGAACCCGCCTATCCAAGAGCACTGAAGTACTTTGCGCTAAAGAAGGATGGGAATAAAACTCTTGCAGCAGGAGTTCCGACCGATTTTAAACCAAAACAGCGATTCTTCGGGCTTGAGTAGTGTTCGACAAAAAGAACTCGCGGGAACAGTGGCCGCAATCCCAGGCTAGAAATAGAAACATTCTAGTGGGACGGTGGATCTGTGCGATTCCCAGATACACGGCCATATAGAAAGATATGGACTCCTAGACCCGATTCACGATTAGTCCACAGTGCTTGGACAAATCCGCTCAGCCCCGCTGCCTCGGTGCGCGGGCCAGCATGCGCGGCAAACGCCAGCACTTCTTTTCCGGTCGCCGAAAATCGTCGCCGGTCCAGTCGAGATAAATAGATCATCGATTATCGACTCTGGGGAAAGGGAGATTGTGCCGAGATATCCCCGAGTGTCTTCCGAGGCTGTCTACCGAACGATGCTATTCGAATCTCCTCCCTTCCCTTCTGTCTGGCTTGCGCATGAGTTTCAAGAACCTCGATCTGCAATTTCGAGCTCGATATCTGGTCGTATCCCAGTCTACGAAGTGTTACGAAAACCAACTTCTTCACAGCGGATCGCCAACTTCCAGGCACTGTTGCCTAGCTCAAACAAGAAAGGGACGCGTAATGCAAGACCAGGAACCCCTGTGTAATGAAACGGGCTATTAGGATCGGCTTTCCCCTGAATCTTGCATGGTATTATAGTCCACTTTCAACCTGGCAACCAGAGATTATGGCCATGGGTTGTGAAGCATGGCCGGACGAGGTAACAGTCGGCGAGGCAAGAATATCTTATGGTGCGATCCAAGACCCGGTTTGCCTGGCTATTACGATCATCGTGATACGAAAAAGTGGCACCGACCTCTTCGATAGATAGCACTAAGGCATTTAAACAGCGCCGTCGGCCGTCTAGCGAGATAATGCCTGCCCGATCTTCAAGTGGATCGCCATTCTTCGCGACCGTCAACAACTAAGCTTCGTCGACGCGAATCTTATCCGTACTGTCAATGACTCAAAACCGGCGGTTCCGAATATATACAATGCTCGATCGAGCTGGCACTGAGGTCAAGCGTTATTAGGAACTGTCTCCGACCGTGGGATTGTACGCAGTATCGCTGGAGCTTGGCCTCGGCTCTCCTTCGCATTTTAGTATTCAAACAAAACAGGGATGAAGATAATAATGAAAAAAAAAGGCTACTACTTTCGTTTTTGAAGCGCTTTCAGCAATTGACGATTGCACTATACCGTGCATATTGTTGAGGCTGACCTCGCTTTGTCAGTTCAGGATGGTTTCGTAGATCAGCGACTCAGGAGGCCATCTAGACTCAAGTCATCCGAACTCGATGCAGCTCAGTGCAAGCTAGGCCAATTCTAGTAAGCTAGGATTCAGCCCTAGAGTACTAATTCTTGCTATAGCTTCAGTGCGTACGGAGTAGCTGCTGGAGCTACCTGTTTGGATATTTCTGTATCATGGCACCCATACCAAGTCTCGCCGACTGGCATACACTGATGATCTATATTCTCTTCTCTGCCGGTGTCTATAATATTAAGGAGTGACTAAACATTAAGGAATGGCTATAACTAAATACATAACTGCATATCAAACCACTATATGCAAGGTATCATTAAGGACCGTAAAGACCTCATTCTTGTTTCATATGAGGTACCAAAACCATAACACGTCTTTATCATCGTCTGAAGGGGAATGTAAAATACCTTGGCTTAGTTGCGGACAACACTGTGGGCACCACCGTGCCAGGTCTTAGTCTCAGTGGGAGCAGGTCCATTGCCGGTTCCAGTCGGCTTGGTGTGGGTTGGGTGAGATCCAGTGCCGGTGGGCTTGTTGGTCTCCGTAGTAGTGGAAGAGGGCACCTCGGTGGTTGTAGTCTTCTCAGTCTCAGTGCCGGTGGGCTCGGAGATGGGAGGGATCACAATAGTGGTGGTGTAGCCCTGAGTGTTGGTATAGGTAATGGTCTCGCAACGCTCGCAGTGGTGTCCATCCTGGCCACCGGGAGCAACGGTGGTGGTAGCATCAGAGCCACCGTTGCCCACTGTGACATACACGGTCACAGTGGAGGCAGGAGGGCAGGTCTCGGAGCCATGACCACCACTGGGAGCAGGGGCGACAGTGGTCTCGGCAGGGGCAGAGGGGGCGGCGGTAGGAGTGGAAGTCAAGACAGTGGTGGTGGTGTAGCAAGTGGTAGTCTCGTAGGTGGAAGCGGTCACCCAGGAGCTATAGTAGGTGGTGCCACCTTCGGTGTGAACTGGGGTTGAGCAGGGCTTGAAGGTCGTCTTGGTAATGGTGTCGGTGATGGTTGAGGTCACAGTGGTTCCGGGAACAGAACCAGAGCCTCCAGGAGCGGTGGTGGTCTGAGACTCACCACCTTTTCCTGTCTCCGTAGGCTTCTCTCCACCGCCACCACCGGTAGGAAGAAGGGTATGAGAGTGGGTGGCGCTGTGAGAGGGGGAGGTGGAGTTGAAACCGCGAGGGAAAACTCCCGGCAGAGCGAGGGCAGAGCCGGCTAGGGTCGACAGCAAGAGCATAGAAGAACGCATGGTGATTTGAACCGAGTAGATCAGCTACCTGAAAGAAGAAGCGAGGGCAAAGGGCTGCTAAACGAAAGCTAGTATCGGTTGAGAAGAAACGACCGTAGTACTTGGTATTGGTATAGTAGCGCTAGAACGGAAGACATATAGATCTAGAGCACCCGTGAAGGAAAAGGTAGATCGCTTGGTCTTTATAGAAGTCGGTCACGATATGCTCCCACACGACTTGTACGTAATAACAGCACGCCCGTACTTCCCCAAAGCAAAAGAAAATTCTATAGCAGTCACCCCATTGACCGGCAATACCGGAGGTCCGAAAGCCCTCAATTCCCTTGGCCCTATAGAAGAACCGTTGTCGAGACTATTGATTTTCGGATCCACAAGCGTAGCATTAGACCCTGTGGCAACTCCACTTCGGCTCTTTGCCGACGTCGAGGAGAATTTTCCCGAACGCCGCACATCTGCGAGCTGCCAGTTCTGTCGATAGTGCCATTGGCTGTGTATGAGCAGCTCAGGCTTCCTATTCGGCCGTACCCTGTATGGTCTCAGAAATTGGTGTATAAATAGGACATGGAACCGACCCTCGGGATGTCAGGGTCTTCACTGTGATCCATGGCTTGCTCGTTAACAGCCGCTAAGCGAGTGTGGCGCACTGCCGCCAATCCAGGTTGAGACCAGCGCGAAGAGCCGACAGAGACTGACAGATTAGACGTCTTGGAGTATGGAGCTGGACATTCGCCGGTCCCTCTACCTAGCGCAAAAATTGCCCCTAGTCGAGATGTAGCATGCAAACAAGATCTTCGACTCTGGAATTCCCGATCACCCTTTGCCGCCCCCCTACTAGGTCGTCCAAGATGGTAGTTGTGAAGCACCAACGTCTATGATGAGCGCTCAAGAAGACTATCCACATGATCAATGACTTCACTTGTTTCCATGAAGCCAGCATTTGCGCGAAACGGCAAGTGTGGCTGAGACATCAGTGCGGGTGCCGTTCGAATGTGCGGTATGATTAGTGGAGTTCCGGATATTCTTATCTGACTTTTCGTATCCCAAGAGCGTCAAGAACAATCGTTTCTTTCGGCCCACGCCATGGGCTCATTACCTCATCGCCTCGGGAATAGAATGTGTCTTCTGCGACAAATTAAAATATGGCTAAGGCATCCGAGCGGGCTAGCCTCTGCAACATGCTTCTGCAACCGTCGTATAAATGACTTTGAGCTGGTTAACAATGGCTGTATGGCTCGCACTTGGGCGCAATGACGAGCTAATGGCCTCGAACCTGGAGAATATGGTGTTCTTGGGCTGGAGAAGATACCGCGGCTCCCATTTCGGGAACGGCTTGGATGGCGATAGGCATGGTGGAAATGTTTGCCGTTGCCTAAGTAATGAGAGGGGATGCTCCACCGTACATACTCTGGCTGGTCCGTGCTCGTCTACTCGTGATTTTCGATGCTGAAGTGGTCCTCCGGTTTCCTTCGTTCCTTGTAGGTAGAGTTGGAGTAAGCTTTAGCGCAATAAAATGGTATGCATAGCTTGCTAAGCTGCCCGGCACCGCTGTAGTATGACCTCCCGCTGTTCTGCACTTCTCTCACATCCACACTGACACTAGTATGTGGGGTATTGCTCGCCTTGTCCCGTTGTCATCAACTGTTGGCAACGTGAGGTTCAGAAGGAATCGTCCAAAGCGCTTGAGTCTTTATCACAGATATGCGAACCAGATATGCCCCTTGCCAATCTATCAACTCCGTCTTGGATTGATAACTGGCCTCCAACCGGAAGATGTCTCGATCGTGTTAAGCCTGCGTTGCTTGTATTCGGCTGGGCAAGGATGATGGGAACGCGTCGAAAACTATCAAGCCGAACATACTATCAGCAACGGATGATGACCTTGCGGTGATGGGCATTTCCAAGTAGGCGACCGTGGCAAGTATCATCTATTATCTATATGAGGTCAATTCAACATCATTCAGGATACCGGCATAGAAGCTTGAATTGTTATATGGCGCGATCGGAAAGTGAGCTAACATCATATTGCTCCTAGTCCGCCTCCTGAATACGAAAATATAGACCTTGGCTTCATAATGGTGATGGCTAGGGCTTGCAGTGGCCAAAGGTGTCCATACATTGGGTTTAATGAGGGTTAGGATCAGTCGCGTGATACAGCCTGCTGGAGTGCGTAGGAGTGCATTTGAGGGAAGAGGGCAGGACGAGGAAACTTATAGGCAACCGTCAGGCTATGCGAATGGGATCCGAAACAGAATGCCCACATTGCAGGAACGATCGACGTATTTGCTCTTCATGTCATTGGCCTTGTCCCCTGTAGGTCCTATGCATGACCCCCGTTGATCGTCGCTTGGCGCCGGAGGCCCGGAGGGGTTCCGCCTCAGGCTGACTGCACATCAAACTACCTAGATACTCATTATTTCGGGAGGGACTGTAATATCGGAGGAAGACAACCCTCAAGCACTAAGATGGAGGGATAATGTCCAAACTTCGAAAAGGAATTATACTACAAATTAGGGGAAAGTTATTTAGAATCTTGCGTGGTGTTAGGATATGTATTGCCTAGTCTGACAAGAGGCCATACTTCTATTGAGGGCTCCCATCATTTATTTTATAGGTTTAGATAGCAATCGCTGAAGTATCTCTAAACCCCGGTAGTCTAGTTGAATTTGGCGTTGGGCTGTGATGGAATTTATAACTAAAAGGTCCCCGTTATTCCGACTCGGGAACGAGACATGAATTTTTTTTTTTATTTTACGTTGCCCCTACTGACCACGATGGTAATGTTATAGCACTATAAAAACGCGACCCAATCTATTCATATATATTTACTTTCCATGCACAAATAGTCTCTGGTTCACAGGCTCAAAAGTCTTTTCGCGGGGACCACCAATCGGCTTCCCAAAGACCAACTGGGCCTTGAGACTCCAATCCGCAGGAATCTTCCATTGTTCGGCAACGTGGGCATCAAACATTGGGTTGTAGTGTTGGAGACTACATCCAAGCCCTTCTGCTTCCAGGAGCGTCCAGACTAGGGGGTTGTTCATCAGCAATGTACTTAAGGTCTTGTTGGGCTTTGACTCACGCGCATATTGATGCATGGCACTGGCATGTTCAGACCCTAGGAAAAATCAGTCCCCAGAAATGTATCAGGATGAGTGTATATGCTCCGGTCAAGACATACATTGCGGAAATTTGTCCATTAGCATCGGCCACTTTTCTTCTAGTGGCCGTATCGGTGCAGGATCTTCATAGAACAGCACCTATTCAAAGTGAGTTGACATCCTACAAATTATTCCGATAGAATAGCGGCAATACTCACAGTCCCATATCCCCCGCGAAACATGGCGATCCGTGGCTTGTAGACCTTGTCAAACACTTCTGGAGAAACAGTTGAGCTGGCGACTTCATATGCAATATTCCACAGTTTCTGGTGCTCATCCTTGAGGAGCACGATCAGCCGCGATGTCTGGCTGTTAAAGGGACTTGGGGTGTGCCGAACAACGTCGGTAAGTAATTCCTCTAGTCGATCATCGGAGATAGTCGATTCATTAGTCAGGGCATAGATGGTCCGACGGTCTTTGAAGCTATCGCCAACGCTCTTCGCCATTTTGTATACTAAAAGAGATTGATTCGAGGACACAGTGAGAAAGGCAGATCGTGCAAGAGAATGACGGGCACATGGGAAGGGTGCTTGAAGGAGATATAGTTCTTCATGAGTATCATCGATGAGCATAGGAATGGGGGCCGGATTTGGGGGCTGAGCAGGCCTCACAAGCCAAGCTATTTTAGTGTAAGACTATAATTTCTTAATATTACTGTAGTGTCGACCAAGCGTAATACTTCGGGCAGGGAGTAAGCCCTAAATCCTGATGGCGCTTTGATTGCGTCTGTATCATCGCAGAAAGGTAAGGATCAACTCCACCAGCCAATTTGACGCGGGACGAGAAGGAGGCTTATACTCCGTAGGTAGAGGTTTAATATTCCATGGGTATCCAGGTCAATAGGAAACAATCGAACTGCGCAAAAGTGTGTGAAGCGGTTAATGAGGGTTGTGGATTAGGAAGCGATGGGCATTCCCCTCAGGAAGAACTGGCATATATATAGGGTGAAATAATCCATAGTATGGTAAAGATGTCTAATATTGGCTACAGCCAGAAGAGTAAGAGGACGAAGTGTTAACACACGGTACCTAGAGTAAATAAACGCGATGGCAGGCGACTGGCCGCCAATCAACCAAAAACAAAAGCAAAAAGAAGTGGTCCCAGGGAGGCTCGAACTCTCGACTTCTGAGTTATTAGCTCAGCACTCTAACCAACTGAGTTATGGGACCAATTGTTGGAAAAGATTTCTTGTAATTGATAATAGAAAGACAATGATTTTGGGCTTGGACTCTCATCAGTAAAATCCTATGTTCCTTGTTAGTTTTTTTCTTTTTTTTTGTTTCAGTTATATTTTCTGAGCAGAATATGAAGCTCTGCGCTCCGTAAATCAGTTCCTCTGGTGTTTCTTCGCCTTCTTTTCTTTTTCACTAATTTGATATGGTTATGTTGTTGGCGCTCCATCTGTCTAGGTTATGTTCACCCTTTATATATAATCTTCGCGATGAATGTGGCGTTGAATTGCGCGTCTGATCAAATAAATTATACTAGACCATGCCATCGGTGGCTGGAGCTCTACTACTATGTACCTCAAACGGTAATAAAAAGATATAAGATATATCTACCAAAGTTGGAAACTCGTTTTTCCACGGTGGGTTTCCTTCCAAAGCCGCCCCTCAATTCGGGCTTGGGGTCGCCTATGCTTCCGGATGGAAGATTACTAGTCAACTCTTGATTTTGATAATCTATTGGAGCCTTGTGTTCTGGATGTGACTGGTTGTGCAAGCAATACAGCCAATCTCCTATCGTAAACCGCCCGGATTTCAGTATAAAACCCCTACTTTGATGGTTTCTTCTCCCCAGACGACGTATCATACATCGACCAACCATCCGCATACCACTTATCCACAACATCTTAATTCATTCCGTGAGCAATCATACTGACCCCACGCTGCAAATTAGTAGGGAAGAACTCCATAAAATCCTTTACAGAAAGTGCATTAGGGTGATGATTCTTATACTCTCGGAAGTTGGCTCTCTCGGAAACAACCCGAAATTCTTCCGGTTGACTCGCAGTTGTGCGTTCGAGTGGGTCTACGGATTCCAATGACGCATTTTTTATGCCGTAATAACTGGGAAACTCGAAGGCCTGGGAAAGTCTTGGTATTACGCCATGAATGCTTTCCCTATGATACCATAAGAAGTGTCGAGCCAGTGGAAATTGGTACATTAGGTATACGCCGAACCATGCAACACCACCACCCATACATCAAACGCCCAAATCAAAACATCTTATCCACAACACTCGCTCCACGATCCAATTCATCGGCTTCCTTGCGCAGTACGTCGGCCCGGAATCGCCGGAACGCGTTCTCAATCCTCTTCTTCTGCTCCGGGTCGGCAGTGATGGTGCGAGTGCCACTAGCTGTTCCTCCCAAGAAGCCTACAACAACGAAATGAGTTGGCACTCTGTCAATAGTCCTATATGCTGCACTACTCCAATAATGCGAAGGGTTGGAGTTAACTCTTACCTAGCTCTCCACCCAAAAACAGTCCACCAGCAGAAGCAAAGAAATACGTAGAGAAATCACCAAATGTGGTTGGCTTTAGTAAGGGGGTGATATCCGGAATAGACTCTGTTCGCATTTCAATTAGTATCGCCTCAAAGACCAGCATTACCTATAGGGTCACGGACCTGTCCGACCATCGGCAAACACCACTTGTGTAGGTCTCTCCTGGGCGCGGAAAACATCATAGAAAGCTTTGCGCGAGCTGCGCAGTCTGAAGGCGACATATAGACCCAACCCAATTCCTACTGCGGAGCCAATGCCAGTCCAAAGGGACACTTTCGAAGCTGCAGACTTCAAGGTATCGCGGTCTTCCTGTCGCAAGTCGTGCTGAAGGTGTTCGTCAGCCAGACGGGACAATTCGTCGCTGCGACGATTGCGGAAGGTAGCGAATGACTCGGACATGTTGTAAGAATTAGATTCTGACGTCGTGCAATTAATTGATAGCCTGAAGGATCAATGGAGGACGTGTCTGGGTATAAGTTTGAGAAACTCGTGGGGAAGTTCCCATGAGGGTTATATATGTCGATGACGTCATGGAGACATCCCGGTCACATGTTCCGGTGCCTGGTGATTATCGTTGTTGCCTGATGGCCTGATGGCCCCCAGGCACTGATTTTTACTCTGGGGGTTTGGCCCCAACAGCCTCAAAATGCGTGTTCTTTTCCACGATAATCAAATAAGATACAGCGGTGATGGCCTTTCCTCCAGCTTCTGCTGGGCCTAATGCAGTGAGAGCCTATATCTCTGATATTCTCGTCGCTAAGCATGACGTGACCGCAGACTTTGCCAACGAAGTAGCTAGTCGCTGGCAATTAGGTCGACCAAACGACCTGCGCCATGCATCTACCCGGACCTTCGAACGGGTGTTTGGAAAAGACGTTGGGCATTTTCTCTACCGAAGCGTCCAAGAGGATATCAGGGAACAATGGTACAGCTCTACCGCCGGGGTATTTAGTTCCTGTATGTATCTCTGCCACGACTGGAGGCGAGGATACTAATATCAGTTCAGGGGTGTTAGTCTGCTCCGTAGTGCTCTCCATGTTCTTTCTCATTCAGGCAGCACGCGCAAGTGTATCCTCTACGGGCGCTGGTAAGCTCAATATCTCGTCTCAACGCAAACCGGCACCAGCTGACTGTATAGCCGCCTTGCGCTATGCCGGGCTGGCCTTTGGACCGCCGATGGTCTTTTGTGGAATTCAGGACCAGTATAGTCAGTGGCAATTTGCTCGACTTTTCCTTGGTGGCATTGTATGCTTCTTGACTTTTCTCGCGTTTCTGGTCGCTTCCACAGACGAGCGTGTGGAGAAGCAGAAGATAGAAACAGAGGGCCGAAAGCAGGACAAAGTGGAACAGAAAGAGTAGTGGAGTTGTTGCGTGTTTTCCATATAGAACTATGTACTGGTGAGAACTCTGCATGGTCTGAGAGATGTTGGTTATATATCAAGAAAACATCAGATGCCCTAGGCGTAGGGAGAAACTACCCTCTGGAGCTTGGCAGATCATAGCCCTCGTTATGTAAGGCAACCTGGGAGATATACCATGATACCCCTTGGGATATTCGAAGAAAATAACTGGGATAACTTCCTGTGGACACTATGCTCTGGTTCACTATCAAGGTCGCGAGAGCATAGATTGAATGAGTGTTATGCGAAATGTGCCAGTATGTATATAACTGGCTAGTGATGAACGGAGAAGAGATTCAATCTTGTAAAATTAAATATCCAGCACGGCGTCGTGAAAGTCACTCAGTTGATTCTTTGACTGATAGCCTGCACTTGATGAGTCTCCCCCACGGCCCCACTTTTTCCCAGCGCCCCTCGCGGGGTCATCGCGAATCCAACAAAAATAGCTTTGTGCATGACAGCACTAGCAGCAGCAAGCAATATGCCGGACTCTAAATACACAAAACCGGTGATTCTCTCACGATGCACCCTGGTACGTATGGCATCCTGGCTAGTGTGGCGAGTGCCATCTAACAATCAGGCATAGGACACCAAAGAAGCCGAATGGAAGAGATTAGTCAAGACAACATATCGCGATCCTAATGGTGTGCAGAGAACCTGGGAGTCCGCCGAGATGCAGGTAAAGCCCACCCTTGATGCTATTAAGCTCTTGATGGAGAGGAGTAGCTGATTCAGTCGCACAGACTCGTCCGGCGGACAGTGACTTCGACGGAGTCAGTATCGTAGCCACCTTGAACAAGCCAACAGGCCCGGAACTGGTTATGCTAAAACAGTACCGACCCGCCCTGGACAAGGTGGTCATCGAGATTCCCGGAGGCCTGATTGACTCCGGAGAGACCGCAGAGCAATGCGCGGTGCGGGAGCTCAAGGAGGAAACTGGTTTTGTGGGAGAGGTGGAGAGGATAAGTAGAACTCTGTTCAACTGTGAGTATCTAACCTGGCATATCTCGCTATGGGAGCTGCATCTAGGCTTCACTAGGAAGAAAAATTGACGGCTTGATAGCTCCCGGATTCTGCAACAACAACTTCAAGCTCGCTTATGTGAATGTGGACCTGTCCTTGCCGGAGAATCAGAATCCCAGCCCAGAGTTGGAGGAAGAAGAGTTTATCGAGGTCTTCACGCTCCCTATCAAGTCACTCTTTTCCGATATCAAGGGGCTCGAGAAAGAGGGATTCGCCATTGAGACTCGGGTCGTTGCGCTCGCGGAGGGTCTTGAGCTGGCCAGGAAGTGGAACTTGTGAGTAACTAGAGAGAGCTCGCATTTGTACGGTAGAAGTAGACGATTTGCTTTGCGGAGGGCAACATGGCGTTTGTTGGGAAATTGACTGGGTTGATATCGGTCGATTGTTCATACATCGAAGAGATATAGTAGATGTCCCATACTCCAGCCCTGGAAGACATAGTATTTTATTGACAGCTACAGGGTGACTTTACAAAGGGAGGCTTCGTACCTTAAGATGCACTTTACATCGCCCATACTTCAGGCTCTTCAGACCCAAGTCCCACGTAACGCAGCCGTAAATTTGGTGGCCATCAAGGATTTACAACTATGTGAAGCGAAAAGATTCGCATAAGGAAATACGCGCGAAAGCCGGCCCAATGTTAAACTATGGTAAGCTCGGGTAATTTGAATATATTTACATTTATTTTGTTATATATATTTTTGGTGGCAGTCGGTGCTGCATGTCGGACGAGCGCATTTGACTCTGGGTAATTGATTCCGGTGGATTGAGTTACCAAATACAGTAACCCTTCCGGCTGAAGGAGCAAAAATCTCCGGCGGAGCCCTATGCATCGTTGCAATATAAGTAGGCCCCTTAGCTGCTACATGAATAGATAGCGTAGCAGTCTCAAATTCTCATTCTACAGTTTGTTTGCTACTACTGGATAACAATCAGTCTATTGTCTATCAAGATGTCGTCCAACACGATCGCCGTCACCCTCCTCCAACTCGCAAAAATGATCGACCACTCCCTCCTGCACCCAACGATGACCGATGAAGACATTGTTGCTGGTCTGCGCATCGCCCGTGCGAATAATGTTGCAACCGCCTGCGTGAAACCATACCTCATCCCGCTGGCCAAGAAAGAGCTCGCCGGTAGCGACGTCCTCGTTTGTCCGGTGATCGGGTTCCCTCACGGCAATAGTACAACGGAGATCAAAGTGATTGAGGCGACAGCAGCAGCTAAGGCAGGTGGTGACGAGATCGACATGGTCGTCAATGTGGGCAAAGTCCTGGGCGGCGATTGGGATTATGTGAAGGAAGAGATCCGTCAGATCAACGAAGCGGTTGTCGCTCATGGTGCCATTCTCAAGGTTATCTTTGAGAATGATTATCTCCAGTCTGAACACATTGCGACGCTGTGTGAGATCTGCACGGAATTGAAAGTCGCCTTCGTTAAGACCTCCACTGGGTATGGCTTTGTCAAGCAGAAGGATGGGTCATACAACTATCGCGGAGCGACGGTCAAGGACCTCAAGCTCATGAGGGAGAAGTCGGGGAAGGACGTCCAGATCAAGGCAGCCGGGGGTGTGAGAACATTGGATGATTTGCTGCATGTCATGAGCTTGGGTGTAACTCGAATTGGTGCCACGGCGACCGTGGCAATTTTGGAGGAAGCCAAAAAGCGTGGAATTGGCAACGAACCGGTGGGAGTTTCCTTCAAGCCAATGGCTGAGGATAGCACGGGCGGGTACTGAGGTCTGTGTCCACTGATAAATGTAAATGACCACTTGAGCTTTCTTGTATAAAGTAAACAACACGAACCAGACGGATCAGAATTTCAGGCTTCCTAACATCAGGCAGACACGTAAGCCATGCAGATACTGAGTCCAACGATGTCCAACACCTGTTTCAAAGGGATCTGAGCTGAGACTTTAGTCACTTAAGTGACTTCGTTGCTAAACAATGTATCATCGATTGGATATGCTCAAGCTAGTCTGAATTTCTTGGACTATCTGATTAGATGGTAATATGGCCATTAGGGTGGAATATTTTCCAGGCCCCAAATCCACGTTTGCTCTAATATCGGAAAGCCTTCGTCGGTAGGGGGGCGGATAAGCGACGCATTATATGACTCTTCAGAATCCATTGATAATCGAGGGGCGTATATAGAGAGGGCTATTCGAACGAAGCATTAGTGACAGGAGTTATAAAAAACAACTCTCCTTCATACCTTGATCAAAATCATAGATGGCCTCGGATAAAGTCGGATCTTCCATATATTGCAGGGTGTTCTCGTTGACCATGTTGAACGGGTACGTAGAATTAGCCGTTAGAGTCTCTGATTGTTGGTTAGGGACGGGACAAGTCAAGTCGCCAGATCGCTGGGTATATGCTGCAGACACAGGAGCATCTGGTGCGGAGTCGAGCATTTCACTAGGATGAGGATGCTCGATCCATCCATTGTCTGCATTGTCACCTTCATTATCTCTGGGCCCCGAGAGTTCTATAGGCTTGGACACATCAAGCATCACATTCAGTTCCTTCTCCATCGCGAGCCTGGCTAGGCGCTGAAGGATCTCGAGACCCTGTGCGGCAAGGACTGATCGATCCGTGAGTTTCTCCTGAATGCCCATGAGACGATGCATCCCGACCTTGGTATCGCGAGACTGCGGCCCCAAGGGGTCGATACTGCTGAGGATTCCTAGGGTTACACCAGCCGTGAATGTGTGGATGCTGACAAAGGCCGCGGCATAGGTTTCTGATATGAGATCAACAATCGGGTGCGAAGCAATTTCGGCCATGCTCATAGCGGCAGCTCGGCAGGTCTGCAGTGAAGACCGAAAGGGGCTCATGGACCTTGGAGTTGACGCCGTGTAGTCCCTGGGTTCAGTGTTGGACTGTGAAACGACCTTGTACGACAGCAGCGGACGATAAACCAGGATCTTAGCATTTTCGTAAGCAAGTTTGAGAGTTAGTGCCTGAAGCTGATATATATGATTCTCGAAGACAGGTCCCGATGCACCAATATCCCGATCAACTGCCTGTGGTGAAGAGTAGCTAACATCCGCTGCAGTTATGTTATCCCACCGTAGCCTGGAGGGAACCTCTGAATTCCAATTCCGTAGCTTCATATCGATTGTGCGAACCCTGCCGATAACATAGGACGGGTCCAAGGTTGAGTGATGTAACCGTGAACCTTCAGCAGAATCCAGACGGACGTTATACAATTCAGATAATGCATCCTTGGTAATAACAGATAATTTCGACATGAAATATTTGTAGGACAGCAGACTCGCCTCGCCCGTGAGCGGCTCTTCAAAGGAAGAGGGTGATTGTCCAATCGGTGAGTTAAATGTTGGGTCCAGCGGCTCAACATCGCAGTCGGAGTCTTTGATACTCAGAGGGTAACCGTATGCCATCGAACAGAACGTTTCAATTTCATAGATGGCCCACCACGCTCGCTTTTTTGCTTCATTTTGCTTTCGAGCAGTGGTACTCTTCGGAGATGACTGTTGGGGACTTGATGACCTTTTGCGATGAAGGCCTAAGGCCTGAGCGATGCGCAGCCCGCAGCCGCATACTGGCCATGCCAGTCGAGGTGCACCATGATACAAATAGTATGTCCCGAGCAGCACACACATCTGTACGACCTCTAAGGAGCCTACAGAAACTATATCCAGTAGCCTTGTTCTCACAGCAGAGAAAATTCGTTCTTTGAGCTTATCTGGGTCAATGCCGTACGTGGTTAAGAGATGCCGGCGATGGTCCCCAATGTACTGGAGACCAATAGCGACAACCATCAGAAAGGTGCTAATGAATCCCAAGTTTTGGGAAGAACGCGAGGTCTGCGAGTTTGGTGATCTGTAAAGCTTCGGCCACCGCCGCCGGAAGTCATCTTGGTGAAAAATGAGCATGAACCAGTGTACTCGGTCAAAGTAGGTATCTACAAGCAAAGCTGCTGCTTGGTAGTCAGGCAAAAGTGATACCAGCTCTGCTACAGCTGATTGAGAGGAATAGGCCAATGATCTGATTATCGGAGGCAGGCGGCTTGGCGCTGGTGAGGAGCGGACATTATTGGGATTTCTCGTCGGGGTTTCTTCTCCCCCTGACGCGTCAGAGATAAGGTCGCCAAGCCCGGCTCCAGGAATAGCATTGGTTGCGGCCGATCCGGGCGTAGCTGCGTTGTGGAGATGAAATGCCTACGGGAGGGTCAGCCACTATCATAGCTAACAAGAGGGAATACGGGAATACCCCATCCACTAGAGCCATCGTGGAGCTAGAATTCCAGGATTGATGGGTACCTGATGCTGGCCGCTGATCATTTGTCCCTCGTGTACCTTCCCGACCTACAGTACTCGAGCAAATAACACGAGACTGAAGATGGGATCCACTGCGCGATGATGATATAGACTCCGCAGGTTCAACCATACGGATCCGTTTGGTAGCGGGCTCCGACTCCGGGGGTTGATCTTCTTGATAAACCCTCCACCGGGCAGGAGTCACCGGTTGACAATCAACACCCGCCCTTCTGCACAGCGTGCATGGGCGAGATACATCACACTATGCCGACAAGTTACTCAATGTTGACTCGACGGTTATAAGGGGGAAGCTGACTTTTAGTTTCTGGCGTCGACATCTTTGACAAGCACTTGAGACTTTCTTTTTGGCACTGCCAGCCATGCTTATTGGTCCAGACCGCCTGGGTCCACATACAGAAGAGCTATGAGTCTTTATCTTAGATGTTGAACCTGATCGGTGCTGAGAGTACACATTTCGATGTGATAGACAAATCAAATACCAACCGCCGTGTTGGGGTTATCTCGGGGCCGGAAGAATGTATTGATCCCATTAGATGCCAGATATATCAGGCGACATCACACTAATGCCTAGCCATCCTCAACAGTAGCTTTTGGAGATCGTAAATTTGAGTATATCCATTCTCAGGCAGGGTTTCGAAGCATTAGGTGTTGGTGACGATCTTGATTTGTGTCAGAATGCTGAATAGCCATCTATGTAGGTTGGAATGACTCTTTGCTGGTCTGCTTACTTCTATCCACACTCTTATATATATGCAGAATATTACCCTCACCACTGACGAGGACAGGCGCACATAGTCCTCCATAACATACAATACACAGACTGTTGGGGTGAAGAAGGAATGATTGGGCCGCAGTTTATTCTGACTTAGTAGGAATCGTAATATTCTAATTGGTTTGGTATCCTATACTTGGTCATACAATCAAAGATCGATTACAAACTGCACTTTCCGCAACCCGGTGCGGTGCTCGAATGCTCAACTAAGGTCGATCGGTTCATGTTCTGGCTCGAGCGAGGAACGTCGTTCGAGGGATTCAGTTCAAAGAAGCTAGTCGGCTTCAAAGATACTGACATCTTCTCAACTGGCATAACGGGGAAGTCTATTCGCGATCGTAATTAGGTAAACGTCCAACAGATATTTTCATAATTGGAAATGGAAAGCTTACCTTCAGGTCGAGTAACATGGGTGACTCCAAAAGTGTGCCACAGAACGACATCTTCGTTCTCGACATTCTCATTACGACGTGCCCATACCCCCAAGCCAGTGTCCTCTCGGCTTTGGTTGGTAAACTCACCAGCCGCCCAGAATTCATCGTCCCGGTAGGATGTCACCCAGATGGGCTTCGAGGAGAAATGGCCGCGCTTGTAGTTGAAAGTCTCCGGCCCCATCATGAGCATTTGACTGGGCAGCGCGTGTAACTTGTAGCCGACTGGCTTGCCCGAAACAGGATTGATCTGAGATGGGTTAATTATTTTATAAGTTCGGGACTGGCTTGTATCGAGATCATAACCGCCAGGTTGGCTGATGGGCGTGGTGTGAACACGGAACGCTACTCCGAAGGGGTCGAGCTGCGGGTTGTTCATGACCGGCTTGATGTCGTCGTAGGTAATTGTGTTCTTCACTCCGTCTAGGGCTGGGTCGATACGCAAGCAGAAGAGATGCTGGTGGTTAACGGCAAGGACACCCGGCGCAACGACTGTTCCCCAGGGCGAAAGTGTTTTCTGGCGGATAGGCATGGTCGAAACAATGCCGGTTGCTTTAACGTCGATGTGGATGTTACCTGCCTGATCAAGAATGTAGGCAAGAATATATTCATAGTTCATTACAGTGGCCGTGCACTGAATCACCAACTGGCGGTTTCGAACCATGGAGGCCTGCCCGTTACGAATGTTCGTGTGCTTCCATCCGACTCCGTCGTCTACTTCATGCATGCAGATGACGTTCTTCATGACTACTGGCTCTCCTGACCCAGAGGTCCGGATACCATCGAAGTAAGCAATAAGGCCGAGGCAATCACAGCCCAGCGTTAATGTGTTAGAGGTGATGCCGAATCCAGAGTCTCCAAGGTCGAACGCTTGCTTGCGGTGATAAGGGGTGCGAGGGTCACCGTAAGGGACGGTCATCTCGCTCATTGAAATACGATGGAATAGAGACCGACCGTCGTAAAAGACGTTATTGAGGATTGGCCCCTCGCGAACGTTCCAACCCATGTGGAAAGACCATTTCTGCCAGGTAACATGACGACCATCGATGCGGAATGATGGACCCTCCGGCTGAACCACATGCAAGGGCTTCACGTCCTTTCTAAAGTAGTCATTTCCCAGAAGCCTTGCACTATATTCCACCGCCTTGACGGGCTCCCATGGCAGAGTGTCGGACTCTACTTCGGCTCCGACACCAGTTGGAAGTCTCTCAATTTCCAGCAGCTCAAGTGTGTGGGCATCAAAAATGGGGGCAAACGTGGTCGGGACGGAGTAGTGGTTCGCTTCTGGGTCGTCATTCAGGGCAATGTACATGTAGCATTGGTAGAGGCGTCGGCGCTCGTTTGCATCGTCTGTTCCATAGAGCCAAGGGTCATTGACTATCGTCGCCCTGCCGTGAAAGTCAGCTAAATAGCTATGGTTGTCAAATTCGAACAAGAATCATTTACGCACCCCTTGGGAAGCTTGAGCCTTTCAACTTCAGCCTGCACTGCTGGATGCTCGGCACAGACCTTAATAATGCGCTCAATCTCGTCAATATCGGCCGGTCCTTGTATCTCTGGGTACTCCTCATCCGCTTCCACGATCCCTTTGCCTAGATTTATTCTTGCTTTGCGTAGCGTTGTACTGCCATGTTTGTGATAATATGTGTAAGCCTTGCGAGGAGGTGGTTGCACTCGAGCAGTTTGGTCTTGCAGGTACGCAAGCTGGCTTGCTTTCGGCGGTTCGAGAAGGTCGATCACCTTGAACCGAACGGGGGTCGGGGCATGATAGGCTCGCAATGTCTGGGAAGCTTTGCGCAGCTCTGCTGGAGAGAGAGGGTCAAGAGGATGAAACATTGCGAGACCTAGTTCGTTGTACTTGAGGGGGTATGTAAAGAGTAAGGGATCTGATGAGTGGGAGAACTCAATCGGCGTGGTGAGAGTTGAACGGCTATTTATCTTGCTGAGGCCCGCGGGAAAATATTGATCACAAACTCCGCTTGGAGGTATCTTCCTCTGGATATTCTTACGCCCTCGAATGATATTCCAGACTTATCACCCGGAGATATAATCTCGGTATCGCCGCGGTGGAGCGATCCTTATGCGAGTTAAGAATCCGAAACGAGCTGACATGATTTCCCGATAAGGTAATACTCCCAGCAGCTGACCCACTTAACCCTAGTATTGGCCATTCGTCGTCCCCAAACCCCGCCTTTTTGTTGTAATCATGCGAGTATACGTATGGTGCATGCTAGTTGATATCGGGGTGGTCTGGAACTCATGAGATCCAGAGCGCAATTCTTTCCACTTATGGAAAGTGTGCCAATTGGTGCTGGGTCTGGTGTACTTGGCTGTAGCAGGATGAAAATGGCTAGTGTTGAACCTGCATACCTCTTGGAGCCGGTACTCGTGGTTAAGAGCAAACATTAAATTTACATGAGCAGTAGTAATCAAATTTTTAACTGCTTGGTTGTGACCTTCACCTTATCTATAGTCCAACCTTCTCGCTTAACATTCGCATCGCAATCGAGGCCAGTATATCCGATCCAGAGCAACAGTTATGTCAGTTGAGCAGTCCACACGAGACACGAGCGCGGCTATTGCTCGAATGGATGAAGCGACAAGTGGCCCAGATCCCAGAATCCCGGGGGTGGTTAGCATCGCAGTGACCAGAGATGGAAATCCAATCCTGTCGCACGCATCGGGTAACATGAAGCTTGATGGTGAATCGCGTATGACATTGGATTCAGTGTTTTGGTTAGCGTCATGCACGAAGCTTCTCACTGGCATAGCATGCATGCAACTCGTGGAACAAGAGAAGCTCGCACTTGACGATGCCGTTCAGCTTGATCGCCTTGCTCCTGAATTGAAGGAACTAAAAGTATTGACAAGAGACTCCAGTGGATTTTACACGCTGGTGCCGCAAGAGCGTCGAATTACGCTTAGAATGCTTATGACACACACAGGTGCGTTCAATTGGTCATTGTCTTGACTTAATTCCTAACTTGTGAGAAGCCGGTTTCGGATATGCCTTCGACGATGTTAAGCTCAGCGACTGGGCAAGGCCGACCGGTATCGACGATTTTTCAGGACAGAGAGAAGATGTTCTTTTGCGACCGCTAGTATTCCAACCTGGAACGGGGTTCCAGTACGGTGTGAGCATCGATTGGGTCGGAGTCATTATAGAACGGGCCACGAAAATCCCCCTTGAAGAGTACTTTCAGACGTGTATATTTGCGCCGCTAGGTGTAAAGGATTTAGCATTCTACCCGACGCAAAACATGAAGCAACGTCTTGCTTACATGCACCAGCGGGCAGCCGACGGTTCATTGAGTGTAACTGATCAACTTCTTCGACATGCGCTTGTTAAGCCGGTGTATGCAACGCAGGAAAAACTTTGTATGGGTGGTTGTGGGTGCTTCGGGACGCCGAGAGAGTACTCGAGTACGTTATTCGTTCCTTCATCTCGTGAATGTTGGAACTAAGTGAACAGAAATTCTGGCTATGCTACTCAACAAGGGAACCTGTCCGAAGACAAACGAACAGATATTGAAGTCGGAAACAATAGAACGTAGGTCCTCACGACGCCACACGTTTTTCAAACGGCCAATACTAATCTTGTACCTTGCAAAGAAATGTTCACCGACCAGATCCCACAGTATCCGATCTACCACAATGACTATTGCCAATCAGCAAAACCCACACTCGCCAATAGTTGTCCGATTATACCCAAACCCGGGAATCCGACCGATGGTTGGGGTCTTACATTCATGTTGAGCCATGAGAGAAGCGAAACTGGGAGAGCAGCTGGTTCAGCGTCTTGGGAGGGCCTGGCAAATTTATACTGGTTTGCCGATCGCGTCAATGGCATCGCTATGATCTTCGCGACCCAAATTCTTCCATATGGGGGTGAGCTACGGGATTTACTTTCAGCACCATTGATTCTAACCATGGTTGTAGATCTCGAAGCAGTCAAGCTTTTTCAAGCGATTGAGAAGGAGGTGTATGCAAGCTGTGGCTTAACGACTGGGTAGGTTCTCGTGGTTCAACGATTACTGCCACGTGGCTGACGGTCTTGTTAGTCTATTAAAGGGCAATTGTTGATGGCAATGTTAATCAAGAAAGCCAAGAGGACTCTATTTGGCACTGATCTGGTTGTAGGATATAATCAAGTTATTGATAGCAATGAATAATCACTCTCATAAGTGGCTCATAAACGAAGATAGCTTAGGAATAACAATGAGTAGTGAGTGCTATAGTAAAGCAACTGGAACAGACAATTGACAAACGTCAATTGGCTATGGAGCGTACCAGACTCCAATCAATGTGCGGCCCTTCAAAGCTTCTCCTTCCGACGAACAGCCAAAGGACGTTTATAAGAGTAAAGACGCCGAGGAGGATTATACACACATAGTTCATGGACTGCAGAGTAACAGGTAGATTGGGCGGCATGCAGATCAGAACACCGAGCACTACAATCCAAAGGACTGAGAAAGCGTTGCAGAAGTATCCAACCCAGCCAAGTTTCAAATATCTTTTTGGCAGACACGTACGGCCTTGGGTGAGCAGGATACCCTGGGGTATAGTATAAGTGATGTTCAAAAACAGTACTGCCGAAGTAATAATAGAGTTAAATGCAGTTGTGGAGGCTAGATAAAGAAGGCCGTATAGGCAGCTGAATAGGAAGGCAACTACCGTCGTGCGCACAGGGAAGTTAAACCTGTCGTTGACCTTTGAGAAGTATTCTGAAAAGGGGGTTCCTCTCTTAACAATAATTAGCGTGTATATATACCATGCAGGGTATGTTGGAACGTACATCGCGAGCGAAAGCCCATGCAACTCGACCACCACTGACCCATTGGGATGGGAGGGAAACTATTTTCCTGTTAGATATGTATATACCGTAGTCGTTTTATCGAACGGCTTACAGGCATAAACCACCCACAATAGGATAAATAACCCCAGGGTAACACTCCGGCTACCAGTTCTGCGTCACGGTGTTAGTGTTAGCTATTTGATACGACATGTATTATACTAACATCTGGTATATCAGCTCAAGACTGGGGAGAGGTGCCTCCCGGATTGCCTCCATGTCAATGGTAAAATACATGAAGACAATGAATAATGGGAGACATGTGAGCAGTCCTATCATCATCGTCATGGCCATTATTTGAGGAACTCGCTTTCCCGGCTTGGGTATTTCTTCACAGATGTGAATGACTGTCCCCACGTTAGTGCATAGTGCTTGAGCAAGCAACAGAGTCCTGAAGTAACCAAAACTAACCTCCATCTACACCACCAAACGCATACATAGCATTGCTTATAGCTAGTAGCCAGGCAGTGCCTTCGTTCCACCCACTGTTTCCCTGCCCCGATGCCAGTAAAAAGGACTGCGGCTGCATGTGCTGGTGCATGACAACACCAACAATAAGAAAGATGACGAAGCCGGACAACGATAGATAAAGCGCTATTTGGGTTACGAGTGATATTCTGTTAGATGCGGCAAATACTGGGATGACTAGATGGGGGTTGCGATTAGTCTGTTAGTTTTGTTCAAAGAGCATGTCAATAGGTTTCGGCCATCCATGGCACTTACTCGTAACAGCTGACACACCAACATAGGTGAGATACGTCTGCCACTGATTGGCGATGTATCCTGGCGAGCAGAAGTTTACAATACCATTCAGAACGACAGTAGCAAGGGAGATACCGGAGCAGCTGTAGAAACGAAGCAATTCAGTAGAGCGAATGGTGATATGCAAAATGTTTCATTTCGGATGGTACATACGTGACAATCCACCATGCCAATACCGACAGCCAGCCAACAATATATGCACTATATCTCCTCGTGCTTTGGGGGCTCAAGATATAGCAGAAGTGATACTGCCCACCGCTAGACTGTTCATCTATAATGTCAGTGGTTTCGTTGTCCGTGTCTGCGAGTCTGTATGTGCTAGGAACCGGCTGTTCTTACGGGAAAGGCGGACCCTAACTCAGCGAGTCCCAAGGTCACAATAAACTGAACTATGAAAGCTACGACCAGACTGAATATACAGGTCTGAGCACCACCATATGTGAGGTTCTGGCCGAAGCAGCTCTAACAAGCTCACAACTGTCAGCGGGGTATCTTCTGGAATAGGAGACAATCATACCAGATAGCCAACCCAAGAGTTGGTGATTGAAAAACCCAGTCCAAGAGCAGAGAGCCAGTTGAACTGGCGAGGCATGGCCGTCTGATGGCCGTTTGCCCGAAGGATTGCATCGTCGTCATCTGTACCCTTCGTAATATCAGTGACTGTTCCGGGGATGATGCTCTGGTTATCAGCCGTGGGGCGCTCGCCCTTGATGGGCTTTTCTGGCACGAAAGCCATGGGAGGATATACAATTTCTGAGAAATAAGAAACGCTACAATGTGTATATTGGTAGAAACGAGGCAATGTGTATGTTGAAAAACTTCATTTGCCCCAGGATCTGCGGCATTTTATATACACTACATTCCAAAGGTCTTAAACATATCAAGGGATATTGCGACGAGGTAGATAACATTATGCCTGCAAGGGAGGGGCCTTCATCATTTGGCAGTCGTTATCATCACAAAGCCCTAGTATAATCCCCCCGCAAACTTAAATGCCCATGGCCGATAAGCTCATCCTCTGCTATTTTAATGCAGGAAATAGAAGAAGAGACTCCAACAGGTGTAACCAAAAAAAAAAAGAGAAAAGAAAGAAAGGGACTAAAAGATAGAATGCCAAACAGGAAGGCGAGGTCGGGAAAGGCTCCGACAACTGCGAGGTGATAGCCCGTGCGTTCCCAACCACCGAATGGGCTGGGTATGTTACTCTTTTGGGTATAAGTTCCAACCGCCAGGCTTTCCCCACACGAGCCCCCGCAAATAATTGCCACGCATGTTGGAAGACGAGGACAAGTAAGATATATAGGAAGACATCGTGTGACGACACCGGGTATTCTCTAAGATATAAGATATTCACCTGGCGATTCCTTGAATTAAAGCAACACGAGTTACCACTCGTACAGATAGAACTAAGTTATCGCCTCAATTGCAGAGTATCCATTATGTCCGACTCATTTGATACATCCAAGTACAGCGACGAGGTCCAGAAAGTGTCCAAGGATACCCCGCTCGAGGAAATTCTGTACCTTCTGAAGCGTGATGGCGGGGTATTTGTGAAGAATTTGATCCCCGAAGAAGATGTCGAGAAGGCATTCCATGAGGTAAAGGATCGTCTGGATAACGACGTGGAATGGGATGGCACATTCTTCCCAGGTAAGCATGAAATTAGATATTTCAAGATAGACAGAAAATATATAGGGCTAACCTCGTGTGTAAGCACAAACTCAACGGGCTCCCTCACTGATTGCGCGAAGCCCTACCTACACTAAGACGCAATTGATGAACCCCCTTTTTCGCAACATCTGTGAGCACTTTCTGACTACAAGAAGCTGGTTCTGGTGGGGAGATGAGAAGAAAGAATCCGTATCGAAGCCCTACGTACATTCCTGCACAGCGATGAGAATTGGCCCCGGCGGTAAGGCGCAGCCATTGCACCGAGATGACTATATCGCCCATCGCTACCATACTGAGATCGATAAATGGGATGATGCTCGTGACATGGACCGCGAGTCGGCTGTTGGATTATTTGTCGCTGGTTGCAGAATTACGAAGGAGAACGGGGGTACCCAGTTCATTCCCCGGAGCCACCTTTGGTACGTTGGAAAGAGATGTCTCCATCATGCTCGAGGCGGTTTATCTGACCAGCTACAGGGGCACTGACCGCAATACTCCACCTCGTGTTGATCAATGCATTTTCGCCGACATGGAGAAGGGCGATGGCTTCATTATGTTGGCATCTGCCTTTCATGGTGGAGGCTCAAATGTCACCGAAGACGAGTATCGCCTCGCTTTTGCTACGTTTATCACACGTGGATTTTTGCGGCAGGAGGAGAACCAATTCTTAGCCGTGCCGCAAGACGTGGCACGGACCTACGACCGCGACATTCAAGAGTACATCGGATATTACATGAGCGATCCTGCCTGTGGTTACTATGAGCAGATGGATCCGATATACCATCTTCGACCTGAGCTCTTGAAGGACGCCAGACCCACCGACTTTTAAGGGGCCCGCTGTGATGTTAGGAAATCTTCGTCTCATGTCTAGTGTTATGGGATGCGAAATCTTATGTTTCGTGAATAGTTAGCGGATTCTGAAATGAACATCTATATCAAGCCTTTGCTTGCCACTTATTCTATATTTCGAGTACCTCCAAGTTCTAATATGTAGATACCGTGACCGACTACGTAAATTCTGCTCTATAAAAACCAGGTCAACCGTTTTGGGAATGTGGATTACGAATGCCGAGTACAATATGCAGGTCTTCGCGTCCCCCTTGCCTGGAGTCTTTCTCCACAGCAACGATTTCTTGGCAGAGCGTTGATCACAGGAATACCGAGGGTGTATAAAGAATATCAAAATGCCCCACTGTGCACAAGATAGGTACAATATGACGTCTCTCGGGCGCGGAAGCCCACGGCTATGCACGTTTCACAACCTGAGGGGTGGACGGTCCAAGGGAAGAAACAACGATAAGACCCCAACTCTCAGCCTTAACCATGAAGCTTCGCCACTGACACTGGGTTGGGTTGCTTGCCCTATACGGCAATGCGCCCAACCAGTCTACCAAAGGGCGATATAGAACGAACAGAGGGGATTTGGCGTCCCCTCTTACCTCCACCTGATAGCTCGTGAAAAATAAAAGACGCTTATTTCGCTGTAGCTATACTTCCCAGCAATATCATTCTACGTCGCTTCGTGCCGTCCATTGTAACTCTGAATATTTCACTTTTTCTGATATTTTGACGTCGATAGCATGCACTCGAACGGCCAAAGCAGTGGGCAGTTGCCTAGCCTGTCCTCGAATTTGATCGGCAAAACAGCCATTGTAACAGGCTCTTCCCGGTATGTTCGTTATTTTTATCAAGGGTTGGAGATATGGCATGGCTAATAAGGCGTAGGGGCATCGGTGCAGGCATTGCGCTTGAACTTGGCCGCAGAGGTGCTGCGGTTATTGTAACATATACCAGCGAGAAATCATTTCCATCAGCAGCCTCAGTATCTCGCGCGATCAAAGAGACAGGGTCAGGGGGAAAGGGGGTTCTAGTACAGGCCGATATCACCGCCGCGACAGATCGACAGACGCTCATCGACGCAGCTATGGAGGCAAGTCCGAACAAAACGATTGATATACTAGTCCATAACGCGGGCAATGGAGATGACTGCTATCTCAAAGATATTTCAGAGGAATTTTTTGAAACATTAGTGAACGTGAATTTAAAAGGTATGCACATCAGAACATATAACGGCGAGCTCAAATCAGAGTACTGATAGTTGGGCCCCTTAATGGCCTTGTCATCGCATAGCTCCGGTGTTCCTTACTCAAGCTGCCGTACCCCATATGCCCCGAGGCGGAAGAATAGTGCTCATCACATCGGCGGCAGCTCGCATGGGCGTCGCGGAAACCACAGTGTATGCGGCCAACAAGGCCGGTCTAGAATCGTTTGCCAGGGTTTGGGCTACTGAGCTTGGTCAATCTCATGGAATCACCGTCAACTGCGTGAGTCCAGGCCCGGTTGCCACGGAACAATTTCACAATAGTTCTCCGGAGTTCAAGCAAGCATTGCAACCGATGATTGAAAACACACCGGCTGAGGCACGGATGGGAGAGGTGGAGGACATTGTACCTCTCGTGAGGTAGGGAATTGTCACTAATCTTTCTACTACGAAGTCGTTCCAGGCTGACATGCTAAATAGCTTTCTCTGCTCCGAGGAATCGCGATGGGTAACGGGGAGTGTTCTTAGTGGAACGGGTGGACTGCTGTTCTTCTAGGCTGTGGCAATAGCAGCGTGGCCACATATGGCACATATAGCGGTGGCAAACATTATGGATAAAAGGACAAAATGATGATAGAATCTCATGTAGTTCGAGGGCAAGAAGAAGAACAAGACAAAAAAAGAAAAAGGGAAACCAATATTGTTCTATAGTCCATTGAACATCATCAACCGTAGGCTAACTTTTGTCTTCGATTTTCGGGGCTGAACCAAATAATAATTGCAGGGGTTGCCAATTTCTCCCCAAGCATAAGTCGCCCATCCCTCACGTGGACAGGGCGTATTTATTAGCGTTGATCCCTCGTTTCTCCACCTACCTTGTACCGACGTGCACGGAGAGCCTTCGTTTCCCAGCATTCTTGCAGTTTCCAGTCATGAAATCACGGACTAGTATGTGAGATTCGACTTCATTAACCCACTTAGCAGCTGCTAAGCCTATGATTCATACAATTAGATCCTGCCTGCGGTACCTGCCGGAAGAAATGTCGCAAATGTGACCGCGCTCGCCCGGTTTGCAACAGATGTCGGGTGAAAGGTCTCCACTGCGAGGGCTATCCTCCACGGTTTCTCTTCTTTCAAGACCAACTCAGTTCAAAGCGTGAGCAGCGGGATGGTTCTATGCTGTCCTCAAGTGAGCCATCTCCAAGTAGTAAGACACTCCGTGCGCAGTATACTGTCACTACTGACGACGAAAACCCAGGCCAAGAGACACCGTCAAACAACACGACGACCACCAATGGACAGTCTAGAACTGCGAGCAATCACAAAACACGAACACGTCGACCGAACCAACCGCAGCGGAAGCCAGATAAGGTCTCAAATGCAACTACAGCAACCAAGGATGCGATAGGATCCACTAAAACCTTGCTCACAGCGCCAATCGATGATATTTTAACACTGCCCGAGACTGAAAAGCTTCTCTGTTATTGTGAGGCTCGGAAATATTGACCGAAGATGTGTTTCTGACTCTAATTGGACGCAGTTGATAAGAATTTATGTAGAGCACTAATAATCGAAACCGACGATTTGCACAATCCATTTCGAGGTTATATCCTTCCCCTTGCATATCAAGACACTGGAATCTTACATGCTGTGCTGGGCCTTACCATGTGCCACATAAACGCCTCTGGCAAGCGGGAGACTGAGAATATCAGCGTCGCCCGAATGATAGAGCATCAACTCTCCGCATTGCAATCACTCAGCTCGCTTTTAATGAAAGAAGAGATATATGGCCTTACGGATGATGAACAGGACCTATTGTTGGCGGTTGTGATTCTACTCGTTCTCTATGATGTAAGGATTGTACCGTCCTTCCAAAGTCTTGGACGTAGAGGAATATTTCAGAGACTTACGATAATAACAGATCTGTGAGACTGGGGTGTCGTCTCATGGAGTGCATCTTACCGGCGCTGGCTATATATGTGGCAAGCTCGCCCAGCAGCCCAAGGTCGTTACATCTCCTCGAACAACATTTCTCCTAACAGCCTTAGCTTGGTGAGTCTCGCCCTCAGTCTATCGCATCGAACCTGCTTTAACCATTGGAAAAGGCTAGACGTACTTCGAGGGTTCAGCGGCGCGGAAAAGCTGGCTTACAGTGACGATGTCCGTAGGTGCATCGTAGAAGCCGAACATTTCAACCTAGAGATTCTAGTAGGATGTCCAGTGGAACTGTTTTACGAGATAGGATGTGTTCTCACGGCAGGAAAGCAATATCTGGATGGAAAGCTATCACGGGATGATTTTCAGGATCTATTGAACGATGCGGAACAATTCTTTCGCGCCTGGGATCCCGACAGCGCCGCATTTCCGGGTGAGGATCCGGAGTGGATACAACTGGCAGAGGCCTACCGTCATGTCTGTATCATTCGCGTGCTCCGGTTCCCAAATACATGGGCTGTTCCCTGTGAGGATCGCCGCATCCAGTCGTCTGTTCGTGCAATCCTTGATGCCTCAGCTGGAATTTCGGCCGGCTCAACGTGGTTCAAAAGGTTACTGTTCCCTCTGTTCATAGCCGGTGCAGAAACATCTATACCTCACCAAAAACGATATGTCGAGTTCTGCATGCGTGAGATCAAAAGGTCAACCGGATTTCCTCACCCTGCCATGAATGAACTACTCAGCAGAGTTTGGGGTGAAAGACAGCGACAGGCAGACAAATCAGGGAACATTCCGTGGATGGAATTTGTAAGCTAATTCCACCTTCTATTATTAACCCCCAGGCTAACTCTGCGAAGACATGTTCTAAGGATCTGGTCCGCCAACACGACTATCTGATGTTTTAATGGCAGCTATCCAGAACACTTTCCGGTAGTCCATTCAGGCCAGAACATGTACCGCCACTGCGCATGGACAACAACTTGCTACGATACTAGTTTCGCGCAGCCTTGGTATTTCAACCGTCCTCGGGCTTCTCCGAAAGAACATAAAGTACCGCTTGTGATTAGATAGTGGATTGACTGCTGTGGTCAAGCCATAAGCCTGGAGACTGAAGGCCGTAGCAATATACCTAGCCTTTGAATAAGAATTAATGCGTCACGCCATTCACAGCCAGCGAGTTGTGCATTACGAACAGAGTATTATAGAATATAGTCAAGGAATCTGAACAGACATACAATGTTCCATGTTCCCATTGTGGCTCTCAAAATAGAATTATAGTCGGTAGATCCCATTCAGCATAATATTTCCCGTGCGAGAACACAATACATATCCCAGTCTCACTCTCGGCTCGCCAAGAGTCCGTTCGAAATACATTCATTCCGATAGCGCCTTATGACGTCAAGAAGTAAGGCAGTGCTTCTGTCAAATTAATCTGGCTGGCTGATCGTCTGCCAAGGCTGTATCCGAACGTAACCCGAAAAGCCATGGCAACGATGAATGGCCATGTCACATCGGCCGGGCAATCGAGTCCCGCTAACATGTTCCTCGTTTCACGCCAATGATATGTCTCGCTCATGAAATACTGTTGGTAGCCGCTGTCATGTCACAGGGAGACGTGATAGGTATATAAGCCATGCCTGACCCTAGTTTCAGCAAGACCCGCCTATACCCTGTTAACCCCTACCATATACTGATCACACGCTATATCCGGTTGACTGTTCTATACCTCTGTTAAACAATTAAGCCTTCTACTGTATACCAGCATGGCCTTCGGCTCTTCTAAGAAAAAGTCCAAGGAGGAAAAGCCGCTTGCTGATCCAGCCGCCAAATGGGGAATCACGCCCTCCGAAGAGACTATGAACAATGAAGTGGGAAAAGACCATCCTGTGCACAAGATACCGCTGGAAAAGCAGGCGAAAATGCGAGCGAAGGGCATAGACCCCGTATCCAAAGCCGAGATGGATGAGGCTCTCAAGGGTGAGGGGGGATTCTGGGCGAAGCTGGGTATGACTGCCCTGGGCGGCGGAGTGATTAAATAAGGTATCGAAGGAGCTGGTGCTATGGGTACATGTGGCTTTGGGGTTGATTGGCAGTGTCTTCAGTGTTTATGGCTGCTGATGCTGATTTGAGACCATATCATGGGCTCTCGTCGCCTGATATTTTTTTTCCTTGTCGATTTTGTTATTGAATGTCTCCATTGACATGGCGAATCAGCTATTTTAACATGTTGGTTGAGTTTTTGATACTCGCTTCATTCTCCACTTCCATGGCTATCAAGATACACTCTTGACGAGAATTGTGGATTTGACCGCTCTGGGTCCTATCAGCTCCTGGCGGTGAAATCACTTGTATCATTCGGACGAGTAATGAAATAATTTATTAGATGCTTTAGATATATGATAACGCTATCAGGAAGACGCACTGGCTGAATATAAACCCCAGGAAAAGAAGTTATACTGTATTCTCACAAATCCACATTCTCCCCAAAGACTTCATTAATAGGCCAAGTGAGATAAGGTCTCCACGTGGAATCCAGTAGATCATAGATTTCCCTAAGCACGCAGCTTCCCCAATATTGAAGGAAGCAATTCTCTCGCGCTATATGGAGGAAGGTGCAGTAATGAGCATGAACAACGAGTGCGAAAGGTTCGTGTCGCTGCACGTATTGGAGATACTCGGGGGTCGCCCTAATAGCCCACCCCACAGCCAGCATCATGGAAGTCGGTTGAGCAAACGTGTGGACAGACAGTGCTCTTAACTCTTGAATAGCACGCGCGTATGCAGCAGTATCATGTTCCCCGCCCGTCCCATACGCGATATTGAGCTGTTCGAGGCGATCGAGCGATTCTTTGGCACGATCGGGATAAGCAATTTGTGGTGGAGTTGGATCGAAGAGAGGAGCAAAATTAGTGTGTCGTAGGGTATAAGCAACGTTAATGATCTGCTGGACACCGCGACAAAGGGTAAATACGTTGTGCAGGCTATCTAAACAGGGCTGGTCCGCGTCAGAGACTCCGGTCAATGCAGAGCCGAAGGCAAATGCAACTACCAGCCCAGAGAGGCCCATCATTGCCTTTGCGTTCGCTGCATCGACATTATGGAGCTTTTCCAGAAATTGTGGAAGTGCTTGGCTTTTGTGTGCTGTGGCTAACCTTAGCCAGAAAGATTTCTGTGGTTCAACTTCAGATAAGGAGAGGTGCAACGCGGACACAGCTAGGATGCCGTGCATTAAGAAAGGCGTATTTAAGGCTTCCTCAACAAGCAGTACCCCCCACACATGCTTTGTTTCTTCATTCCGCGAAAGGAATCGGTACGTATCCTTTTGCCACTGGACTATGAGCTTCAGCTGATTCATCTCCAGGCCTGGACTAGGGTTGGCCGTTGTGCCATTTGTTCCAAACCTGTCTAACAGGTCGAAAGAGGTATCTGCTGATGGTAACACAGTATCCCCACCATAGGAAGATGTTTTCACTCGGCTTCGCGTTCGCCGCCGAGGGACATTTTCCTCGGTAGCCCAGATATAGGGGGTATCTGTGCCATAGTCACAGTCTTCTTGCCGTTGTTTGCAATTAGAACAGGTCGGCCGTACTTCATCGCACTTAAAGAGATAGATTAGGAGATGAGCCCTTGTAACATTTAATGGTGAGCACGACCATTGGCATTCCTGACGGTGAAGACCTAATGCTCCTGTCTATCTACATCGTGCCAAGCACCGGTGTGGAAGGATAGTAGCTTACCTTCACTCTTCGTCGCTTACAGGCCTTGCAGCCATGCCTGGATTTGCGGTGGGGTCGACGAATGGGCATTTCGCGGACTCCTACAAAGGTACGAGCGGCTCATCATCCCAATGATAGACACGCCTTGATTACTGGTGAAGTCATTTGCCTCAAAGTTTCTGGGGCTTCGAGAAAACGCCACATGCAGAGGGCTCCGCTTCCCCACCGCCTGCTTCATCCGTACGGGATTCTGCCACCCTCCAACGCGCCACATCCGACCGCAGTTTTTCACTCTCTTGAGCAATCGATACGAGTACGAATGCAAGACCCACCCTCCAAGGGGGCTCGTTATCTCTCGCCCAGGACACAAGGCCGTTCGTAATGGCCAGGTCGCACCAGGGAAAGATGATTTTATTTCCAAGCAAGCACTGTGAATCCAACTTGTGGCTCGCTCGGTCTGTGCACAGCCAAGTCCCTAAGCTAGCTAGGGCTAAGCTCATATATATATTCCACGGCGGCTGAAGTGGGCTTCGATACTAAGATATTCGGAAACTGATCCCGGTCCACCTATCTTGTGCGCCTTGGAATTGAGCCTTTCCCACTCCCCAACACCCCTCACGTCCAGTGTCACTATCTCTTTGCACCACATGTCGTTTGCGTCAGCGATCACCTTCGTCGTTGCTACTTGGTGCATCTGCGTGGGTTGGCCATGGTATCGCAACTGGATACAAGCAAAGGAGCTGCATGTGCCGATCATCCTGAGTCCTATCTCGACTAGTGGTATAGCATTGCAGTTACTGAGATATATCCTGGATCTCGGTATTCTACCAACCTGTATCACCCAATTGCCGTTTGTTAGACTGCTCCGCAGAAACGCGAGATTCCAGGACAAGTTCTCTGTTCATGCCACCTATGGAAAGCTATTCATTTTGGTTACGCCGGCGACATGTGAGCTATACGTGGCAGATACAGACGCAGCAAAACAGGTGCTGACCCGGTGGAGAGACTTTCCAAAACCAAGTAGCCTCCTAGGTATGATCTTCCCCGAAACGAACGTAGACGACTCGCTAAATGAATCAAGAAAAAATGAATGTCTTCGGCACAAACCTAGCTACGGTATGTAATTCGCGATCCCATCGTGTTTTCGTTGCGGCTCCCACGACGACGCATAGGCATAGCAGACTGACAGGCTTCAGGTAGAAGGGGCCGATTGGCAGCGTCATCGGAAATTGACTGCGCGTGCATTCAACGAGACACTGCACGAGGCAGTTTGGGGTGAATCGACGAGGAATGCGACAAGGGTATTGAAGCAATGGACCAACACCAAGTCTGTGAACAGTACACGGTCCGATATTTTGGCGCTGAGCCTGGGTGTGCTTTTTAAAGCGTGTCTTAATATTGATGGAGTCGACAAAGAGGATACTAGGATATTAGCCGGTGACGTTGCCGCCTGCCAATGGCATCTAGATGTGGTTCTAAACGGGATATCGAACCCAACGGCTTTAGGGCGAGGATTTGAGGAACTAAAAAAATTTAAGACGAGCTATAACGCCTTGGGCGAGTTATTGACCGAGTTTGTGGAAGCCCGAACGGCACGATCAGAACAGACAGCGCACGCAGACCTCCTTTCGTCACTCCTTGCTCCGACAGATCATCGCAGTTTATCAAGCAATGAAGTAACGGGAAACCTCTTTCTCTTCATGTTCGCCGGCCACGAGACCACTGCAAATGCTTTGGTCTATATTATCCATCTCATGGCGATATTCCCAGCTTGGCAAGACTGGGCACTAGAAGAGATTGACAACTTGTTACAGATTCAAGCCAGTGGAGACAAAGATCCTTCCTCTAGCCAGATTCTGCCTCAAACACAACGACTCCGAGCAATCCTGGTAAGTTTCCTGCCTTGTGGTACAGTTTATCCACCTTTCTAATGGTACATACAGTACGAGACTGTTCGGCTCTACGGCCCTGTCCCGAATATATTGCGAAATACAGGTGCCAATGCCCAGACCCTAGTGCTACCTGAGCGGGAGTTCGTAATCCCTAAACACACGTCTGTAAATGTGAATGCGATAGCCTTACATACTGATCCCAAGCAATGGGACCCTGACCCTCTGGTCTGGAGACCCGATCGGTGGATATTGCAGGAGTCCGATTCCTCCCCGCCAATGGTTTCCAATGAATTGCTCCAGTACCTCTTTGCCTGGGGAGTCGGACCGCGGCTGTGTCCTGGACAGAAGTTCTCACAGATAGAGGTCTTCGCGGTTCTTCTCTGCCTTTTTAAACGCCACCGTGTGGAGCTAGTGCCTTCTCCTGATCAAACTATGGACCAGGCAAGATCTCATGCACTTTCCTTGATACAGAATAGTATGGTGGGCCTTACGTTGCAGATGCCCTCTGCCGAGTCCGTAGGCCTTCGATGGGTGGGGCGATAACTATAACTTTAAGTATAGTTAATCGTTTTGTTAACATTGTCATCTTCTTAATCTATACATATTACACATTTTGTGACCTCGAATCGTTAGAGACCGTACCTAGAGCCTGGGAATTGTGGGCTGCACCGAGCCGTCACCATATGAGATAGAAACCAATTATCACCTTTGTATCTGTTTAGGACCCTATCCTGTGTTGTCCTGTTTCCTAACTACTTTTGCGAGTACCAACTCCAATTACGTATTGGCTTGTCTCCAGCAGTCATATCATCAACGTAATCTTAGAGTTGAAATGGAATGTATATGATTGGGGACATATTTATCCAGGAACATGTGCACCCGACATAGCCTTGTAGCCAAAAGGATAGCATTGATGTTTACCTGAGCTTCATTTTCACGATCTGTTGTAGAATATATTACCCATTTTGAGGGTTGCGTTTACTGACGTTCAGCACCCTGTGAACTACATAAATCGGTGATAGCTGCTGACGCATTCGTTCAAGTTCCAAATTCTGTGATTGAGCAGTTTGGTTAATGTGAAATGGGAGTATTCATCCAACAGTAGTACCCAGAGAGTGTCCCATATGTATTCCCAAGAACAAAGTAGCGGCATGTTCAACCAAACTGATGTTAACGTTCATAACGACTTTGCCTAGCAACGCCAGCCCCAGCCTCTCTCTTCCATACATAGATCCAAAGTAGTGGGTCTCCATGACACTTTACTACCTCCGTGTTGTGAGTGGTTGAAATCTCTGACGATTTCGAGCCGGTGGGTCAGCATAGCCAGTTAGGGTTAATGATACGAATGCGAGGAATGCGCTGGGAGGCGGAATCGGACCGAGCGTTTGAACTTTGGATGATGCCTATTTGCGTCCCCCATGGCGGACCCCGGTATCAGAATGAATGGTTCTCCGGTACGGTATATGTAAAATGAAGATATTCCAGAAGACTACGCAGCTTGTCGCCTTGGCGACGTCTAAACGAGTACGACGTGCGACATAGGCACGGTAAACAAGACAGTACATATATCAAGGGAGTGTCTGGTCGAAAGTGAACAAAGTATTACAACCATAATTCGTCAGTATTATTGAATCTCCTAAATTTTCGCCATTCTTCTCATATTCACTGGAGGATCAGAGCCGGAGTTGCTTCCCAAAGAAAGACACGATCAAAATGAATCTCTCAATCGAGAATAGCCCTAAAATCAAGTTCCGATTGCATATCATCATCGGTTCCTTGCTCTTGCTCACATTTATCCTTGTCATCGCACGAGTGGCTGATAAGGGTACGCCGTCAAGTCGGACCAATACATGGGGTATCGCGGTGGTAAGTGATCAACGCCTGGACACTGTGAGGAGCAACTGTCCCTGTTGGCTTCAACTGACCACAAACGTTGCATATGTGCAGTGTGTCAAATCGGCAGTGTTTATGACATATCAGATCGTCACTGCTCACGCCGCGCGATTCAAACGCTGGGCGAGTAGCAAAGCCAACATGATCTTGAACATCATTGACACCATCTTTTGGTTCGCACTGTTCATCATATCCATCATGGGGACTTCGGGTTCCCACAGTACCAGCAGTCGTGCATTGGGTGTTATTATAGTTATACTGGCTCTTGTGTTATGGTATGTGTCCTGATTCTGCGAAGTGGTGTTGACGTACATACATAAGGAAAAACGCTAACGCTTAGAGTTTGATTTAATGTAGCGGTCTCGCCGGCTTCCTCTCGTTTATCTGTATCCGCGACCGACGATATCATAAGCAACATGGATCACTCCCTCCAGATGGCAGCTCCAAGTCCCCCTGTTGAGAAGGGAGGCCTTGAGACCTAGGCACCACGTGCTTAGTCCTTATGACACGATACGACAGCACATCGCATTTCTTTACTCCCATGTTCAGATGAGAAATTCTTTGTTAGGCTACGATATATTATTCCAGTGATTCAGTGCAAACCATGTTGTATGTATTGGTCGAAAGATAAAAAGCAATATCTAGACCTGTTTTCTCCCAGCTACTCCATTTAGAAATGGCTTGCGCGATCTCAGTCAAGAAACACCCAGCAACATAAACATACGACCTATCTTGACACAAAAAATCGTAGATGCTTATACCTAGCTTGATGCTGGCTCGATATGCTACGCCCTTTGGTACTGTTCCATGATCTCCTTCACACGGGCAAGGGGTAGTGCCTCGACTGTATGCCCTTGGAATCCCGTAAGGGTCTCTGCCATACAGAGTGCATTGTATATTGCCTCTTCTACCGCATCGGCCGTCGCTTCGAACAAGTTATTGAGAGCGGAATCGTCTACCACGTCTATCGCTCGTGTCACTGGAGCGGATTGCTGGTGCTGGTTGACAGGTATCTCGTTCCCCGTAGAGAAAGCTATGAATATGTCACCGGATTGGTTGTGTCCTTGGCCACCAACGCGAGCAAGACCAACAGTTGCCCGCTTTGCAATGCGTTGCAACTGAGCGGGATGAAGAGGCGCATCTGTCGCCAGTACAACGATTATACTACCGTCCTTGTGGGCTTTCGCCTGCGCGACCTTGTCATACATCTCCTGCCTTAAGGGGTCGCTCGCAGCATCCTCGGCTAGTATCTTCCCAACCGGGACCCCTGCAATACGGAGATCCCTTAGCTGCCCATAGTTGGCCTGGACCAACGCTGCGACCGTGTAGTCTCCGAGAACCCGGCGACTGCTGGACCCAGTGCCCCCTTTCAGCCCGTGGCATACCATGCCAACGCCGCCACCCACATTACCCTCTCGAACTGGCTTCCCAGCCACTACATTCTCCAGGCCATGCACAATGCGCTCGGGAGTCACGGCGAATGCCGTGCAGTCGTGTAAGTACCCGTCGAACGTCTCGCCCACCACCGGCAACAGCAGCCATTCCAGCTGGCCATCCTTGCTACTCCCCAGGGTCTTGACGGCGTATTGGTATATTCCTTGATGGGCGGCTCCAATCCCAAATGTCCCAGTGAGAACAATAGGCGAATAGAGAAGGCCCGCCTCTTCTATGGAATGCGCGCCCGTTAGCTCCCCCGAGCCGTTAAAGCGGAAGATCCCAGCGTGGCAAGCACGAGTGGCCCAATTCGGGCGGGGAACGATACAGGTCACTCCAGTGTTGATAGCACCATGGGCACCAAATATCTCCTGGGTGTGGACGTGTACCCCGCGCACGTCGGTGATGGAATTCAGCGGTCCCGGGGGGTACGCTCCCAAGTCGAGGTCAGGAAGAAGCTCGCGGATACGCATCCGTCGGGGCGCTTGTCCGGTGGACAGCTGGACGCGCATGTGTGAGTTATCGTCTGGACAATAAGGGGGAAAGGGTGGAAGGTCAAGGGAAAGAAGGATGTCGAACATACTCCGAGCTCTGATTTAAGGACACAGTCCAACTTGAATCCCCTCACACTGATAAGAAGCTAAATGACTCGACATGACCAATGTAACCTCATTATCACGAATCAGGCATGGTCTGGCAGTAGCTCCTACAGCTGATAGGCACTGGCCGAGAGAAATGATCAGTAGTGCCGGTCAGACTCGGTCCAGGATTCGACGGACCGGGGCGAAATGAGGCCGGATAGGTTCGGATAAATAACATAAGAGATGGCGTAACCCATCGGACCGTACCTGCTAGACTTGGTCGAAAGTGAGCCATCCTGACACTATTTCGAAGACCTCCAATCTACATATGCTTAGTTAAGTACATCTAAATCGGCTGTGTTTCATATCACGTAGAAGCCCAGTGCGGGCCGCGTATCTCTCGTACCCATGCGTTAGAAATCAGAAAGCATAAGGTCTGTAAGAATAATATATATGCTATAGGAACAGGGCAATATGACAATATTGTATTATTTGTGATCAGAATTCTACTAATTGGCTTTGGTACTTGAATACCTTGCTGACCATCGAGATTAATTATTTCAAAAGTAGTTTGCCCTCAATCCTCCACCAACTATAACAATATCTACCACAGGTATGTCATAATACAACAGGAAGGACCTAAGATTATTTGCTAAATCTTGATGCTACTGGATCTGATCCCAGCGGAGAAATCTGTTGAAGTGAAACCAATCAGTAACGCCCATATTGAGTGTTATCATACCGAGTGTTATTCAACATCTCAAGATCACCACCATTATCGATTTTCTTGCCGGCAGAGACGATCTTGCTAGGGTGCCACCAATTGAGAATGATGCAACAGGCGAACATTAATGCCGCATCAAACACGTAGATGAAAGCCTCTTTGCTCTGCAGGTATCCATTACTCCCTTGGACGTACTCCGCCACACGATATATCGATCGGATCATAACCAGAATGCTGATGGTGTAGAGGACTTTCATATACTGATTCCATGGGACTTCAGTGACCACCATGTGGTGCATAGGCGTGGACAGCATGCGGCGGTGAAAGACTATCGAAACGACGATAAAGAATCCGAAGAAGATGATCTGGATGAAAAGGCCACCGATGATCATGTTCTCGCCCATCTTTACTGAATCTTGCGTCTTGGCTTGAGCCAACATGCCTCCTCCTGTATATCCTATGGTCAGTGGCTTTCTTTAATCGCTGATAACCACGAGCATCATACCTCCACTCTGTACCAAGAAGGATAACACATCGCCGGTCACGAAGATTTTGGTCAACCATGATGGGCGGATCAGGGAGATAGAACCGGCATTCAGCATTCGAATAATGCGTCCGAGGATCATGTACACAGACGCGGCAAACAGGGCTGGCGCTAGGAGCAGTAGTAGACTCTGTCCGACGTATGGTTTCATTGTCCAGTCCGGTGTTTCGGTCGAACTGATATACCTGCATAGGTAGCCGATGGCCTCAACTGAAGTGAGGGACATGTGTCAGTACATTCTCGTCAGGTATAGCCGGTGAGTACGGGCGAACAAAACGTACATATGCCACCAATAACAAACGGCGTCAAGTACCATGTCTTGGTCCGAATCATCTGCCAGATGTGTATAACCGTCGTTAGACCAAAGACAGCAGCAAAGCTAACTGCTGCACCTCCCGATGGGTCATAGTGGTAAAATTGGTATCCCATGATGTCGCTCTGGTAAGAGTAAAAGAGCGGTAAAATCCCGATAGGCAATTCGTAGGTCGAAGAAGACAGATGCGGTGCTCAATGGCAAGTTAGGATAGACGCCTCAGGTAGGACTTTGAATAGAATATATGCGCAGACACTGAAAATACCAAGGCTTCCACATTGTTTCAAGATCCTGATCCGTTTTGTTTACTCTAAATTTGGGTATTCATGGAGCCATAACCATGGCCGAGAAAACTGGGTCTTTGACCGGTGGGAGACGTTAGTCCAGCCCTAGGCTACCTGAACCGGTGATTAATACGAAGTACGACAAGCTTGCGCCCTCTCCACCTTTCTTCACCAGCACCATACATTTATATTTGGCAGGTATCCAATCACAGGATCGGGATCCTTTGGCGTCCGTGGCACTGCCTCTTGATCTCGATTTAACCTTCGCCAAGCCATAGAAATTTTCTTGACCCATGTTGCTTGGAATCCGCAACGGGAGACCCACGTGTAGATTTGCCGACAAGAGGACTCTATCAACTTAATACTATTGTTGGAAGTGCAAATAGTAGAGATAGTGGCTGTTACTATAGCTGACTATGGACGGTCATCAATTTCAGGCCCAGTAACCAAGCGCCATGGGGATATCTCGGCCGGAAGGCCAGGCGGTATCACACCCAGGGAATTTTCGGTGAGGCATGGAACTGTACTTGTTGATCTATATATGTCAATTATGCTATATTGGATGGCTGGGGGAACAGCATACAAAGCGAATGCGAGTGTTTCTGGCATTGGTGGCAATTTAAGGGGCAGGCGCATAACTTCCGCCGCTACAAATGGCAAAGAATACGAGAACGAAGCCAAAGTGGGCCGCGTATAGAAAATCAAGCCCACTAGGTTATCTGCTTTGCGCAATGCACGATAGGGGTAGCCACCATGTTCTCGTCCCCATGTGTTTATTGCAACAAAGATCCGATGCATGCTGGGTTCTATTTAAGGTGTCTCTTCCCCCATTCTGGGTATTGGGATATTATCAGACAGAGCGTGTGCCTCAAAGACTACGACTCTCTATGCCGATTTGAATCTTTCGTGCTATACTACACAATCCTTTCAAAATGGAGTTCACATTCTACTACTATACACCATCCGGTGCCGCTGGCGGCATCTTCGTCGCATTATTCGCCATCAGCACCCTGCTCCATCTCTATCAGCTACTCCGCACACGGACATGGTTCATGATCCCCTTTGCCATTGGCGGAATCCGTAAGTTATGACCTCAAGTTCCTGATAGAGCTCTACTAAATGGTCCCCAGTCGAAACGATTGGCTATGTCGGCCGTGTACTGTCAACAAACGAAGCTCCCAACTACACCAAGGGCCCCTATATTATGCAGAGCGCCCTCATCCTGATCGCACCAGCCTTTCTCGCCGCGAGTATCTACATGACCCTGGGCCGCATCATTACCATGCTTCAGGCAGAGCAATACTCGGTCATTCCCCTTCGCTGGCTGACGAAGATATTCGTGGCGGGTGATGTGCTGTCCTTCTTGATGCAAGCCTCTGGTACGTTGACACTCCCCCTGGGTCATATCCGCACCTCGCCTCCCCTGTTTAGAATCAAAAACTAACGACATACAGGTGCCGGTCTTATGGTCTCGGCAAATGATCCCAGCACCGGAGAACATGTTATTATCGGTGGTTTATTCGTGCAAATTATCTTCTTCGGCTTTTTCGTGATCACCGCTATCGTCTTTGAGCTGCGTATGGCAAAGAAACACATTGGCGCATCTCCCGAGGCAGGCCGTATCTGGCGTCGACACATGGTTGCACTCTACGTGACCAGTGTTCTGATCTTGGTGCGGTCGGTGGTTCGTGTCGTGGAGTATCTGGATGGCTACGACGGCTTCCTCATGAAACATGAAGTCTTCATCTACGTCTTCGATGCTCTGCTGATGTTTCTTGCTATGGCCGTCCTCAACTACATCCACCCCAGTCAAGTCAACTGCCTTTTGGACCGGGGTGAGCACTATTTTGAGAACTTCGTCGTGACTCGGAAATATGGGACTAGTGCCACGCATGAAATGGAGGTCAATAGCCAGGTTTAGGATATACTGAGCGTGCGCATATGCTTAATGATTCATGTCTTGTGAGCCCTGTTTAATGTTATAAATCACTCCATGTATATATTTGACAGAAATACCTTCTTACCCCTCAGCCTGAGCTACGTGGCACCCGTGCGGGGTCGATTAATAAGTAGAGAAAATATTGGACTTCAAACGGCTAACTAGACAACAGCGACCAAGTGGCACGTATAGCAAAGGACGGATCTTTTGATTCCTCTCACTGTGAGCTTGCATATTGCTTTTCTGTACCACCCCGACCTGATAGTCTCAACTACACACAATGACTCTATGTGGGCTATGTCAAGGCATCCCGCTAGAAGACCTCCCCACGTTCCCCAGACCAGACAACATCATCGCCCTCGGGCCCCGTCAATCGATCATAGCGCTGGGTTATAACGACCACCGATCGTCACGGGATGCTCCAGGCTTCCCTCACCACCCGAATATAGACAGTTTGAGAAGGGCGTCGGCCGCGGGATGTGGGCTCTGCCATATTCTGGAGGACCAGGTGAACCGGATGATCCTAGCAATGGAGGAACCGCAAAATATGCCGTCGGAACTGGTAGCACGTCATCCTCGCTTTGATCTATGGTTTGCCAGGCGCTTTAACGGCGGGGATGGCTTTGTTGTGCTCACCCCCAGCAGTGCACCCCGGGGAAGTGGGTACGACGTGCTGGTAGTAGCTGTCATGGTGTTCTGCTGTGACGAAGGTGTACTCTGGCTCAATACGCGAAAATGATGGTTTCACTAATGTGGCTTAGCCGATCCTCTTGCCACCGTGTTTCGGGGACGCCCGCCCAAGAATACTCTGGATACTGCAGCATGTCATCGGTTCGCTGGCTGGATCACTGACTGCAACAACCAACACAGGTCGTGTGCTATGCCCCCAGGGCCCCTGCCGACTAGGCTCATCGATGTGGGGCTCGAAGGCTCTGGGGATCTAGTGAAGCTTGTCGAGCCGGGTGAAGAGACTCGTGGGCATTATGTAACCCTTAGCTATTGCTGGGGTGGAGACAGGACTTCCGCAACAACACGCTTAAACGCTGCGTCCAAGAAGGAAGGGATACTCCTGCAGGACCTACCCCAGACCTTTCAAGATGCGATAGTGATGACACGGGCTCTTCACGTTAAATACCTGTGGATCGACCGCCTCTGCATTTACCAAGATGACTCCCAAGACTGGGAGAGAGAATCTGCCAATATGGGGTCAATCTATGGGAATGCCTACCTATGCCTGTCAGCAACCAGTGCGGCAAACAGCAGGGAGGGACTTGTGCCTTCCAGAAAGACCAGGTCCAGCGTAAGTCTTCCTCACGCGAGCAATAACTGCCAAGGGTATATTGAGGCCTGCCTGCTTCCAACGTCGTCAGACTTCGTCAAACGGAACTCGCTGGAATTGAACGAAGAGCCCCTCTCCAGAAGGGCATGGGCTTTTCAGGAACGACTATTCTCGCGGCGAAGTTTGTTATTTGCAAGTGACAAAGTGTATTTCGTGTGTGCAACACATATTATCTCGGAAGATGGCATCGAGCTAACTGACAGACCCGAAGCGGGTTATACAAACGAATATCCATATAGGTTGATCGCCAATCAGAGCAAATGTGGTCCAGTACCGCACGAGATTACGCGCGCCCGCTGGTACCGCCTGGTGGCGCTCTATAGTCGGCGCTGCTTAACATTTCCTTCTGACAAATTACCCGCCATATCTGGCATCGCGAGAGAGTACGGCAAGGTTCTGGGCAGCGCTTATGTAGCTGGGCTTTGGGGAAACTCTCTAGTGGAAGGATTAACTTGGCAACCTCTAGGCAGGTGCAGGGCAGTACACGAGTATCGGGCCCCGTCCTGGTCGTGGGCTTCTGTCGATGGCATGGTGGATGAGCTCTATAGAGAGATCAGGCCCATAGCGTCAGTTCTGGATTTGAACGTCGACGTAGATGGCGACAACCCCTATGGACGAGTGAAGAGCGGCTGGATCAGGATCGAAGCGCCTCTTTTCCCTCTCTTTCTGGTGGATTACGAGGGCCTGGTGGCGAAGGGGAGCACTGGTCTTCAGACAATAGACGGGGGGGATGAAGGATTTTATCTGATGTTTGACACCATCAGTAACCAACTCCATATTTCCCGCGATCTTATCAAGACCATGAGGCTATTTAGCTTGGTTCTTGCCGAATACGTCGGAATAGGGATCAAGGGTTGGTACTTTTCTCTCATCGTGACCCCTGCTGGTGATGACCCTAAGACATTGAAGAGAGTTGGTTGGCATATCGGAGCACAGTCCCAGTTTGGGCCTCGTGATATTCACACAACCAAGTCTATCATAACATTGGTTTGAGTTTGTTGCCAATCGCTCTGAATTAGTTTGGAGGTTAGCAATCTGGGACTAGGATGTGATCTGATGCGTTCCACTTCGCCTACTATACCAACCCTGTTGTGACACTGGCCAAGTACATACTTTTACTGGTCTGGAAGACAGGACTTTCTTCAGGCAAAGCTGCACACTGCTTTTTTTTTCACTTATTCGTACACACCTTTTTTTTCTTTGTGTTGCCTTCCGTATATGTCTTTCTCTGCATTATGGCGACTCTGGTGATATCTATGACAACACTATTAGAAATATGAATAATAATCAGATGAAAGAATGTTCCTACTTGCAGAGATCCTCAAGAAGGATACAGAGCTATATTGACTAACTGATTTACGATGGAATGCAGCCGTTGGTACACCAGGAGAATCAGATTGACCCCAAAGTCCCAACACCATATCCTCGGGTTCCGCGGGATACTTTCCAATCCTGCTCTTGAGGCGTCGACAAAATGATCTAATCATTCAAAATCAGTTCCAGACCACGTACATCGACGGCAGCCATGAACAGACGCCGTAGTCCGGAGTAGTGGCAAGCTATCTCGCTTGATTGCCGCAACCCGACCAATAGCGGCCAATTGCGCCCAGGTCTCCACCCGAGCCCTCGATACCCGGCGCGCCAAGTTGGTTCGTTCGGCTGGACTTCCTACACCAGGTGTAGCACAACGGAGGTGCTTTCACTCAATCTTTAAAGAGTGTCCACATGGCACGATCATGGTGGATCAGTCCGGTTCCGAATTGCGGGGGGGTCGTGTGGAAATTGTCCCCTTCTTGTACGGTACGTCCGCATCTCCACATCCGCGCATTCAGGCCCCGTGGGAACATGAACTCTGTGTGCAGGTAACTGGTAAGTAGAGCTCAGCGAGTAACGAGGTATAGAACGCGGTGGTTTGAGATCTTGGGTAGAGATACAACCGAGAAGAGTTGGCAAAGATAAGGCGAGCGAAGTCAGATGAGCCACGACTTCGCTGGTCTCCTCCAGCTTCTCCTAAGGACCATTGATCGACAAACGAATGCATGCCCCACAAAATACATTCTATCATGTCATTGGCATGTTTAGCCCCAAGCAGCTACGGGGTTGAACGAGGTCGGGTTTTCAAGTTCTATCATTCGGCTTCCGGTTTGTGGATTGACAACGCCACCATGATTGGTCGCCGCACAAGGCACCTAGAAATCTAAACGTAACACTAGAGGTTGCTTAATGAGCATGGACTGGAATTCGGTAGCCCGCCGGTGGCACCAGACCAGTATTAGTCACTAGGCCTGCCATTCTTCAGTTATCGGGCCTTGAACTTCCGTATAGGGAAGCTTCAGGCGATTGTAGAACGTCTACCGTGGTTTTGGAGCTATATAAAGGCCCTGTGCCCGCTGTTCCACTGGTCTACTTTAGCACGGCCATCGCAGTCAATCACTACCACCTTGTTCACCGAAAGCACATACACCATGGCGCCAGACACAACATCAATCCCAGGTTACACCATCTTTCGTGAAGGAGACTACGACAGCGCCGCAGCTACCGCGGTGACCCCCCAAGGGACTCCTCACCCACTTGGTAAGCTTCTCATTGCACACCAGGAAAGAAAACAGGCGTTAACGGTATCACAGATCAGCTATCGATTGCAGAGATCCCCGTGGCGGCGGCATTATTCCGCGAGTACGCCAGCCCGAAGCAACTCAAATTTAACTGCATCACTCTTCGTGAGCCCAAAAAGAAAGAGTATACCGCATTCAAACAAAGGAATGGACCACGTCCCGACCGTCGCGCCTATGCCATTGTCATTGACAGGCAGTCCGGAAAGATCGCCGAGGCTGTTGCTAATCTGACCACGTCCAAAGTAGAAGAGTGGAAGGATGTCAATGATGTCATGCCAACTCTCACCCTCGAGGACCTGGATAAGTTGGAGGAACTTGCCCGCAATGATTCTCGCGTAATCCAAGCATGCAAAGATATCGGAATCACCGATATGTCCAAGGTGTACATAGATGCCTGGGCGATCGGTATGGACGAGAGATGGGGTTTTGAGCGCCGTCTCCAGCAAGGATTGGCATACTACCGTAACTCTGAGTTTGATAACCAGTATGCCCATCCTCTGGACTTCTCGATTGTGGCCGATACCGAGCGAGAGGAGATCCTCAGCGTGGATGTCCGCTATGTGAACGGCGAACGCACAGCGATGCCGGTTACGGAGCACAACTACCTGCCCCAGTTTATTGGAGATAAGTACAACCATGACCGACTGAAACCGATAGATATCACCCAACCGCAAGGGGTCTCTTTCCAGATGAAAGGCAATGAGCTGTCCTGGGCCGGCTACAAGATGCACATTGGATTCAACTACCGAGAGGGCATCGTCATCTCCGATGTCCGCGCGCACGACCACCACGAAGACCGCGAGCGTACCTTGTTCAACCGGATCAGTGTGGTCGAGATGGTGGTACCTTACGGCTGCCCAGAGAAGCCACACCACAAGAAGCATGCCTTTGATGTGGGCGAATACGGAAGTGGCTTCATGAGCAACTCATTGAAGCTTGGCTGTGATTGCAAGGGCGCGATTCATTACCTGGACGGAGTGATGGCCCTTGCAAGTGGTGAAGCAGCTGTGGTCAAGAATGCCATCTGCATTCATGAAGAGGACAATGGCCTTCTGTATAAACACACCGATTTCCGAGACGGTACAGTGATCTCCGCCCGCGATCGCAAATTGATTATCTCGCAAATCATCACGGCGGCCAACTATGACTATGGATTCTACCATATCTTCTCTCTCGACGGAACCTACAAGCTGGAAATGAAGCTCACCGGCATGTTGAACACCTACCCCCTGCACCCCACCGAACAGGCTGCCCCATATGGAACCGAGGTGGCTCCCCAAATCACCGCGCATAACCATCAGCACATCTTCTCACTGCGTATTGATCCTGAGGTGGACGGCCAGAACAACTCCGTTGTTCAGAACGACGCCGTTGCATCGGACTACCCAGTGGGATCACCACAGAACTTCTACGGCAACGCATTCTACAGCAAGAAGACACCACTGCGCACATCCCTGGAAGGCGCTGCTGAGTACTGCTACGAAACGCAGCGAACCTGGGATATCATCAATCCGAACTCCATCAACCCATCTTCGAAGAGGCCCGTTGGATTCAAGATCATCAACACATCGTCTGCTCCGCTATTAGCGAAACCAGGTGGTATCGTTCACAACCGCGCGGCATTCGCACGGAAGCCTCTCTGGGTGCTTCCGTACAAGGACTATGAATTATTCCCTGCCGGAAACTTCGTCTGCCAGTCAACCGGTCAGGAGAATCACCCTCATAATGAGACCATCCTTGACTGGGCAAAGCGGAATGAGTCTATCGAGAACACCGATATCGTCTGCTACCTCCAGTTTGGCCTGACTCATTTCCCACGCACTGAGGACTTCCCCATCATGCCAGCCGAGCCTGTTAGCGTGATGCTCCGCGCTTCGAACTTCTTCGTCAAGATCCTGGTCTTTGGGTCCCTCCCTCTTCAGTGTGCGTTGATACCATGTCTCGCAACGCCTTCGATACTTCATGCTGTGCGGGCAGCAAGCCAGGGGATCATTCGAGGCTGTAAGTTAGCGAGGGCCTATGCTTCACACAATGTAGGATACCGGTGAGATTGAGGTGCAAAAGCGATTATGATATGTATTCTTACATGAGCATCAATAACAATCATTAATCTATTATTGTCCATTTCTATTTCCATGCTCGTATTCTTTATGTGATGTAGCCTGACTTGAGAGTAGAGGGGACCAAGACATAATACTATGCATTGCCCGATAACGAATTCGCTGCAGGTATGACCTGCTTCTCGTGGTCTACAACATCGCTAATTTACTTGATCGGCTGGTTCTTTTGATGAGATAAAGCCTTCAGGATGTAGTAGTAACCAATCGAGAGAAAACAATTTTTTTGTTCCTTTTCTAGTTTTATATGACAACAACATCACCGCATTAAACATTAATCATCCAAGATCTCCCCTCACAAGCATCACCACAAATTTTGCGTCTTTCCCCATCCTTCTTTTTTTCTCTTCTCTCTTTTTTCTCATTTTTTCGAAACTTCACATTTTCAACCTCTTTTTCTTTTTTTTGCCTCTTCATGCCTCCCCTTTCGGTTCGCCATTTCATACATCTATCATCCAGAAGCAGATAAATCAGACTGGGGTCCAGTTATGCTCCTTCTTGGGGCGTTCCGGGTCATCAATCCACTTCAACTCATACACATTATAATTGATCAACATGACCTCAATCTTCCCCTTCTCCTCATTGATCAAGAAAGTATCAATACCGTCCAGAACCTGCAGGTTGTTCTCGTAATCATGATACTCCCAACGTTCCGTCACCCACTGACCCTTCGGGGCAACATGGGTGCCAGTGATATTGTACTGGGTGGTAGGCAAGACACTATTCAGCAATCTAGCAGACTCCTTGATACCCTCATGGCCCTGCAAGGTGCGATCAAAGGTGCCGCAAAACGCCATCTTGAGTTTCTTGGAGTAGTTCCGTTGAATATCCAACGGGATGTCACCGATATACCGAAGGAGGATATGCTCCCAATAGACCTCCGAAACGGTGCGATCGGTATCTGGCTTCATGTTGCCGGAGAGCAGCTGATCCAGCACCGATTGGGGAGGCTTGCTGGCCTTGTCCTCGATATTGTTGGACATCTTGGTGAACTGAGCTTTCAGCCATTCCGCTCCCTTGGGCAGACGCGGATCAGTGATGATCATGTCAGGGTAGGCCTCAACAAGCCAATCGGCGATGTTTCTATGGCCTTTGTCCAGGGTCAGCTTGATGATGGTGTAGCTGTTACTGTCACGCAGATTGACATTGGCATGTCGCTGGCACAGCAACTGAACGGCCTCGAGCTTGCCCGAGACGGCGGCCACGATCACCGGGGTGTACAGATCGTGTTTCTTGCATTGTTCGTCGATCTTCTTTGGCTCCGCATCGAGGATCTGCTTGATCTTCTCCAGCTCACCCTTCTGGGCAGCGGCGAAGAGCGGACCGCAGATGCTAAAGTCCGGGTCGCTCGTCTTGCCGGGATGGGCGGACTGGGTCACGTATCTTGGGCCGTTTTGGTTGAGAGCGAAAGGCATGATGAAGAGTGGACTTGAGTAGTTGGTTTATTACAATTGACTTGCAGAAATAATGCTTGAGAGTCTTTCGATTGCGATGATAGAGAACTAATTGGGCCGTGACAATTGCTCCTTAAATATTTGCGCATCCTCGTCAACTTCCCAACGGGATGGAGATTCACTCTCTCAATGCGATCGTCATCGACGTTAGAGACAACCTTTGCAATACGACATACAACGGTGTCGTTGGCGCTCGATGAGCAGAACTGACGGAATGAGGAGCTCTCTGTCCTGTCTGTAGCATCTGGACTCGCGGATCAACAGCAGTAACCATGAACTCGCAGTTACATTCGCTCTCGATGTCGAACGTTTTCAGAAATCAGGAAGATTTCCAGAGCGAGTCATCACCATCATCGTGAAGGTGTTGATCTAGAACTGATATTCACGGAACGTTGCTGTGGTAAAGTCAAACGATATGACATGTCTTCGTTGGAGGAAATGATATCTTGTTCCCGATGCGGAATCCCTGAGAGATCTGCTTTGGGCAAAGAGTTGCAGTTCGTGATAGCAGCCTTTGACGCAGTGGCGCATGCCACATCTTCCATTCCTACGGTACTCACGTTGGCTGGCTGGGCTGGGCTGTCTGGATGACAGCTGTCTATATCCGTGCCATCTGTAGTACGTCTTCCGGTAATAGAGTTCCATATACTACTGGCATAAACGCAGCGTAATAGTGCTCATGCCTCTGGTCCAGTCCTGCAGAATGTTAGCAATGGTTTTCCGCTTTGGGTATGTTTCGCTGCGAACGTAGACTAAGGTGTTATGCTAGACACGTCTCGAATGTCATCTTGCTTGCCACACAGGAAGTCTGCATGCTCTAGATTAGGGATGACATATTCTACCCACTGACACCCACCCTTCGACATGTTCTACATGGCACAGTCGCCTACTACGGCAGTAGCGGCGAGTGGAGACGAGGCTGAAAGAGGCTGTAGTGTTGCATCTCAGTATCAACTCCCATCACCAAGTACGCGCACGGCATGGCCGGATATGCCTCGACTTGTTCACAATGAGGTAGGACTTACTCGGGGGCATTGGCCATGGCCCCCCAAGCAAATTGCTTCTGGGATACTGCACAACCAAGTGGCAAAGAGGACGGAAGGCTGAGGAACTTGACGTGGTTGCATTGACGGATGCAGTTGGCATTGGGTCTAAATCACCGTCGTGCTAGTGTCATTGAGATTGCACTTGCCCCGACCTTCAGCATGGACCCTGTGCTGTCTTCCGCTCCATCCGGGACGGTTTCCTTGACAGATCAATGCCACTCTGGCGAGCTGTCTTGGCCAGAAGATCAAGGGATTACGCATAATACGGTTTGCCGTTCTAGAGTTTTTAAGTCGGTGACTATCAAACCTACGTAGTAGTCGCGTAATGTAGTTAAGTTTACTGTCTCGTTGGCCCCAGTCAGAGTAGCTGGGAGATACATACAGCAATCCCATCTGATCTTGACTCTTAATGTGCACATCTCGTAATGAGGCCGAATATTATTATAATATGATGAGAAGAAGCCCTGGCGGAACGCTACGTGATTCAACACAAGAATCACCGTCCTAGTTTTTGTCCTTCTCCGACAGGATCTCCTGCTGGCTCTCTGAATCCTCCCGCAGGAACGTCTCCTTATCCAGATCCCGATACATCCAATAAAACACCCCCGCAAGAAGCACTCCCGGGACAGCAGTGCCCACAAACGGCCAAATCAGATGCGGATCCGCCAACGCCGGAACAACAGCCTGACTAATTGCGGACGAGACAGCAGACATGAAAAGGAAGAGAGCGACGACCAACGCGCGCATACTCTTCGGTGACCGGGAGAAGGACAGCTCGTAGCCGCTGACGACGGCGAAGAGCTCCGATAGGGCCTGAAGAACGTACATTGGGATCTGAGCCCAGACGGAGAGGGTGGAGACACCGTTGCCGATGTCACATTCTGTCGCGTAGTAGCCGCAAGGTGAGGTTTCGTAGACGCGCCATTGGAGGAGGGCACCGACGACACAACTTAGAGCTGCGAGGATGAAGCCGAGGGTGATGCGTTTGATGGGGCCAAATTCGATCCGATGTTTACGGAGTAAGGGGTAGAGACCGTAGTTGAGAATTGGCGATGCAATGATAATAGTTAGAGGATTGAAGTTGCTGACGAGGTCGTTCGGTGCACCTTTAGTTGTCATGGATCCCGCTTGGGAGTTGGTGATACTTCCGATGCCTCCGTTGTTGAGGTAGTAGAGGGGATAGAAGAGGAAGATCTGGCAGGCCACCAGCGTGCGTCGAACGTCGTCCACGAACCCATCATTCCAGCTGATCGGCTTCCCCTTATATGAGGCAATGCCCTTGCGCGCAAGCTCCGATGGCTTGACTGAGTCGAAATAGGCCTCCGATCCGAACTTCCGGAACCCGTTCTGTTGGATAGCTAGTTTGATGACACGCAAGGTGTCTCCGAGAATGTTCCCTTGTGGGGGCGTTTTGATCGTCTTCTTGTATACCAAGGCCAGGATAATTGGCATCAAGAAGTAGATAATGCCGGGAAGGAGGAATGCCAGCCAATACCCGACACGCTTCGCGGAGTAGCTGGTCGCCAGCCCAAAGAAAGCGCCCACATTGATCAGAGCTGTAAGGGTGATACAATGTCAGCCCTCCTTTGACATCAAGTATGAATTTAATATAAGCCTACCGTAAAATGTAAGTGTAAGTCGCTGGATCGTGGTTTCGGGGTGAACAATGACCCGTTCTCCGGACTTGAGCGTTCTAATGTAAGGATGCTTAAAGGTGACCTGTTCCATGACAGTCGGGGAGATATTCGGTTTGAATATACCTATAGTACTTGTCAGATTTTAGTGAACATAAAGACGGGGATTTGTATCCATACCGGCTCCTATTGCGAGAATCATCAGACTGACAATGAACGGAGCCATGCCATGGCCCGCCTGCAATATGCTCGGGATCGCACCGACCACCATGATAATATGCGAAACACCGCAAATGGCGACACCGATACAGATTGTCTTATATCGTCCCAGTTTCGTATCAGCTAGCCAGCCGCCAAAGATGGGAATACAGTACGCAAGGAACTTGAACAACAGCGTCAGTGCAGACGAGATCTGCAATCCCTGGCCCAATGCTCCTGCTGGCTTCTCCGACCCTGGCGCCGACGCTCCCGCACCATTCCCACCTGGGGGTAGAGGATATTGAATGAAATTCTGAAAGACCCAGGTGCAGCCATAGTAGGAGGCGCGCTCTGCAAACTCAACGGTGCAGAGCCAATATCCAGACCCTGATACCGGGCCAGGGACCTTGCGTAAAGTATTTAATTCCTCCTCGGTGGGCGCTTGGCCCAAATACTGGTCACCATCGTAGACAGGTTCGGTCGCGGATGGAGAGGCCTTTTCTTCGTCCGATACACTGAACGCCGCTTTCCTGTCCCCATTGAGTGAGTTCGACTCTATGGGATCCTGAGGAGCTAATCGCTGGTCAATTCAAAGTTCACTTGGACAAGAGAAACGAAAGGAGTATTGTCACTAACCCATGGTTCAGTATCGCAGATTGTCACCCTACTGAACTCAAGTCCTTTCCCCAGATGGGCACGGAAATGCCACTGTAGAAATATATAGTATTACCAACACGGCACATATGAGCGGGGGAGATGCATACGTGCATCCCCAGTTCCAAAAGAATAACGGAGGATCCAGATGTAACCCTAACAGAATGCCATTATGGTGGCAATGATGTGATTGGCATGGTGGTTTCGGCCTGCGATCAGTTGCATGTCGCCCTACAACACTAGACGGTTACTAGATTAGAACACGAACGAGGCGCATTAAGTCCCTCCTTGCTGTATCCTGGTCTTGTCTTGGCGTTGCACGACCTCACTGTCTCTCCGTGGGACGACGGCGATGGCGACATGAGCCCGGCAGATGATGTTAGACGCATCCCGTTATCACGCAAGGGATACAATGAGACCAAAGCCAAACATTGGAGATTTCACTCACGAACATCCCCGAAAATATTCCGAAAGGAGTCTGGAGATTGAACTTCTCGAGCCACGTGCAAGGTCAAGCGGGAGGAAGGCTATCGAAGATTATCCGGACGCGACGTGGGGAACAAATGATAACGAGAAAGCCCTGTTAAGATTCCATTCCCAAGCAAATCTAAATCTTACGTACTGGTCCATTCGCTTCATCATTGGCCCCGCAAGTGCTGATCGGCTGCGTCCAAGACGCAACATCTCGCCGGAGTCGCCACACCAGTTGCTCCTGCAGTCCACTCTCCAATCCTTGCGTAGTGTTATTATATTAGCTGAACAGGTTACTCCGGAGGTTCTTGTCTGTATATGAGAATAGCCAGAAGACAGACCCACGACCCGCACATTCCACTTGAAGTATAACCACATGCGCCATAAGATCACACTGAACTAGCGGAAAAGTTTAAACACAAAATAAAAGGCATAAAGATTTACCACGATGATAGGGTATAATATAGGGAAAGCCCATGGGTGAATCCGATAGCGAATGTGCCGGATCATCCACCGTTCGATCACCGTTCGCGGTGCTCCAGGGGTAAAGAACATGTCCTGCATCACGCCAACACTCAGCTCCTGACCTCTACTCGCCCGTTGAAAAGCGTCTTTCTCATATACACGCAATGTCTCTCCAAGTGTATTATTATATCTGCCATCGATGAACCCCCGAATCGCATCCGAGAGCTTCATCGCGTCCTCGAACCCCAGATTCACGCCTTCTCCAGCGAATGGTGGCATGAGGTGGGCTGCATCCCCCACGAGAGTGATAGCCGGATGGCCAGGCCATTGAAACCCAACCGGAAGCGTGTAGATACGCCGAGCCATTTCGTATTCACTAGTGGGTGCCAAGAGTTCAAGAAGCTCCGGTGCCCAGTCGCTAAATTGCCTGGCAATCTGATAGCGCCGACTTTCATCATCCGCCGAGGAAAGCGCATCATCGTCTTGGCTTTGTGTGGTATACACGGACACCTGAATGCTACCATCCCCGAGCTGTTGTCCCATCAGCGCTTTTCCGTCGGAGTACGCGTAGAGGGATCCTCGGTTGACGAGTTCAGAAACCTTTGGGGCGGCCTGGGCAGCATCAGGGATACTGAAAGCATAACCCTCGATACCGCAAAATGACGGACGTTCTGGCGTTAAATACCGGCGGACCCGACTCCAGGCGCCGTCTGCTCCCACCACCAGATCGAACCCCTGCTCGGTTCCTTGGGCAAAATGCAGGACATTCCCATTGGATACACCCAGAAGTTTGTGGCCCCAGCGTATGGTGTCCGGTGGCAGACTATCAAGCAATACCTGCCGAAGGACCACGCGGTCGATCTCTGGACTGCCACGGCTATTACCAGACGCTCCTTTTGCAAATTGCAGGTATCCGGTCAGGCGTTTGTCACACAAAAGCAATGCTTCTCCGTCGAAGCGAGCATGGCGAAGGAAATCCTCATAGAGACCAGCTTTTTTCAACGCCACGATGCCTGTGCCGGCGTGCAAATCGAGTGTGCCGCCTTGTCCTCGACTATTAGGTGATATATCAGCCTCATATATGACCACCCGCACTCTTGGACAGTTAAGAAGCAGGCGAGCCAGTAGACAGCCCACCGGCCCTGCCCCCACGATGGCGATATTGAAATTGTGCGACATCATTTAACACGACCGATCGCTAAGCTTCTCAGTGTTTGAGGGTTGCTCGGTGAAGAGTATCCGATAGTGTTGACAATTCTTGATGGCCTTCACTAAGGCTAGCCAATACGATATGCTAATCGGGGAGTCGAGGCTCCCCAACGACCCGTCTAATTTCTAGAACTGAGGGGGAATACGAACCCTGTCGACCAGCGGCAAGCGGCAAGATGCGACCGAGAGAGAATGAGCAACAATTTCCGCTCCACGGTTGAACCTTTGAGGTGCAGGTTCCCTACCCCAGGACGCTGGGTCCGTCTCTCATAATATCTGAACGTCCAAGAAATATGGCAGCCTACGTGGCCTAGCTATCGGTCTCTAGTCTTACTATAGTTTTATATTCCCCGTCCGGGCCAGGATAATTAAGGACTCGTACGCAACGTTTCGGCCCCACGATCGTAAGCTGCTGCCAGACGACAACGACGACGTATCCACAGTAGGGCACTACAGCGTCCGTGACCGCCTCAATTTCCTGATGTAGGTGTTTGGCATGTTTACTCTGTTTTTCGCTGTTGGCCTCCGACATCCTTTCACGAGCGACAGGTCCAGATTCTGCGAGAATGAATATGAAGACCAGTTTGTCAACATTGAGCTTATTATTTCTGTTGGACAACTTCCCTGTAATGGTGGCCAATATCCATGGCGCTATATGAGTGTTATCAGGCCTATCCAGTATAAATTAATGCCCGAGATATATATCCGCTGCATAGCCACCTTCACCCAAATCATATGTGTTACAACAATTAAGTTCTTGTGGCGAAACGATAAAAAACATTATAATAAAAAGTGAATGAAGGCAAGGGGAAAAGGATAATCACAGTTCAGTTTTTACGTTCCGTGATAATGTATTCTTGTATAGCGTTGGATCATATATGTCCACAAACCGCAACGACTGACGGGATCGAAATTCCAGAGCCGGAGACGAGAACCACCTCTACTTGAACTCGCCGGGCCCCGGCCCAAAATGGCCCCCATCCGAGACCTTTAGGTAGGGAACGGACTGCGAATCATACGTATTCGATCCAACATTATTGCCCCACCAGCTAAGCTTGGTGCCGGTGTAGCTTAGTGCGAAGAAAATGAGGATCGTAGCCAGGGCAGTGCCTGTGTCCATGGCAGCCTGGAGGAGGTCTGTGCTCAATGATTAGTATGGACTTGATGAACGGAATTGGGCAAAAGAACTCACAATTGTATCGCTTCCACCACTGGAACGCGCGTCGGCGGATCCAGAAGTTGAATATGAAGCCGACGATGAACCAGAGAGAGTATTGCGCTGAGTTTGTTAGTCTGTTGAATCCTGAAAAGGCGAATCCGGTTCACGTACTTGTAGTAGCGGGCGGGATATTGCCAGCGGCGTTGAAGAAGATTGGTACGTTCACGTACTTTAACCAGCTGTTGGGATATCGCCGATAGAGGAGGTACACGATGACAGTGACGACCGGCTGGCACGAGTTAGCCCAAGAAATATAATGGATTACCGACCGAGTGCGAACATACCCCGATCAGGAAAAAGTACATGAGGCCGTTGTATACTTGTCCCTTTTGGAACATTCTTTGTGGACCAATTGTTCCCCAAATGATGGATGCATTGTACATCACCTTGGAGCCGTTGCAGGTAAAGCGATTGGGGTTCTTAGGGTCACAGAGCCCAGAGATATGACCAAGCATCCAGCGTAGAACTGCACGTTTCTGTTAGCTGATTGAGCTCTTGTCATGGGAGAACAACGAAGCTCACCTCCAGTTTGAGTCATGGTCGCGATAATAGAGGCATATATCTGGCCGGCGAAAAGCGGACGCGGTGGGATTTTCTGTATTGTAGGTTCGTTAGTGAAGCGATAGGGGAGAGAGTATCGACATATCCACGCACCATATACTGTCCCATCTTGAGGTCTTGAGCAAAGTCCATGGCGTGCTTAATCGAGTTATACCCGTAGCACTTGACCATGGTGTTTGCGATCGCGCTTCCCGGATATGCATAGCCTGCGATTAGCTCCGTGATGATATTCAGAAACACGCGCTGGTTAGTCGTTCCTTGTAGAATTCCCTCCGGCAGAATCAAGACGACGCCCATGCCAAAGCAGACGACAAGGAATCCCCAGACGGGCAACTCCGTGTCCCAGTATCGGACGGTGAGAACGCCCAGCCCGAGCACAATAACGGTCAAGATTCCGTACCACCAGTCCGGCACGTCATTGTAAGTATGCATCAGTCGACGATGGATGTCCTCGCCACCAGCACGGGCGTTTTTGAGCTTGGCCCAGATTTCGCGACCGTTGTAGAGATACGTGTGCACGATCACGGCGGTGACTGCAGCAAAGCCGAGGCCGTAAGTCAGCGCGTACGCCATGGAAATGTACATTGGTGAGTAGGCTTGGTATTTGCTCTCGACGAAGTTCAAGTTAGCATCAACCACTCGTGTGATGTTATAGGACTGGCCGGTGTTGTCAAACGTGCCCGACGATAGGAGTGGCATGCTAGGAAACCAGTCAGATATTGTGTGGCAAAAACCATGAGAATCAGATGCACTCACTAAGCACTATTCCAGACATTGGTATAGTACAGAATGGGCGAGAGGAAGAAAAAGAAAATGACAATCGTGGCGAACGCATTGCAAGTGATGTAGAACGGGGTAGTCAGTGGAAACCCGGCGTAGTTTATCTCGGTCCAGTCGAGGCTGATGGGCAGAAGCCCTAAGCCCGAGTTCATCTGTATCACCACGACTGTTAGGCTCTGACAACAAATCTAGCATGAACTGTTGAGAGGTCTTACTCCGAACAATGTGTTGACCACCTGGTTGTGGGGCACAATCCAGGTGATAAACGCAAACGAGCTGAGACTGGTCCAGATATAGTCAGGGAACCAGAACAGCACGAAGCCGAAGAGTGTAAAATAAGCGAAAAAGCGGTATCGCGTGATGGTCCAACCATTGGCAGGAGAACGATCTTCACGCTCGTGAAGAGCACGAAAGAGAACGGTGGAGGAAAGAGACGTGGGCCAGATGAGAGCGGCTGGGTAGACAATCCACCGGCGAGCAAGCCCGGCCAGACCGAAACTGGAGAAAAATGGAATATTAGTATCCCAGACTTGAGAAAAGCCTCCTTGCAGCCAAGTCGCTTACCCAATCATCTGGGTCGTCAGAAGGTACAGAAAAGAGAAGCCCGGTCCAAAGTCGCGTCCCCAGAACCGAGGGTGAATGATTGCCATGAGTGACCCTTGCGCATAAGGCGTAGAAGCGCTGATATTGACACACTACATAGTCATTCCCAAGTGAGCAAGCGTGTCCAGGAAGTGTATGCGTAAAGGATGACTGACGATGACAATAAAGGCATGCTCTTTGACGGTGAACTTTCCCGGGTTGATATCGAATGACAGCCTTCCCAGAGGTACCCTCCAACGGGGGAGCTTTTCCCATGCCCGACCGATAGGAAACACGAGAAGTTGGGCTACAACATAGCCGATCGTGAGAGATGGCTTGATGCAGTCAGCGTCGAAGCTTGATCCAGTGCACGCATGTTAGAGATTCAAGGGTGCTCTACATACATATCGCAGGCCAAAGAATTGGTTCACGCCCGAAAATAACATAACAAAAATGGTCATGAGAATCCATGCTCGAACAGCTGCAATAAAGTCAATACATGCGACCGGCAGATCATTGCAGCGACTCACTGTTGCAGAGCATGGTTGGATCATCCGTGTTAGAAACACATGCGGCCACTTCAGGGACTACAAGATTCCCCCAGTTAGTTAATACATGACCCTCCGCTACCATTTGTCCGCGGGCTACCCACACGGTGATTGATCCCCGTCGACATTCCATTTGAATGCTTCTACCGGTGGTAATTCGCTTATCTCCCCGGGCTTGTGCATCTCATCTACCCCTCTGCCTGACTCTGAATCTGTCGTATGAGTCTCGACGGTAGGGCCGCCCTTGTGGTCATCATCTTGGCCACCTTGGGCTTTAATATCTGAAGGGCTCTCGGAAGGCATGGCGAAAGAAAGGCAAGTCCAATACTTTGCCTATTGATTGCGGTCGAGGCCTTCCACAGGAAACTCCGGGGAATCACAGCGAGAGTCTGTCAATAAATATAACGCAAGGGGGTTTTCAAGACTACAGGCTCCTACGAGGAAGGATTACAGCCGACCCACATAATATGGCAGGGTGTCTATCACGCTATTGAACACGAGAGATCACATCATAACGCTAGTGTATCGGAACACAGACTTCTTATAAGGGCTTGAAATTGTTACGTTGCAAGTGGAGCTAATCCAATGATACTTCAAGAGTCTATGATATCACCAACGGAACAATCCCGCGTGGGCCGCGAGGTGTAGAAGATAGAAAGCAGACAGCGAAAAACAAATGCAAAGTACATTTTAGAGAGTCATCTAGGTCAGGAAAAGAAAATAAGTGAGATGTTAACGTACCCAATTGCGTTCAATTTCCAGCGTGCACCTATCGTTCATACCACCTGATGGTGGGAACCCAACCCACCCACGGATTAAAGATGCCCGGCTCGAGATATCTATAACCGAGAGCCAAATGGTATCATATAGGGCAAAACACCAGGAGGTACGGAGAATAGCAGAATCGAAGAAGGTCCAACCCGCAGCTTTCCCGTTGGTAAACGTGAAGAGAAGCATTTCCATTGGATGCTTGGACATGCTTATCGAGAAATATTTTCGGCGTCGGTCCGGGCCGAGTTCGAGAACCAACCGAATGTCGTGCAATCATCAGTTACTTTCTCTCGTTTACTTTTAGTTTATTGGCAAAGAATTCGCGTGGCTGACGTTCGTAGTCAAGAGGTCGTCGGTGGCATGCCAATGGAACGGCGTAAACCCAAAATCGAGATAACTGGCACCCACTTCCGAACTGGAGCTTGATACTCAACTCAATCGAGCATCCCAGTAAATGCCGATCATGTCGACCGACACGATCAAGAGCAAATTTATTGCTGTCGCGCCCGCTGGGGGAGGTGGCAAATGGACAGTGTTCTCGGCTTCATGCTAAGTTTGCGCGACGAATCCCAATCCGTGCCCTAAGTTGCGTCATCGCTACCACCCCACTTCGCTGAACGATCGTGTCTCTGACGCGAGCTTGTATGCATTAGACGTGATACTAAGGCTGATGTATGTCCCTAACTTTACGACCGGGAAAATCTCGGGGCTTATTTAGGATTTAAGCTTGTCATTGAGACTAGCCGGCGGACAATTCTCGAGCCCGTGCACCCTCCAGACACATAAGGAACGCATATTGATTGCGCAATGGACCACATTCTTTCCGCTTGTCTTACTCCACCATCCTTTATTCTATTAATTCCATATACACGCTAACGTGTGCATCGTCCAAGAACTATAACGCCCTGCCATTAAACTGTCCATGGGGATGTACGGGCATCGTAGCACCCAAGAACAGTTGTGTATCAACCGATCTTTCATCGCTACTGGCAGCATTATGGTGAGACTTTACATACAAGGTCTTTTATTCGATCATTTCTTTCGAAGAGGAAATAGTCAACGTGCGTCTCTTGTCCCACTTCTTGGTTTATTCCTGCTTCGCTCTGCACAATAGGGCGCACTGGAACATCCGTGGAAAATTTCGCTGGTGGAACTCTCTCCGTTTCCTGTGGTTATTCAGTAGACTGGTGATTACATTCACATACGCCGATACTTTGGCCCGGTTCCCAATGGAAATAAATATATGGTATATTGGCTGGATTGCAGTTTTGTATTCAAATGCGCCCGATGCCAGAGTATGACGGAGCAATTGTCGGATGGCCTCCATTGTACGATCGGGGGATTTGGCGGACAGGAAACTATGGCGACTCCAGGTGCTGTACCGGCTACGGATCTACCTGGAGCCTATAAAGCAACTTTATCGAATTGTATTCCAAGCATTCAGTACACGATCTCACCCTCTTGCAAACCATGTTCGACATGATGGCGCTTCGGGTTCTATTGGCTGCACTCTTCATCCCACAATGGGCCTCTGCTTTACCGGCCCTGAATGGCAGCATACAAACATATAACTTTCCGGAAGGGCTGGATCAGGCACATGCCTACACCATTCAGGTTCAACAATCTACCGGGGGCTTGCATACCGTTGCATCCTACAACGCCATCGTGTCCGAAGCCAATACGACATCTGGAAAAGGAATCGAGCATAACACTTCCTTTGCTTTGTTCGACTTTGAAGGACCCGTTGAGCTCTCCGTCACCTATCGTCATGGGCCAGTTAGATCTGCTGTTATCAGACCATATTCATATGAGATCAAGCCGACTGTGCAAGGAAATACAATCTCTTTTACATTGGACCGGCCGCGCAACGTCGTAGTCCAAGTGAATGACGATGTGTTTGACACCTTACAGCTTTTCACTAATGCTATTGAGGCCGACATTCCGAGCCAAAATGATCCGAACGTGGTCTACTTTGGACCTGGCATTGACAATGGCCCCGACTCCAAGAACGGAACATTGGTTGTACCATCCGGCAAGACTGTGTATCTTGCTCCCGGTGCAGTTGTTACTTCTCGGCTAGCCTTTCAGAATGCGACCAGCGGTGGGATCCAGGGTCGGGGCGTGATCAATCCGAGGTCATCGGGCGGTATACTTATCGAATGGTCGAGCAATATCCTGGTAAAGGACATTCTCATCCTCGGAGCAAAAGGGTTCTCGGTCACGACGGGTACATCGAAGAATATCACGATGTTGGGAATCCGATCGATGTCTTCCACCGGGAACGGCGATGGGATCGACTTCTTCTGCAGCGAGGATGTGCTCATCGATGGGGTGTTTCTACGCAACTCAGACGATAATGTCGCTCTTTACCAGCATCGCTGGAACTACTACGGCGACTCGAAGAATATTACCGTGCAGAACTCATCCCTCTGGGCGGATTGGGCCCACCCGATAAACATCGGCACGCATGGCAATACCGACAAGCCTGAGACCATGGACGGGGTCACAATCCGCAATATTGACATCCTCGATCACCGAGAGCCGCAGCTTTGGTACCAGGGGTGCATTGCGATCAACCCCGGAGATAGCAACTTGATTCAGAACGTTCATATTGAAGACATACGAGTCGAGGATTTCCGCCTGGGGCAATTACTCAATTTCCGGGTGATGTATAACTCCAAGTATAACACGTCGCCGGGTAGAGGCATTCGGAATGTCTACGTTAAGGATCTGGTATACAATGGATCCCATGCAAACCCTTCATTGTTCTTGGGATATGACAAAGACCGGAATATCTCAAATGTCACGTTTGTCAACCTACAGATCAACGACAAGTTGATCGACGACAATATGAGTAAACCATCCTGGTATTATACTGCGGATTTTGTTCCCATGTTTGCGAATGAATATGTCGAGGGACTGAACTTTACGAGCGAGCAATAGAAGACAAGCGAGCCAAGTCCTCCACAATCCAACCAGATAGGTCCCAATCCCCCGCACAGCCCTAAGCTACAGAGACCCCCCATGTCCTGCGAGTTGTGATGATCAGAACGTGTATCTTTAATCAATTACGTGTCTCACATTCTTTGCACCAAATGTTAGCAAGATAAAAGGTAACCAGTAGTGTAAACAGCAGAAGTGCCAAGTAGGCGAACCGGAATATTACCTAAAAGGGAACCCCTCAGCATTCAGTTCAAGAGTGATTCATTGGCTCCATGCGATGATCCTCGCCTGAGCTCCACCAGTTGAAGGCTTCGGAGAGACTCCGATATATCCTCCGGCGCTACTTTTCTCCTTCCATGCGGGGAAAAAACAAACTCCGCAATCATGCAATTGTCTGCCCCGTGGGGGAGATGCACCCAATCCGTCACCACGGCAGTTGATATGGCATCAGGATCACAAATGACTAGTATTACCAGTCCAAACCCTCGTCAGAATGCGCTCTAAGGCAAACGGCCGATCCACACAGGACCAACGACCGCAACAACAAGACCAGGACGCCTCCAAGCCAGAAGACGATATCCCCGCTTGCCAGTCCTGCCGCAAGAAAAAGGCACGATGTAGTCGCGAGCAACCATGTTCGCAATGCGTGCGCTTTGATGTCGCATGCGTTTACGATGACCGTCGGCTGAAGCCTGGGCTACGTGCAGGGGCTGTTGATCAGCTCTATCGCCGGATTGACACACTAGAGAACATGTTTCTCGGACAAAGCGTTCTGTGGAAGCAGGTCTGGGAGGCACTTCATCCTAACTCTGCCTTCCCTGGCGCTCCAGATGAGGATTTACATAATGAGGAAACGCCGAGTAGACAATTCGCCCACGCGCGGGAAGCCATGAAAAAATCAATGCTACAGCTTGCTGAGACCAAGGACAAGGCAGGGCCTTCCATGGAGGCAGAACAGAACGAGGATAGTGATTTTCGGTCGCCAAAGCGACGAAAGGTCGGCATGTTGTCCACTCCTCAGCAGTCGCTAAGGAGCGGGACAGACTTCGACATCCTCAACTCGGACCTGGTCCACCACCTTGTCGAATTTTACTTTGCGAACATCCACCACTGGATTCCAATTCTGCATGTGAGAAGATTTCGTGAGCAGATTCAGTCTTACAAGGGACGCCAGAAGGCCATTCATGTCCTGCATGCTATTGTTGCGTTGTGTAGCCGGTTCTCCAACGATAGCCGCCTGGGAAGCGATACAGAGAAGGCCGAACTGGCAGAGAAAAGTAGGCAGAAGGTCATCTTGAGCAGCATGGAGTCATTCTCGGTCGAAAACCTCCAGGCTCTAGTGATCATTGCTTTTGATACAGTAAGCTGGTCGTTCCTTCGCCGTTTGCAGAATTGCTAATGTCCATGTAGATTGGTCGTGGACGTGGCCCATCGTCATGGTCCATCGTAGGAGGTATGGCTCGCACAGTAGAGCAACTTCAACTGAGCGTGGAAGAAGAGCATCTTTCGAGCCATTCTCAATCTGGCGAAACTCTAATACGGCGCATGGCATTTCTGAAACCATCCACCTCCTGGGGCGAAGCGGAAGAAAGACGACGCGTCTTCTGGACCGTGTTCCTTATGGATCGCTTCTGCAGCGTATCCACCGGTTGGAATATCAGTCTGACCAGCGCAGATGTTAAACGGCGACTACCCTGCGAAGGAGCACTTTGGGAGCAGGGGACTGAAGCAAGGCCGCCATATTTTGGCATCTCGGATGCAAAAGCCGCTAGCCCACATCGCCCCTTACTGACGGAAAGCCGGATGACGGCCGATCCAAAGGAGCAAGATTGTATCGGGGGATTCGCTTACTGCATCGAAGCCACCGAGTCGCTGGCATTAGTCACCAATTTCTTTCTTCACCACGCCCTCGACATCCGGGATGCGGACAAAGCGCAGCTCTGGCTCATGCGGTTCAAAGAGCTTGATCTCCGTATGGTCCAGTCAGTGTTCTTTCCTAAATACGTCGATCTATAGCAAAGACTGACCAATATTCAGATGGAAGCTTTTTCTTCCCCCAAAATGGCGGGACGCGTCAGTCCTTAATGCCGATGGTATCATGGACCCTAACCTTACTCTTGCACATACAACACACAACACAGCTGTAATACTCCTCCACCAAGGAATTGCCTACCCACCATTACACTGGCAGTCCTGCCCAGTCAAACTTCCTTCAACCTCATCGGCAGAAACTTGTCTCGAAGCTGCTTCAGAGATCAGTACGATTGGCCAGCAATTTCTTCTTTGCTCCCCCATCCTCACCAACCCCCAGTTCTCCTTCTGCCTCTTTATTGCCGGTAGAATGCTCCTCACACATTCCAAGTACTACGGTACTCCAATACCCAGCTCGTTGGATTCACTTATTGCCAGTTTGTTCGAAGTCTCCCGCCGATGGGCAGGGCCGCAAGATGTACACGGTTGCCAAAAGGATAACCTCGCCTCGGGCTTTGCTAAGCGATTGGTTCAAGCAAGGGACAACTTCCCTGCGCTATCCAAACCAAGCTTAGATATCCGACAGACAGCATACTCGGAAAATACTGACGATAGAGCACCTTCCAAGCATGTAGAAACGGTCTCTACACCAACAGTACTCGAAGCCTCCTCGGTGCTACCAAGCAATGCGTACGCGGAACAGGAGCCCCCACTGCCTATACCCGATAATCACTCTGATACCTCGGTTGGCTTGGCGTTCCCTCCTCTCCCCTTATCATTCCAGCAGACTCTCCAGAGTTTCACCGATGTAGATCCATTTGGTATTTCACTGGCAGATCGAGATCAGTTCAACCCTCAACCGTCACATGTATCCATCTGGAACAATGCGACAAGCTCGCTATACACTGATGCACCCATTGCATTGAATTGCGCGTCACCGGAGCATCCGCAAACAACGCTAAGTCCTGGGCAGAGGATCAGTCGCTATGGTGCAGTGGGAGTGGGTCGAACTGCTGTGATGGGCGAGGGTTCCGCACATCTTGGCCACAGTACTTAACAAGATAAAGTCTGCTCTCACTTCTCTTATTCGCTTTCAAATAGAGCTCCAACGGGAGAAACCTTCGACATTCTATGGTCTATCGCGTATACCTCTATCTGAGAATCTGTGTGAGCTTTTTATGCTCTACCAAGATATGCTCTAGTCAGAGCAAATCGCCATTATAATAAATGCTCCCCATGGATAGCAAGCCTTGTCCCACTAACCAGCCCCAACTCTAAGAGGATGTTCCCCATCAGCATAAAATAATAATCGGCATAGACAAGGCCATGGTTTGCCCAGCGACGAGTAGCAAACTCGTAGTTATTTATGGTCGCCCCATCGAGGATGGTCTCCGGCGTTCTCTTGCAAGCCCCGTTCCCATTTTTCGTCCGGGAATCCGTAACCCGAAGCGCTCCTGACTGCCTCCTTTCGTGCTCAGGCAGATCATCAGGATATGTCGGCACCACGGTATCAAACGCCTCAGGTTCAAACCTCAGATCGCCAGGAGTCATGAACCCTTTCACCGTCCCCACCAAAATCCTTATTGCAGACTTCAAATAGAAATCAGCAGCATCCTCAGCCACGCCCCTCAACGCCTTATAAATCAATAACAGCCCACAGCCCGCCACCATGCCCGCCGAGGTATCCTTTGGACAAGATGAGTTCACAGGAGCGTCAAAGTCCCAATACGGTACTCCGTCGTCGGGCAAACGACGGATAAAGTAATCAGCCAAGCTTCGTGCCGTAGTGAGAAACTCCATCTCCCCCGTCCACTCGAAGGTCTGCACGAATCCCAGGATGCCCCAGGCCTGGCCACGAGCCCAACAGCTCCCATCGTTATATCCCTGATGCGTGAACTTCGATTTGGGCAGACCGCTCTGCGCGTCATAATTAACAACATGGACTGTGCTGTCATCCGATCTTATGTGATGTTTAGCTGTGGTCCGCGCATGCGCCACCGCGATATCGTGAAACTCTGCATTTCCCGTCTCCTTCGCAGCCCAGAACAACAAATCGAGGTTCAACATGTTATCTATGATCACCAGGAAATCCTTCTCGGGGTCTGTGAAGGAATATCGTTTAGTATGGCAAATATCCCAGCTGCGCAATGACTGAACGCGCTCGTCGAACCGACTAGCCAGGGAATGCGCAGCTAAAGCCAAACTGTTGTAGGCCTGTGGGTCGCGGTTTAAAGACCAGGCCTTCATGGCCCACGGCGCGATCATGAAGCCAGATCGTGAGTATCTCGCTTTGCGGCGTTGGTGTGTAGATTGGCCGTCCACCATTGGCAGAGGTACTGGAGCTGCAGCTTATGAGGCAGCGGGCTTTTTCTACTGACTCGCCACGGTACGTCGTAGAAAGTTGGATAGAGTGTCTGCCGCTCAAGGAGGAGATATAGCGACCCGGGGAAGAAGCCTGATGTCCAGAAATCGAGAATCCGGTAGACATAGGTTACACCATCTGCGCCTGTGTACTCTGGGTAGAGTGTCGGCGGCGTCGCATTGCCCAGTGCTTTACTCGCCACGTTCCAGAGTTTTGCTGTTGCGGATTCAGAGTAGAGGGCTTTGACTACCAGGGAGGGGGTGGTTTCGCCAGAGACTTCGCTGGTCTTAGGCTTTTTAGGGGACTGTTTTTGTTAATGTATCTTCTTATTGTTTGCTCAAAGGGTAGGCAGTTACATTTGTTCCATTCTGCCATGTTTCTAGCGCTCGTTTCGCTGATATTGTGGTCTTTTCGTGCATTGTAATATTCATTCGGATCGTAGATAGTAGATTGGTGGAGATATTCTGTCCAGAGTGTATGTTCTGGGCGCAAAGAGAAATACGTATCAGCACCAAGGTTCAAGACGCCAATGTCCACGTTTCATAGAATGCTGGATTGTTATAGTCTGGTCTATAAAGAACAGTCAGATACTCGTTGTAAGGCACGGCAGCGGAGGAATGGCCGGGACATCGCCGATTAGATCTCGGCAACTTCAACAGCGAGGGTCTCGGAGCAATAACCGGACCTCGCCCGATGACACGCTGCTTCCCCAGATTCCTTCTCCGCGACTGGCAATATGGTAGTTATTCCAGAGGGTTAATAATGAGCCTGCGACGTGATGGCCCCAGTTTAAAGCTTAATGACATGCATCTTTCCACATACAAATGCATCCATAGATCCTGTATTTCGCGACTGCATTCCATTATCAACAATAACCTGAAGACACTCACACAATGGCCGACATCCAAACAGACCGGAAAGGCATCTCCTCCGAGCATGAGCATGTCGACCCGCCCGAGAAAGCTGGACACTTGGCGGGGGTCGATGCAGAAACAGCAGCCTATGCGTCTGGCCCTCCTGTCGAGATCGACAAAGCTACCGATCGACGGCTTTTCTGGAAGGTCAATAAGCGGATCCTCGTATGCATGGTTGGGGTATGTTCCAGGGACCGAGAATAGGCTGCTACGATCACTAATAGTGGCACAGACGTACTTCTGCCAAGCGCTTGATAAGGGCACTCTAGGGTTCAGTTCCATCATGGGCATCCAGGAAGATACCGGTTTGGATAGCAATAAATATAACTGGCTCGGGACAATCTTGTATATTGGAGTGCTTGTTGGGGAATATCCGACCAACTTCTTGGCTCAGAAACTACCGGTCGCCAAGTACCTTGCGGCGAAGTGAGTTTGCATTCGATATGTTCGGAAAATGATTGACTGGAATAGTGTGTTTCTCTGGGGAGTGGTCATTGCAGTATGTTCAACCTGATGTGTACACGCCATGGCAGCAACTGACATATTCCAGTGCAGTGCGGCGGCCACGAACTTTCCTGGATTAATGGTCGTTCGATTCCTCTTGGGGTTTGTCTACCGGTCTTGGAATATGTTATCACTCTAACGTCTTACCAGCTGCTTTGAATCTTGCGTTCAGCCAATCTTTATTCAGATGACGTCCATGTGGTATACCCGCAAAGAACAGCCAATTTTAACAAGCCTATGGAATTGCAGTAGGTGCTAGCCTACCTGCGAGCATTACTCATAGCTAACCGTCGCAGTGATGGGCGTCCAGATGATGGTACTGATCCTCTCACCTACACCTACACTACTCTAACATCACATAGGTAGGAGGCATTATGGCCTGGGGCACCAGCCATTACATAGGGCATGCCATCAGATCCTGGCAACTACTCTTCCTCGTCCTCGGCGTGGCGACCTGCGTCTGGGCTGTATTCCTAGCCTGGTACCTCCCTGACAGTCCGATGAAAGCAAAATGCTTCACTGAGGATGACAAACGTTTGCTCGTGGAACGAGTCCGGGCCAATGAAACCGGTATCCAAAATAAGACCTTCAAGAGGTATCAACTGGTGGAAGCACTCACGGATCCTATCATCTGGCTTTATGTCCTCATGCAGGTATCAAGTACACTTGTGCTGGGTGGTTTGGGTGTCTTCTCCAATATCATCATTAAAAGCTTCGGATTTACGACACTGCAAACACAGTTGCTCAATATCGCACAGGGTGCTGTCACCAGTGCTGTCATGGTGGGTGGGGCGTCGCTGTCATCCTGGACGGACCAAACCATCTGCATCATGCACCTGTGGACAATGTAAGGACAGTCCTGATTCCGATAGTATATACTAATATACCCTGCCAGCCCTCCCATAATCGGCACCGCCATCATTTTCACCATCGCGCCAACCGAGTCTACAAGGGTGGGCCTGTTGATCGCATTTTACTGCACGCAGTTCATCTGGGCCGAAGGAAACCTTCTATTCTCGCTGATCTCCCGCAATGTCGCCGGCCAAACGAAGAAGTCGACTGTACTCGCCATGACATTCATCGCCTGGGCCGCGGGCAATGCGACCGCACCACAGGTATACACGTCCCTGTTGACCATATCAGATCCATGTGAACTAAACAGAACAAATAGATATTCCAATCCTCCGACGCACCACGCTATACCAAGGGCTTTATAGCCCATTTCTGTCTCTATGGAATCATGAATGGCACGCTGCTCGTTACACGATGGCTCTTGGTTCGTCGGAATAAAGGGAAAAGAGACGCCACTGCAGCAGCTGTCGTTGAGAATGGTAGTCCTGAAGATATTGGTCACTCGGGCGCTTTCTTGGATATGACGGATGTGGAGAATCCGGATTTTCGGGTAAGTGCGCTGAGGAATTCTGTTTGGTTCGTAACTGATGGTTGTAGTATGTACACTAGCTGTTGTGCTTCGTATGTGCTCCATAATTTGATGGATTTAGGGGGGAATATTGGTTTACTATTCAAGTTCAAGCCCCGTAGGCCATAAACCCTCCTTGTCATGTAGGCCCAGTAAGGTTCTTCTCATTGTACGTCCAGCCTATAGAACGAGGTATCCATCCTATGGTGATTTTGTAGTGATCTACAATCCCAACACAGGATGGGTTCAGGGGTTTCCCACAACGCGCCCTTGGATTATCGCTGTTGAATAGTTGCCTTATCCCCAGATGACGAGGGCTGTGGTACATAGGCCCAATATCAACTAAAAGCAAATCAGGCAACGCTTCCAGTTGACTGATATAATGTGATGACGCCTCGCTTTTGTCATCCGGGCCAAGTCCAAATGCTCATATTGCTTAGGGTGTGTTGATACATGGAACGCCAACCTTTTCCTCCAAGAAGCACACAACGTCATCAATTTCGTCCGGTACTTTATACCAGTGTCCAAACTCTCCATACGCCTTCCAAGTCACATCCATCCCGAACCCCTCGGAAAGAGTAGATGCCATTTGCTGTCCTAGGTCTACCGCCACTTTAGGATCTGCCGACCCATGGCCCAGAAAGACAGGCGTCTGTAAGTTGGACCAGGACGGCTGTTACAAAGCCGACAGGTCAAGAATATCTCGAATATGATTGATCGCCTGGACATGCCCAGGGACATCCTCGCCGTCCTCATCGTCATGAGAGAAAGGATCATCATCGTCAGTCACAGATTCATCTTTACTAGATCCCAACAACCTCGAAATCTCTCGTTGAAAAGGCAGCCAACCGCTCATTCCAATGAATCCACCAAGCTGTTTGATCTCACCATCTTCAGGAAAGCCTCCAAGAAGACACAAGACAGACGTCGCACAGCCTTGACTCAGCCCTCCGATGATGACGCGACTATACTCGCCATTTAACAGCCGCGCCTCTTCGTCTATCAACCCACGCAGGACGAAAATACTTTCCTCAAGTCCATCGACCTGTAAATCCGTCCGGGTATTTGGATCTTCCAATGAGTAATTGTCAAACCACTGGTTGATGGGGATCCTTTTTAGCACCGTGGAGCGACGTTTCCTCGCGGTGGGGAAGACAAACTTCACTGTTGGGAGACGTCGCGCGATGTGGGTTGATTCGAGGAAGACCTGGCCAAAGCGCTCACCGTTGCTGCCACGGCCATGGAGAAGAATAAGTGTATGGGTATGCCGGTCGCTCCTTTGAGGTGCGATCACCAAAGGAGCGGGGTACGGCTTCGAACCTGGCATGTTGAACACTGATTGGAATTCAATCAACTGGAAGACAAAGCCGGCGCTTACATTCTTCCAGTCGCGAGCACGTGAATTCGGCTGAACCCTAGCTAGCTAGAGGCTGAACATTACCAAGCACGATTTAATTATTCGCACTGTTCTGTTTTCCATATTGGTACGCACAAAGACACTTTGTTGGCTTGGTAGATAAGCGAAATATAGCCAATTCTTTAATGACCCAGCGAAACTCTAGGGCGGTCTCGTCGGTCTACCCTAGAGATCTGCATGCCTTTCCACGTACATACTCGGCTGCATTTTTCGTCTCGTTGATTTGGTATTTTAGGTACCAGTGGACATGGACCGCAAGCTTACCTACCGGGCCGAACCTATGTTCCGCTTTGAGCTTTGGGTGGACATTTCCCAGCCTTCGACACCGCTGTCCTACCTGTCCCCTGGAAACGCTGGCCTCCCTTTACAATGGTATAAATTGATGTAGTGGTACTCGCCACGGTAAATCAGGTGGTTGCCAAGATAAGTACTGGTGAATGAAGCATGTCGTCCAGTACTAGGACAAGTATTGACAATCATATCATTATCATGAGGACAGCCGATGCATTTATGTAATTTGAACACAGGGACAGAGTAGAGCGAGGAATCCAATCTTGGCAGGGGAACAAAATCCCAGCGTCAAGACTGGGTGAGTATGTTATATAAACATTCTTGGGATCCACAGAAGAATCCCAGGTGTTGGCTGACAAGAAATTGTGACCGCTGCCAAAACCGTCCAAATTGTCTGCTGCGTCTAGAGTGCGCCGATCGGTATTGGACTAGCTCGTCGGACCCACTGGTTTCAAGTGTCATACTGGTCCATGTCAGTTGCATCGCCCAAAGTGTGTCGCACTACCTAATGTGGTCGAATATTTCGATGCATTCGGACTTCTGGACGTCATGAGTGGCCCTAATCCTACCCAGCTACAATGTTGCACCACTGATGGACCTTCTTATGTGATATCATATTTTGTGGGATGTAACCGATGTCTAACACTCTAGCCGCTTGTGCATTATGAACCATCGCATGCAGAAAGAGTAGCGGTGTCTCTTTTCACATAAACTACTCTTCATCCGTTCTCCTATTCTCTGTTCTCTGTTCTCCTCACATCCTGTGTGCTTCTGACCTTTTTTCGTTTTCTCCCTTTTCCTTTCACATTTCCACTGCAGGCTATGTTCAGCTAAGTTTTCACTAAGCAACAAGGGCTGTTGACCAACTTGTGCCATGTCTGGAGTAAGACAAGCAGCGATAGCAGCAGCCAGCGCTGCCGCAGGTGCCGGTGCAGCGCTTCTATACACATCAACAGTTCAACCACGTCAACCTGAGCCGACACTAGAAATCATAGCTCCCGATTCGCAAGGTATCTCCCCGCTGCCCGGTATACGAACCAAAGGTCTTCCGGTCCAAGTTCCCTCTCCCGGTCTTGCGATAACATCGTCCATTCTTCCCAAGGTGGATCCAACCGGCATACTAAAATACGGCCATCCCGGCCCAGTAGTCGACGAATTGAAAGCGCTCCCTTTCTACGGCGCATATGACCGTCGTACGCGGAATCCCCTCTGGGTCGCAGAACACATAACACCAGAATCACTCGCTCAAACCATCTCAGCGCGCAAGGACAACTTTCGGGAAGATCGGAGTATCCCTAAGATCTTTCGCGCCAAGGTGAGCGATTACTCCAAAAGCGGGTATGACCGCGGGCATCAAGTCCCCGCTCAAGATGCGAGGTGGGATCAAAAAGCCCTCGACGATACCTTCAAGATGTCCAACATGTGTCCGCAGGTCGGCAAAGGGTTCAACAGTGGCTACTGGCTTCGCTTGGAGGAGTTTTGCCGTAATCTGACCACAAAGTATCCCTCGGTGCGGATCGTGACCGGTCCTCTATACTTGCCGCGTAAGGATGACTCCGGCAAATGGCGCGTTAGCTATGAGGTTATTGGCTCCAGTGAGGTTGCCGGTGCAGAGGATATCAGTCTGAGGGAGAATAACAACTTTGCACCGAATGTAGCCGTTCCTACGCATTTCTTCAAGATTATTTATGGAGAGGAAGAACCCCAGGATGAAGACGGGAATGAGAGTTCCACGGGTGAAGTTGCGCTTGGGGCGTTCGTCCTGCCAAACGCCCCGATAGATAACTCCAAGAAGCTGGCAGACTTCGAGGTCGATGTTGCCCACATCGAGCGTGCCAGTGGTCTGGAGTTTGTGAAGAATCTGGATCCCAAGCGTCGGAAACGGCTCTGTGAAGAGGTTCAGTGTGATATCTCGGTTAAGGAATTCAGCGACCAAATGAAATCGAAGCTGTGATAGACATTGTCAATTATTTTGCTTCTCAAGACCAAAGGAAAAGGAACGGGGGTTTAACTGAGGGATATAATCCGTCTTCTTTACTTCAGGGCTCTCAACGCCAGTATCGGATATCTGCAATGAGGCTATGCCAGAGTGGAAAGGCTGGATGGTACACCAAAGTGCTGCAAGAAACATCTACGGATTGCTTGAAGATATGAGCTAAGTTTTTTATAAGCATGCACTTCCTTGTGTAAGCAGGTTCAATGCTTTACGTCTTGATGTCAAAATTCGCGTCCTCTTCTCCTCCATCTGGCTTTGCACAAGCGTCGTCTCTACTACGTCAATTTATCCCACCTTCTCACGACCGTAGCAACTGGAGTATATTTTTAGGTGTGGGTCACGGAGTACCCACAGAAATTACGAAAATAGTTGACTACTGAATGCTTCGCTCGGTATCGTGCAATGGGTGTGTCCACCTGCTTATTTTCCAGTTTCTTGTATGGCCCCCAGAGTGGAATCCTTGGATGCTTCCTATCCGTAATAGCGCTTACTGGCTCATGCTAAGCACAAGTGGGTTGGTTTTTTTTTTCGAAAGTCTAGCCACGAGAGATGCACGTCTTTGGCCAAAAGACTGATGGTGAGATTATAGTGTAATTTAGTGCGAGGCAGCTTAAGCTATCGAATCATCTTCCTCCCTCCGCTTACTACGGGAAACTAAGCAGCGAACTTGCCGCCCCGGCGCAGCTTCGTATGACCTCTAAGCACTCTCTCTGCTATTCTCTACCGCACATGCTTCAACAAACCCTACAAGTCTAGATCTATCCTCACCACTATAACTCTGCAAAGCTATAGAAAATGTTCGACTTCGACGCCCTCCTCGCCGACTATACTGCCAAAGAAAATCCGAAGGTACACGGTGTAATATGCAAATGCGTAGATAAGAATGGTATCGCATGCTGAAAATAACTTCCATCCACAGATCCCCTAACATAAACCCCAGGAAACGAAATTTACAACAAAATAGCGGGCTACAACTCCCTCGCCGCAGACGCCACGCCCCTCCATGAATCTGCCGTCCTCAAACTCGCCAGCGCCACAAAGCTCATCACCAGCATCGCACTCCTCCAATGCGTCGAAAAAGGCCTCATCACCCTCGATTCCCCTCTCACCGAGATCCTTCCCGAGTTCGCCGACGTCCAAATCCTCACCGACGTCTCGGGATCGGACTTCACCTTCGAACCAAACAAAACCGCCATCACGGCGCGACATCTTCTGGCGCATACTTCCGGATTAGGATATCCGTTTACCAATCAACTACTGGGGCGTAGAGCGCAGGCTAGAAAGCATCTTAAACCTTCGCTCCGCGTGACGGAGAAATATAGCTATCCGTTAGTGTTCGAACCGGGGAGGGGTTGGTTATATGGCTGTAGCCTCGACTGGGCGGGGGTGGTTGTCAGCCGTCTACACGATGGGATGTCCTTAGAAGAATACATGATAGAGAACATCTGGAAGAACGTAGGCGTTTCAGCCCCCTTCCCGCGATTCAATATCTCAACCCATCCCGAATATAACGCACGGATCATGCACGGCGCCGTCCAAACCAGCGACGGACGACTGGAGCCCTGCGATAGCTGGGCCTTTGATAACCCCGAAGATCAAGAAGGGGGTAGCGGCCTCTCCTCCACGGCGAAAGACTTTCTCGCCGTGCTGGCAGATTTGATCTCGGAGGCTCCGACGCTGTTGAAACCGGAAACGATCTCGGAGATGTTTACGCCGCAGCTTGTGCCTGGTTCGGCCAGTGCGCAGATGCTCCTAGAGTTACGGCCTGCCTGGGCGACTGTAGCTGGGCCTGTGGCGGATGATGCTGTGAATCATGGGTTAGGTGGCATCTTGTGTACTGGACCGGTGCCTGAGATAGGGCAGCCCGCGAATGTGCTGGCGTGGGGCGGGGCGACTAATATTGCCTGGTGGCTTAGTCGGGACTGGGTGTTGCGGGTTTTTTGCGACGCAGCAGGCTCCGTTTGGGAATCCGGCGGTGACGGGGCTGGTTAATGCCTGGAAGAGAGATTTCTGGAGGGGGTTTAATCAAGTGGATCATATCTAGGTAGGACTTCCTTTGCTTGGAGTATTGCTGGAATGATACTGTTCAAGAAGCCACAAACTGTCTGACACAACGCAATTGGTAATGGTGAAACACTTTGGACGTGCATTGTTTTGGGACTATAAAAATTAGGTAATAAATTCGAGAGTAAGCTATAAGATCGATATTAAAATGGCTCAAGCTCGGGGCAAGTGCCGGCACAGCTCCGGGTTGCGGGATCCCATGGGGAAGATGTCGGAGATACAACATCTGCGAAACACTCAGCGCAGAGCGAATATGATAATCAACTTCCCGGTGGGGTTAAACGGGTGGGGTGCAATAAAAAGCGTGGTGCTGCGGTTCAGTTGGAACGATAGCGACAAGCAATTCAGGGGGTCCAGGAAGATGCTGCTAGTATGTCCCCATCCCCGATTGCTCTCGTTCTTCTACCTAATGTGGGCCCAATCTTAGAATAGAATAACAACCGGATGCGCGGCAATTATTGCCATCAGCATTGGCTTGACTCATGCCACCGTACTCGATATCCCTGGCATATTCCCGGCCATCTCTAACGTGGCCCCATTCGAGTCCATCGACACGGCACAGTATTTCAAAAGAAACCCTGGAGACTTTGTCCATCCCGGGATTTGGCATACACACGAGGACCTCGAGCGCATGCGGGACAATGTGCTTCGTAACGAAGACCCCTGGGCATCGGCGTACCAACGCTTCCGCGCCGACCAGTACTCTCTTGCCAATTACACGATGGAGGGACCCGCCGCTGTGATTTCCCGGGGTAAAATCAGTAACTACTCCTCGTTTGCGCATGACGCGCGAGCCGCATGGCAGAACGCCCTGATGTGGTATATCACCCGGGACCAAACGCATTGGGGCCGCAGCACCAGCATCCTGGACGCGTGGGGGTCGAATCTGACGGATATTGTCGGTATTGACCGGTCGCTGCTGATTGGACTGGACGGGGACCTGTTTGTCAACGCAGCTGAGATCATGCGATGGGAAGGGAATTGGACGGAGTCCGGTAGTAGATGGCAGGGGGGCAATGGGTTCAGCAATCAGCTGTACTGGCTGTTCTCCCGACAGTCCGTCGCCATTGGGCAGGCGAACTACGGAATGGCCAGCATTAAGGCCTTGATGAGCTTCGCGGTGTATCTGGACGATGTACAATTGTATAATTATGCCGTTCATGCGTTCATCCATGATCGTTGCGCCGGGTTATTGGCCATGTATCATCCCAAGACGGGGCAGTCGGTGGAAGCGGGGCGTGATCAAGGTGCAGTACCTCCTTACTTTGCTGATTCACACCGACCGATAAGGCAGGCATGCTGACAGCATCAGGCCACACCATGTCGGGCATCGGGTGGACGGCGTATGGCGCTCGTGTTGGGCGAAGCCAAGGCAGCGATCTTTATAGTCTCGGGGGTGGCTTGTTACTCCGAGCGGCCGAGTACGCCGCGACGTATAATCTAAACCACACCGTCTTTTATGACCCCCAGTGGTACCGGTGTGAAGCAGTGCTGGTCAATGGCCCGTGGCAGAACATATCCGAGGCCAATCGTGGAGTCACCAGCAAGAACCCCATGTGGGACATTCTATTTTATGAATACGTGGTGACGCGGGGAAATGACGGGCCCTGGACCACAGCCGCAAAGGAGGCCCAGGGGTTCGCCGGTGGAGTTTCCTCCAACGACCACCCCAGCTGGGGAGATCTGATCTGGGCGCGGTAATTCGTTATTTTCATGTGGGTTCCATCGGTTACCCCGACGGAGTTGCAAGCACTACTCCGGGACTAGTAGAACAGGTCTAATACCTGGAGAGGAAGTCCTTGCGGATGTCACCCTATGTATGCTGCCAGATGAGATAATAGATATTATTCATTTCCGTCCCGCTCCGATCTGGTGGAGAGGAATTGTGACCGGGTCCATCTCTCCATGACAGCATGACCATCCCCATCAGTAGATCAGAACAGGCAAAGAGCCATCAACAGTACTCCAGCATTGTTTGGTGGCGATCTGAGTGACAGTCTGTCAGTCTCAACTTAATTGTTTTGTCAGGGTCCAGCTCTAGACCACGTGTCGGCAACGCGAAGCCGAGGAGGCGCTAAGACCGAAAGCGGGAACGACGTAGAAGATTCCGTTTTGAGCCTACGGAGAGAAACGTGCCCAGACCCAAACGAGTCAAACAGTCAAAACCTGATCCGCACGAAGTCACCGATTAGAGTTGCGCCACCGCCGCATCCGTTGACAAACCTTAAAACCCTGGGCGATCCGTTCAAGGGAACACGTGCCGTGTCTGGGGTCGACGGATTGACAGGATTCAACAACGTCTGTCCATGATTAGGAGCCCGTCGACACTAGTGTGCAATCGGTAGGTGATTCGACTTCTCATGAATAACCGTCTGTCTCGTTCCTCGTTTTCTCCGTGCCTGTTTTCTCTGACTCACACTAATGGTGACGAAGTGGAGCCGGCAGCGGCTCTAATGCAGGTTATGCCCCCGACATCGGACTGGTCGGACGGAAAACTCTTAATTTGCCTTCCGATTTGCCAATCATCTCCCGCTATTAACTAACGCATTCCTCCCGCGTCCATAACGTTTCGCCTCTCGCCTTCTCCCTTTCCTCTTCGATTTATTTACTACTTTAACACGCCTTCCCCCCCGCGCACACACATCTTCAACACCGTGTGTGCATTTGGATTGCGATCATCATGGCGTCGTCGGATGTCAAAGATATTGAACATGGTTTGGATCGGAGGGAGGATGACTCCGAGAAGCCTCCGTTCGAGGACAACCTGAAGGAGGAGCCTCCTCGGCTCGAAATGGACGCTTTCGGTGCTGAAGAGACGGCGGAGGTCAAGTACAAGACCTTGGATTGGTGGTATGTGTGATCGACATCCCTGGGAATCCTTCTAGAAGCCTGGCTGACCAAAACTGCTATGATAGGCAATGTGGAATCCGTACGACTCCCCGCGCAGAATGGCGAAATGCTGGAATCAGTATACTAACCCTCATGCCATAGTCATGATCGCTGAAACGGTCTCCGTCGGTGTCCTGTCACTACCGGCCACTCTCGCATCCATTGGTCTTATCCCGTAAGCATTGCGCCACAGTCAATTCACCCGACACCACCGTTACTGACCCCCATGGGCTAGGGCAATCATCCTCATCGTCGGCCTTGGTATTGTCACCACCTACTCGGGCTATACCATCGCACAATTCCGACACAAATATCCCTACGTGCATAGCATGGCCGATGCCGGTTTCATCCTCATGGGTCCCATCGGTCGTTATGTCATCGAAGTCGGACAGCTGCTGTTCTTCCTGTTCGCCTGTGGCAGTCACCTGTTGACCTTCACCGTCATGATGAACACCTTGACGGATCACGGCACATGTTCCATCGTGTTCGGTGTCGTCGGCTTGGTTCTCTCCTTGATCTTCTCCTTGCCCCGGACCATGAAGAACGTCTCCTGGCTTGCCGTGACCTGTATAGACACCCCTTATCCCTTGGTTATGATATGACCCGTCGGTTGACCATGGAATTATAGCCTTCTTGAGTATCTTCACCGCCGTCGTAATCACTATGATCGGCGTCGGCATCGAGCGTCCCGGATATGACGAGATGCAGCTCACTCGCAAGACGAATTTCGTCACCGGCTTTACCGCAGTGACCAACATTGTTTTCGCGTACTGTAAGTCTTCTCTTGGCTGTTCTTTATTCAACAACACGAAGCTAACATGTGCGTCCAGGTGGCCATCCTGCCTTCTTTGGTTTCATCGCGGAGATGAAGAACCCACATGACTTCCCCAAGTCCCTGTGCATGTTGCAGGGCTTTGAAATCATCCTGTACACCGTCGCTTCGGCCGTCATCTACCGCTACGCTGGACAGAACGTCGCCTCCCCCGCTCTGGGCTCCGCGGGTCCAGTGGTGCGGAAAGTCGCCTACGGTATCGCCATCCCGACCATTGTCATCGCCGGTGTGGTCCTGGGCCACGTAGCCATCAAGAACGTCTACGTGCGTATGCTTCGTGGAACCGAGTTGATGCACAAGCGGAATTGGCGGAGCATTGGTGTCTGGATTGGCCTGGCCGTAGTCTTCTGGGTCATTGCCTGGATCATTGCCGAGGCCATCCCCGTGTTCAGCAACCTGCTCAGCTTGGTCAGCGCTCTCTTCGTCAGTTGGTTCACCTTCGGTCTTCCCGGTGTCTTCTGGCTTTACATCTATAAGGGCCAATATTTTGCCTCGCCGATGAAGATCTTCCTCACTCTGTGCAACGTGTGCTTGTTCATTTTCGGTGTCATGATCTGTGGCCTGGGTCTCTGGGTGTCCGGCGTGGCTATCCACAACGATAAATCCCACGGCAGCTTCACCTGCGCCAACAACGCCACTTAAACCCCGGTGGTTTACGTTTTCATATTAATCTCCTAATTGGCCGATCACTTGAGACTCTACTCCCAGAATTTCACCGTCCAATTCATGACGGTTCTTCCCGTGAGAAAACATGGCGATGCATCCTCCCGTCGGTTTTCTCGCTACATTTATACTCCCTTGAAACAACACCCGCTTCTCGGTTATATCTACGAGCCTGGAAAATGGCCATTATTTCGGGACTGCAGTTGTATCGGATTGAGGGAAACACCCCACCGTGTCTATAGCGAGCCCACCCGAGCTCATACATCATCGGGTACGATATCGACACCACACTCCCTGCATCACGGCGTGGATGGGTTTTAGAGTTGGGAGCATTGGAGTTTTGAGCTTTTGATCGTGGCCATTGTACAGTCGACCAATGCATTGTATTATAGATTATGCATCACAATTATACCCCCATAGAATTTTCATCTATGCATCTGTAACGCTTGGTTTTCGTAAGGTCCTGTGGGGCTGTTTTTCTAATTTAGCCTTGCGATTAGATTCTGCAACAGATCTCGCGTTCCTTGGTTCGCCTTATGCAGCAATGGCAATGGGCGGTACTTTAATCACGATGGTCATCGATCGCCGAACCTTAATAGATTACGATTAGATTGGTCACATCTGGCACTTACCCTATTCGGAGATATGTTTGCCTGCAGGGCTTAGTGCAAAGAACTGCTGGTAAGTATATACAACCAACCACACTTCCCCAATAATATCTTGTCAAGAAAGACCAGAAATTACTTAGTGTGGGCATGTTGAGGTTCCTCCAGTTATACTTTACTCTCACGCTGTAAAGAAATAATATGTTGATTACGCTTGGGCGTGTTATAAATATATATTTAAGTATGCCGTGATAGACTTAAGAACATATCCATGCGCAACACAAGCGGATATACTCCAGTATGATATGTAAGGAATCCATCTCAACATCTCCACTCCAAGCTCAGTCTTTACTTTCCATCGTGATTGAATGGTCCAGTGTGAGTATCTGTTCGGGTACCTACTGGTGAGTCTGAACTCCTAGGGAATGAGCCAGGACGTTAGACACGTTGACTAAGAACTGTAGAGAATTGGGCTAGTCCGACTTTGGCTAGGCATGATCAAGCTGATTAGGTCATGTGACATCTCCCATGAAAGAATTTACACCACAGCTTTGCCAACTACCATGATTCTATATACTTAGAAATTATTCATCAATTGGGACGATAGCTCAGTTGGGAGAGCGTTTGACTGAAGTCTACTTCGATCAGTAAATACCATTAGGTAATCAGAAGGTCGCCGGTTCGATCCCGGTTCGTCCCAATTTCTTTTTAGCTTTTGCGCTATGTAGCCATGCCTCATCTACCTACGGAGTAATACATAAATACGTAGCACTGGAAATTGGAAAGAATGGAGCCAGGAACAAGATGCGTCGCATCAATTACGTTGGATTTTCGATAACCTCTAGTGAGGAAGCTGTAGGGGACTTGATAGCCACCTCTGTATATAAACATGGCATGGTTAGACTCACCTTATAGTGCTTTGAACTTTCAGAGCACTTCACTGCAATGACTCGCGAAACCTTCCGATTTTATCCCTGACATCTATCCCTGATCAGAAATGCTTGATAGTCTTGGTCAGAATTGGCGGCCATGCTTATTGTACTCGAGAATACACTGAGAGAGGAGGATAAGGGGACTGGGAGACGGTTAAGCCCGATTCTTTTACATGCTTGGTCAAATTTTTACAGTATAGGTTGTGCAAACTATTCTCGACGCTACAATAGGTCATCTTTTTTTTTACATGCCCTTCCCTTTCCTGCTGGCCGCGTGGCGAAGTGGACCCGGAGCTCACGACAAGGCAACGCCTGAAATCAAACCAGCCTTAAAACCCCATGGTTAGGCTCCCCTATATCAAGCGATCCGGTGGAACTAAATAGAGGTTTTTGTCCGGAGTAATCCATCTGGATAGAAGTTAGAACTTATCGTAATTTAACGTCGGTTGAGTTTCGAATTGACCGCAGCAGTAGCAGATAGTTGATATATATATCTTTCACAGGCTAACGTGAGCTTCCCAAGGTACCAAATGTCTGGCACATAGACAACCACAGTCCTCCGTAACCTACCGTATTGTGAGCTAAATTCTTCGGAGAAACTAATATACTTGGCTTCAAGAACTCCACAACCGCGCAATGAACTATGGGTTACTCTCAGAAGCCCCAGTGGTGAAATATGGCGTGTTTTTGCCCTATTTCCTAAATAGGCTACTGCTTTGATACTATTGCCTAGATAGGAATCATAGGTGAATACCAAAATAGGATACTACTTACCAAAATAGGAGATGTGCTGGCCCCTAGGTACAGAAATGTTGGTTATATCTGCTGGAGTGGGTAAGGGAACGTGGCGTGTCTGAGGTGGATAATAATAATGAACGATAATCCCAAGCGTCTGGAGGGTCTTACAGACCACATAATTTTCGGTCTAGTTCAGCTAGAATACGGCGTATCTACCCAGGTTAAAGTTGCACAATGGATACCCGACATTCCATATGCGCTGGACTATTTTGCAGATCAACTAATTTAGTGCCGTCCACACCCTGCTGTCTGACACTTGGATGAGGAAAATTTCTGATCTAGTGGAGGGTTGCTTGTGTATAAAAATCCACCCCCATGTACTTTCCCTGATCACCAAGTTGGTATTGTGTTACCCCCTCTGACCAGAGACTCTTTTGCCCGTCAGAAGATGTACAGACCCACCACTAAGAATGAGTGGTGGTTTTGTGGGACTCTGTTAACGCAACTGCTCCTGGTTGTCATCTTGGAAATGTCAGTATAATTGTCCACAGGCATTGATTCTTAATCCCTCTAACGAGTAACAGATTCATCCTCGTTCAGTGGAAATCATGGGTCCAACCCAATATCATCCAAATCGCCCCGTCATACGTGATACCCGTGGGCATGGGTATTGTGGTTTTCGCATGTATTTACGAAGTCGGTCTTTCTCTCGATGCAATCCACCATAAAAATAATATTTCCTTGCTTGCCATATGCCTCACAAACGTCTGCATTGTCGTGTATGCAGTCCTGCAGTACATTAAAATGCGAGATGTTACCTATTCACTGCAAGGGGCAGCCGACGGGATGGGCAATCCCCTCGTCGATTGGTCTCGGGATATCTGGCCATCAATGCAACCGGCGGAAGTCACCATTCAAGCTATTCTAGCCGCCACTTCGCTCGTTATCATACCTGCTGCCTATCGGCTACACACAGATTATGCTTGGGCAATTTACAAATGCATTCATGGCAGCCCAGAGCTCCGGCTGCGGTATCTAGCCTACGAGGTAAGCATCTCTGACATGCTCTCTCGCGGTTGGACTGACCTCTTCCAGATCTATCTGGTCCTAATTAAATTCGATTTCTTTTTCCTCACTGGCTTTATCATCCAGTATGATCTGATTGATGTTCATTTCATGGAGCCTGAATACTCCCTGACAATGGCGCTCATTCCCGCTGCATTAGTGGTGATGGTCGCCGGCATCTATTGTGTAAAATCGGGGCTCAAGGTGGCCTTGATGGTTGTTATCGTGAGCTTCGATTCTTGTGGCCGAGTTCCAATTACTGACGATGCACAGGCATGCTACCTCGGATCAATTGCGTATCTACTTAGCCGGATCGTCGTGCTTTGCGGAAACTCACTGCGTGGCAGAACCGCGGGCAGGGAGATGATGCTGTTTTTTGCCGCTGTCGCGTTGGTCCTGATCGTACTGACTGTGGGGTGTGCGGTGCAATGTATCCTGAATCTCAACTACGGGTTAAAGGTCGCTCCAGTTGACAGCCAGGGGCCGCAGAGTTCCCATGCTTTCCAAACACTTGCTGCACCCATGAGCCCTTGTATTGATACCCTATCTCATCGTCGCCTGTCACTTGATTAGTTGCAAAGGATAGCACAAGCTGTCGTGGTTCGAGCTCAAGGGCCAACGGCATCTCAACGACAATAGTTTTCCCGGTAGCTTGTTTTAGAGTCGGACTAGCGCCCCGTGGCATTGCCTGATCACGTAAGGTGGGAAAGCTTACCAATAGCCGAGCGTCTCCAGGCCAATCAGAGCTCTTTGCCAGACGCTGCCAAGGCCGCCGGAGTCCCCGATCCGAAGCCCTAGCCTATTTTTGTCTTTCTGGAAAAATTTTGGTCTCCAACAGTTGCCTGTTATGAGTTAAAGTGCTGTAGATCTAGCTGAGCCACTTGACCCCAACATCCCCGAGCTGAAATGCTGTAATACATACGAAGTACATGTTTCTCTTTCCGCCCACCCTCAGGCGAGTGTCGAAGGATCTGCATCGTGTGAGCCACTATCATGTGCTCCCTCTAAGACATAATGTGGCACAGGAATAACTTCGGGGTTTTGTTGATATCCCTTCTGCTTTTACGTGTACATGCAGCGTTCATTCGCCGTTTAGAGTGCAGTTCCTCGGACGTTGCGTCAGTCGATCCTGTCTTCGAGCCACTTTCCTTCACTGGCTATCTAGACACTAAACATGCAAACACCACGATACTGTCCTTAACATTACAGGGCAATTATGAGTCTCATAATTGTGCAGCCTTGGGCGGCGCATTGGCGCGGATGTCGATTGACGCAAAAGTACTTGGTCGTTCGGTCGTTACTGATGATCGCTTGTTGGATTCCAGTGGTGTCTGCCCGGAGCTCTCTCCGATCGATTACCCAAGGTAAGTAGTGCACCCCCCCAACAGGAAGCCCAATACTGACGATCCAGGTGGGATCCTCGAACGTATGCAACGTACCGAGCGTCGTACTCATTGGACCATGCGTACCGCATGAACACCTTGGCCACGACCATTCGCCTTCGGCTCAATGACACGGATGTTTCATGTATCGCCGCCAATATCACCCCGTACATTGGCTCGACAGCATCACGCGTCTTGAAGGGGATCCCGCTACTCGTAATGATTCTTACCGGGGTCATAAACGGCGCCCTCATGATCTGTCGGATCCGTGGACGAAGGATTTTCCGGTACGAGCTCGCGAATGCGTCACGAGATCCAGCGGAGTCTTATTTCCCGGGGATGGGGGACTGCTTGCAGTACATTCAGTTCATCTTTCTGACTGGATGTCTGACGCTATCCTATCCTGGGTTCTTTCGGGCATCAGTAGGCGAGCTCGCCTGGTCATCACTCGTTCTAAAAAACTGGCCCGTAACACATCAATTCATCTACCCCGGTGTTCAGGATAATATTTATGCCGTAAATGCAACTTATGGCTTCGAAGAGATGGCTCAATACCTTGGGGCAACCACGATGAGTGACCTCTGGACCAATGCCGTCGTCAATCTCGCCCTACTCATTCTCGGAGTTGTAGTAACAGCCCAAATCATGTGGTTAATCAAATGGGCCTGGCAGCTGTTTCCAACCCGCGGCTCAACTCTCATGATAGATCTTCCAAGGGAGTTCTTAGCTCACCTCGAGCACACGGGCTGGAGTGTCGCACGGATCCTCCTGAACTACTTTCTCCATCCTATCGTTGCATTATCTCTCTACCAAACACGCCTGGCCACATGGTTTCCCGTTTATCGCACATTTCTCGCCGTGTCCTTCGTTGCAGCTTTGGCCGCATCGCTGGCATTTATAGTTCGGTACCTGGCCAAGGACGACCGACAAAACACATTCTTCAACAAGGGCTCCTACCCTAGAAACTCGTCCCAAGACTGGCTTTCCGATGCTTTATACATGGTCCCGTTCCTGAGGGGGTTAGCTATCGGCGCCCTGCAGTCCTCTGGACTCGGTCAGATACTCGTTCTCATATCCTGTGAGATGTTCATCTTGGCCTGTCTGCTATGGAACTGGCGGGAGCAACGGGCCTGGCGACATGCTTGCTTCGCAACCGCCCGGTTGGTCATTATCGGGATGAGCTGTGCGTTCCTCCCTAGGGCTGGTGTGCGCGAGGGAAACAAAGCCTTAGTAGGGTACTTTATTATATCCCTACACGCCGCCGTCCTGTTCGCCGGATTCATCGTCGATTGCGTCTACGAGTTGGTTCGCTTTGTCTTGTCGAAAATGGGCATTATTGATCCCCGTCCAGCCGACCTGGATCATCACTCCGACAAAGCTCCTGTACGTCTTCCCCCAGACATTCATGCCTAACTCAAAAATGAACATACTAATAAAAACGAAGGTCTTTGGCATCGGCCAACTGTCCCGACGCTCAACACGACGCATGTCCTTCGCACGTCTCCCCGCCCTAAACCCAGCAGGTGAGTCCTTTATGTCAACGAACCAAATACTGCATATATACTAAACCAGCCTAGAAATCTCCGTCCCCTACACCCAACGACCCTCCACCCCCCGCCGACCATCTTTCCTAGGCGATCTCCCAACCAGAGATGAATACTCGTCTTTCTTCCGCGCCCCCAGATCAGAAACCACCTCCATCCGCTCAGCATGGAGTGTTGTCTCTCCCTCGTCGCCATCTCAATCCGAAAGTGAATCCCGCGGATCCAGCATGGAATCGGTGGAATTGGAGGCTCTTGATTTGGAATCTAAATCGAGTGAAAATGTGGATTACACTTATCGTGAAGCGGATCAGTATTATGGTCGGCCGCCGACTTCTGCGCCTGCTATTCAGAATACGGTGCAGAGTCAGGGTGAATCGTCGAACCAGGGCAAGGAAGAAAAGAAGAGGGGACCTTGGAGGTGGAAAAGGAAGCAGAAGCAGAAGGGGTTTGAAGTTATTAGACCGAAGCGGACAGTTGCTCACTAAATCTTATATTGGTTGTATTATAGTTATTACATATTCGATGAGACACTAGAAATAATGTTATATAATATACAAAGCTACCGTGTTCCTAGTTGTCGTTGATTCTGCTCGATATGACTAGATGCACTGGGTTAACGAGACCTATCAGCGTCAACGTAAAGTAAACTCTTCCAGCCTATGGTCATCCTGCTGACTAGGCAGCTCCGCCGGATAACAATCATATATATAAGAGTCCCCTATCAGCTGAAAGGTCCCATCAACATTTCACCGTGTGACCCAAGGGAGACAAGTTCCCGCGCACGACGACCTTGGGTTTTGTGTTAGGGCTAGCTTAACCCATAGACCTATGACAGGCCGCGTCCCGCAGCTTTTTTGCATAAAATCTACATCCACCTCCATATCCTTCATTGTATAGCTGTTCAAGCAGAATGTCATGAGAATTTCACACATCTCAAAGAATTCCATGCAGAAACCTTGGAGAGACCCAGTGCCTTCTGTGTGGCGGAGCCATGGCGTATATTAGGTGAGTATTATCACTAGTTTTGTCTTGTAAACAGGACATCTTACGGAACATGTCTACTAAATATTGAGAGAGCGAGCGGCCGGCCGTATTATATTCCTTAAGCTCGCTTTCAAATATATGACATGGTAGTGTTAAATGAGCTTGAAGTAAGCATGCTCAATCTATCGTCGGATTAAGGACCAAGGTCGAAATAGCGAGAATACTTTGAAACTACTGTATGTAAAATAACCCGCAGGTCTAAAAGCACATCAACCGTATGATACAACATGAACCTACCAGTTCCGTCACTCATCAGATATCATTCCTCGTTTAAAACATGTAAGTCCGAAAGGTAGCACTGCCTCGCATCTTCATCGTCGACAGCATAACAATCAAGAGGCAAAATGAGAGTCCAGAAGAACACATAACTAAAGCCAGCAACCAGTAACACAATAATCTATCTGTATCTAAGCCCCCGATCTCACACATTCACACTCTCAAGCTGCACAACATTCCCAGACTTGAAATTTCTCGGCACAACATTGACCGCGAAATGCTCATCGTACAGATCTCGACAGACGGCATTCTTCTGACGGAACACGTAGCGCTTGAACCACCACGGTAGCGCCTCAGTCAGCTGGTACTTGGCATGAGCGCGGGTCGACACACTGAAGACACGGTCCAACTCCTCGAGAGATCTCTGCTTGGTCTCGGGCAGGAAGAGGAAGATCAGGACTAAGGCGACAATGTTCAGACCCGCGTAGAAGCCGAACGCACCCTGTGGCTTGAACTCTCGCAGGATGTACGGGAATGTGAGCGATAGTACAGCGGCCCAGAAGTTGTTCGTTGCGACTGCCCATGCCATACCAATTTCTCGATGCGACACGGGGAATACTTCGGCGGAGTAGGTGAAGGGCACGGGACCTTCACCGGGGGAGTAGAAGACGTTGAAGAGGTAAATAAACAGTGCGATCGCGCCCAGATGAGCGCTCTTTTGCTCTTCTGGAATCCAGAAACAGAAACCTGCTGCTAAGAGGGTCCAGCACATGTTGGGGAAGGTGGCGAGCAGGAGCCAGCGACGACCGAAGGTATCGATGGTCCAGACCGCGGGCCAGGCGAAGAGGAAGTTGACGAAGCCGAAGCCGAAAGATGCGAGGAGCGCCTCGATGTTGCTAGCACCGGCCTTGGCGAAGATAGAAGAGGAGTAGAACGCGATGATGTTGACTGCGGAGGTTGTTAGTATGATAGTACTCGGAGGCGGGTGTGTGGGAAATACGCACTGCCGCACATCTGCTGTCCGATCATAACAATACCAGAGGCCTGGGTAGCGCGACGGTTTCGTGGAACGGTGAATAGTTCGATGAAACGCACAATCATGTTATCGTTCTTAGAGAATTCCGCAGAAGTCTCAATAAGCTTCTTCTCCATTTTCATCTGAGAGTGGATCTTGTAGAGATCACGGGCTGCTTGAAGAGGACTGTTCCGGAGTCGCAGCAGTGAGTTATATGCCTTGCGGGCCTTATTCTTGGTTAGGAGCCAACGAGGGGACTCTGGACACCAATATACTCCAAGGAGCAGAGGAACAGCGGGGATAAAAGCTGAACCAAGCTGGAGTCTCCATGCGATCGCGCCCGTGTTGACGACGGCCAGATTCGCGCACGTTCCCAAGAAGATACCAAATGCAGTCCCTAATGGGTAGAAGAAAGGTTAGAGACTGTTCAATATACCTCCCCAGGAGCGTAGAGTACTTACAGATCTGCCAGGACATGACGAGACCTCCACGGACATTCGTAGGCGCGTTTTCAGCTGAAAGGACCGGAACCGTCACTTCCTTCAGACCCATTCCGATTCCAAGTAGTACACGACAGGCCATGAGCTGACCCCACGACTGGGTCAGGGCACACGCGATGGGAGCGACCAAGCTGAACACTGCAGCAATGAAGATGACCCACTTGCGACCAAGCCAATGGTTCAAAGGATCGGAAATCCAGCCAGCACTGCGAGGTATTGTCAGCTTGCCAACCGAATAGAAGTCAGGTAGGGGATTACTCACAAAATGGCGATCGTCATGTAAGGTACGGAGTTAATGGCTCCGACAATCCACTGGTTGCGACTACATTCAGCGGGAGATGTGCAGTCGGGGGGATCCTGTGGGATGCCGAACTGATGTGCAAAGGTAAGATTGGCGCCGTTAGAGCCTACAAAGAAAGTCAGTAAAATGCCCCAAAGCTATCACACCAGCTAGTATTTACCTGTCTGATCCCATCCTTGAATAGCAGCAGCGATGGAATTAAGGATGATGGTGTAATAGAGTGCCCATGGGTGCTTCCAGCGATTGGTCGTCTCTTGTCGCAAGTACTGGCGATCCTCAGGGCTCAACTCTGGGATGTCGTCGTACTCATCCGGTCTCTGGGCCACCAGGGCGCCCTTCTTCAAGAGAGGAAGGATATCATTCAGGTCATACTCTTGCGCATAGTCTTCCACATCGCGAAGGAGTTGGTCTCGAGGAACGTTCTTCAATGGGTTCTCAATGCTAAGGTTGAGAGGTCAGTAGAGAAGCTACGACCAAAGTATTGGGGGAGGGTGACAAACTCCATAGGTCCTTGGGCTATCACGTCTATCTGGCGCTCATGCGCAGCATACTTGGTCTCGTCCATTCTAAGAATTAACGATTGTTAGTTGGCATAGCGCAGGGAGGAGGAAAATGGCACGACGCACATTACGTCAACGTTGCTTCCTGGCCCTGGGTCAAGGCATACACGAAGATCATAGAGTTATTGAATATTTTAGATCACTGGGCAGGAAATCAGCCGAGTACAAATACTTCGATACCGATCTGGGGTCGATGATCTGGGGTTGCTGGTGGTTCCAAGGATCCAATCTCCCAGTCTCCGCAAATATGGACGAAGGTTTGAAGGAAAATGCCTCCCCCAGACCTCACTTTGTCCAATCTACGCTGGACCACTGTTAATCCCGCACATTGGGCAATAGCTGTAGCCCCACGAAGAAAGTATAGCGGATTTCAATCCCGCCGGTCGTCATTGATGGTTTGTTTTGGTGAAATACGGGTTATCCTTTGTTGCTTCACGCCACCGCCAAACGCCATTGGTAGGGTTGAAGCCAAGCCCCCCATGGAACCGAATACAAGCCAATCTATGGACGTCTGAATGCTACTCTCGACTAGTCTTTTAGTGCCCGAGCCTTAGCTTGCATGCCAGCTAAATCCCTTTTAGCGAGTCGCGTGCCCTGTCATCTTCCGCATCCGGCAAATATGAAGGCAAATCCATCTTCGCTTCCTGGGTGATGTGCAGCTCCCCAGTGTGCTAGAATCTCGGGCGATTTTCTGTGCAGGCTCGACTGGTCCCTGTTAGCCATTGCATACAGATCGGAATTAACCCAATTGCTGCCGACCGGCACACTACTAATTCACTGTAAAAGTGCAACGGACTTGTTACTTCCAGGGACCCGAATTTAGGCAGCCAGCGAGACGGTAGCATTTTAGGATGCAAGCCCTTACCGCAAGTCTAATCGTATTCACTGTCTCTATTTCTGCATGGACAGAACCTAAAACTCGTATATGGTGTCATGCCGTTTCATCGCCCACCGCTACCGATCCACACCAGCTGTGTCACTCGGTACCACCACCATAGTGGTTATTTCACCGGTGCTGAAAATGAGGATAGTCCAGTTCAGAAGTCTTGTTCGACGAAATTTGGTTTCTCTGTCGCCACCATGGTGCAAGCCACAGATCACAACGCCAATAAGATTAGCCCTGTTCTCTAGGCCGATGACGCTTTTGTGAATCCCTATCCTACGCCCAGTTCTCCATGAACCGCGAACAAAGACCTTCGAATTCTTCACTATACCAGTGGCGGAAGTTTTTGTTAGCCCTATTGGGTTCGTTATCCCCCAGAACTCCCTAAGAAGCTGTTGAGGGACGGTTTTCTTTGTCCTTCGTATAGAAAGTATAAGCGTACGCCGGATGCAGCATTGACGCAGTTTCAATGTAAACCTAAAATTTCCTTCGTCGTTAGACTGGTCAGGTGGTGTGAAGATTCGATGCATCATCAGTGAACTAGTAAAAAAAATGGTCTCCTACTTTCTCTTAGTGCCCATAACCATTCTAGAAGCCTTGGCAACGACTATCTCTCCCCGGAACAATATGTACCTGATTTCGAAGCTCGTATCGCCAGCTGAATCGGATTCCTCTCTCAAATGCGGTGCCTGTCGACTTTGCTATTGTAGATAACCACCCACAGCTAGCATGACGATGTTTCAGGATCGCTTACCAGGTTTATGCCTTCTGAAAGCTCTTATAGGATTGACCAAGCTACACAACTCTTAGAATTTGATGTAGAAGGGGTGTGCGGTCACAACTGTGTCTCCTCCTGTGCGAGGCTTTGCTGATGTACGACAATTATCGGCAACATAATTCGCCAGCAATAGATTTTGCCTTGTGATACCTATAGCCCAAGATGAGTTAAGGCCGACCAAATCCCGCCTCTTCCATTCTCGGAGGGTTCTCGCCTTGGCCGAGTAATAATTCCCTCGCCGGCCAGCCACATGACTCGGTCTTTGTGGTCGACCTGGCGCCGTAGGGCCATTGAATCCATTAATCCCGACCCCGTGGAGTAATTTCACCTTGCAGTTTGTCCGTCCCTGTACTTCCTCAAACATTAATACTTACCGTAGCTCGGCTCGGAGTATTTAATCAGATCTATTTTTAAACCATGAATGGGAAGTGGCAAAAGCCGACAGATTCAATCGGACTCGCGTTTGCGGTTCGGCCGTCAAACGACCCATTTCGCACGGCTGCCGGCATTGCCAATGAATCTGGGGGGCTGGCATTATACAGTCCCGGCATGATTCTTTGAAGTGTTAAAAGAGAATGAACTGCCTTTGTTGATTGCCTTTTAGTTCGTAAGAATGTTCGCTCGACTGATATCCTTCTATACTAGAATGACTGCCTTCGTAGAGGACGTTGTATAGGGCTGGCGTTCCAACGTGACCATCTGGCAGCTACCCCGCCATAGCTCGTGTCTAAGAGTGTCTGGAATGTGGCCATTATTCCGGATCCACCTCATGCAGTGCACGTACATCTAAACCCTCTCTCTTTGTATTATCTTGCTTTGGGGCAATGGATTTGACTTGTGTTAAGCGAAGAGAGTTTCGGGCATCAACGGCGGTTCACTGAAACCGGCCAGAGCTGGTCCTGGGACAGCAATGGCCCGACTTGAGCGTGCACCCTTCTGGGTTTGTGTCTCTTGTTTCTTTCCCCTTCTGTTTCCGTTCGTCTTTGAGCTTTCTTCTCTGTTCCGATTTCGAATGCACCATGCCTAGATATAGCTTTGCAGAAAGGGGCCCGGAGCCCTCAAGGACTTCAGCAATCTGCTAAAGGATACATATCCGATGGAGAAAGCGATGCAAGCAATCTATTCAAGCACCAATAGAAGAGGGAAGGCCGAATCTCAGGGCTGTAGCCTGTAGCAAATTGGACTGGCCACAGTGCAAGATGTATGAACCCGCGAATATTACTAAAGGACATGAGTGTAGACTTGTGGCGAGCAGCAGAATGGTTGTCACCTTGTACTAAATGTTAACACGGATGGTTTCTGATGATCATTCTGAAGTAGGTTGAATAATCTACAGTCCTAGTGGACGGAGAGCTTGACAGCAAACAGTTTTCAGTGAGCCATCGGATTTCGCTTCGCTTAGCTTTGCCGAATCCGACGAGATTTGTTCGGAACAGCAGATCATTAGGCTTGCTGACACCCTGAGCTTCTAATCGAGTACACTGTTAAGCACTAAAGCGAAGGCTAACTGTCTCAACGCTTTTGAAATATGATAACATAAATAGCCTTGAATTTTCGTTGAAGAGGTGGGGGGCATTATGGGCCTTCGACACGAGTAAGAAAAGTCCTGTCTCATTCCGTATAACCGTCAAAGTGGCTAGTCTTTCCCGTCTGTTTATCAAGCCGTTTTAGTTGAATGAAGCCACTCATTGGGGAGGCGAGGGGCCAACGCCTATCTATAATGGCGCAGAAAGCAAGCATATCTCCCAGGGGTGACACAGGGTCTCTCAGTTTATAATTCATCAAACTATTATAAGTCAAAAGCGCAATTGGCGGGTGCTGCGAGTTAAGCACTCTATAGCCATACACCAAAAGATCAACATGTTATATCATTTCCGCTAACATTTTAATACTAATTGACAGAGTTATTTCCCTTCCACCTCACTCTGCTGCTCTCTTAGCCTCCGCTGCTTTTCACGCAAGTCTGCCAAACAGGGGGCTTTGAACAGACTTCTGTTATACACGCCTTGAGCGGTGAGACAGGTCACCAATATCCACAATAACACCACACAGATGGAGAAGATCTACTGTCACGTTAGCTGCAGCCAATAAAGAAAATGGTTCTTGGTCTTAACATACCGTCCCAAGCACCCGGAAGAAACGCGATGGCATTTCTCGGCCTAGCTGGCAAGTGCTGGTGGCATAGACACCGAGAGGGAAAGTGAATGCCCACCAGCCTAGATTGAACGGAAACTTCCTGGTACGAACGATAGATGCAACGGCGAAGAAAAGCCAGAGTAGTCCGAAGGCCCATAGCAGGAGTCCGATGAAAAAGCCAAGCATTTCGAATACGTCACCAGTTCCCGGTCGCAGGACGTCGGTTTTCGGGAAGATGTTTTGGGATACTTGGCCTAGCTTTTGGATTCTATCATCTCTTGTAAGTATTCAAGTGTTATTTAAGTTGACACAAAGTACACATACCCATAGCTGCCTTGTCCGAGAGGTCCGAGAGGTAGGAACATGCTCACTAGGACCTCTTTTGGGGGTAACTTGTGCAACAACAGCCGCATGAGAAAAATGACTATTATCATCAGTGCAAGAGGTACTCCGACCCCCCATAGCACATAGCTGACGACAATTGTTCCGAGCGCGTAGTCGGGATCTGGCAATACGTCTGCGACAATGGCGCCGGATGCTGCGCACACAACGCATGACACAACGGGGAGCAGCCATGCGGCGCCCATGGCAGACAGGGCGATATCCGATTTACGTGTCATCCTAAAGGTGTCAGCGTTGTAAGTCTCAAGCACCTTTAACGCAGTAGAAGCTTTTCTTACATAATAAACGGCAACACGAAGCACGTTAACACAGAGGCAACGGCATCGGTAATCCACAAACCCCAGGCGAAGTAACTCGCCCAGACTCCCCATGCCGGTACGCAAACAAAGCAGAACATGTTGATGATTGTGGCAAGGCCCATGGGGAAGGTCCCTAGAAACATTGACTGTGCTGGATGGGTGACCATAACCGGGAATATGTCGGGGTATAGCAGATACCGAAGGGCTGTTATAAGTAGGAAGACGAGAAATAGCAGCACGTTAAAAGCAAATAGGACCACCGATATCCAGTAGAGCCATTTCCCATTGTACGGCAATGTATTGAGCAGGATTGACGCGATCCCAGTTCCCATATTTGCTGAAAACCATCTATAGTTCAATCAGCTATTGTCATTTGCAAATGTGCATGATGGTAGCTGAGCTGGCACCTACGCCGGAGTAAAATTCCGAATGATATAACGGAAGCCAGTCTCATGTTTTGAGATCTTGGGATCTGCCCCTGCTTGGCCTCCGTTTGCTAAGCATCTTTGCGACGCTCTCTCTGTGGTGTCCTGGGCCATCGAGCCTTCGGGAGGGCAATCTTTTCTACCATGCTAAGGTAGCTCGTACGCGATATTCTTATAATCCTATTATATTTCATCCTTTGGGGTAAACGGCAAGCGGGGAGTGAAAAGATTTCTATATGGTAATGGATTTGTATTTGCGGGGACGTGCAACCCTGCCGAGACACCAGCCTTCATTACCCTATATCCACGCATCCAACGCAGGGTATATTGTTAGTCGGCCGAAAAGGCTACGCAAAACGGTGTTGCAGACTGAATAATATTTAGTCGCCGTCCCTCTCAGTCCATTAGTTCAGTCGGCGACCGCGCATCCCCCGAGCGGCGACCCACATCCAACCGTTTTAGGGCTCGAGGAACCATAGAACCCTGGACGAGCAATCGGCGATTGACTTACCCCGGCATACTTGCATACGTCTCGCCACTCAGAGCTGCAGAAAGATATGTCAGGTAGGATAGGGCTGATTTTGTTCATGTAACAATGTATGTGTACCCCGACTGATCCTTCTCGGTCGAGTGCTTGCCTGGCAAAGGCCTCCGTAGGTAGCCGTATATTAATGGACCAAGAGCATCATGGGCGCCTCTAATGGTCATACGGCGCAGCTTGCGAATCTGAAGACACACATCGAAAATTACTTTACGAAAACTTTGCCACGACTATGGAGCCCACAGTGCACACAATCTTCGAGAGACGAACATCCACCTGGCAGTATATTGTGGCATGTCCGGAAACGCGCGAAGCAGTCATTATCGACCCGGTACTAGACTACAGCCAGGAGCAGCTAACGATCGATACAACCTCCGCCGATAGCCTTCTAGATGTGGTCAGTTCACACGACTACAAAATAGTCCGCCTCCTCGAGACGCACGCCCATGCCGATCACCTTACCGCAGCTTCTTACCTCCAATCACGACTACAGGCACATGGCACCAAGGTTCCTGTCTGCATAGGACGAAGGATTCGCCAAGTTCAAGACACCTTCGCTGAGCGATATGGTGTCCACGATGATGAGCTAGAGCATGCGTTCGACCATCTACTAGAGGACGATGAGACATTCCCCATTGGCAACCTTACAGCGAAAGTGCTACATTTGCCGGGCCATACCCCCGACCATGTGGGCTATCGCATTGGTAGCAACGTCTTCGCAGGCGACTCTATATTCAATCCGGACGTCGGTAGTGCTCGCTGTGATTTTCCTAACGGAGATGCTGAGGCTTTATATCAATCCATGCAAAAGCTGCTCGAACTTCCTGCGGAGTTCAAACTGTATACCGGCCATGATTATCCGCCATCTACAACCCCAACGAGTCGAGAGCCCATGCCTTTTGCGACAGTGAAAGAGCAACGAGAAAGGAATAAACACGTAGCAGGGGGCCGTGAGGAGTTCGTTGCATGGAGGCAGACTAGGGACTCGGGACTACAGGAGCCAAGACTCCTTCATCAGGCTTTACAGATCAATATTCGCGGAGGAAAGTTGCCTCGGAGCCCCGATGGTAGCCGGAAGATTTTCCTGCAGATTCCTGTTACATTACCGGAGAGTTTGGCTTAGTTGAGCTAGGCTAGTGTACTACCTTGCGACCATATAGGCATGGTATTTCGGACTTTCTGATGTCAAACAAATGGCTGTGGTTACATCTGTGTACGAACACGTAGCAGTCGACATATCGTGTGGGGAAGACTAATTATATATGGTGAGCTGCAGGATTAATAAGTATTGAAAGTAAGAGACGTGACCTGAACTCACCGAGATAAGCATCGATAGCTGATTGCCACGACTCAAACTATGCTAGTATCGCCCAGAAGAACAGTACATCTACTAGCGTTGTTGTGGTGATGCTGAAACTCGTTCTTGCACCCAGATCTGGGCTTGGAACAAGGTATTAGCCTCAGGCAGAATATAGAAATGGCGGTATGAAACTGGGGGATGCTGTATCTCCAAACACCCAACATTGTACACAAGTAGAATTCGAGAGAAATCAAGATAAGTTACTAGAGACCTGGTAAGACTTGCCTTAAAAACCCCTTGGTTTAAGCCTCAACCGGTAGAAGCCAGTTTGCCCAACAGGACTGTCCAGGAGAATTGAACCACATACCTCTCTCTCCTGTCCCGTTGGATGTGCCTGATAGGGATACCCTACTCTAGAGATTTATTTTAAAGTTATTATTGAAGAAGCGCCAACCCTGAGCGCCGGCGGTAGGTAAGATAGGACATGCGACGTTTAATGGGGGATCCCTGGCTCATAACAGGCATCTTGAGTGATCTGCAGGCTATTCTACCTAGAAGCAGCGCTGTTTGGCAAGGAATAGACCTGAAGTGCTTTCCAAGGAACCCCGACACTCGACTTAACGCGCCAACAATTACCTCGCCCCTAGGTGAGGGAAAAAGACAAACCAAAGATGGACAAGACGTGCAGCGAGGGGCTCAATACAGGAGATCAGAGAGACCTTTGAGGCCTTCACCTTCACGTAAACCATCAATTACAGGATCTTTTCGGATTCATACCATTTGATTGCCCAGCAGACTAAAGATGTCTTCGACCTGTCCACCGAGGCGAAGGAATGGACCATGGTATACCTCAAAGCTGATGTTATACGGAAGACCAGCCTTACTTGTGAGCATTAGCGAGAACTCATACTTACGGATCCTCGGCCGCGAGTTTCATGGCGCCACCAGCTCTCTTGATGTCAATATAGGGGTCAAAAAGACAAGGCAGAAGAAAGCGAGATTTGAATGTGACGCGTGGTGGACCGAGGCACACATAGTGCGATCGTGGATCTGATAACTTGCCACTGCGCGGAGCAATAATCACTCCGGTGGACACGCGGGGGAGATCATTACGAACATACAACATATACTCTAGAACCTTTAATAATGGGTCGAGCTATCAATACTGATTGCGTCTATTCCAACGAAAAGGACCATTTTAGATCTAACATACAGCCAGCTTCATGTCTTCGACCGCAGGCCGCTCGTCAGCGGCGTTCCCAAAGGCCTCCGGACAGTATGTGGCTCTCTCTTCACTCTGACGCGGTACTAATCCCTCTATGATTATGTAGACGCTCAAAGGGTCTGACCACCCAGGTTGAATTCGGCGAACAGAAGGTCGATGTACCTAAAGGCGGTTACTACGACCGTTATCGCATGAACCCAAACCTGGACGAGGTAGCTCGCGATCCGGCCGTCGGACCTGACATCGACTTCTTCCGGAAGACCCCAAAGAAGCTGGTCGATTCGAGGGTGGGTCGGATATACGCACCCAACTTCTATTATCGCACCAGGAGTGTGCAGCTCGTCTTTCTTGCGCCCCTCGACCGCCTGCAGTCGAAGCTCCCGTCACCATTGGAGCCCATCACAGCGTTGCCCGGTTACGGGTTGGTCGCCTTGACGTTTTACTCGTACCTCGTCTGCGACAATGACCCTTATAACGAGGTCTCCGTCGCCATCATCGTCCGGCAGCCGGGTCAAAATAGTTACAGTACGACCCAACTGCTCAGCTCCATGTGGAACCGAACCTACTACGGACACGTGTTGGCTCTACCCGTCGATACTGAGATCGCTCGAGTGCGAGGTGTATACGGATACCAATTGCCCAAATGGCTCGCCAACATCAATCTGGAGATGGACGACCACAGCATCAAGGCTAACCTGACAGCGACCGATGGGACACCCGATTTGACGCTCGACATACCCCTTCCTGCCCTGAGGACAATCCCGTCCCAATCCTCGATCGGGACCAACATCGCGATCAACAAGATTGACGGGAAATGGTGTGAGGTGGCAGTTCAGACCAACCCCCTCCTGGGGGTACAAGCTCTTCTCCCTGGAAACATCACGCTCTCTCGGAGTGCAGGTCCATTGAGTAAACTTCTCAACGAATTGGGCGTTTCGACCATCGTACGGATGGACGTCCTCAAGGATGCGCAAATGGTCTTGAACATGCCCACACCCTTGAAGGCATTCCATTGATGTCAAATTGGCTGAAATCGTGGTATCTTGGGAGTGTGTATATCAGAGTTGTCGCACGACAGGAACTATACGACGACTATAATAAGGTCCCTGGCAGGAGACTATATTGCTTCACGTAGCAATTATTGGGGGCTCAATGCGGAGTAAGGCATGATGATATATAGTATATGAGATCCTTCAACACTCTTGCAGTATTGAACTTTGTATTGTTAAATAAAATGCGTATACAAAAACTTGGGACGGATTGGCTCCGAATATGTCTCTTTCCTTTGCTTTCCATCTTTAGAGATGTCTAACACCGAACAGAATTTGTGCGACCCGGCTACAGGATCGGTGTCGGTAGAAACCCACTTCAGGCAGTCAGCGACGGCGTTCATGACTGGCTGAGGACCTCGACAACCTTCCTCGCGGTCTCAGTAGCTGACCCGGGGTTCTGCCCAGTCACCAGGTTGCCGTCGACGACGGTAAAGGAGACAAACGGCAGTATGGCCTTCTTGTAGTCGGCGCCGCGCTTCTTCAGCTCTTCCTCAGCGTTGTAAGGAACAAGCTTGTCTACACAGGCCAGCACTTCCTCCCGCCAGGAGAACCCGGTCATCTTGTGCCCGGAGACCAGGTACGTACCGTCAGAACGCTTGGCGTTGAGCAAGCCGCAGTAGCCATGGCAGACCGAGGAGACGATGCCACCCCGTTCGTAAATCTCTCGCGTGATCCGCTGCAGGCCTTCGTTGTCTAAGAAGTCATACATCACCGCATGCCCTCCCGTGAAGTAGATCGCGTCGAAGTCGGCCGAGTTGATCTGGTCGGGTCTGGCGGTGTTTTCCAGTAGGGCCATGCGTGCCGAATTGGCTCGCCACGCTTTCGCGGTCTTGTCGTAGTTGGGGAACTTCAGTGACCGCGGCTCCAGGGGAGAGAGGCCCCCCGCCGGGCTGACGATGGTCTGCTCGAATCCGTGCTCCTCAAAGACATGCCAGGCGTGCGTGAGCTCGGACAACCACAAGCCGGTCGGGTGGGACGGGTCGTCGTAGTGCCCGACATTAGTGACGACGTTCAAGATGCGCTTGACCATACTTGTGAACTTAGTGGATTGTATACTGTACTCGTGGAATAATAAATTTGCATAGATCCATCGCCTTCAATCAATTCCGACAGGGTAGGTCATGCGAAATATCAGCGCTTAACCCACTGAGTACTACTAGCCGTGGCGAACGGGACAAATCATCTTCCTAACGTTAAGGTGATGTTATAATGTTTGCTCGGATAGTTTGTTCATCCGCCTCCCGTCTGATCGACATTCAATTCCTCCCCCATTTTGCGCCAAAACAGAGCTTATTGTGTGGGTTCTGCTGCTGGGTCCACCAATATTAACCGCCCCTTTCCAATATTAGCCAATATCTTCTCTCAACCGAACGAACCGAGCGTTTCTCCGAGTGTGATACACTATATCGCTCTCTCCACAGCTTGGAAAGGAGTCTCATAACGCCGACCCCGACCACTGATGATCCTCCGCGATAAATGCCCGGGATATGTATCCTCCATGCCTGGGGCCCCGGAGTCTATACTCGAGCGGCAGAAAAAAAAAAAAAGAACATGTTACTGTAGAGTGGTTCATATGGCTCAGCATAGGCTATCCCTGTCAGCGCGTACCACACCGGCCGCTTAAAGGTCGTGGAGCAAAGGCGATGGACGGCTTCACGAATGCCTTTAGCCCCATTACCACAGCTACTATTGTTAATTTGGCGAGTCACGTCGTGATCCACCTGGTTAAGACATCCGCTTCTTTAATCTTACCCTAACATATACCAGTACGCAGGTATCGACTTGTGTTGCGATTCTTGCCAGTGTTCTCAATATTAAAGAAGCCCTTCCAGGGGTATTGTATAGCATAGTCTAAAGTGCTCTGGTATCGTTGAAAACGTTATTGTAAAAATGAATAATTATCTAGAAATCTAGATAAATCTAGTTTACTGTAATTACAAGGTTATTATCTACATTAAAATTATTATATTCCAAGTTAACTTAAAATGCCATTAAAGAAAAAGTAAAGCTGTAAGTACTCACTGTAAATGAATGCCTATCTGGGAAGTATGTGGATAGGCATGGGACATCGAAAGACACGGTAACCGGTGAGTTGTGGATGAAGACTGTCATCGACTGATTTTCTACCTGATGGTTGTCCATATAAGGACTCGTATTCATCTCATCACTGCTAGAAGTAGTCGTCGTCCAGGATACCATTGATGATGGCATTCCATCCAGGAAGGCAAGGCACTTCCATTGAAGATGAACTAGGGAGCAGGTCGTGCTGGATATCAGGAAAGCTTTCAAAGGGATGTTCTATCGAGTCATAGCAGTAAACCGGGTCACTGGAAGGCAGGACGTTGGCTGAAGTTGAAGAGTTTTGAACGTGCTGCGTGGTATTGCGGTTCAGGTGGGTAACATTGTCAATTGATGTGCGGGTTTCATGTGAGCCAAGGGGAGGAGCTAAAGGGCCCGAATCCATATGTGACGGTTGAGCTAGTCGGGCAGACAAAGCCTGAGCTCGGAGCGAACAGAGACATCTCCAGATGCTGCTATTACCGATTGTGGTACAAGAGCTCGACGAAGGATCCAAATTAGTCGCGCGATGCAGGATGTCGTTAACCAGATCCCAGACGTGGTCGGCTTCTGGTGTGCGGTGGCTCTTACAGAGGCATCGGAGAGTGTAAGCAAGAGCATACCACTGGGTATACGTTTTAAATAGCCACGTGTGTTGGCTGAAGGGCCCTGTACCGTCCAAAAGCCTATAACTACTTTCTAGGACATTGCAGGCAGCTTTGAAGGAAGGCCTCGTGGAGTAGTCATGACCACTCGCTGGTTGCCCTTGTCTTCCCTGGTATATTTCCTCCCGTATCAAGAGCATGAATTCCATCTTCTTGCAAGCTGTGATGTAATGGCGGTATGCAAGGTGGGAAAGGTGATCTGGTGGATGGGAACTGGAAGAAAGTGTATTGTTCAACCAGTTCTTATAGTCATCAATAGTCTTGCGCTTGGCGGCAATATCCCCTAGGGTGTCCTTTGATCTTGTGCCCAGTATTGGATGCAAAAGCCTAGTGATTTTGATTTGACCAATGCAGAAAGACATGTCGGTCCATTCCTCGGACTCTGTCGGCAACTCCTCCATGGTCGGGTAAAGTTGGTCATCGTTGACGTTTAGTGGCAGCCTTGGGCCATGATTAAGCAGGTCAATGGTCAGCTCAAAGCCATGGTCCTCGGGCGACCGAGCGTCTAGTAAACAAAGGTGCCACCATAGGCGCAGACGAAGCTCTGACTCAAATGGGGTTAAGTTGAGGGAGGTACCGTCTCGATGCAAGCCAATAGACTGAGCTAAGCGAATTGCAATTCCATTAAGAACCCAGACACCACGCCCCGTGTCATGAACACGTAGACTAGTCTTTCAATAATCGAGGGTTAGTGTGATCGGCTAATTGTGCGATATAAAAGCTCATCACGTACCAGGAAGATGGCAAACGCTTGCAATGCAGGCAGTTCCGGCTGGTTTAGCAACTCAGCTCCGACTAGGATGTGGCCCAGGCCAGATTTGAAGCGTTCGAGGAGTTGCGATTTGTCCCATGATAGCTCGGCAGCGTCTTGTTCATTCAAACTTGTAAGTGCCGCAAAGTAAATGGCAAATGTCAAAGCCGACATAGATGTACCCGAACCTTTCGGATCTAATATGGTGGCGATTATGGCTGACTGTGCGGTCGGTACATGTAGAATCTTGGATACTGGATCGACATTCTTCACGTAAATCGCCCAAAGTTGTAATGCGTCGCGTGGCTCTGGGTGAAGAAGGGGGAGACTCGATGAAGCCTCGAGCGGAGAATTTGCCAGTCGATGGGCAGCGTTGCCTGATACTCCGTGCTCAGCTAGTGAGCCTGTAGCATGACCGGTGGCAGGAGGCCTCATATGTTCCTCCTCATGCAAAAGGTCTTTAAGGTTAGAATTGTTCACATAGTGCACACGCTGGCCATCGCTTAGCAACAGCTCCCAGGGTTTGGAGGGTTGTGGGTCGAGTGCAGTCGGGGTTCTGGCCTGAGGCTCCGGTGGTCGCGGACGATTGTCGTCTGGGGCATCTTGTCGGCAGCCCTGACCCTGGCGTATGTCTAGGAGCATTTCTTCCAGTCGGTCTAATCGGTCCGTAATGCCTTGCAGGCTCGTCACCCTGCGAGATCCGTCAACGGTGTCTCTGCTAGGGTAGACACATGTCCAGCCCGCCCTGGCACAATTGGTACATGGTACGCCTCTATCACATCGGACCTTGCGCCGGTAGCAACACAGACACGATCTTGAAGTTAGGCGCCGTGGGCTGGACCATCGAGCATCCTGGTGGGGGGAACGGCTTTTCTGCACTTTTGGCATACTTCGTAAAGCCTGTCAATTGCTTCAAATTGCGAGATGATATACGCGACATAGAGAGGAGAAAGCCACTGGCGAATAGTAATATACGCAAAGCATATTGAGGGGGGAAGTCCGAAGATAGATCTAATGAAGTTTTGATTTGCCATCTCGGACTTTCGGTGCCGAAAATGTCCGCCGTGGAGCCGTGCCTATATCGTAGCCAAGTCGTTCATACAACATCATGTAAATAGCATATGAGAGGTTGCTGTGAGTAGCTTCTACTGAACAGTTGATAAGCGCTTAGAATGCCACTTAAATATTTCTCCCTTGACCTATGTATCCCTCGCGGGGCTGCACAGCGCCCCTTCTAGCTACCATCCCACTCATTTCGGCCCAACACGAGAACCCCAGACTGGCGCGCTCATTTCTCAGTGCCACCGCGGTATTTGGACTTGGAGAATAGGACTCTCAAAAATAACAGGCAACCCCCTGCTCCTAAATACATGATGCCAGTGAATAACTGGACTCTAAGGTAGGGTCTAGCAACGGTCTCGCTGTCGCGAAGTTGCACAGCAATTGCCTCCGCCACCGCTGTTGGAGGGCAAAGAACAAACCATAGAATGCTAAGGGCCGTAGAAAGATCTTGAGTCTCCACGATCTCGGCGGCTAATGGCGCGGCAGCGGCCCATAATGTACCTGCGAATAGTCCAATAGCAATGGCGAAGAAGTATAGCAGCCCGAGAGATTCCACAAACACCCAGACAACTAGGCATAGTATACCTGCCAGGGTGGAAGCGCCGAAAGCGACACTAATACGGTCGAGATAGTCGCTTAGAAGACCGATACAGGGACGCCCTATTGCCTGACCCAGATTGAGCAATGCACTGGCGAGACTAGCTTGCTTTTGTGTGAAGCCAGCCGCGACCGAATAGCTTGACAAGCTGAATAACAGGGCTATGTATCCTAGCGCACTTAGGAAGGCCCAGAGTAAAAATACAAGATAGCCTTGTTGTCGAAGCAGCGTCATGTTGAAGATCGGGCTATGTCGTACGTTGGATCGTGAAGAGGAAGGCACCCGGAGGAGGTTTGAGCATGTCAGATTGACAACGAAAGAGACGATACCGAGGATCCGCATCGCCCATGGAAAGCCAAACGTTGGTATCATACGACCAACGGCAAGTGAGTAGATCAGGCCTCCGGTCCCCGACCCAGCTGCTGTGATCCCATTTACTAGACTGCGTTGTTTCTTGAACCAGTGGGAGACAATTCCCACGGACCCACAGAAACAAAACCCCATTCCTACTCCAAAGCAAACACCTTGTGAGAGAAAGAGCTGCCAGTTCTTTCCCACAAAAGACGTTGTAACCAAGGAAGCGGTTTCGAAAACCGTTCCGATGTTGAGGACGAACTGGGTGGAGATTCTTCTATCTAGGTACGCAGCGAGAGGAGCGATAAACATAGCGCAGGAAATGCTGAGGCCACCGATGAACGCATACTCGAGTGCTGTTGTGCCGGGAAATATATCAGAAGAAAGATAGTAGGATAGAAATACTCCATATGCCTAGAACTAGTATTTAGCTTTACGTCCCACCCTCACTGTCTGTAATGTTTCTCACACTGTTGATTCCCCACGTGTGAGCATTCATTAGAAACGTGCATACCACGCACACCCAACCATATCCTCCTTCGGGGATCGGCTGAGGGTCAACTTGGATTGTTTCGGAGTCTGTTGGGTGTCGGGATGTAGTACGAAACTCATTCTCGGCCCTTACAGTGACCTCTGGCTCAGGACTATGGTGCGCACTGTGGGCGATATTGTTCATTCTGATACTGAGGCAATTGCCAATCGTCGAGGTGAGTAGAGCAAGTCTTGGTATTGGTAGTTTGTCAGATTTTCCACAACTAAAGCTGTACACTTGAAGTTTATTCGAAGGTTGATTTTGACTAAATACCGTATAATAAAGGATACCCATGAAACTGAGCCGTTGAGCTGCGGAAACCAAAGAGGCTTCGGTTGGGGCAAATCTTCATGGCTGTTCGGCACCGATGGGCCGAATTTTGATACTATTCAACACCCTCATATCGGCGCCGAGAGGCCGAGAAGACGAGCTCTCAGTAGGCGGAATACCAAAAATTTCTATACTGGAGCGAAGGCTGTGATAAATTTGTATTGGCGTGTAATTAGCAGCATGTCTTCGTTGTTGTGTCCAAGTTTGCATTTGACAGCCTCGGTGCATAGCACACCTTGAGATCATTAGAGGTCACTGCCAAGATTGATGTGAATGTAGCCCGGGTATTTAATAATGGAAGTCGAGAGATCTGGGATATATAATACTTCGTTATGACCACGAGACTCTTTCCCATGTCGGACTTATAATGCTTGTAGTTAAAACTTTGTTTAAGGAAGAGTAGGTGGCCCCAATTCACTAGCTTTAATAAAACCTCTATATAGGCACTAGTAACTGATATTCCGTCTAAACCTACCATGCTACTTAGGCGTAGTTTATAGGCAATGGACTTGGTATCTAGATATACGTTAAGGAGACCATTTTCTGATTCACGTCCTGGCTCATGCTTTCACTTTGCTTCTGTGGGGACTGAGCAGTGCCTTTCGGGATGATTATTGTATTATCATGGAGTGACCACCGTCGGAAATCACATACGGGAGTTCTGTTGGGTATATGGGACCTGGGGATCAGAATGCCATATTCTAGCTAGTCCTCATAGTGGCGTGAAGGTGGACGATGCTCTTAGTACGTTTCACTAATGGACGTTGGGCACACTAAGGTACATGCATAAGAGAAAACATATTGATCGCCAAGAGATGATCGAGATGCTCTATTATGATAATACTGCCCAGTGATGACCATATACACAGTGCTGCCACCCTCGAGATCTTGCCCTGGACCTGAACTTGAACCCCGCCCTTCAGCGCACGACTTAATCGTTCATTGGCCTACTATATGCAGACCCACTGATGATCTCTGTACGTGGATCCAGTCCTGTGTACTGCGTACTGTGTAAGCCTGAAGAACACAGCAGCGGGCCTGTCGGAATCTAATGCATTACTAGTACTGTGTAGCTGCAGAGCATCGCGGGCTGGTAATTGGTCGCCGTTCTACGTAGTATTGCCGGGCGCTACTTAACAGGTGGATTCTTATTGAGATGAGCGACTTTTCGAACCCTGATATTGAACCTTTTCGCAACAATTTACTTTACGTACATACAATCGGATCCTGTGGTGTCCATGACTTGCTGGCCAACTTTCATTGCGGTAGCTCTGCACAATCTATACATATCTAAAAGCTGGGCCACTCTCCTTTGAACAAAGACATAGCAAAACCAAAAAGCACAAATACTAAGAAACATCATGCTTCGTTCGTCCACCTCAATTGACTAGTACGATAATTATAAGAACACGTGCCAGATTATGTGATGTCTTCAGAGTCACGGGACAGTCTCGTATGGACTGCCCGCATGATGTCATACATGATAACCTTCAACAGGAAGAGAGGCCGAAATTGAAACATGTACATTCGGAAATCTCTATACTTTCTTTGTATAGAAAACCGCTGTGGCTACCTGAACTACGTACATCGGCAAGGCTACATACATCTTTCACCAATTATATATTTTTGGATCTATCCCCGACCACGGAAATGGCCGCCACATCGCCAAACTACTGCAGCATTGAAGATTATGGCATCATCGGGGATATGCACACATGTGCCCTCGTGAGCAAGAATGGTGGTCTTGACTTTATGTGCTGGCCAGCGTTCGACTCCCCATCCGTCTTCTGTCGCGTCTTAGACAACAACAAGGGTGGCCATTTCACGATCCGCCCGTCAGGAGATATCAAACCCATGAGCAAACAACGATATAGAGCTTGTACAAACGTCTTAGAGACGCGATGGATTCACGAAGATGGCGTGATCACGCTATCAGATTACTTTCCCGTATCAAGCAAAAAGCCATCTCGTCCGGGGGGTTCCGCGTCAACCTGGTGCTCCTGTGAGACGGCTGCCAGTGGTACTGAGGGGGCGAAATGTCGCTCTGGAGTGGTCAGGAAGGTCGAATGCGTTCGTGGCCAGATGGATATGGCTGTTGAAATCTTCCCCGCGTTCAATTATGCGCTTGAGCAGCATACCGGTCGATGGGTAACTCGTGGTGATCCCGGCAGTCAGCTTAATGAATATCTATTCGAGAGTGCTACGCAGAGCCTACAGCTCAGTATTCTCACTAGCACCGATCCATCTAATGGGGGCTCAGATAAGACCCCCGAGATTGTATTCGAGATACAGGACAGACCGGGGATGAAAGGACCGGGCGTGTTTATGAAGATGACTGTGATGGAAGGGCAGACCGCGACGTTCGTGTTACACGACAGAGAGAAGACTCTTCCGGACGCGAACTTTCTGGAATCCTACTTGTACACGCTGGAGCACGATACTGCCGAGTTTTGGGCTATGTGGATCAACCAGTGTACCTTCCGAGGGCGCTATCGCGAGCAGGTGGAACGAAGCCTGTTGATCCTAAAACTGCTAACATACAAGCCAACTGGTGCTATTGTTGCATCCCCGACCTTTTCCCTCCCAGAGAGCATCGGCGGAGCACGGAACTGGGACTACCGGTACTCTTGGGTGCGTGATGCTGCGTTTGTCGTCTATGTTTTCCTCAAGAATGGATACCCGAAGGAGGCAGAGTCGTATATCAATTTCATCTTTGACCGGGTCTTTCCACCGGCAAATGCCGAAAGCCAGACCAACAGAGCATTTCTCCCGATCATGGTTACAATCCACGGAGAGCATGAGATCCCCGAGTCTGAGCTGGGTCATCTGGAGGGATACATGGGTAGTAAACCGGTACGGATCGGGAATGGAGCTGCCAACCACACCCAGCTAGACATATTTGGAGAGCTCATGGACAGCGTCTACCTGTACCATAAGCATGGGCGTCCCATTTCCTATGACCAATGGCTCGCGGTAAGACGGATGACCAGTCACGTGATGGACGTGCTCCATGAGACAGACAGATCAATCTGGGAGGTACGAGGGCAGCCGCAGAACTTCGTATATTCGAAGATAATGCTCTGGGTTGCATTGGACCGGGCTCTGCGACTGGCAGAGAAGCGCTCGAATTTACCCTGTCCGGATCGGATCGAGTGGCTACGAGCCCGGGATGATCTCTACGATGAGATCATGACGAAGGGGTACAACTTCAAAGACAAATATTTCTGCATGAGTTACGAAAGTCCAGATATACTGGATGCAGCCGTTCTGATTGCCCCGCTTGTCTTCTTCATTGCGCCTAATGACCCTAGGTTCCTGAACACACTGAAAAGGGTCATGTTACCCCAGGCCAAGGGAGGACTATCGATAGCCAACATGGTCTCTCGCTACGATCACACCAAGGTTGATGATGGTATGTTCGTTCTAATTCACTCATATTTATGAACAGCACTGCTAAGCGAGGGATGTCAGGTGTCGGAGGGCGCGAGGGCGCTTTCGTAATGGTCACCTTCTGGCTAGTCGAAGCCATGATGCGTGTCAGTACCCCTGGCCTGCAGCTTGTGGAAGTGGCTAACGAGACTAGGCCTCTAAAGCAATGTCTTACAACGTCGAAGACCCGTTTTACCGACAGCTGCGAAAGTTGGCGATCACTAATTTTGACAATATGCTCTCGTTCGCGAACCACCTGGGCATGTTCTCGGAAGAGGTGGCCATCTCTGGAGAGCAGATCGGTAACACTCCGCAGGCATTCAGCCATCTGGCTTGTATTAGTGCAGCAATGAATCTGGGTGGAGTGGATTAAGGCTGCTTGGTATCATGCAATTTGTCAATATCACAGGCGGTTCCTGCTCTTTGTACGTATGGACTGATTTAGGTAGGTGTGTACTGAACACTCTTAAGATCTAACATGATCTGATACAAGTCAAAGTAATGAGACTAGAGCTAGTAAGATACATATCCGACAGCAACAGACAATTTCGCCGCATCTTCCGCCAATCAGCCAGAAAGGCCAAATTCAAGTAGCCGTAATCGCTGCACTTCCATCGGGCACCTTAGCGTGATATTCTAACACCATCCTAACATCCTTGCCAGGTTCCAATCTAACAAACCACTTGACTTCACCATTTCGCATCATCACTGCCTTCCCTCTACCCCTATCCCTTTCCAGCGCCATATCCACCTCACTGCCTTCTTTCTCCAAGCCTTTCGGCTCTAGTACCTGGATGCGCATCTGTTCATTGTCCTTGAGCGGAATCTGATCGGAAACGATCATGTCAATCGCTGTACTCTTTGTATTCTTCACCCAGCAACTGCGATGAAATACTGCAGCTTTTTCTTTACTGATATACCCGGAAGAAAGCTTTCGAACAGTCGGCTTGGCGTATGTCACCAGAACATTCGGGTCAACTCCCAGGGAAATATTGAAGAAATCATTCGGCGCACAACTCGGCAGGGTGGATGACCCCAAGAAGGTCCCATCAACGGATATACCAGTCTTCCCGCGCAGGATATTGACCGACGAGGTATTTTTAACTCTGGCACGCAGAAATGCAGCGGCACGTATCTTGGGAACAATCACATGCGTGAGGGTCAAAGCCTGCAGGGTCGACTGAGCAATAAGATGGCGCCGATGACTAGTGGAGGGAGCAAGGGTGCGGAGGCCAGAGAGTTCATAGGTTGTGGTCAGACCATAGTTTTGTGCAACCGAATCTTGTCGCTCCAGACTAGGTGATGCGTTGGTTTCTGTGTCGCTGTCTCTGTCATCAGCTTCCCCATTATCCCCATTATCCTCGCTAGTGCCCCATCCCAGTGCTCTCCGGGCTGAGGGGACCCATGAGTGGAGAGAATCGCGCGGTGTGATATGCGATGCCCTGCGTGCCCCATGCCCCCGGGCTATTGGGGCTTGCTGTGCAATAGCCTGCTGCATCAGAGCTTGCTGTTGCTGTTGCTGTTGCTGTTGCTGTTGCTGCTGGTTCTGGGCCATCCCGGATTCTTGCACACTTCGTGCGTTGGCCATAATCTGCGCACGTGCGCGTACTTGGGCATCAAGAGCTCCGGAAGACCAATTCATCTTGGTTGCCATGACGTTGTGGTTTATCTCAGCTGGGCTTCGCAAAACATCCTGCCAAGAGATTGATTTATCATCCGAAGTCGAGCAGGTTGTGACATGCCAGGGTTGGAGAATGGGAATTGGTTCATCAAGACCTGAAAAGGCTGCATGAGAGGTTGAAAGAGTGATCTTAGCGTCTTTCCAAGTCTCTGAACTGTTGTTCTGGAAGTCCGCGTTGTAGATCAACGATGCGGTGGAAGCCGGGGTATTGATCTTCAAGTTGTACCGAGGCACCCAGTTCGGACCAGGAACGATATACGTCAAGTTCATGGTCACTTCAATCGGCTGGCCACCATACGTAACATTCTCAGTGACCGAGCTCCGGCGACTGGACCCCGGTGTGGCAGAGACATGCCCGTCAAGGTAGACCTTGACCTGACCGACACGTTCTGTCCAGAACTGCCGTTTCTCATTGATATCCCGCCTCTGTTTAGCCCTTCGTTCATGTCGCTCCCTTACGCGCTTCTCGCGAGCTTGCCGAACTTCCTTCAACGCAGCCTCCTTGGCCTTAGTATGGGTTGATTCCAACCGCTCCCTCTTTCGCTTAACCCTCTCAAGAACCTTCTCCCCATCGGCAATCTTAACTTCCGTGTCCCTCGCGCGCTCCCCCTCGGTCTTCCTCTGCTGAAGATACATCTGCAGAAAATCATTCAGCTTAGCGGGATCAGAATTAGTCGAGTCAATACTCTTCCCATAGCCCACAAGGAACTGCAGCACAAACAGCGACGCAGACTTATCATCCTGTGCCTTGGCAAGAGAGGTATTTAAGGTCTGCTCTTCTTTAAGGATAGACTGCAGTTCTGAGTCATCGATATCGATACCCTCTTCGTCGGTCGTCATATCCTGGTCGATATCACTTTCCTCGTCGACTGTGAGGTCAGGATAGACGTCGTTGAATTCCTCCCGCCGTGGCACAACATCTGTTTGCATGTCTGTTATGGTAGCAGGACCGGAGCCGTCAATTTGGACAGAGTCCAGGTCCACGTTGGGGTCTAGGCCTTGGATTTTGATGACATTTTGGCCTGGCTGGTACATATCTTAGTATATCGCGAGAGGATATATATAAGGTCCAAAGCTTACATGAATAGTAGTGCGGATCTCACGAGTGATCGTTGCCCTCTGGGGAGTGAGGACGACTGATCTGGTCGGGAGGTTGGAGATTTGGATCTCCGATTGATGCAGATCAGTCATGGTTGGGAGGCAAGGCAAACGTGGGCATGGATAGGGTCACAAAGGATGAAGAACAGTGCGACAAAAGTAAGGAAAGTCGTCCAGGTGCTGTCCGAGGAACACCAACCTAACTACTGGGGAAAGGAGGGCTTTAAATAAACAAGAAGGCAAGGCATCTACGGTGAGAGCCTTAGCATTAGGTTGCACAACGTCACACTCGCTGACTCATCCTGGTGTGCACAAATGCACGTGATCAGTATATAAAAATAGATTTGGCATCAACCTTGGTGAATGGGACGAGGGCATGATTTGAGGTAAGTCGCACGTACTGACTGAGAGGTGAATAAGCTCTATAGAAGCAAAGTAAAACAGAAAACGAAACGAATTTACCTATTGTGAGAGGCAGCTTAATAGTCTCTGTGGATTTGCGTACAAGCTTCGAAGCCGTGTTTTCTCAATTATATATCATTGGTTACTCCCACCAGATTGAAGATTCACGAAGGCACGTGTAAAAAAGGAGGCGAGCTAAATTGACTAACTAAAAAAGGATGGTTCCTCTTCGCTCGTCTCAAAGTCTGTTATTTACAAAGATCCGTGCGACATTGATAGACCGTGGAAAGCAAGGTATATGGATCGGTAGGGTGCGATCATTGCTTGAATCTTCTTCTTTTACCAAGGAATGGGCAATTTGCATAAATAATCTGAAGGGTTTCGTAACTGAGCGCATTCCACAATGTGAAAGCTGTCACCGGGACTGGACGATTGTTGGATCCTATTTCAAACAAATCGTGTCCTTCTTATTCACCCACTCCCCCGTGGCGTCAAAGACCTCTCCTTGCATAATGCCATCGACAACACTGGGCCCAATATATCTCCAGTGCACTCCATCCTCGTGCCGAGAAACAACTTGCGGCAGAGTCGCTCCCAGAAAGACACACACCGTGTCTTTGGCTTCAGTGTGACATGGCACCATCGCCATATGGCCGTTTGTGGTAAGCACGAAACTTCTCCCTGGCCATCGAATCATTATGAGATTGAGATAGCCCCGCCAAAACCGATGCTGGTCGAGAAAGTATTCCGCCGTGTTTAGATTGAGAGGGGTTGGATTAGCCACACCTTCATGCTTTTCGTTTGCAGCAAGCTCCAGGAATGCGACGAAACTGTTTAAGACATCGCCCTCTGGCGCCCAGAGAACTGGGGTGACTCGAGCCAGCCACACTCACCGATTAGAACCCCAAGGAGGCGTTGGTGGGTGTCTGTGTCGTCGGGAATGTAAGCAGAACAGTCCTTCAGAGCCGTCAAGACTCGACGTCCATGAAACACGTTGGAGCCCTCGTCAAAGACTGTGCTGAGAGGAACAACCTCTTTGACCGTATCCACACACAAGCCATCAATACAGAGGACCTCTTCACCACCGTTGTTGGCTGTAAGGGATAGGCTATTAGAGGACGATGGGAGAGATGTCGCAGGCGGTCTTCCGGCTTTACAACCCACGACGGGCAGATATCCGTAATTCCAGCCGCTGCCCCAAGGCGGGCACCATGAAGGAATATCTGCATGGGTCGTAGTTGGAGGAAAGCGCAATGAAGGCCAATCCCTGACCCGCTCTAAGCATTGTCGGAAAAACCTGGCGTGAACGAGGCCGTAATTCTGCTTAGCCTCATCGGAGTAATCTACGACCACCTTCTCACGCAGGGCGTCCGGCAGCATGTCGCGAACTCCATAGACATAGTCTACCTTCACGGAGGCGCCCTGGCTTTGCATAATGTCCATTGTTGCTTGCAGCCCGTCAGTCTCCTTGTCGGCCTCCTCCAACCCCTCTTTCAAACGGCGTGAACTCCGGATGAGTTTGATCCCGTTGGCCGACCGGCCGACCTGATCCTCGCCCATCGCGTCAACGTGCAAGCCGGCGATATTGCTGACGAAAAAGGATTTGGACGTGGCGATGGCAAAATTCACTACAACATGCCATTCGAGCTGCTGCGTACCGCATAGAAACACACATTGGGGCGCCAAAACGACCTCCTGAACAATCCAGAGTCGCTGAAACCAGGGTCGACTGTAGAGCAACAGTGCAGCGCGCCAGAGCTTATCATCAGGATGCGGAAGTCCTTGCGCTACAATGTCGTCCGTGGTTCGCGGTCTCCATCCTCCTTCGCTCTCTTTCAGTGCCCAGATCTTCTCCGTAAGTTCGGGCAATAGCGAACACGCCAGATCGCTTTCGTCAGCAGCATCTCCTAGCCAGATTAAGACTTGGTCTGCGCAGGAGTAAAGCTCTCCCATCCCTGCGACCTGGTGCGCCTTCTCCACCGAGTCGGTTTGATTGATGCAGATGGCGTCCACCCATATCCACCCCCCGCCAGAATAGGCGTGTATTCCGCGTAGAGCCTGGCCTAGGGTGCGAGAGATGCGGAAGCGCGCACCGTTACAAACACCATCCTCCGTCTCTGGCGAGGTACCCCATGCGTACGACAGTGCTTCATACCCGGGTGCCTCATAAATAGAGAATGTCTGCAGACTGAACTTAATCTGAGGATCTACCTCGACAATCTTAAGGACGCGAAACTCATCGGGCTCGATGCGAGAATAGGCATAGCTGGGTATGATCTCATGCATCCTTCTTCCTATCGTATTTCGCTGTTGTTAGGCAGAGATGGATCTTGGTGATAGCAACCCCTGTCAGACAAGGACTGGTAATGATAATGCGGGACATTCCTCTTGGCGGGGCCTGAGAGGATAGCCTGAGGTGATGCCAGCCTCTTCGAACTAGTCTAACTTGTCAAGGCATAGTGCTGTGCGTGATAACTGCGCTGCCCAGTTTGTGGCGTCTCGGCTTACGTGTGTTGGTTCTGGCCCTTGCCATGCTGATACACACCATATCAGATCTAGACAAAAGCCTGAGGCAAATGGCTTTCCATATCGTATTCAAGCGAAGTGTATTATGCTACAATTGTCTCGTTGCCGTGGGGTCACCTTTCTGCCGTATTCGACTCTTGCAACATCGCAATATCGCTAGTCTGACATTATAGGCCTGTATATTCTGCACGTTTCGTCTATAGTGACCAGGGTAGGCCGAGCCTTTCCTATAGGTGTGACCTAACAACTCAAATTCCCGTCAGTGAGTACCTTTCCTACATGCAGAGGCTACAACAGCCGGCCTTGAGTATACTTGATGACAAAAGATTGGAGCACTACGGAGGTCCATAAAGTGCTCTCCGAGACTTTCTCCACTGCATAAGCTCAAAAGAGCCTTTAACCCGTCCCCATCCCCTTCTTAGCGGCCGAAAAACAAGCCCTTTCTTCAATTCTTCACGGGTAAAGCTCCTGGTGTGCACGCATTTCCCTCCAGGCTCCTGCAGGTACCTCGAACGGGGTTGTTGATCGGTGTCCCAGACGGGATGAAGATTCATAATTCCATCGACCTCCTGCTCGCCCTCCTCTTCTTGTTGATCTCTACCGTTTGAATCAACGGAATCGGCATTTTGTGCATACTTCAGATTCTGCGTATGCTTTCCATACAGGTTCGAGAGGCTGAGGCTCTGTAGGCTTGGCATAGATTGGTCGATATGCGAAATAATTGGTGTCCATGACCCAGTCGTCAGAGTACACTCATGCAACGTGAGAGAGTGGAGATCGGCATGTTTCTGGAGTAATAGCAGAATCGACTCGCCTTTTGCCATGAAACCAGAAAGTGCACATGTTTCAAGGCTCGGGAACTGGGTTTCCTGAGAAATACTTGCTATGATCCGGTCGTAGCTTTCCAGCTTCCCATCTATTAGGGTATTACGGAAAGATAGGTCCAGCTCTCGAAGAGCCGACGCGGGTTTGAGTAGGGATACAATTCCCGGGGTGCCATCAGCTAGCACTGCACGAGGATCATCGCGGGATAAAAGTCCCCCCCAGCCGTCCTCGTCTTCTGATCCGGCGATGTCCAAAGTGTCATGTATCTCCCCAGACATGCTAAGTTTTAGAGATTCTAGACCCTTGCCTAGTATCCCTAGCTGGCCCGGGCTGAAGGTTGATGCATAGGTGGTGATGCGACCGGATGGAATACAGCATCTGGGAGTATCGCGATATATGTCGAGTTTCTTGACTGAAACCCCACTGTGAACTATTGCCGTCAAAAGCACGGAGAATACGTGCGACGCTCGCATCCAGAGTGGATGCCACTCCCCATAATCGGCCGATTCTCTGTTCGTACGTCCGAGCATGAACGCAGCATCTAAGTGAATCGAATCCAACTTGCTAAATCCCTCGAGCGCAAGTTGAAGAAGCTTAACCATCTCGCTTGATGACTCATTGGCCCTTGCTTGTTGCTGCTCTCTTAACCAGCCAAGGTCAGAGATGGCCTTTGACAGTTCTTCGGGGGAATAATCGATGGTAGAAGATTCAAAAAAGGGCCCATTGAGACTCCGCGCAGCGTATTGTCCACACTTCACGTTCTTCTCTAACTCGGAAGAGTCTAAGCTTGTTGCCAGAAGGGTCAGCGAATGGATCCTCTTGCTGAGAGAAGGGCTACAGGCCAAGGCATGAAATGAACGAAGATTCTCTAGCGATACTTCGAAAATCGGTTGTTGAATGGTGGCTAAGAACCGGGGTCCGATGCACTTTCCCGCGAGCCCTCGGTTTGTTAGACGAAGGGCTTTGACGGAGTCAAGATCCAGATATGTGAGGATGGTCTCGAAAACCTCTAAAGGCAACATCTGACAGTCCATGATGCTACTCTGTTTCGAAGATACTGAATGAGCAAGAAGTGAAATTTCTGAGGGGCTTGGTGGGGGGCTACGGCGGACTAAATTTAGCTTGCGGTCGACTTGCAATTATTAAGCTACGGCTACCACGCCCCATAGTTCTATATAGTCTTAATTATCTAACAATGCTCTCGGAGCATGAGACCGAAGGATCCGTTGCAAGTTTTATACGGATGGAGAGGGCCAGCTTAATCAGGTATAGGCTCGAGAAAGGACATAGTTTCTCGGAGCTGATGGATTAGCAATAATAGTCGAGCCATGTGCTAGAACGACAAAAAATGGCATAGCTGTCATTTGTAAGTCATTACTCGGCGGCGATTTTCCCCTGTAATCACCATGCGACGGGAGATATAATACTAGGTGGAAGGAAAGAATGTCGACGTCCAGATCCATTGTTGGTAAGAGCCTACTGAATAACGTCGCTCAAATCTGCATTAACAAACACCGAGAAAGGAATCATGAGAGGTATGAAGAGGAGCCGACCAGAAGGCTGTTCCCATGCAAAATTTAAGTCCTAATTGCCTATGTACGTTGAGTGATACTCACCTTGAATGCGGTTTAAGATCCTATGTAGTATATCTTGCTTCAATGCAGTAATTTTTGAGGCAGAGTATTCGCAGTGTCCGTGTTCCTAGAGCCGGTTTTGAACATGGGTTATTTGAGTCTTGGTTAATGCTAAGAATTGCGTTCTCGACTAACAAAACTACTACTCCCTGCGCTCGACAAACCTATAGATTATTCTTCACTTTCTATACAAGTACCTGGTGCGGCTGCTGATCTATACAAAATGTATAGTCTATCTGTAATGAATATACATCTCGTGATTGATTGCAGAAGTTGTCCTCGTTGAAAAAACAACCCTTGATTGTTACTAGTTTCTACTATTTCTCCACCTAAAAGGGAACCTATAGCGTATCACTAAATTGAGAGTCCACAGCTAATAGCAGATAAAATATCATTCAGACAGGTATTCAACCCAAAGACCACTGACGCGAGGAAAGAATGAGAGCTTCGTGATCGCTAACCATGATGTTGGACTTTTAATCAGTCTGTACTTCCGGATGGAGGCCACCTCGGTCTCGATGGCATATCTCCTCGACTCTCTTTCAATTTCTCCACACACCTGTGAATAAGGTCTGCCTGCTCTTTGATATATTCTTCCGTTTTCTTCAAAAAACCATAGATACCTTCAATGTCGTCTAGTGCTGGCAGATCCTCGCGTTTAGTCCCTTTGGCATCATCTGGCCAACCAAGTATTTCATGGCCGACATTGAGCCGCCAGTATTTGGTGCGCATGGTTTCCGGTGCATATGCATCAAGAAGAGTCCGGAAGAGAATGTGCATAATCTCAGAGTTGGTTGCGTTTGCAGCCAAAGAGGTTGGCATTTTAAAGATGCCACCCAAGGCCCTGTTTTTAGGAATGCCCGTTCCAATACTGAGAAAACACGAGATCGGTCGACCGGCGCCATACACACTTTGGACTTCATTCCATAGCCTGATCAAATGTATATCAGCATTGGAGAGCTTAATGTCATAGGAAGACAGGCGAACTCACCATCCTACTGGGTTGTTTGCGCCAAGACCACCATCGATCAGCTTTTGTCCCCCAACCTCCATGGGTCGAAAGTACGTCGGTGCAGCAGATGTTGCCCGAGCAGCTTGCCATATTTTGATATTTGGCAACAGAGATGGCTGTTGAGTGTTGGTGTAGGAGCGGAGAAATACGGGGCTTTTATTGTTGACAGCCCTCTCGTCAATGGACAGGACGAAGCTAAATACAGGCGTTAGCAATGTCGTTCAGTTCAGGGAGCAGTAAGAGCGCAGAGTAATACACTTTACACAAGTTGCCCTCGTCTAGTAGTGGCTCGTCGCCATTCTGTGTACGCTTTTCGATAACACCTTTGAGAACATTTTCCAATTTGGAAGTATTGTACTTTGTTGCGTCGGTCAAATTCTTCGCTTTTTCCCACCAACTGTTTGTGAATACCTCCTTCATGAAATCCTTATATGCATCAATACACTCGTCGACTGACATCCCTAGTCGACCTAGCATGATGGCACATAGCCTGGCCCAATATATTAGTATTAAACCTTCGAAATACATATCTACATGTACTTACCCCCCTGTACTGGTGCCAGCAATCATATCAAATACCTCACATGGTTTTGCTGGCTTTCCCTTAGTTCCGAGCTGCTGCATCACGTTGCGCAAGATATGTAGGGACGATAATCCACGTACGCCTCCTCCGTCTTTTCTGATATGTCAGTATGCCAGAGATAATTAACATGAGAAGGAAATCTACTGACCAAGGCATAGGACACGTAGCGGTTTCTGGTTAGCAGCATCGAAACCATCGGCACGCATGGAAGGGGTTGGAAGAGGATAATCAGTGTCGCTCTTGTCGTTCAGCTCCTGGAGTGCATTTTGGAAATATTTAAACTGCCCGAATTTAGGGGGCTCATAGATGGCTATATCCACCAGTTGGTTCCATTAGAAAAGACTCTAAGAAACGGCAAAAATGGTACCTCTGGAGTCCTAACCTGGTTCTTTGCTAATTTGAAGAGCCAAGTATCCCCTTTGGGCTCGAATTGCCCATCTTCGAAAGCGTGCGCAAATACGGATGGCAATGACATTTCCGACCTAATGATCAATTATCAGGCAGAGATTTACAAGGAAACAGGGCGTCCAAACCTCGAGTGAACGCAGTAGGTTATGCGTTTCGTTGAAGACCATACCACGATTCTAAACAGAAGAGTATCATTTTAGCACAGGACTTCATGATATTCAACTTTTTAATACGTACCCATTTGCAGGTCCACGTCTCCATCGGATTGAGGTGACTTTTCCAAACATACTGCACGTTGTTCTTGACCATTGGCTCGGCCGTCTTTTCATTCTCAAGAATAGCTAATTCGAACCATGTCCAGGTTCCCGCATCTCTGTCACTGACGACTCCCTGATCTCCGGATTCCGCAAATAGTTGGAGAAATTGAATACGGCGAAGGATGGAAGCGGTGATAGGCTGTTAATAGGTTAGCCGGGAATCGATCTATGTAGATGGTCAGATATGCAGAGCTTACCGGTAGTCGAAACCATATCGCGGCTTTGATGTTGCCATCTTCCGCTTCTACCTCTTTGAACTCTTCGCATTTGACAGCATACTGTCCATTATCGACTGCAGACAGATTACCTGGAAGAGGCGGGAGAATTTCCACCCCTTCCTTTGTAAAGGGGCTTGCCATGTTCAAGGTTAAGAGTAACTATTCTGTGGTTTAATATTACCTTTGTATATGGATAGAAGATCGATTGATTGAAAGGTTTTCTGGTTGGGGAAGATTGATGTTGGGAGACTTATATATGCAATGAGTGTGAACATCTCAGCCGACTATCAGCTTGATAATTTCATACTGTCTTTACCACCCATAACACGACGCAAATAGCGGTAAAGTTTCATCACGATCAGCATTGGGGCTCCACAGATATTGAGCAGTTATGTTGCGAGCTCGAGGCATCGTTCTTTCAGAACATCCTCAGCTGTAGGCCCGCAGCCACTAAGAGAGATCCTCTCGCCTATTCCACCTCAACACGTTGCCTGCCCCACATGGCGGGGCTGCAAGCTGATGGGATTGTCAAAAGAATGCCACCTACAGCTGAATGCAAAGATGTGACTCCTCGCCTTAGACGGCATAATCTGCCTTCCCCCTAATTACATTTGTGAATTGCCGTGCATAGAGTTTGCTCGTATGCCTGTAGTACTAGCGTTGTGCCTTCTGAATGGATGAGCAAGGCCAGGTCAACTGCACTAAAGCCACTCTCATACAGAGAAAATATCTGATGAATGGCATGGAAGGCCAACTATGCCAGTCAGTTTGGCTTGCACTAACTCAGTGTATTCTGACAATGCCTTCAAGCAATGCTCTTAGATTGTATATCTCTGTACTCTTGTCGGATACTCAACCATTGGGAGACAGACAAAATTGTTAACTTAAAAACACATTGCTCATGTTAAGCTTAGGGTCTTCATGGCCTTCGACGCTGCACATAACGATTGTGAACTAGCACCAGCAGAGGATACGAGTATTCTAAGGTGCCTGTGCATCCAATCCTCATATTTTGGGTCTGTATCTACTACATCAATTGAGTTGGTGGCTGGCTAGAATGGAATGTTACGGAGGCTCGGACCTGAGCGGCAGTCTAATCAGTGGGTCAGTCAACCAGTCGGCAACGAGGCCATGCAACTAGTCGACATTCCGAGCACTTCAATTATCATCATTGGTAGATAATTAAGTGGAATGCACTTCGTAGCGGATACATTTAATTGACTCATATCCAATGACATGCAGTTGGTGAACTTGGTATACATAAATTCGAGGGGTATCGTGTTGGGAATTTCAAGAGCCTCTTTGAGTTGTTTCGAAGGGGTCAGAAAGTTGGTCGAAATCTGTAGCTAAACGTATGTCATCTTTCTGGAGAGTCAAGGGAGTTTCAGGACAATAAACATTTGCATAAGATATTATCCTTTAAGCCATTACAGAACTATACTAGGGGATGAATAATGGGGCCATGAGAATCACAAAGGACATCGCTCAACCAACAAGGGAAAATGAAAGACAAAGGGGCAACAACGATATGTGCAGCCTCATGGCAGTACTAAGAGGTCTCTCTGCAATAATCTGGATGGGCAGCTTGGTCTAGCTTGGGCTGGTCAGGCGGTTCAAGTTAACCTATGAGACTTTCAGCTTCATGTTTTATATTCGGGAGAGATCGTAGGGGTGGATGGTTGAATGAAGGATTTGCCTGTGGAAGACTAGTGGGAATCGAGATGGATGCCGCCTAGTTTGTCCTTTTGTTGAGCTGTATGCTGGTGTGAACTGTCGTGCTGGGGGTTAGGTTTTTCTATTCCTTCATGCCATTTAGGAATCCTACCGTTTCCTTCTTTCCTGGGTCTCTCGTCCAGACCCCCTTAACGCGTCTCTACGGCTCTCCCACTGTCCCCGATATATTTCTAGTCGGATGGTTGCCCCACAGCATTTAGTGCATGGCTGGTGGCTTCTCGGCGACAGGATCTCAGCTGGTTCTTGTGTGTTGTCAGTGGCCGAACAAGCCTCGCTTTGTCTTTATTCTGCCATGAGGTTGGTTATTGAGCACTTTCCTGCACGTAAGCCACGCAATCTTACTCTTCTGGTTAAGTGGGGAATCTAAGCAGTTGAGTTTCGAGTTGCGACTTTGTGCGGAGGTATTGCAGACAGTGCTGGATGGCGACGGGGCTTGTACAGTGCGGCGATCGCTGGTACGTTTGCCTTCTTCCTAGCTTCCTAGTCTGGTGACAGATTTCCCGACGTCTAGTAAGCGCCGTTTCCTCGCATATGTAGGTGTTTAGTATTGATTGGGCAGATGCAGTTGATCTTAGTCCTTCCCTGGCCTGCATTCGTATGCTTTGTCGTCCGTCCCTACCTCTGGCCCCTATGGCATTGCAACCCGTCCAAAGTTCTTTCAGTAAACTCATTACAGATGACATTAAGAAAGCGCACGAGGCTCCAAGCACAATATTCTATACGCTGTCGGATACTTTAGGTGTCTTTATATTCTGGCAGAGCTTCCAAGAGCATCGCAACAAGCCTATCTTGATTTCGCGACTCGCTCGTCATGTATATTGCTTTCACACGTATCTGTGTTAACAGGTTCATAATCTAGGGTGTGTTCAACGCTATCGAGCAGTATTGGACTTCTTCTTCCAGAGCGTGCAGCATCCTTCTGCAGTTGAGACGACCATCTGGACTATCCCTACTCCCATAACAGACCTGCTAAGCGCTTACAACAGGACTTGTCTTACATATGTGTTGCGTCGACACTATTATCAAGATCGCCATGATAGTACCCTACCGTATTGCCCTGATTAATTCAGCATGGGCCTGCTGGCTTTGCGCGGTCGTGGCGATCCGTCTAAGCTCGATTTCCGCTGACCCTCTATTCACGATGTCGACTATCCTCATCGCGGCATCTTTCCTAGGGAAATGCAAGGACTGGCGATCGTCTCATTGATCCTTAATCAGGCGACTGGTCAATAATCGCAATTCGACGGTAAGGGGCGCCCGATGCAGTAATGATGAGCCACCGTGCGACGTTCTACGCATTCTTCGGTATGAATATAGCTAGTACAGTGGTGGACTAGATTATAATAGGCAATGTGGTGGTCAGTACAGTATGGACTATATAGAAACGCATCCTATACCATCAAAAGTATACACGCTACAAAAGGTCTATCTATCTCTCAGATGCAGTGTCTCGGTCAATCTATCCTTAGCTTTAGCGCATGGGAAGGTAGAAATATGTAAGGGAGGACAGGATGGACGCGTAAGATGGCAGCGGCAGACATTGGGCACACATAGTCTGAATAACCACTTATAGCATTCGAGGATACCATTGGGGTAGTCGTGCTCTGAAGTCCTGTGACTTCAATGCATCTAAGCAACCTCTACGCATCTGTACATCAGCTCTGGCAGGCATTGGCAGTTCGGGCTGCCGACGCTGCAAGGCCGATATGATGAATATCGAACATAGCCTGCTGCAATTTATAGAGCAGATATCTTCTATGAGCATTATGGCACGTGTATGTGGTCTGTAGGATTGAGTCAAGTGGAATATCTCACTAACTACTGACTCACCTACTCCCATCTCCGCCGGACCATAACGATGCTCAGCTACGCCCAGCAGTGCCATTGCTCGGCACCCAATGAGTTTAGGAATGACCTTATTACGCTTGGCTTCACCCAATCTATGAAGTCAGCATACCTGCCATGGATTCGGACAACAGCTTCTAATAGCAGCTAACTGCGTTTCAAGACAGGCGTAGGCAAAGGTATCAAGAGCTGTGTCTTTCACACGTGAAACATTGTACACACATCCCCAGAATATCCTTCTTGATCCAGAAGTACAGTCTATACTATCCCTTTCAGATCTGGATAACGACACGATCAACATGGAAACATGAAGCTTCCTGCATTTGTTATTGCTCTTGCAGCACCGCAAGCCATTTGCTATCCATAAGCAAAGTGTATACTGAAGCCTCCAATAGCCTAGCCGTGGTGCATGCTTGCATATACTGGGTGCCCGGTGGCATAGAACACCAGAGTTCAAAGATATGCTGCAAGATTCTTGGTGGTTATCAGACTGACCTTCGTGTAAGTGTACTTGGCCAGCAGAATGCGCTTACAGTTCCGCTTATAGAACGTCATTATCAGCGTGGGCACACTTCTAGTGACATGCAGAGGTACTTTGTGCTAAATTGGTTATCCACTAGCGGTAGCTGATTTCTAGCGCTGCCTGCGAGCGAACATGACCAAGCTCCAGTCAGGCAGTGAACATTGGCTCCACAGCCATTGTATAGCCCCCACAGTTCTTGATAAATCATAAGCCATCCATTGATACCCCAGATACATGTCACAGCTGCGTAGTAAACAATTGTATTGTTACTAGGGATAGTAAATATGGCTGGCATGCTGAAATACATCTCACTAGGGATGATGGAGAATCTACCAATGATAGGTCTGGGACAGAGGCGCTCAAAGATCTGACTGAGACATCACGAAGCCAGCCATCAGCGTGCTCAGTCCATGGTATTCCTCACATGCTGGCTGAACTACATCGGAGAGTACTTTATAGTCTATCTGTGCGATCGGGTGGTAGGGGATTAGACTTACTCCTCATACTATGCATTAGCTTCCTTCTAGGTGGCAGAGATCCATGCCGCGAAGCATTTCGGGCTGCGTGATTAAGATTCTAGAGTATGAATCCGTATTACACCTAAGCTCACTGGCCCGCGCAGGATGTTGAATACCCAAGCTACGATGCGTACAATAAGTGGAGGAGCAACAGAGCTAGGGATGTGCTGCACAAAAGAAGGGATAGCCGGTCCAAAAGAGTGATAAGGGAAGACATGCACATGTAGCGTCCATATTAACACCTGTTCAGTTATCGAATGGGTATTCTTAGCCAGTCGCTCTGGATAGCCTTAATGCAAAACATCATAGAATGAAGTATTGGCATGCCGTCTGTCCAGGTCCTGAGGCTTGGACAAACAGCTCAGATCAATTCGCCTCCTATTGCCATTTGTTTAGAGACTTGTGTTGTGTGTTGTCCTCGCTGGTGTTCCCTTACGTCCCAACAATACTTTGCTTCACAAATTGATTCGCCACACTGATTTACTTCCGTCGGCCGGACCGCTTCACCAATGCCAGACCCTCCGGGGGCTGAGAATGTAAGCATCAGGCAATCCCGGCTGTTATATATATCTTGCCTGTATGTGGATCTTGCATTTTATTTGTCTTGTCAAGGTGGCGTGCACACTTTCTTGCGGGGAGAACTTTGCATTGGGTGTATGGTGGATCGTAGGGTGGAGAACGCCGAAGATCTTGGTCTAATTGAAAACTAGAATTGTTGGTTCAGATAAGCAACTTGCATTAGGGCCGTTTTAGTGCCCGATATGAGATCATGCCCGGTACTACAAACCACAGCTTCTATAAATCACACTAGAACGTGTGAACTATAAGAATTCGAGGCCTCCCCCTTGCCACTCAGGAGTAGAATCCATTTTCATTACTTTCCTCCCGCTCGCAGTAAGAACTATGTCTCAACCGGAGGGCTATACGCATAACGGACCTGTCGACTGCAGCTTGCCTTTCGACACCAACAATCTGCAGGGAAAGACGGCAATTGTCACTGGAGGTATGGTCCCATTAGCCTAGTGTGCCAAGCTGTACTAAATCATTAACGTAAACAGGTGCCAATGGTCTCGGCGAAGGTTATGTTCGCGCCCTTGTTGCTAAAGGGTATGCGATTCAAACCCTAATCACAACAAGTGTCTAACCGACTACCTAGGGTCAACGTCTGTATCGCGGATCTGAATCAAGACAAGGGAAAGAAATTAGAAGCAGAGCTAAAGGGGTCAGGACCTGTCCAGGGATTGTTACTGTCATGAGCGCACCTGCTGACCACCCCAAAGCACTAAATTCATCCAATGCAACACCTCCAGTTGGGATGACCAAGCGCGTCTCTTCCGCGAAGCCGTCTCCTTTTCGCCAACAGGCAAGATCCACTATGTCGTCGCCAACGCGGGTATCCATCGCCCAGATGAAGTCTTCCTCTACTCCGGCGACGATCAAGAACCACAAAAGCCGGATCTGAGCACCATCGATGTCAACATCCAAGGCACATTATACACAGCCAAGTTAGCGTCTCACTACTTCATCAAGCAAAACGGACAGACCCCCTCGGCAGATCAAGAGGATACATGCTTGGTTTTAATTGGGTCTGGCGCAGCCTTCCTCGACTGCCCTCGCGCGCCTCAGTACTGTGCCAGTAAATGGGCTATGCGGGGTATCATGCATTCTCTCAGGAGGACGGCATTCTATTATGGAAGTCGGGTCAATATCATCTCCCCATGGTAAGTGGTGCCATTAGTAGAACTTGTGTGTCTCGACCACTGACCTATGTGTAGGTATGTGAAAACAAATATTCTGTCCGAGGAAACATTTGCCCATGTTTCCAGTCTGGGGGTAGTATTGGCCACGGTGGAAGATGCAGGAGAGTGTCTCCTCCGGATTCTTAGCGACACGGGTATCAATGGACACTCTATCTTCGTCTCGGGAAGAAAATGGGCTGCTCAGGGCTATATGGATTTGGATTTAGAGGATTATGCGGGCAGTGCGCTTATCCAGGACATTCAGGAGGATCAAATGAAATCCGCACCGCCGTCGCTGGGATTGTTTTTGTGAGGGCCGCAGTTGTGAGCTCGTATTGGAGATTAGGCCGGTACTCATCTTGCAAGACTAGATTAATAACATTCCAACATGGGCAGGTTTCATTTTTCTGCGGTTAACAACTCATTGTCCATTCTTGATTCTGAAGCAAGAAGGGAAAGGCACAAAGAAGGATAGCAAGAGAAAAATCGAAGGAACGGAGGGGAAGGGAGTATGAATAGAAACCAACAGGAGGGCGAATTAAGAAAAGAAGCTGACCATGAAAAGGGAGAATCAGTCTATCGTTTCAATGTTGATCATTGGGCACTCACCGGTGCAGAGCTTTGTTCTCTGTTCGGTTCCTGATGCCTCAGATATTCCCCGATGCGAGACATTCGACGTCGTAGGTAAGTCTAAAAATACCGACGGGCAGACCCACGTCAATGAAGCCTCTACCATAACCATGATACATGAAAAATGAAGCCAAACCAGGGCTAGCCAGTGGCCACCCAAAGTCTGCAGCAACACAGCCACGCCAAGATGGTAATCAGGTTGCATTAGTGCCGGGAGCTAAAAGCCCTAAGCGACCCAAGTTCTGTCACTCGGAGATAATGGGATAAATCCGCCACTCGAGTCATCCAACTCTCGGCAGATCTGCGGTACTCAAAGACTATAGGATATGGCTCGAGCCGATGTCCAGTGGCTTTGCGGTTCTTGGTACGTTCCATATTCCTTCCACGTTGGGTAAGGGATCGAGCCCATAACCGTAACTTCTCCACACAGTTGCGGGACTGCTACGATGCCCAGCGCAGTTTGAGCAATCACTTTAGAAGAAAGATTACATAGAATCAGTAATCAGTAACCAGGATCAAATGTGATCAATCGTCGTGGATCAAAAGGAAACCAACATGTCACGGCTGTTCTCCGCAGTGTCGAAGGTTCTATCGCTGCTCATGTGGAGCCACAAATCTTAGAAGTTAGCACTAACCCATCATATAATGAACCTTAAAGCTATGAAACTTGATAAGCCAGGCATAGCCACCGGGACTCTCAATCCATCATTAGGCAACACCATATCGATGAGATCAGCCAATACCAACGGACCATTCGGAAAGCACTTCCACTCGCTTGGCACGCTCTCCCCGCTCCGAGAGATCCGTAGCCACTGCAGGATGCGGTGCCAAGTCGGGGGCGAGGCTGTGCTCTCCACGGTTCTGCTTTTTAGGGCACAAGAGAAAGGGTCGGGGTGGTGCTGTCAGCACAGCGGGTCTGGGGATGACGAGTCTGTCTTGGCTTGCATAATGTATTTCGCTCGGCATATGGCAGATGCCCATAGGGCTTTATACTGATGCCTGGACTATGTGGGTCGAGTATGGACTTACTGAACGGTTGATTTACAATTCTGTGGTGCTCGGTAGAAGCTTGGTATCGCTATCGGCCCAATCTCATGGAATACCGATTATAAATCCATTATGAGCAACAGGTCGCGGTGAGGTATATATATCAATATATACAGGTTGTATACCGTAGTTGTGTTCACTAGCACAACTCCATCTCACTATACCTAATCATGAGAATATATCCAGTCTTGCTGCTGTTTGCACCCCTATTGGTCCTCTTCTCGCATGTTCAAGGTGATTAGCATCCAAGCGCAGGGCTTCTACCAGCCAGTATACTGATACGACCAGGTCACTCGATACGTTCTTCGCCATCACAAAAGGCGACCCGTCTGGAGTCAGTTGTCATACATACGTCGTCAAAACAAATCAAAACCGAGTCCGAGTTCGATCTCACATTCAGGATCCGAGAGCAGGATCATGAAATCAGGCTGAAGCTGGAGCGAAACCCTTACCTGCTCGCACATCGCCCTCAAATTCAATATCTTGACACGGAAGGAGTCGTCAAACGGACTGAGCCATTTATTGAAGAAGACCAAAGGGTATTCAGAGGAGGGGTGTGGATTCAAATCACAGGTCGGCGTTGGGAAAAGGTTGGTTGGGCGCGGATATACATCGTTCGTGATGGGGATGATCCTCTGTTTGAAGGTACATTTAGTGCCTTTTCCCAATACTACGACGTAAGGGTATTAGGTGACACGGTTGAGGACACTGGTGCATCTGCTCAAGATGGGTACATGGTGGCATATCACTCTTCAAGGACGGACCTGCGCCGTGATATAGAAGATTCAGCTGAGCCGTCCCATTGCGCAGCTGACCAGCTGATGCCCCATTCTTTGGCCCCTCGGATGATATCGGTTGACGATGTCTCCGAAGGGCTGTTCCCTGATACCTCCTCTCGTTTGGAAAGGCGTCAGTCAACTCTCAGTAGAGATGATCTGGTCGATAGTATCGGCAATCACGCTGGCTGTCCTACCAGCAGAAGAGTCGCATTAGTCGGGATCGCAACGGACTGTACGTATACAGCAGCGTTCGAATCCACAGAAAGTCTGCGTCGAAGCCTTATCAACATGGTCAATACCGCATCAGAACTGTTTGAAAGTACTTTCAACATCTCACTTGCTCTTCATAACTTGACGATCAGCGATGCAAATTGTCCAGAGAGTGCTTCGGATTCTGCACCGTGGAATGTTGGATGCTCCGAGGGAGACATGAATTGGCGCTTACAACAATTTTCTTCCTGGCGGTCTTCACTGAGCGAGACAGAAAACGCCTATTGGACGCTCATGACCGGCTGTCCGTCGGGATCAGAAGTTGGTATCTCATGGATAGGCCAACTATGCAGCTCACAGTCAAATACCAACGTTGTAGCGCGGACGTCCAACCAGTGGCAGGTATTCGCGTATGTATATGTTCCAGATTAACCTTTTCCATGATAACTGACGCTTTCTATAGTCACGAATCGGGCCATACATTTGGCGCAGTCCACGACTGCGATTCAAGCGCCTGTTCTTCCAGTACCCAGTGCTGCCCATTATCCTCGTCCACGTGCGACGCAGACGCTCAGTACATCATGAATCCATATTCACAGTCCTCACAGACCGAGTTTTCCCCCTGTACCGTCGGGAATGTCTGCTCGCTACTCGGGTCACGATACATGAGAACAAGCTGTCTTCTAAGCGATACGAGCAACATACCGACCTTACGGCTGGGGAGTGCGGAAATGGAATTGTGGAGGATGGGGAGGACTGCGACTGCGGTGACAATTGTGACGATAACAGCTGTTGCGACGGATCAACATGTCGGTTCCGCGATGGTGCCGTCTGCGATGATGCAGCCGGACCATGCTGTACCAACTGCCAGTTTGCATCATCCACCACGGTGTGTCGTGACAGTACTGGAAGCTGCGACATCCAGGAGACCTGCACTGGAAATTCCAGCGCTTGCCCTACCGACAGGTTTGCACCCGATGGGCAAACGTGCGGCAACTCATCCGATCTCTTTTGCGCCAGTGGAGAATGTACGAACCGGGATATGCAATGTCAGCAGTTGCTGAACACCAATGGCACGGGCGTGTCCGCCTGCAATACCGACTCGTGCACCCTCAGTTGCTCAGTTGATTGGTATGGCTCTGGGACTTGCATGGGCATGAACCGGCAGGTGCAAGATGGTACCCCCTGCTCGGGCGGGTTTTGTCGCAGCGGCCGGTGTCGGTCTGATAGCGAGAATACCAGCTCATGGGTGGATCGCCATCGCTCTCTGATCATTGGACTGTCTGCTGGAATCGGCGGGGCCTTGGTCCTTGCGGTACTTTTGAGCATAATCTTTTGCTGTTGCTGCCGTCGTAAGAAGCTCCAACGAAGGCCATTCCACCAGCACCTCCCGTTACAGGTCAAGTCCCTCGTGTGCCACCGCCATATTCTCCTACCAGCCCTACCAGGTCTATAGCACCCCCAAACTATCGGTATGCATGAATGATCCAATCTCTGAATCCAAGAAGAACGATTGGCAAATGTTAGATTACGATGCAATGTCAAACCTATTGGAACTCCTTAATTCGTTCGAGACGTATATCAAATGTAGTTCTTCTATTGTACCTGAAGGACCTGTCTCCAAACAAGAGGCTTTTCGCCTCGCCTCGTTCTCCAAAGATTGCTAGAAACCAACAGCTCCGAACACCCCCGGAGCAGCCAGCCCCACTTTCTCGCAAAGCCCTCCGTAACCTCCCAGTTCTTGGGGTCCGAGGGTTCTCCCCACACGAGTAGTGTGGCGCCCGTATTCCGAGTATCCCAGAACGCCATCAGATCGTGACACAGGTCGTCGTCATCTAGCATATCCCCAGCGGTGATAAGGTTATCTCGCATGTGGGGGAAGGGGAAGAAGTCCAGCCAGGGATGGTGCGGTACACTTCGTTGAATCGGCGTTGGGCGCAAACTCGGCGGGATATTATCCTCTTGGAACCCAGGTTGAACAAGATTGAAGATGGAGATGGAGTCATCACTCTTGGTCCAGTCGTTGGTCATCCCTATGGCACATATATTCTGAATGATGGCTCTATGAACGTTCAGACGACTGAGACTGATCAAGTGCTCTGTTTGGGGCGACCCCCGGAGATAGCTGTCCCGGGCTGTAGCTTCGAACCATTGTCGGAACTGCAGGGCATATGGTGGGGCGTGGGAACATGTGAGCTCCTCTGTAGTTTCCACATGGGATCCATCGGATGGGCTTCGTAGTACACTGTCTGAACTTGCCGTTGAGGAGGACGTAGAAGATGTGTCTTCTGGTAGTTCGATCACTCTCCCCTTCCTCCTTAAACCTAGTATGCAGGTTAATGATCATACCTCTCTCCCCTGTGGTCCTAAACAACTCGAATGCTTACGGTATGCCCTCTGATTATGTCGATTTTGCAGTCGACGCCGTTCCTTGCGATCTATGATCCCCGTCCAATCGTCTCCGTCGGCCCACACCCAGGCTTGCTGGGGCATATGTTCTAGTTGGATAATAGAGGACTTTGTAGCCCCTTTGGCTTCTGGAAGGTTGTTCATTGTCAAGGTACTCCTGCTGACCTATGCGCGAGGTGGATTGGTAAGGGAAATCAAGTGATTAATGCAAGTTGCTGACCGTCCCGAATAATGTCGCATACTAATAACAAGTGGATGGAGACGCCACTTTGTGAATGGTCCCACCCTAAAACTCTCTTGTATTCGGCTGGACCTAACATTGGACAACCATTCAACGGCCTTCAACACTAATGCAAGTTGCTTACTCCGCTAACCCTCTATGGTTAGTTTCTACAACGGTTCCAAACAATTGCGTGGAATGTGTTTTTTATCTCTTTGATCATCTTTTTTTCAAGTCCTACAAGACATGCCGCTTTAAAGGGTATCCTTTGAACATGATATTGGGGCTGGTCGCTGTCTACCAGTTGAAACACTAATCGCACCCCATAATATCACGGCTATAAAAATATGATTAACGCACAGGACGAACATAAAAGAAGGCGAGGACCAATGGCACAAACAATGACACGCTATAACAACATATGACCACATCACTGCACCCAATACATACATCACACTGTCACACTGCCTGTGAGCTTTCTGCTTCGGCTCGAAGAGTAATGGCCAGAAGGATAGGCCCTATCTCACGGATATGAGAAGCAAGCAACGTATCGAAAGGACCGAACTGGTGCATTGTTAGGAATGATAGGGGTGGCTTGGGAAGCTCTTCTCCGCTTAATTCTTGGTCGGTAGATTCGTTAGGCGCAGGCTGCGAGCTATTCAGGTATGCCAGATACTCGTCGCTGTATTCAGCAACCGTGACATAAATCTCGTGTCTATCTTGGGACACATGAAAGCGACTATTGCAGCATCAGCACCACCACAATCCACGGGGTGAACAAAACCCACAGTTTCCGTCTCTCAGCCCAGTGATCATCGCTCTTGATCCAAGCGACCATCTGTGCAGACTCTTGAATTTGAATAGCGGCTTGCTTGGTGGATCGTGACACAGGCTTTACCTCAATCAGAACGCTGGGCTTTCCATGCGAATCATCGAGATACCCGTCTGTTCTTGCCTCGAACTGAGCGTCTTTGAAACCCGCAGTTAGGGCTATCCGATGCATCGTCCAGCTCGATGAGAGGTTGAAGCGCATTGTGAGCGCATTCAGAAAAACCACTAGGGCGGTATTCACAATTTGTTCATCCTTGCTAGGAGGATACAGAACATTCGCCAGTTCCTTGGGGGCAGGACTTATTTGCTCAAATGGGGTAGATTCCAAAGGGGTCAGCTCATCTTCGAGGGCTAGATCATCATCATCATCATCATGAGTCCCTTGAACGACAGGTGTATCGTACAAGGTCTTGGGCCTCTTCGAAGGCGTCGCTAAGTAGATATTGGCTAGCTGCGTTTCTAATTGACGTGTGCGAGTGCGGTGAACTATCGGCGTGGACAACTGTTCAGCAGTAGCTAGGTTTTTGGTCTTCTCCACCTCGAGCTGGTACAGTCGAGCGATGGAAAAGTCACCTTCTGGTATCACAGCTGGCGCGAAGTCGTCGCAGAAGGTCCTCCAGGAGCGATGCCCAGCCAGCATCTCATCCGCACGGCTAATCCAGTCGGCCATTCCAAACATCGATTTTATTTGCAGTTGATTGGTTTCATACATCTTCCATAAGACTCGTAGAAGCAAGAACTGCTCATACCCCATTTGCGAGGCCGAAGCAAGCTCCGCTCCATGGACTGTCTTGTCCGTGAGATTGCGTAGACCTACAGCATTCTGCCACTCCCGGTTAGTCGTGGGCAACTTGAGCTCGTCCATGACAGAGGTTGAGGAACCCTTTTTTAAGGGGAACGAAAAATTTCGCTGTGCAGCATGCGAAGATTTATATCATGCGCCAGTCTGCGGCTAAAGCCAGTTACCACATTCACCTTTGACGCTGAAATGATACTTTCCGATCTTTCATGGGAATATTTTAGAAACCAAACTGTCTGCCTTGAAGGAATGACTTTAAAAATAGCATAGTATTCACTCCAAGAGCGCCATGACCATGCATGTATGCGAAGTCCAGCAATCACACAAGGGCTTCGGCGGGCCGTTCGACGCACGGGACGCACGGTCTACTACTGCTACGTGAGCTGGCGGTTACAGCTAACACTCAGTGAGCCATAGCCAGTCACTAGGTATAAGCGCCAACGCGACCGCCAGGGCGACGAGAAACCATTGTTTCACCTAGGGCTCGGAATCGGGACGGCGTGCGATGAATGCCTGAGCGTTGTGGCCGCGCGTGTCACGCGAACCGCCCGGCCTTTTAATTGGCCGTCGCCCAGCAACGGATCAACCAAATATTACCTTAAGAACGACAACGGCCTTCCTTCCTTCACTCCCGTCGTCGAACTTGGACTCCAGACCAGCCACAGACATGGAGACCGAACATCCCGTGCGCCTTGAACGGCGTAAAATATTGTTGCAGTTAGAACGCACCATTGAACAACTCCAAGTTCAACAAATCGATCTCTCTGAATTGCGCCAGTTCAGCATTGCTGTCCAACCGATGACACTTACTGGAAACTCGGATTCACGGCCGTCCTTTTTCACCCGGTCTCGGTTACTTGATGAACCCGACGATGAGCTACTTGAGAAGGAGTACCCGACTTATCCCCATGAGGCCGATCCATCGTACGAAGAGCTCGAACCTTTCCTGATCCCCTACTATCGCGCGATGGGCTTCTGCGACTACCTGACATCTTGGATGTTGGACGAAACGTGTGGCAGAATGCCAGGTCCATGGTCTTCAAAATGGTACACCACTGTCCGGCATTTGATGTCTGGGTCTCTTGCAGCTAACTGAGGTGCACAGTGTTGGCGATTATACCACTTACAAGAGTCTCTTTCAGTACCACGAACCTGCGTTTGGAGCGCTGTATATGACCGACCTTAGCGGCCCGGATCACCCCCACACAAAGGCAATCGTATACAACAACGTGAATACGACTGATCAGGCAATCCTGCGAGGGGAATTGCTGTTAATCCTACGCTTGATGATTGGACAACTCAGAAAACGCCGTTTCATCAGACATATGGTTGCACCGGTAAGTTCGTTATTCCCTCCGCGCCCATCGACTGACAACTAATTCATCGCGCGACTCGATCAGGTTCTTCTTTTCTCCATCGTCGGACCGCAACATGCGCGCATAATCGAAGCCACTTTCGACGGTTCCAATCTTAATTTACGCTCGACCAAGATCTTTGATCTTCGCTACAAGAATGTTCAGGGCTTGAAAGATTTCGCAGAGTATTATCTGGGACCCCCGATCGGCGATACGGTCAAGACATGATTCCGCTTTTTTTCTTCAATTCACCTTTCTGTATGGGTCCTGGCGTTGTTGGGTCGGGTTATGATGGCATGGATAATATTTTGCTTCTGGGTAGGGCGGCACGGCGTGAATATTTAGCAAGTCAAGGGCCATGACTGTGTACGAATAATGACTTTTCTCTGTTACTAATTTTAGGGTGCCGGACACATTCACCTATTTGTAATGCTGTAACATGTTGAGCCGTTTCTTTACCTTCCAGAGCGTTTGTTTCGCGAAGCCATCGTGGAACGTCGGCAGATTTTGTATGGGTTTGTCTATACAAAACCCTCTTTGTATCCTTAGACAAGTAATTAATTCACAAGGACCTGATTTGAATTCCAGTCATTTTGGTTGATGTTTCTATCGTATTCTAAGTGTCCCCTTTGCCATGCGCTGAGATATATATAACCAGAAGATGCATGTGGAGATGTAGAGAGAGCAACATTTCAAGTTGCAGGAATGTATACTAACACCCCTAACGAGTCTCCATATTCCATACTGAGAACACGAATCCTTAACTGATATCTTATCTTATGTCCTATACGATTGCTCCATCTTGGGCTGTACTTTGTGGGGGATCGACCGACCTCAGGCCCACCTAGTACTCCGGAGGTAGACCGATGGAAAATCATGTGGGGCAATGAAGTTCAATTAGCCACAACAAACCGGTCTAGACTAGGTGTATGTAGCCAGTCTGCGTGAATATATTAGACTCAACCATTGTGAGTTGAAAATGGGGCTTGGAGGGAAGTCCAGTATTGGAGGTTGTTGCTTTCTCTTCGCTGCAGTTAAGCAAACATTAAATACAAATACGCACAGCCATCGGGAACGCGCGATCGGTATACCGAGAAGCTCAGGTTCCCTGCCGACGGTCGCGATTGGGTAAACTTGGGGATTTTACATGAGTGACCACATCGAGAGATGTATCATCATTGGACGAGAATATCCCGCTGTGTGAGAGTATGATCGGTCAGCGTTGTATATTTCTTAACCTAAACCCGCTCAATTAACTACACCACAACACCGGCGTTGACACCAACAGCGGCACGAAGATCCTCACCCTACAATCGTAAGAGCTGGCGGACCGACCACGAGTTCTTTTTCCCCCCAGATGTCAGACAACTTCATCAAAATTATCCAGACCGAACAGTGGATCCAGTGGTACGGAGAAATCTAGATAATCCGCAGAGGGAGCGTGCCGAGAATGATCGTTCTGCGTCGGCTCCCCCTCGAGGTGTCGCAGGTTGACCGGCTGGGGAACGTCGAAACTTTGAATGATCCAGTCAATGTCATAGGCTGGGAATGCATTTTGTACGTCATGATCCAGGCTGAGTGACTGGTTTTGGGTCTGAAAGAGTCTTGCGTGGTGGCCAGCATGATGTCTTGCGTGTCGCATGTCGTCCCCTTGGTAGGTTACAGGCGCAATTGTTTCATTCGGACTCGAGACTGGGGCAGTTGAATCATCGATAACGATGTTCATCACTTTGATTAGGTTTAATATAACCCCTAAGGCACGCTTTGGTCCTAAATATAGCCTTTGATGCTCTCTCAAGATTGAGAGGCAATTTTGAAGACAGTTGTGGGCATGAGAATCTGCAGGGCTATGTGCAGCCATGCGAGCATGAATCGTGGCGCTTACGTACGTAGCGTAGGATATACTGTACGGGGCTAGTTGTATCGAAAACGACCTCCCATAGATGCCCAGTGTTTCATGTATCGCGTTAGCAGCAGTTGCACAGGCCTCGAAGGCTATGCCTGCAACTGACGGTGATGCGCTTCGTAGATGGCCGTCGGACACGAATGGACGATGGAGCAGGATTTTCAACGTATGGTATAATGCACTATGAACTGTGAGGGAACGCCATACATGCAAATAACAGACAGATGCTTCAATACTTACGTCAACGTAAGAATGTGCGGGGATGCGGTGGTGGTAGTGGAAGAACCCATCGTCCCAACAGTGAGGCCTGAAGGCAGCTCCTCATACCATGACTGTAATCTGTGGTTCAGAGACGTTGAACATTCGAAGAGGATGACTGGATCTCTGGAAGTACTGCACTCCGTATATAGCGTGTCCAAGATGCGGGACATGATGCTAGACAAAGAACAATATCTTTTCAAAATCGAAACAGTATGTGCTGGAGCAGGGGGCAATGCTATAGAGCTCCCGTACGATGCGGAATCGAATAGGTCATACTCCTCGTATTCATCTAGGCAGCCTAAAGGAATTGCTGAATCCGCCTCTCGCAACCGGATCGGCCTTCCTTGGTAGAGCGACTGACACTTGTCAAGAACTATCCTCGTCAGCGTTTAGTCTGCGACCCAAGATCGGGAGCGCCTACCGTAAGCACCCCAAAAGACTCTTCTCCGAACTTCAGCCTCTTCAGGGGATAAGCTGTGACCCTTCCGGTAAATTCGATTATCTATTTGGATGCCCAAGTCCGTTATCATATTGATAGCCATGCCTGAGTAGAGCCAAGCCAGGCTCTTTTCGTCACACCAACTGAACAACGAAGACGCCAGTAGAAGCAATGCTTGTATGGTGGTGATCTCGCTCCGAGTAATATGGTCGCTAAGCAAGTGCGTGATCCTTCGTCGAAACATGCGCCCAACAGACAGTGGGTCACTCCTGTCATCTCGCACCTCTAGGCGGGGCGAATATTTCGAAGCTGTAAAGTATATTGCATTCAAAAGGAGTTTCGAAAAGTATGGTCCACTGCATGCCATATCCTGCATGAACACTGGTCGATACACCACTGCACCTACGTCTAATTGTCGATCCCAGTACAATGATAGCAGGTGCATGGCTAACTCGGGATTGAGACCGTCAAAGTCGTAGCTGTTAGTGTTGAAGTTGAACTTTTCGAGCTGACCTAGTGTTGCAAAATCAGTCTATTTGCGTCATTGTACGAATACCATCACGTACGCAACCGGGCAGCGTTCGCCACTAATTGATTTTGGATAGTATCCTGTTCTTCTTGCGGCTGAGACCCTCCTCGCTTTCTCATAGCGTGATTCGATGTTATCTCATCGGCGACAGCGCTTGTTGGTCCATGTGATCGCTCAACAGTGTCAGAAGTAGCAGCCCATTGCCTGATCCGCAAACCCGAATTATCCGTCGGCGAGCAGACCGCCCCATGGCCGGCACTTGCATCGGTCCTTACTGTTGAGGGATATATCGGATCTCGGTGTTGTGACTGACAAGCTGCAGTGGTCGATGGTAGTTTGTCTCCATATTGTAAATCAATCCGTTGCTTCAGGCCCGCTATAGCATCAGTAAGTCGCCGGTTCTCCTCTTCCAAACGCGTGATGCGGGCTTTGGATGGCCTAGATCATAAATCAGATAGTTTTTCTATTGCATGGGGTGTCGCACAACTGTACCGTGGCAGCTTCACTTGCTCGATATATGTACACTCCTTTCCGCGCGCATCACAATGCTGACATTTCGGGCGACCGGTACTGCATCTCAGCTTCGGGATAATCCTCGTCAGCTACTTCAGCACAAGAACCTTGACACGAGTATGCTGACCTTCTTCTGGCGACAATATTCACAGGCAATTGCGGCTCGCCGTTTCTGCTTCCCCACTGTTGAGGGGGAACTGCCGAGCATCATCAATATAAATGTGTGGGGAGATGGGGTGGTTGGATCGAAGAGTAAGCCAGCACGTTGTCACATATGTAACTTGAAGGCCTCTTATCTTATCCTATATTTCATATCCCATTCCCTTTTGGGTAAGCTCCGGAATATGACTATCCGATACTCTCATCGAATCCTTCCGGCAAAAGACGTTCCGATGTTGAGCCAGCCGACCAATGGTATAGATTCATTGTCTAGGGCGGGATGGCAGCGACCGGGTTGTTTCAGCCCGATAATCTATACCCAGCATTTCTTATTTATATGGCGTTGGACCTGCGGTGATGGAGACTGACAAGACTTTCTTCACATTACAAGACCTCCACTGCAACAGAATTGTGGACTGGACAGGGCTGACTTCTCAATTATTATATATCCAAACTGGAACGATGCAGTCCATACTTCAATATCGGCGATTTGCGAATCTGGCCGAACAAAATCATGCAATTGACCTCGAGAAGGGTCTTGGATCACAGCAACAACCGACATTCAGAAGCGCAGGACGCATCTCAAGAAATGGCACCGATTCAAAGACTTCCTTATCGGGCGATGAAACATTCGTGGGGTCAACTGGAGATATACTACAACACGCCGACCAGCCCAAGGAAACAAATGACGACGAAAAAGCCTCGATAGACCCAGCCGCAGGTCGCTTGAATGGGAGTGTTACAACCCAGGCAGCTGGAGATGATCTGTCCGAGGTTTCCAAAACGATTATTGTTGGGTTCGAACCGAAACACGATCCTATGAATCCACGCGATTGGAGCTTCGGTAAGCGACTCATGGTCACTATCGTGGTTTCATTCATGGGTGTCATTGTGGGGTGGTCTTCATCCATCGATTCGGGCATAATACCACAGTACGCAGAGGAGTTTGGTGTAAGCGAGGTGGTGGCATCTTTGCCTACCGGTGAGTTTCAACGTTCCCCTATCTTGTGTTCGAAACTGACAAGCGATTATTAGGACTGTTCCTGGTCGGGTTTGGAACGGGGGCAGTGATGAGCGGCCCATTCTCCGAAACCGTTGGCAGAAATCCCATCTATATCATTACCTTGGTTGTGTTCATGCTCCTTCTGGTAGGAGCTGGCTCGGCTCAAAGCCTCGCTGGACAGCTGGTATGTCGAACGTTGGCTGGGATCTTCGCTGCGACACCACTCGCTTGCGCTGGCGGTACGATTGCCGATGTCTGGACACCTGAGGAACAAGTCTTTGCGTTTCCAATATACGCCATCATCTCTTTCTCCGGCCCCGTGCTAGGACCCGTGGTCGGGGGCTGGATCGGACAGTCCAACCTCAGCTGGCGATGGACCGAATGGGTGACTTTAATCGGAGCAGGGATCATTCTTATTACCGTGATCTTACTTCAGCCCGAAACCTACGCGCCGGTCCTGTTAAAGTGGAAAGCTATACACCTTCGCTGCGTGACTGGAGATGACCGATACCGAGCAGAGATCGAGCTCAGGCAGGAATCCCTAGCCGCAAGGTTGATGTTAGCCATGTATCGACCAGTGATAATGCTCATCCGAGAGCCCACAATCCTCCTGTTTTCCTTATACCTGACCGTGGCATACATCATCATCTTCACCTTCTTCACCGGCTACGAATTCATCTACAAGGGTATCTACGGCCTAACGCAAGGCGAAACAGCGCTCTGCTTCCTGGGTCTAGCGATCGGCCTTCTCTTCTGTGTCCCCCTAATCCCACTCAGCGCAAGATTACGTTCGCGGGATATCACACGCAGCAAAGAGATGAACCCCGCGCGGAAAGCATCTCCCGAAAGCCGTTTGTACTGGGCGATGATTGGGGCCCCAGCCCTTCCCATCTCAATGTTCTGGATGGCTTGGACCGCACGACCGGATGTACCGTTCTGGTCACCGCTCGCAGCGTCAGTGCTGACCGGATTTGGCATGCTATGTATTTTTATCACCTGCTATCAGTATCTGATAGACACGTATGAGGGCTACGCGGCCAGTGCATTGTCGAGTTTGACGTTGATGCGGTATTTGGTTTCTGGGGCCATGATTGAGGTGTCGGTTCCGTTTTATCAGAACTTGGGGGTACCATACACTCTTACTATCCTGGGTTGTATTAGTGCTGTTCTCGTGCCCATTCCGTATGTTTTCTACAGATACGGATCAGAGATTCGGAGAAGGAGCAGGTATGGCGGGAATGGCTGTTAGAATATAAATAGATTCAAGGAATGAGAACCAATTTGTTAATATGATTGTGATGTGAATATATACAAAGTGCAATTCACTACCCGCAGATATTGCTTTCTGTTCCTTACAGCTCGCTTCTGCTGTCCTCTCAGACAGCCTCTCCATCGCAGTTTTCTCACCACTCTCCCGCATTGGCTAAGAGTGGTTCCTCCAGTCTTTGAAAGAGTAGGCGAGCAAAAGGTGAACCTCAAGATAAACCTCAGGATCTCAGAAACTTTGGTTCTCATTTTGACGTCATGATGAAGAGAATTCGCAATGCCCTCTCTCTTTACCGGTGACGAAACCCCTCCGCGTGCTTCGGCCAACAACACTAGAGAACAGATGAACATCATGGCAGCCTCGTCGTCTCAACTTGCTATGACCGGCGTTTATCCTCCCGTGCCTACGGTAACTTCTGAGACCTGAAAGCACGCGTTATGTCGACATCCGATGCCCTGTCACGGCGGGACGTGAGCCAACACATCTGTCTAAAACATGTTGTCCAGCGGGAATTTGGATTGATAGAGCAAAACCGTCATAATATCGGAAGCACGGTTCGATTCACTTACTTTCCTGACATCGAAACGCTGATTGTGAAGGTTCCCTCGAAGGAACAAGAAAAAGCCCACAGGACTATAGGCAGCCGCCTTACACGCAAAGTGGCTAAAATGGGGGTAGGGGGTCTTGAATTCCAAGCGCTGGGGGCTACCATGTACACCGGGCCAACTGCCAGCAGGAAGGAGAGCGACTCGACTTGGATCAACGACTTGGTAAGACCCGGCGGTTGGCCATTGCTGGTCGTTGAAGCGGGCGTGTCTGAATCGATGCCCCGCCTTCGGTGCGACGCGTCATGGTGGATCTCGAACTCGAAGGGTGAGGTCCAGACTGTATTGATCATCGAGGTCTCGAGGAACCCGAAGAAGGTAGAAATCGAAAAATACGTGCCCATGCAGATCCCGCGGACTCGGGTGCAGCCTGGCCCGGTATACCAGGCGCACAAAGTGTGGACCACCAAGATTGATCAGCAGGCGAATCCTCCAACGGTTCTGGGCGCTCCTCTGCGACTCAAGTTCGGCAAAGTCCTTGGTCGGTCCCCAATTCCCTCCGTGGAACACGACATCGTATTTACATCGGCAGAACTACTGGAATGGTCGAGATACGTGTTTATTTAGCTTTGTATCTATATATCCTCATTACATCTCCGATCTGCTGGTTATCGAGTGCCTTCTATGTCGGATTGAGAGGGGTATTGAGCACTTATGTGCCCTGTCGAGGCTATCACTCCTTACCAATCATATGTAAATAGCTCCCCAATAATACCATACAAGTTAGGTTTCTCAGTGTGAACATGTACATCTTCTAATTGGTACCCTGGTGCCTATAACATTTTGTCGTCCGTGTATATACCTCATCTCTGAATGGTTGCGCACCCGGCCATTATCACATTTCTCCCTCAGACACTAATGTTAACAATCACTATAGCAGGCTAGGTCTCTCTCATACTGCCTCCACTTCGTCCCAATGGGCTGAATCAAGGTGTAACTGCGCGAGCTCTCATTCATGCTTTGGACCCCGTTGATCAAATAAAGCGGTGTCATCTCGCCGTCGTCACTGAAAAAGATCTTTGGTCTCTCACGGCGCTTTAGAATCTCAACTGACCCATCGGTATACGTGACAGTGGAGTTGAAAGCCTCCTGCAACTTAAAGTACCAAGGCCCAGTCAGGTTGCGCGCGTACATGTGAGCACCAACACGAGGCCATTTCTGCCCATCGTGTTCAACAATGTCGATCATCCAATGCGTCAAGGTATGCCAGTTCCCCCGCTTGTCGCGCCAGAAGAACGGGTCTTCAGTCCATGTAGGGCTATATCTGGTCGTGTTCCATTTCTGCGTGTACAGCAACTGGTATTCGCCGTCCCATTTGTCAGCGACGAAAATTGCATTTCCCTCCACTCCCATCATAACCTGGCTGGTTGGGTCTTTAGGTGACCAAAGTGGCCACGGAGCAGGGTTGGTCGACTGTGGCTCTTCAGAGTTAAGAATAATCTCAAACGGCGCCCAAGGCCCTCGAATGCTATCGGAACTGGAAACGGAGATGTTGTTCGGCCACTTTGTGTAAGAGATGCTTTGGCATTTCTCCGGCTTCGGGGCGTCAACACCGATGGTATACAAGAGATACTTATTATCCGCTGGACTGAAGAAGACATAAGGGTTATGGCGAAAAGCCGGAGCCACGGTGTCGGCGAAATGGTATGGGCCCTGCGGTCCATTGCGCGACTCCGCCCTCATTATAAAAGAGTGTGGTCTCCAGCCGCTGAGTCCACAGCCGTAGCTGAACTGAGAAGCAAAAAGATGGAACAGGGTAGGATCGATTGGATCCTGCAAAATCTGCCCTCCCCAGGAAGAGTTGCCATACTTGCCGTAGTAACTCGGGTCGGTAACATTGGTGTAGTTGTAACCTGTATACCTGGTAGCCGGAGCAAGATCCAGCCTGCCGCAGTCTTCACCGAACCAGCCGGGGTCACATTTGCATGTCTTACCTAGGACCCCCCGTCGATCATTGTTCTCGGGACTATGGCCGCCGTTAATACAGACACCATTGAGACTGCAATCTTCATCCGTCTCACAGGCGCGGACGAGGTGAAGGGCAGCTAGCCCTATATATGCAATGTCTAAAACGCGCATAGAGAAATGTGATACCGCTTGGTCGACAGGTGTAGTTCTTAAAATCCGAGCGGGTGTGTGCAGAGCTTCACAATATACGTATCACTTGTTCATCCAGTCTTAAGACTCTTAACCGCGGCGTTGAGTTGCTTTAGTATGCGAAACCCCGCTTTGCCGTCTGCTCGGTCTAGAAGACACCGACGGAAAAATTGTGATCCTAGACGATTCATGCTGCATTTACATGTACATTCCCATGAAGAAACAATAGTGAGGCTTCCTGTTCCTTATGTCCTCTCTTCCTAGAGCCGGTCGGATCATTCGTACGACATAACTGCTAGTTAACTTGTCCCTCGAATAGGCGGCTATCAGGTGGAATTGCTTCAATGGACACCTTGAGTCCAGTCCACGCCAACCTTGCAACAGTATGAGGCTAGCTAGTCGGAATTTTAGTATGAATATAAACCCTCTACTACTAGAATAATGTCAAGTTGTAACTCACACAGCAAGGTGGGCCTGCTAGAGTAATTTCCCCGTCAACAAGACATGCAGTTCTCTATTCCGGAATGATGCCACAACACAAGTTCGTATTTTGTACGTATTTACTTAATGCTCGTCTGTCAATAGAGCATGTCCTAGACTCTAAGTGGGTAAGGAAATGGTTCATTCCCGACCTGGGACAAAAAGGAGAATAGTCAACATGATGGGGTATAATCAGTGCGACGAGTGGCGCTTTAGGCATCTGACATTCCAGGAAGGTGACTGTAGACAATCTCTGGAGGTACCGCTAACTCATCCTGCGCTGGCTATACAGGTTGGTCACTGCTTTGAGAGACGTAGTCTGATTTGACGCCCGCATACGTTGAGTCTTGAGACTGTCAACTCGTATACATCGCGGCTGGGCATATACGCATGACATGAGAGGTAGGTTTTGGGCTCCAGTTGCTGTTGGTTCTTGTAGGCCAATGACAATACCAAACCTTGGAGCCTATTACGCATACAGCTATTGTCAGAGCTTGAATGGTCATTACGGCGGTGGCATCGGCAGCTCTTGCTCGGTTGACATACCTAAGGATTGCTTTAGGGTACATTTTCTTGTCTCTCTCAGTCAGGTGCACCAATGCGATCATACCCCTGAAAATGCCTCTGTCATCGGACATCGTATTCTTGTAAAAGTCGTGTTTATATATGCTGCGGTGTTTATCAGGACTCTATTATTATTCCCCATCTCTAGGCTTCAATGCCGATGTCTAATCATAATTGGTATTCAGTGCGAATTCCCGCGCAGCATTGAGGTCAGCAGAGGCCTTGTCCAGTTTCGCCTGCATTCGTTGCACGCAATCCGGACCCAGTGGCAATCTCAGAACCTTCCCCTTCAGCCCACCAGCGGCCCCCTCTCCAGTGACGACTTCAAAGATCCTAGCGACCGCCTTCTCCGGATCTCCCTTTTGTTTACCTTGTGCTGACTCGAAAATGCCTAGCGTAGTATCCACCGGTCCCCCTTTATAGGGCTCGCTTAGTCCGCTCTCGTTCCGTTGAACCGCCGACAGGAAATTGGTACGGAAAGCGCCGGGTTCAACCACAAGAACTGAGATATTGAAGGGCGCAAGTTCACGACTCAACGATTCCGATAGACCTTCCAGCGCAAACTTGCTGGCAGAATACAATCCACAAGAAGGTAAAGCATCTTGACCAGCGATGCTGCTAATGTTTACGATCGTTCCACTCCGGTTGCTGCGCATACCGGGCAGCACGGCTCGGATTACTCGGAGAGGTCCGAAGAAGTTAGTCTCCATCTGGAGGGCGCTCTCTCTGTCGCTGTAGGGCAGTATCAGTCAGCGTTGGCTTGTAACGAGCGGAATATCAACTTACTTCAGGTCCTCCACGGCGCCTAATAACGAGTACCCCGCATTGTTTACTAATACATCGATTCTGCCGTAAAAGCCCTCGGCTTGCTTGACTGCCCCAGGAATGGCATCGGCTTTGGTGACGTCTAATTCCACGATCTTTCCACCTTTATCTTGAAAGGCCTGGACGGCAGCTGCGGACTTCGATGCGTTGCGAACGGTTCCAACGACATGATGGCCGGCGGCTAATGCGTACAGCGAAAGGGATAGGCCAAAGCCTGACGAGGCTCCGGTGATGAACCAGACTAGTGGTGCCATTGCTGGGAGGATGTGGTTTTTGTTGGAGAATATCAGTATATAATGTTGGGCGTTGGTGATGGTACAAATATACGGGAATAAGGATCCTTTAAATAAGGTAGAGATTCGGAGATAACGGATCCTAGTGGGTCCAATGTCGTGCATCTTCATGAGTTCATTGATCTAAGTTATCGCAGCTGCTATCCAACTGAGCTACGGCCAAAAGAACCGAATGCCAGGCCAATTAGGAGCCTCCAGCCGGAAGGCCCTGCCAACATCGGAGAATAGCGGTTTTAGAGCGGGGTTAAGGGTGTCTCTATTATGACCGAGGACAAGATATCATTTCTCACGTCAGAGGATTGATTGTCATGTCATTCTATTACTCATCGTCGTTGGGTGGGCCAAATGCATGGGGGCCGGGGTCATGTGACATCTTTTCGATATAAAACCAGATTCCGTCCAGCTCACGGATTCTCCTCGGTAGAGTACTAGATGACTACCCAGTGATCTTGGAAGAAGGGGTGAAATCACTTTTATTTGTCCAACGGATGTGCTCTGGCATCTTGGGGAGCGTAGAACCATGTTCCTTTAGGGCGTACTTGGGTGAACCCTCGTCGTTTCATAGGAGAGAGCGAACGAATTACGGTTGAGTCAAGATCCTGCGAGGGCACCACCTGATCTGCTCCCAGAGACGAGATCATAACAACGACTCTTCATAATATTATCTGGTGATTACTGACGTGGCGAAGCTGATGTGGCGCAGTAACAATATTTACAAGGGGGCGATGACTGTGCGCCCCAAAGCCAAGATTCTACAATCCATCATGCTCGATATTTCGCAATATATGCCTCCGATCGTTATTTGCCCAGCGCAGATCAGTACCCGCTACTTGTTCGTTGAGCCGCGAGTGGCCCATCACATCGGGTTGAATACGAGGAGCCGAGAAATCGGGCACGGCGTACTCCCCGCTTGTGTACGGGGGTGAAATAATATAAGACAGAGACGATGCCGGCGAAGTCTATCAAAGGCATTGTTCCAGTGCTTTGCTGAATGTGCCCATCATGGTGATACTTAAAAAAAATCTTCTCCTATTGTCTACGCTGTTAGCAGGTCCCGTAGCGGCATCCAAATATGCCACAAGGCTGGATACGACGGCGACAAACGTCGGCCCGCTCACTACACGGTTTACTCCCCCAGCTTCCTGTTCTGATGTTCGCACAAGGACATTCTATGATCTCTACCCCAGGCTCGAAATGGGCTGTGAAGGACCCGGAGGCAACGAATGTTGCCCCCCAAATTGGCGAGATGATGTTTATTACAGCCCTGGGATGTGCCCGGCAGGATACCAGACTTGCACATTGCCAACATCCAAACAACGCATTGAGACAACAGCCATGTGCTGCCCGGAGTAAGTTGCAAAATGGGATCCGTTTAACCCACCTGCACAGTACTCATATACCATAGCAATTTCGCCTGTAACGGCCAAGGCCACTGTACTCGCCCGCTGAACACAAGAATTCCTCTTACCATGAGCGGCGCCACACATACCACCACTCGAACCGCATACGCCATCACGGCAACCCCGATCCAAATCCGCTTTAGAGCTGCCGAATCGACGGTTGTACCAATCCCGACTGCGTCCTTACGGCTTCCGAGGGGATATCTGTACAAGCGCGAGAAGGTGGGTATCGGTATTGGAGTTTCGGCTGCCGTTATTGGATTCGCGATCGGTATATACTTCTGCTGCTGCTCCGGCAGGAAACAACAAAAGGCTAGGGTGCCAACAACTCCGTTGGGGAATTATTCTACCATCGATACTCCTGATGTTCCCCCGCCTGCTTATCCGGGGCGGGATGATGGTTTGGGCACGGGCCCGTCCGTTCCAGGTGGCAGCCCTGAGGACTGGCACCAGGGGGGACGAAAGTAGCTGACTGATACCCGACTCCAAATCTAATGCATATATCATTTGTGTCTAAAGCAAATCTCGCCAAGTAGTAGTCCATCAGTTAGGAAACAACCTCGCAAGGCGGTACTGGGACCGCCAGGGCTCCACCAGTGCCTCTTGGCAATCTCGTATTCTGGCCTTTCCTGGCTTCAATTGGCTAAGATCGTCAATGATGCAAGAAACAGACTTGAAGTTTCGCTATTCACTTATCTTTCTACTTGGCTTGGGGCCTTGTCAATGCGAGAATAATACAAAGCAAGTCAACCACTCCCCAAGTGCATCACATGGCAGATGATTGGAGCAAGCGGGACGGACGCATACAGGCTCTTCGGAGCTCCTGGCCTCTGGAGTGCTTCAATAGTACTCCGATCAGGTTGAAGCTCTTCCATTTCCCTCATGTTGGTCTTCTGGATATCCACACAGCCTGGATTCCAGATGCACCCATTTTCAATATGTTGTGTCGTGCTTAAGGAGTAGATTGTCTGTTGCCATCGGGAAAATTGGGATCCTCAAATCTCACGTTCATATCTACGTGCCTGACCACTGGTATTTCCCATGGACGATGCTGAGTCATATATTTAAAATATGCATCGGTTGGGCCATGCTTTAGCCTCCAATAGCGGGCGTACATACCAAGAATTAAGAGTATGTGTAAAACTCCACTGACTATACAACAACGTTAATTATGCGAGAAAGTATAACAGGAAAGATATTTTTATTTCTTCCCCGAAGGTCTCAGCAACAACCAGACCCAAGGTACACATAAAGCAGCAAGCACAGGCGCTGAGCGCATCATCTCAGCGTCCTGAAAATAGAGATATGAATTAATCACATGTACCATCTGCATTTTGTATCGGTTGAGTTTTAAGGCTGAATTGTTAACGTGGGTCAGGCTGTCTGCCACACAAGAGCATAGTCAGCCTTGTAGCTTATCCTTAGTCCTAGGAGTGGTACAGTCAGATTCTACATCGTCATGGCGTATCTGCAATACACATCTCTTCACCTGGGTAATGTCGCACCTAGGAAAGTCTACACACACTCCTCCTCAGTGTAAAATGTGATCTGGCTTCAGCTATTATTGGAATTAATTCTTGGCTCACACTTACATTGTTCATGTCTCTTCTACAAAACCCAATTCAGATCTTACGCCAGTTTCTATTTGAGACGAGCTGACAAGACACGACCAAGGGTCGATGTGAGTGCAGGTGTGGCAGTACAGCATTGGCCTCTGGCACCCCCCGGGTTCAATAACCTAAGATTTGGAACATGGGACAATCGTGAGGACTGCTTGGGTCTCAAAGCAGATCTTAGATATTCTGAAGGTCGCTAAGGGCGCCGCAAGATCTAGGATCTTAAGGATGAATCCCTAGGCAATACGCAATGACGATGGAGTACCAAAATACAGTGAGACATGCACTGAGGTCATTCAATGTACTAGAGTCAGAGCAGGCGAATTGCCTGCTTGATTGCCTTGAAACACTTGCAGGGTGCATGACTTCACAGGCACGGGCTATACTGTATTAGGTTCCCCCACGGCATGTGACCCCGCAGAGGCGGCGCTCGGAACCAAATGCCAGCCCTGTGGGATGTTGGTACTCCCTACTTGGCACCATGGGCCTGTCATATAAACTTGGGGTAAGCTGCAGGTTCGACTGGAACCTAGACCCCGATAGGCCCGGGGCTAGACTCCGGGTCACGTTAATGCAGCGATGACTCGAGTCCATCGCCGAGTGAACACCTTAATCTGTTGTCTCTCGTCCGATATCCCGCCGGCTCTCCGGAGGGTAGAAAGCCATTGTATCTTCTTGACAATTACGTTTCCATAGGCCTTGCGAGAATCGCGTAACAGAAGGTATTGTGCGCCCCAGAACATATAGGTCATCCTACTGACGAGCGTTCGGGATTTGACTGGCTCCCCAAACGAACCAGAGGGAAATTTTCGCCATGGCAAATTCCGTGTCGCTTGCGACAAGTTACAGGTAGAGGAGGAAGGTGAACAGTTGTCAAGAAAATTCCTGCAGTGACACAGACCAAAAGAAACGAATGGCAAACGTGAGTTTGGTGGTTGAGTGGAATGGTGGGCGACCCCCGGAATGGGCGAGGCTTGGATAACAGACCCATGGATTGAGTCCTGGAGCTACTACACCCACGGATGTACAGCATCAAGCAGCGAAAGTAAATTTTACAAAATGAAAAAACTGAAAACATACAACAGGAGGGATTCGCTGGTGGTCACCCACCCAACTACTAACCTCCCGGCGTGTGGCTTAAGTACGGCTGAGCGGACGGGAAGCCCTGTTCTCCACACCCTGTGGTCGTATGTACTGACTTCACAGTTGTAGACAACTATGTAGTTGTAGTACATCAACTCGGAGCTAATCTCGAAATCTACAGCACTAATTGGTTAAGCTGCAGTTGTCATCTACAGCATAATCCCCCTTAATCCCCCTTTATATTCCTTAGAAGTACAATGGCTAGGCATAAGCGTACATCGAAAGTGAATGCCTATGGTATATTCAATTTTCAATCTGTGTTAGTTACTGAAAGTGTCACTATATATTCCATGCACAGGAGATATGTCCAGCTTCCCCTGTCGTGCATCATTCAACGGTGAATTTTCACATGCACTGTAGCAGAGGTAAAACGGAACAGTACCCCAATACACCACTACATATTGATTGTCGGATGGCCATAGGACTTTACCTTTACAAGTAGGGAACGGCCTCACAATGATGGGCTCGAGCCTTGGCAACGTTAGCGATCAATGTACTCCGCCGGATATATCAAAATACTTGATGCCATTGCCCTGGGGTAGCAGTATTGCAGCTTTGTGAACAAACTGCCAAGGTATATAGTACATGGCTAGGTCGAACTGCGGGCCTCTCTCTTTGATCTCTCCCGTTTTTCGATGGGATACCATGTTCTCCACTGTTGGTTCGTGATACAAAGTTTAACGAGAGGTGGATAAGATCACAGACCCTTTACCTGAGTTTCGGATCCGGCCGATATGTAGGTCACCATCAGACAAGGTTCAGCAATCCAAAGTGGTGCTTTGGTGTATGGGGCTATCTGGAACATTGACGGCAGAGGCTAGGATTTCAATTCCGGGCAACTGTCTTGAATGGCCACTAATGTATACAGCGTTCGATATGGAGAGATCAGTGGGTGGACAAAATAACCGCCTAGGAAGCCAATTACTCAGTATACATGTCATGATAGGAGCTTGGATAATATATAAAACTCTTTTCATTCTAGCGTTATACTTCTAACTAGTAAGAAGCATGCCTTTGTTGTTTGAACATATAGACCGAAGGTTACGTAAAATAGCAAAGAGGACTCAAAAGTTGGATACAGGTGGTTCATGACTTTGGGGAAAACATCTTAAACCAGTACTCATACTACGTGGGATGAAGCTGCTTTTCCTTTCCTTCCACTGCATGCGTAAAGACATGCTACAGACGATAGAGTGACAGTGTATCCTTAGCATAGTCATCGTGTAACTACCTGCTCGCAGTAGTAGCCCGGTCTCTGGATTATACATCCCTCTTCCCTTTCTTAGGCTGAACTGCTTCATATGTTAAGTGTCTGAGTAGGAAGCCTGGAAAGTTTGTATTTCCTGCGAACAAAATCAACACCTGATGATCGGCAAGGTCGCCCGTAACTTTGTATAACGACTGTCCATAACGGGCAATAGATTCTCTAGCTTGGGTAATGAGCTACCATCAGGATTGGCTTTCATAAGTTCAACTACAATGCAATACCACGCTCATGAGCGCTTGGAATCCTGATTTCCTTAGGATGGATGGCTTGCTGCCCGTGATGCGGAGGGGACTGCGAGGTTCGCAGCAATATGTCGACTGGCACCAGCTACCGAGCCAAGGGAGGAGCTCCACGTCATGTTCAACTCCCCTGAGTCACACAGGACATGATAACCGATCAGTGGGGCAGTGATCTTGTCAGCATGAAGTGGCGACCAGCTTGACTTTGGCCGGGGCTGGAACTGACCTCCAGGCGCAAAGCTAAACCGGGCCAAGAACCAAACCCCGAGCCCTCTCCAGACTTTCTCATTCTCATGGGACGCAAATTGAGTTCCGTCTGAGAGCTTCAAGCGAGGGACTAGAACTTTGTCTTGGCTCTTTGAACGCTAGTACGTTCATTCCAGCCACTGACGCCCCCAGGGCTAATTATACTGCGGCGGAAGAAAGCGACCTTTTTAATCGACCACGACTAGACCGCCTCATGCCACCATCTGAGTAGTCGAGACGCACCGGAAATATTATCATTATTTTCGCGCTACCTCTATTTAATACCTCTTATATACTTGCAAGTTACCACCGGGGAGATCGAGCAATATCTCACCATGACTGTGTACTATGCCAACCGCAACCTCTCTCCAGAGCAGGGCGAGCAGTGGCCAATGAATTTCTCATCGTTGCCACCCTCTGAATATGATCGCCTTCTTGGCTGGTCTATGCTGGGGGTGGGCTTCACCAGCTCTGACCCCGTCCCACCACCCCAGAACGCTCAGCTGCAGTTTGCAGATGTCTCATCGACCGAGACGTACGGCCTGGACATGACGAAAGACTTCTGGTGTCCCTCAAGCTACCCAAACGTGAGACTGAGCGGTTTGCCACCCTGAATTGTGCGATGGTGCTAATCAACCTGCAGGCCATGGGTACTACTGGGTATCACACACCTGCGCCATTCAGCAACCCCCAAGCCACCGTATACCAAGACCATGAACAGACCGGTGTCCACGATCCAACAACTTCTACTCCGTACCAACACCCGGGCTCGGACACTCCACAGCGACCGATCCGAAAGCTGAAGCGGGAAACCCTCAGCCCCAAGTCGCATCCGTCGCCCTCCATGGCGACACCTATCAGACCCAAGCCAATGCCAAAACGGCGGTCATCGCAAGACAGCAACACATCACAGCGCCGGCGGTCTACATCTTCCGAGAACAAGGATGACGATCCGAATATCTGCATGCTGCGAAAGAAGGCACATAATCAGGTGGAAAAGCGTTATCGCGCCAACCTGAACGCAGGGTTCAAACAACTAGAAGACGTCACCAAACAAGACTCCACGACCACAACGACCGATACTAAGATGGCGAAGGGCCTAAGACCCGGTCGCAAAGCGTTGATTCTGCAACATGCATATGAACACATCATCGGTCTTCAGGCTGAGCTCCGGTCGCTGCAGAAACGGCTTGGCGAACGGTGAGGTCAGGTTCGGATATCGCATTATTTATACACTCGTTGTATTCTATATATCACACTCGCTGGCATCATCTATGTTGTTTGTTGCTCATTCATTAAGCCCATATTAAAATTATACTGTACTTAATCAACATGGTTATATAGTGTTGAGTGTCCTGCATGGTGTTTTAGCATTGTTACAATGTTGTTTGTTCGCTGCTTGTGCTTAACAGGAGGTCACTCGGGAGGGATTGAAGTCGGGCCAAGCTTTGATAGAGTGTCCTTTATGCTGATAATGAAAACATGTCTGATATGACGGTTCGCATCTTCTAGAACATGCATTGCTATCCATTCGGCCTGGTGTAAGTAAACCTGTCGATCGTGGATGTACCGTAATGACAGCTAGCTTAACTCCCCAGACACTTTATTTTTACGTTTGCAGAAAGCCTAGAAACACGTAGATGTTTATTCGGTGGCGGCTTACTGTTTAAAGGTAGTGGCATGGCGTAGCTGAGGTGGACGTTTGCTTGCACTCTATACGGAAGGTTGTTTGGTGAGCATCCACAATCAACAAATAGTGAGAACCTACATCTGAGAGGTGGAAGCAGCCAATCAGGACGATTGAAAACGGCGCAATGTCCCCATACGCCTACCACCGTATGGCTTCAAGATCGTCGCAAGCTTTCGCATGAGCACAATGGCGTTTTGCGATACCGGTAACGCCCGAAGATCCAATCGTGATGTGGGAACCAGACATTAAGATTGCTCTCGCAAACAGCTAAGGCTGTCATACTCTTTGGTGTACGTGAGAGAAATCTTACGTGTCTCATATGGCTGGTTCGCCAGGGTAATACTCAAGTACTGCTCTTCCCAGGATGTATGATGTGAGACGCTTTTGGCACGGTTCGTGGAAGCGCTGCACAAGGCGCCAGGCTCTTTTTGACTTTTCCCTTTTTCGTGCTATGGTTAGACCGAACAAGCGAGGTTAGTTTAAATTTGCCTATGAAAGTTCTATGATGCGACCGGGAGTTCATGGAGAGACTTTCAAGACCTTTCTCCTGAAATAACGCATTGTCAGCAATGAGCGTTTCCTGCCTTTCCATAGCTGCCACAATACCTCTCCAGCATAGGGCTTCAATTATACGTATCCAGAATGGGTTCGCCAGGGCAGAACGGATTCGGTGTGCCCCCTGCTATAGATACTTTCGGCCATATCCTCTGGCTATAAAATATTGAGCTCACCGCAAGTCTCTTAGTACATAGTCTGTGGGCCCCACGGCGACGAGAGATCAATGCAAGATAGGCGTGGTTACTCATACCTGATCATCGCATCCCAGGCCTCTGGCTGTAACCTAAAGTCTCAAGAGAACCAGCGTTACATGCGGAGCCCGCGGGATCCGACCATAGAATATACCAAGCTATATAACCAACTCTAATATCAGTAAAGTATTGGGTATGAATAACAAAGTAACCTACCATTGGTATATTACTTACAATCCTGTTCACAACAACACTGCTGTCGGGCCGTGCAAGGCCGCACCATCGGCGCCATACGGTGTCAAACTTCAATGATAACAACGATCACCTGGTGTACCAAAAGGTCCCTCGGCTGTGTGCAATGGTGCGATTCCTTCGCCAGGGCCGACCAGTCGTCACAGTCCCAGAGTGGACAGGAGGCTCATCTAGGGGTATATCCTTCGTCCAAAGTCGGATATTAATCTCAAGCCCAATGCCCCCAGTCACAGAGTACTGGAACCTGGAGGCAGCAGCATTCAACCAAACGATATTAGTATGCAGCGGATGCCTTTACACCACCAGGCTTTATTTAGAAAGCAATGCACCGATCATTATGACAGCAGTGGTCTAGCCTTGATGCTACTCCACCCAGACTCCACACTTAGGGCATGCACATGTGGTTCCCGGGCCGCAAACGTCAACAACTGCCGTCGGATGTAACGTTGATCATTGCGTTTGAAAAGCGACGAAATCACATTTAACAAAGGGATGATAACTACGTCCTGTCATAGCAGGATTTACTCTGCTGTCAGATCCTACCAGGTGGCTTGTATGAAGCCAATTCGAATAAATATTCATTCTCCTATCCAACATAGATACCAATCGAGTTCACTTCAGATATGCTATATTTCCCATTAGATATGAAGGATATGGTATACTCACGACATAAAGAAACCTTATGAGCAGGTGGCCAAGTTACTTGACGTAAGTGCATTCGGGATAGTCGTCCGGAATGAAGCGGAGTGTCAGATGCTTGTCCATGACGGCATTTCACAACCATTCCTCGGCCGCCGAAGCAACGAGACGAGAGCAGATAAACCTAGCTAGATGCGGTGCAATAAAGCAGCTGAATGGTGTGCTTGTGTAACAGAAGTTGGTGTGCTTTCGTCATGCCTGAAAACATAATGTCTGGCTAGTATAAATATGACACCCCACGGACAGAGTTTACGATTTCGATAAAAGATTCCAACATTCTACCCTTCAAATCTTTTTCTTCTCTGAACCGTCTATCCAGTTTCCCCGTATTCCTATCACTAAGATGACCTCTCTGCTTAAGTACCTCTGGGGCTCTAGTTCTTCACAGGCCCCTCCATCCAAGCCTCAGTCCACTATCGCAGATATAACATTCCCCTCAGGTCTCTATATCATCCGCAACGTTGCGACAGACACAGTAGTCGACCTCTCAGGTGCTCATCGACAAGACGGTACCCCAGCTGTCGGCTGGTATGTATATCTCTCTCCAACCTGAATAATGTTCATCAGTAGACAACCCTGAGCTGACTACATCAGGCACTTCCATGATGCAAAGCACCAAAAATGGCAAATTGCCTCTGCGGGCCATAATCAATTCTTCATTCTCAACGACGCAACGGGAACGTACCTTACTGCCGGTATGTCCTCAGCTTTTATCTTATACTCACATACTAAAACAAGGTTCTAGATGAGCAGCCAACAGGAGGCGTAGTTCTCACGACTGGGAGTCTCGTATCGCCGACCAACAAGCGGGCGAGGTGGACGATTGAGTCTGCGGAGACGAAACATGCCTACACGTATATCCTTTCCAGATGGTGAACTAGTTCAAATCAGCAAGCTAACGGGACTATAGAATCCGCTCCGTAGCTGATACCTCCCGAGTCCTAGACCTCTCCTACTCGGATTCGAAGAACGGAACACCGATCCTTGCCTACTCGGACCACGGGACTAAGAACCAACAATGGATTCTCGAACAGCTTGACGCCGCTCCCCCGCCAGGCGTAATCAAGAATACCCCCGTTGGAGGGAAGGGTGGGACCCCCTTTGAAGAATTCAAGTATATTCCCGTTAGGGTCATAGAGACATGGAGTGGAGAGGTGGAGGATGAGACTGTTGTGCGGGGGCTGCGGTGGACGTGGGATGACGGAAGTCAGAGTCAGCTTCATGGTGCTGATAAAGGAGATCATCAGGTACTCGTTGTGCCGCCCGGAGGGAAGGTGAAGGAGAGTTCTGTTAGTTCAGGGAAGAGGGTTGATTCAATTGTTATTGTTACCGAGGATGGCGAGAAATTCAAAGCAGGTGGCGATGGCGGTGAGGAGCATAAGCAAGATATTGGGGACGGGGTTTTGGTCGGCTTTGATGGGGCTTCAGGGCTGGACGTTGATCGTGTTGGGCTGATCTTTGTGAAGAAGGATGGGGGTAAGTAACTTGTATATGGGGGATAGCGTCGCTTGACACCTATAATTGAAAGGTTCTGGCGAGTGCTGGATATGTCTATGAATCCCAAACACTGTAGGGCAGAGTGTATAAAACACAATAGTGAGTAATATTATGCTACCCCATCTGCATGTAAAGTTGAAATGTAACTATGCTTCTCACGGTGTTGAAGGAAACAGGTTAAAGGAAATCAGGCACCTAGATCTTCTTGCACACATCTCCGGGAATCTCATAGCTGGCCACGCGCCTACCACTTTGATACACGGCTTTCTGCCCCAGACCACGCTTGGCGAACCCAGTCCATATCTCACATTTATTTTGGCCCCCTGTCAGAGCCTGGTCCGCGTCGAGGATGGCATCGCGGGCCTGAATAAAGTTGGGGTTGCAGGGTTGTCTAACAGACTACGGTCAGTGATGCCATCTCGCTTCGGAGGGAATGTACTCACAAAGCCATGCCATCGATTACTAGCTTCATCGTCAAGTATTTACCATCCTTGGGCACACCCCGTTCGTCAAATGTTGGCCGCGGGCTGTCGTCCTTTCCGAGCTTATCAATCAAATTCCATAACACTTCGTACAGCATCGAGGCCCAGACGGTTCCACCTGCATGGACCTGATACATTCGATTCAATGACGTATAGTTGAGTGGGTTTGTTTCCATCGAAGTCGAATAAAGATACTGTCGGATACCTTGTGGATTATCGTAAACCCACATCCCCATTCCATAATTCGTCGCGCGTGTGTCATTAGGCCTGAGACGGATCGCAGTCGCCATGAAATCACCCCAGCCTTCCCCCATGCTGGATGACTCGAAAGCGCTTAAGCACCGAGAATTATCGGGGCCTCCGGTAAGTCGCATCGACACTGGGTGGTACACAGGTTAACGCGAACACCTTCTAGGAAGCGAGGGAATAAGTGGGTGGACTTACAGCCATGGGTATACTCATGAATAGCAATCCCAGACTCAAACACTGCATCCCGAGGTGGTGTGGTGTGTGTGAACATATACATACGCATGCGGGCTGGGTATCCGTCCGGTGGAGTAGCAAAATCGGCATTGTTCTTGCTCGCTCCATCCTGCGCGTTCAGAATGACATAGTCCCTCTCCTTGCCTCCCAAGCCTCTGTTGGCCCATTGGAAATTACCTGCCTTTTCTGTGAAGCCCAGGATGTATAGGAGATCATGGTATGCGTTGGCTGTGTAAAAAAGCTGGGTAACTGAAGCATTAATATAGTCCTTGGGAGATTCACCTGTCGGGTACGCATAAGTGAAATTGAGGGTAGCGCTGTCGGGACGCAAATTATCAATGTAAGGCGGCCCACCATCGAAGTTCTCTTGGGCAATGCCATTATTCCCCCGTGTTGAAGTCCAGTTTTTCTGTCCATCGCCGAACCAAGTCAACGGCGACGCCGTCAGAACCCACGGGTCAGCAACACTGACACGGCCGTCTGTCTCGCTAGGGTCGTTAAATCCCCAACCACTATGATGAGTCCTTGGGGTCAGTGCTCGGAGTGTTCTCAATAGCTGTAAACCACACAATACTCACTAGACTTGGAGGGTGGCCTCGGAAACATAGTCAACCACACCATGAATTTCCTCAGCGGTTTTTGCATCCACATAGGACAAAAGCCAATTATCTTCTACATCCGTCTCTACTCTCCATGCCAAGTTCAGAGTCCCGTCAGGCTTCACAAGGTAGACAAGAAGTGCCTTCGGGTCTGAGATGGCCCCAGCCGTGCCTCGGAAGGTATACTTATGAGGATGCTTCGTGGCTTCCGCAGACACACCATCTGCCTTGATGGGGAGTTGAAGATGGGTCAATGCGAATCTCAACGCAGCCACGGGATCGGTGAAGTCACGTTTTGTCAACTGCGTGATGTTGGCAATTGGGCCGGTATAGAAGGAGTTTCCATAGGAGAAGACCTTGCCATCTTTACCGACCTACGCCTGGTTAGCTTGATAAAAGGGCTACTGACGGCGAGGATATCGACACATACATTAACATTAAAATCCGCATTGTCGACATCTAGGTCGTGGACTGTCTGACGAAAGTGAACGTGTGCCACACCATTGTCCCCAACATAGTGATCCTCTCGGAGGCGGAAGGTTGTGTTGGGGAATGTTTCCCTGACCAGCTGGATGGCGCTTTCGACGTAACTTTGCTCGATTAGGCCGACATTTGTGGTAGAGACGGGGATCTGCTGATTGGAATCGACATATTGTGCGTTGGGCGCCAACCGAAACTTTTCCAGGTCAAAACCGGCGCGACGAGGAGATAGAAGTTGGTGCTCAGTAGGATGACTAAAAGCACAAACTGAAAGAGCCAGAGCCCCGACGAAGGAGAGGATATGCATGTTGACAACGAGAGATATGAGGGGAAAAGGCAAGGGAAAGGATTGACAAGTGAGGGGGGGCTGGGAGAAGAAGAGACATAAAGAGGGGAGGTGTGGAAGTTCCAGATATTTATCGCTACTGAACTTTTCAGGGCCTTAGATATTGTTATATTTCATTCACTTGTTCACTTCACGCAGCTTGTCATTGGTGCAATGGGACATCTGGAGTTGGCACTATATTCACCACTTACCTGCAGCAGAGGTCATTCGGAACCGTATGTCACACTATCCATAGCCCTTTGAGTCACAATACAAAGCCAGTGCATCAGACATTCTCGGTAAGGCCTTACAGGTGACAAATTTTGGAAATGAATGCAGAATACTCCGGAGCAATTGGTCCACAGCCTCCTGCATTTGATACACTCTTTAAGAAATGGAATACTCTAAGGGTCACAGAAAGGACCGCTGGAGACTCCTAGGGCGAGAAAGCCTCAAGCTATGGAGACAATGATCTAAGTGATAAAGTAAGTTGTACAAGGAGGCTTAGCCTTGGGACTAGAGACCGACGTGCAGGTACAGGCGAGAAAGACGACATGGTACCTACTAACCATGATAGGGGTGCTACTGCCTCTGGTCCTGTGCAAGCCCAGCTTAGTAGATTATCTGTCTGACAATGCTGCCGTGTCTGCTGTCATCTGCACGTGAATATTGAAGGCCAGAGGCAATTTCCATCCGTATCTGAGAGCTCCCCGCTCCATCAGCAGGATAGTCATCCAACCATGGCAACCGAGAACACTTTATTCCGAATAGCATATGTTTGTGGAGGCTCTGATGGTAATCGCGAGAGCGAGGACAGTTAAGCAGTGGGTCAATTAATTGAATAGCATTTGATATTGATATCCAGGTCTAATCGTGAGTTAGACAAACGTGTGGTGAAGACATGTAGGCATCCGCCCGGAGTTGACACAACAGCCGGATGTACTTCGGTGTTGGCCCATGATACCACGAGAGAGTATTTGAGTCCGCCCCAGAGGTTGCCAGACGGTAGATTTTGGTCCACCTCTGGCAAATCACAGGAGGTCCTTGACCGAGGAACTTTATGTATCCAACTCTATAGGTATCGGAATGCGTGTGGTATCACATTTCTGCTTGACGTTGTTCAGTCGGTGCCGAACTATGGATGCCCGGGGTGTTTTGTGAGAAGAGGTCCAACTTAACTAGCTATAGTCCGAAAAATCTGTCAAATGTACCGGTTGTACAGAACAATATTTCATGGGCCCGTTGTTTCTTCCCAATAATGGGCTGTTGGGGGTGGGGGATCTGCGTGAGTCTTTCTCCCCTGGTAACAATCTCTTAGCCTTCGAAGACGATATATCTATATTCAGAATCTTAAACATGAAAGTCACAGTGTCTAGTTCTTCCGAACATGTTTATATGTAAGTTTCTCTACCACCGACTATCTATATTGCCCTCGCTCAAAATACCAGAATTGTAAGCTCAACAGGTTCATGTATTAGCCGGTTCATCTGCTTCGTAGATCAATAAATATATTTCTACTGCCAAGAACTGCCAAAGGACCGCAGATCTTGCATTATTTATTCTATCTTATCCTAAAGGGGAAGCTTAGAGGTGTCTCACGGTTCTCACAATAACCGAGCTAAGAGGCATACCGGCTAACTCGTTATTACAATTTTCTCGCGCCGGTTGCCAACTTGAGCGAAAAAATGAGGGGGTTGATCTGTGTACAGCCAACCTTCCTAACTGGGCTAGCAACCTGCCTAAAGTGGTACATCCCTTACCGAGTATAGCTTAGTGTATACATGACATAAAGATAGTTCAGAGCTAATACTGATATAGACTAGCCGACAAAATGAGATCTGTCCGCTTTACTATTTAATTCGCTCCTCAATTTCCCTTAGGGATATTAGTAAGAGATTCGACCTCGGCCTTCTCCTACGCTAAAGGCCGCCTTTTCTTAAGGATATAAAAATAAAATGGCGATAAAGGTAAGTAGATAAGATAGAAGAAGATATACGGGTACGAAGTTCCTCTATCAGTCTAACCAAGGTCCAGGTATAACTAATCTAAATAGGAAAGTTGGCTATATGCACAGAATGGCAGGCTTGACTAACGCTGTCCTCAGGTCTCATTACCAGACGTACCACCTATCTGGCAGACTGCGGTCCTTGAGATGACAAAACGACAAAATTCTGGTTGATTGAATTAGAATCTGACTATAAAATACGAAAGGAATAGGCTATAACTCACACTCAGTAGGAGGCCGTGTCAGCGTGAATAGGGTCTTCTCATCAGGCTGCACTTCCTCAACCAAATGAACCGTCCTATCAGACGACTCAGCAAGAAAGAAGTCACCCGACTCATCTGCAATCTGGTATAAGTCCTGGCCCCGCTTGATTGGCTCAAAAACCTGAGGGCTGCCGGAAGTGCTGCAGGGAGATCCGCTTTCATCACAGTTAAGGTAATCTCCCGACTCCTGATTTTGGATAACGACAGTACTGGGGCCGACGCTGTTGAAGCCCCAGATCTGATTATCTGCGCCGGTGATTAAGGCAAAGATCGCCTGGGTCTCATTTATCGTCAGGGCATAGCCGCTTTCTTCGATGAGATAGTTTCCAGTTGCGGATTGGGCGAGTGCTTGGCCGCCTAGGGCCATGAGAGCGGCGAAAGAGAAGGAGAGCTGCATAGCGGTGGATTCAAGAGGTTAAAGAAGAATAGTATTGGTGTCCGGTTAACAAGTTGCAAAGAGGTAAATAGGCGGGTTTCTTCTCTAATTGACAAAGATAGACGAAGCAAAGGGAGCAATGCGTATTATAGAGAGCTTGATGTAATTTATAGATTTCTTCTCATAACATAGTCCTTTGCTCTACCAGGGTACTAGCGAGCCATAGTTGTGATAGTGGAATGCAAAGGGTGTGCATCGTCGTCTTACAATATTTGGACAAAGATAGACATATCTCTGTCGATCTGTTTAGATCACTTTGACAAGATCTTAGTTGAGGATCGAGCCTGGAGATTTACTTGGAGAGAATTCCAGAGTGACGATAGGGCCCCGCATTCTTGCTTTCTTCTCCCTCGCGCATTCCGGAATGAAGAAGAGGACATGGCGCAGCTGACGGGTCTAGCCTTGTTCCGAAAGCTTCTCACAGGCGTTATTTACAATACAGACATCGAAGGCAAGGGCAAGACTAGTGTAGGAGGACCTTCGTAAATAACAGTCTGTTTAGATTGAAACCCCTGAAAACCTCACTATCAATGTTCATTGTGTTATCAATACACGAAACTCTAAAAATGGACCCTGTAAGGGGTTCCGTAACATCGAGTATGTCAGGTTCAGCTTGCATAGAACAATTATTTGCCGAAGAATCTAGTAGCACCGAGTCTCTTCATATTACGTATTCCGTCCTGACATGGAGGACACATCGGTCGTCCTGGAATGCCTGGCGTTGGTGAATTAACCTTTCATCAAGGCATTACCACAGTTGCTATACTCCCCTTCTATGCCGGTAATGTTGATTGAGCGATTACCCTGAGATATTGATACTCTTGCGAGACGAAGCTTCGGGAGGGAACGAGGGTCGGTATGCATGGAGACATGAGAGGGGAAATGGATGAATGTCTATATCCTCATTGTTCTGGCGAGCTATACATACAGATATGATACGGTGATCAATGATTAGCTACTCACACCATCGGATGGCCCATCCGCTCGAATGTCTCTTGCTTTCCTTCGCTGTGCAGCCCGAAAATATAACAAAATGATCATCAGCCCCAGCCATATCACGAACTCCGTACCGTAGATAACTAGTCCCAGAATACTCGGAGAAGGCTGAAAGATCACGGACAAAATCGAGGCCACATCTCCGCTCGCATCGAGGAGGGCAAATTTCAGAGACAAGCCTGCATCTGACCGCGTTCTAAACATATCGACGTAATGCCGTAGTACTCCCGCCGCAAGAAGGACGGCGGAAAGGATTGCCATCAATGTTGATGGCCACCTTTCACCTCGTTTGTAGGCCACGCGGAGTGCAAAGACGAGACCGGCCTCAGTACCGCCAAGAACTGCACCAATGGCTATAGCAACAGGCACTGCTTTCTTTAGGCTCCAGTTGTCTCCGTAGTACTTGCATTGAGACCAAGTGAAGAGACTTAGGAAGATGAGAATATTTGGCTGAACTTGGAGAGCAATATTGAAATTATCTGCAATATTGTAGACGCCGAGGGGAACTCCGGCCATGGCCCAGGACAGGAAGAAAGCCGCGGACAAGGACTCACTGTCATGCCGTCGCCAATTCTTCCAGATTTGGGGCAGCAGCTAGTTTACAGATTAGTCACCGGCTCAATCCATAACGCGGGATTGTATTTGACCTGAAGTGACCATAGCACAGCTCCCAATGTACCGAATACGTTTGCCGCGACATGGTTGTCCATATTTCGACTTGCAGTTTTATTCAAGTCTAGATGAGCCCCTCTAAGCAGGTGGGCTGCTCATGCCCCTTCTCTCCTGCTAAGCAGATGAATAGATTTACTTAACCGCCTCGCATTACCCCCCCACTATCACCAGTATTGTAGAGGGGATGTTATGGGGAAAGGTTGACTTAACTGCAGCGGGTGGGGGATGTTTGGGTTTGATACTGAGGTTTAATAAAGCTTTGGCCGCAATAACCGCAGCTAACCTATAAGCGACCAACTAAACCTATCTAGGTAAGTGGTTTAAGTAGGGTTCCAATTCATACTGTCGGCAGATTAGCCCTAGTTCGCCGTTACATAGACTTGCTTTGGTCTTGGTCTTATAGGTTAAACGCAGATTACTTCTTAAATCTAATCCTAACCGCTGGTAGAAATATAGATATCTTACTAAGCTCTCTCACCATAACCGTTGTAGGCGGAGGAACCTAGGTTATTAACGTCTTCGTTCCCCCCATCTATAGTCTACAAAGGAAGCAGAAAAAATGGCTTGGAAATCTACCATCACGATCAGAATTGATTGTGGCTAGCAGGCCCCACTCAGAGACAAAAGCATCCCATATCGCAGCAGCCCAAGTGGGCGTATCTCAGTCCTTGCGACCAGAGATAAGCCGGCCGGTGCGAGTAACTTTCGTCAGTGAGATCGGGAGGGCATTAGAACTATTACTCTAGGAGAGGCTAGTAATAAGGCGCATGCTAGTGTTGTGAAAGGGGTAAGCAGAGTCTCGATTGAATGTAGTTGACTGTAGGCTTTTATGTGTTATAGATAACCTTTCGCCACATCCCAGGCGTTGAAAGACGTACCTGTGCAGATCCTTCCTTGCGTGTAGCATCGAAACGTCCTGGCAGAGAAAGGTGTACGACTTGTTAATACCCGTATGACCGTATGTGTTTTGAAGCAGCCTAAAGATCAGTTTATTAGGGTACGATGAATGCAAGCTTGTGAGGAGCCAGTGCATATGTTATGGAAGATGGCGTTGTGAAGGGAGAATGAATGATAGTTGGTGGAACGGTCGTCGCCTTTCGGAATGCGAGAAAGACATTGGTACATTCTTTAGAAACTTTTATCATCGGGGAAATGGTAGACAGATTCTCAGGATGGTGGTCTGAAGCGTCAGGTTTGACAATTTAGGCTGGGTTTGGGTTTGATAAACCGGGGTAACCGATCGTGGTGGCTCGTGAATGTGGGCCAGTTCGAGCCTGCGTTTTTGTTTAGGAGGAGGAGAGGAAGAAGAAGGAGCTGCGGGACATGCTACCATAAGCAGACCAGGCATATTAGGCAGATCAAGCGAGAAATTTAGGAAACTTCAGCAGATTAAGTAGACTAAGTAGATTAAGCACGGCGAGCGAGCTGAAGTACGTAGACACGGTCGTGTAAACCATTCTGCCAGGAAAAGTATTGGAGAATAGAAGAAAATGAGTGAATGCAGATTGGTGGCTTTGGCTTGAGGGAGCAAATAGAGGAGGGGAGACACAAAACGACTGCTACTACGCTGGCAGCAAGCCCTCAGTTACCATTGAGCTAGTTGCCCTCATGCGGAAATTATCCATGTTCCAGTGCCAAACGTCAGTGGCATTTCGGCCGGCGGGCAGCACTGCACCAGGAGGGTAGAAGTCTTGGCGATAGAATGGGAGCGTCTGGGGGGCGGTTCCAGGCGCAGGGGTTGGAAAGATTTGCTAGAATATCCAGCACCCATTAGCCGATTTCTCAACAGTCAAGCCAGGGGATTAGTATTGACTAATACTCACTATGTGAGTCGGGGGGCTGCCACGGCGAAAAAGCTCCAGATATCCGGCTACCCTACTATTGTTGCACTGGTTCCACTTTATCAAGACGACAACATTGACGCTAGATGCCGCCTCCAGCCACAGATTCTTATTTTGTATTTGACTTGGCCAGGATTGCCAGTAGCCTACTTCAAATACAACGGTGGGTAGGTCGCGCGCACCGGACGCCGAGTACACAAATACCAAATCTGGCTCCAGGTATACGTTTTGCCACGGTGCTGGGAAGTTATGCATGCCTATTTACTATTTATGAATATCGGTCAGTTATAGAGAATATCAATTTTCTTACCGGGGCTTCCTGTGAGTGACACCTCGTCAAGCTCTGTAATTGACCAAAAGCCGGAGATCGAGGCTATGGTGAATTCATTTACGGCCCATGGCATTATGGAGGCGTGAGTGTGTGAGGGCATCTTCACGTTCAATGTCTCAGTAGTTGGATTGTACGAGATTATGACACTTTTGCTTTCGACTTCGCCGTCTTGAGACAGGCTCAAAGCCAGTATATAGCCAATATCAGGGGGAATACCTTCCCGTTCAAGGTAGGAAGGTCCGTTTGTTTCGACTATCTCCTTTTTTAAGGAATTGAACAGCTTTTGCGCAGATGTGGGTGAGGGAGACTCGTTAGTTCTGTTTCGGAGCAGAAACTTGGAGGAGATAGGAGGCTCTTCTGATGGAGACATGATGGTAATTGTGGTGGTGGTGGTAGTGTCTAAGATAGGGAGTAAGACGGATAGACAGGTGTGACTACGTGAAGTAATATCGCGATCGAGGAGAAATAGTGATGTGAGACATGACTGAGTAGTATTCGTGCAGTTGAAGTGAGGCAAGCTGAGCTGAGGACAGTTATTTGGCAGGTTCCATGGTTACGATAACAGGTCCACGACATAATGACTAAGTGAGGACGTATGCTTGGAGGCAGCTCTATTCCTGTGGCTTACGTTTGGTCTGGCGCAACTTTCCCTCTCCTTTATTGGCCGCCCGGTCCATTGTATTTAATGTATACTCTCCTCTTGGGTGTAGTATTAGCTAGCCATCATGATTCCCCAAATCGATGTTTCATCAGCCGTTGCTACGTCGCTTTCATTGACTGCAGCCCTCGTTGGAGTAGGTTCTATCTTTACATAATTTGGCACCATTATTGACCGGGCGGACCTTTTCCTTTCATTACGCGACGTCCGACATTCAGACAAGTCGAGTGAGTGGCCTGTATATGTAACGGGTCTTGTCATTAAGCAACCACCTGTTGGCCCTTTAATCATTGCAAATATCTGTCATGGGTTCTGTAGCCGAATAACAATAGGTGTCAGTCGCCTGTCTCTACCTCAGCCCGCCGGCCAGGCTGCATGGTCGGTACTGCTTGGGGCTCTTCATGCCACTACTCCAAGCAATATACACAACACGCGAGAGAAGCCAAGAAGCCGGACTAGAATAGACTTGAGTAGCCATTTTATGTACTCATGGACCCTGTGCCTGTCTTGGTTAGAAGGCCATCAGCACATGGCCTCGGCTATACCCTGACGTAAGCAAGGGCATGATTATGGATAGCGAGTTGAACATAACATGTCTCAATAAGCCCAGCTGAGGAAGCATTTCCATGTAGAAAAGTCTGTGGGGCAACCGATTGCCGTTTCCAGGTGACTGAGAAGACGCTGTTGAAGAGGTCAAAGGGTTATGGTTTCCTATTGATAGGATATCCTTTGGTCTACGAGCGTGTCTGCTATATTAGTGAATGTTTTGGATTCTCGATAGAACGACTGCCTATACTTTGTTGACTAGGTGACATCGGTGGCATAGTTGAATATCACTCCTGGACAGGTCGAGATAGGTGGAGGAATACGGGTCGTGATTACACCGCAATAATCAACATAAGATAATGATTATGCGACATTAGGTAAAGATTTGGCAGAATGCGCCAAGAACCGATCCGGTATGAAGAACAAGAAATTTTTATCTTAGGCTGAGACTAGAGGGAGCTAAAGGCGACTAGGGGAAGAAGCCAAGCCCCGTTTGGGAATTGGTATAGGCTCTCCAGAGATGGACAACAATCAATGCCCCGCACTGCAATCAGACTTTTGGTCACACATGAACAGAGCCCTTCACATTAGTTAGATGGATCTCGGTCGAGGCCTCGTCCAGATGGTCCGCGTGAAGCTTTACCCTAGGAGCTGATTTATACTACACCGTATTTCCGCCTGTGGTGTCTCCTAATTGGAAGGCACTAATGTGTAAATTATGCAGTAAGTTCCCAGCGCATATTAGCCAATGCTGACATATAAATCATGCACTCCATAATATACTCCGCCGTGCTGGTTGCGGCTAGACCATATTTATATGGAATACATTCGACGGAATATAAATGGAGACATATGCCCTTTCCTCCCAACGTATTACGATCCAGCAGAGTAACATCTGCCAGAAATCACCGCGTTATCTCCCCGTGAAACATTCATCCGTCATGAGGTTAACAAGATATCTCTCTCTTGCCACCCTCCTGCTAACGGCAAATGCCGCGGACTGCACGGCGCCAAACCAACAGTGGTTTAGCGATGCCGCAGTCCAAATGATGTGGTCAATCCGGGCGTGGCTGTGCCCCAATGCGTGGTCGCAGTCCATCACCGCCGGACCAGATGGCGGTTGGTGCGATGCGGGTGGCGGCATCATCAATGCCTACTGGGGATCCTGGACGATCTCTGGGATGCAATCCGAGCAACAATGCTGGGTATGTAACTCTGCTTCTGCTGTGGAGAATGTTAAATTCAGTTGTGCTCACAATCTTAAATAGGACATTACCGAGCAAATCATTAACCAGTGCATGTGGTATGATTATGCATCCACGAGCTACAACGGTGGAAGTTGGACATATGGCAATATCTATGCTGGCGGATGGTTCTGGGCCGATACAAGCAAAAGTTGTTCCCATGCAGTGAAACGGGATGTGATGATCGAGAATGAGGGCCATCTCAATTTCACCCTTGCAGATGGGAGCACCCAGACGGTGGACAGGCAGGTCTGGCTGGATGTTACTGCAGAAGGAATAACTGTAGTCAGGGAGGAAACTTATGCTTGATCTTAATGATTGGGGGTACTGCATGGACCGGGCTCAAGGAGCGGATAGGGTCGGCCATTCGGTATGAATTAAGTATGGGGTTCGATCTTATTGTCTGAGGCCATCTGCCTTCAGTAATAGTCCATGGCTCTAGTGTAGACTACATGCGACCATCGGGCCAATTAACCATTGTCTGTGTGTTATTGTTGCGATGTTAAACGTAAACAAATAATGCTATCTTGTCACTTAGTGGATTTTCGATATAGTAATAACAACCTACATCTGGGTTTAGGGTTCTAGAAAATGTTTACGAATGTGGTGGAACCACTACGTGTGTCGAGCTGCTAGTTGGCGCCTTGTCTCCTCTACAATAGGAGTGATATCCATACCCCTACTGGCCCTTCAGTTCGGTAGTCGCAAGGGTCCAGAGTCAGTATCGATCCATGCTATCAGAGACCTTATGACAATCGTCTGGGCAATGCCAATGAGAAAAATAGAATCCAGGAGGGTATATCTGAAAGCGACGAAAGAAGCTAGGAAGCCGATTGAACGATGAATGTAATGTACTGTTTATTGAAGTTATCTAATAACTGTTAATTTTGCGCTGGAAGGCGGGCAGCTAGTGCCTTCAATAGTATATGCCAAGTACAAGACCCGCATATGCAAGTTCGTTACCAGTAAATATATAGTCTGCATGACAGAGACTTCGCCTCCGCAGGTTCGTCGTTTATCTCGGTTAATCGAAACTACATTTGTGCTCAAGAGCCACTAGTCGATTTATGGAACGGGCTGTTGTGAAAGATTACAAACGGCAATGAGCCTAACAAGCGGCGTCGACCATTTTAGCCAGGGTTGTTGTATATCACACATCTATTGCAATTGTTTGGAAGAACTGTCGACAAGTTGGTGCGGAATAATCGCCTTTATGCATTAGGCAATTGCACAAGAGTCCGTCAGCGTTTAGAATTCCATTTCATAAGGCTTACCAAAGATTGATAATGATTTATACAAGCTTAGGGAAGTGTAGTGTCATGACGCTAAATAACTTGGCATGTATTTCCTAACCGAAAGTAGAGCACACTAGAGTATATTCAGTATAGAAGGGCTTCCCTATTTGGTAGACAGGTTTCGTTAGGTAGCCTATTCCACAAGGTGTTTGGATACCCGACCAGAGAATTCAGTTGTCATAGGTTGTCATTCAAGATGGCATAGTGTTCTGGACTCTCACTGCAGCTTTCTTCTGACTATATATATATATATAGATGTCTAGGAAGGCTCTACTCCCAACATTTTTGTACTTCAATCACATTTCTAGCCCTTCCCCACCTTGACTTCATTTGATAATTCCAGTACGCCCAGTAAGTTCTCATGTCCAATGCGATACTCGAGGCGTGAACTCATCCAGCTCATTAACACAATTAGGCCAACATGAAGCTCCCCTCTCTCGCCAAGATTGCCACCCTCGCAGGCCTTGCTTTCAACTCCTGCACAGTTAGCGCCCTCACCATTGGAGAGGCGGTGGTGTTTCCCGGTTACCAATGTGACTCCAATGGCCAAGCACTCGACTTTGATCTGAGTGCCAATCGCCACGTATTCACAATCTCGGGATCAGGCGGAGCTGTCTTGAATTGGCTGAACCCTGGGTGTTCGGTATTTTTGTGCTTTGCCGGTTATGGGTGTGGAGATGGCCAATCCGGGATGCAGCAACTGAAGCCCAATACGTGCTTACTTTCCAAGGCAGGGGACGAGTGGAGAGTGTGGGACAAGATGATTTTCGTCTGTGATTAGGATGGGAAGCAATCCGTTGTGGACTTGTTGGGGGAGCGCAAGCCGCCATCAAGCGGTAGTGATGTATAGGAGCATTGATGACAACAAGCATGATGTATAAATTTACAACGGACTGAGACGGCACTGAAATGTGCCATAATGTGACGTCTGAGTATTACAGAATTGGCCATCCTTCCATATATGTTCCTATTCGAGATTACCCGTGGAACAGGCCTACTAAGTACAACCCTTGAGGCAGTTGGGCACTGCACCCACTCAACAAATCGCAAAGTTGACAGTTAGTCTAACCTCGGACGGCAATATATTTAAGAACACATAGATATCTCAGTCCATCTCTCCCATCCACTGAAAAGTCGCTCTTTTGAAATTTACATTCATCGTTAGGGTTCGACGGGGTCGTTTGAAGAGTTGGTGTAAACCTGACTCAACTAATAGCCCTACTGTTGGATTTATATGCGAACCTTCGGTTTACAGTATGTAGCGGGCGACGTCACAGCTGATATTGTTAAGAATTTTTAAGATGGTAATTATGGTAGTAGGTATAGCACTGTATGTGCGGATGGAATTCCTTATGGTCGGTAGAAACAACGTCCCGAGTCTCAGAGTATATAGAAGAAAGAAATCATTATCAATTTCGTGGTCTCTGTGGTAGCTTATTTGTGAATCCGTGTAAATCCGTAAAGGGCAGTCCTTCTTTACGTCCACGCTGCCATGCCAAGCGCCTTCTCAACATCAAGTCTTCGCCATCCAGGTGAACGACCGAGACAAATACAAGTGCTAACCAGTACTACAAGAAGGTCAGTTCGGTGCAAATGAGCGAAGGGGATGGTCTTACTCCTGATTAGACTCGATGCCTTAATGGCTGCCTGTTTCGACAGACTCTGTCGAGGACCTGGTGGTGGGGCTGTGAGTAAATGCACTTCCTTTTCCTGGAGAAATCCTTGAAGGTCATGGATGTTGAACCAAACGCCCGTCATCTCTTGCTGGATATCGGACGAGAATACGGCCAACGGGTCCTGTCGCACTGGACTCTGACCTTCAAATCTTGGAGAAGGGTGGCCGACGATTGAAGTCGGCGACAAAGCTCGTGGATAATGAGTTCCGGCACCGCCTACGCTGAAGAATGGGATGTCTTGCCACTCCGTCAGCTGCGCTGGATGGACAGGAGCTCTCACGGCGGCCTCAAAGTAAGAAGTGAGGCGCTCCCGATTTAAAATGCTAAGAAGGAAGTGGAACTTCCTTTGGAGATCGCGAAGCTTCACGGAGGTATCGCGCAGCGAATAGTACGCATGATATGCACAAGCTAACCGGAGCTGCTGGATGAACTGTGTTATATCTACGATTGTGACAGTTGCCGTGTCAAATAGAAGCGGAGAACCTGGGCTCAGGGGCATTGGGAATCCTCTGAGACTTCCTCCCGGGTCTAGAGAGATGCTCACTGATGAATATGCTCCTGGCTTCAGTGTTGCCGGTGAAGATTGCTCTCCATGGGTTGTTTTCGATAGCGCAAATAACGACTGATCTCCGCTTGGCGGGGAGATACCAGACGGTGCCCCTTCATCACCAGTCTGATCGAGCACCGCGGTACAAGATCTGCATACCTCTACAGTGGCCTTCAAATGGGATTGAAGATCGCGGTTGGATATGAGCGCCCCTGTGTGCGCTACATGTTCGCTAAATGAAAGAATCGATGAGCTCATCTTCTGTAAAACTCCCTCCAGCTGGGCGATCCGAGCTTCAGAATTTGACAGCGCCTCTTCCTTTCGTGACCGATAGGCTCGTTGCGCTTGTCTGATTTGCAATCGGCGCCGCTGTGGTTAGACCACAATCAGTGAACGGATGCAAAAGGAGTTGTTAGTTCAACCTAAACCACATACGAACCTGTTCCCGATCGTCGTCCGTTGGACGAATCTCCGTCTTTCGTGGTCTACCACGCTTTCTGGGGGATAGTACCACTGTCGTCACCGACTCTCGGCGCCCACGTTGCACGGCTCTCTGAGCAGTCGGCCTGGATAACTCAGGTATGGCCAATTCATCACTCAACTGGAAGCCTGGAACAGCCCCCGCTAGGAATCCACCATAGCCGCCGTACAAGGCTGGTTGCCTGTCGTGCTCAGGTGTATATGAAGTTAATTGTTCAGGGATACGATATGAAGACGCTGAAAGCAATGTGGCGAGATCGTCGATAGGGCCGGAGCCTTGTGGCGAATTGTCACTGTCCATGCCTGAGGAAGGCGGCATTGATCCCTCTGATTGACTCATGTTCAACCTGTTACAAAGAGATAATCCGATGAAACCGAAGACGCGAAAGGGAAGATGGCGGGTGCGGAAGCTCACAGGACATGGGCGGATAAGCTGTTAGTGACCCTGGCGTTAATTAGTAAGGAAGGCTTTGAGTAGGTAAGCTCTAATCGCCATATTCCTTGGCTGATTCTATCCGCTATCACCAACGGCGCCACTTCTACTGCATTCCATTGGATCCAGCTGCGGCAGACTTGTGGGTCATATACGTACCTTATTGGTTAATTTTAGCTGCTGGCTAAGATATCGGACCTCGCTTACGATGAATAATCTATTTTCTGGGGCTTTGGTTGGTTCAGGGCATATAGGCTGGACTTTTTGGACTTACACTACAAATACAGATTCCAGGAATCCATGCTTGGGAAAGCTGCACAGTAGACACTGGTACACTTCTCCCCTCACTGGCCTCAGTTCATGGCACATTGACACATCTCCATGATGCTGTTCCACCCATGCCATCGGAGATTTCAAGGCAAATAGCTATGCTCATACCGACATAGGTAACCCCCGCCGTGGAAAATATTCAAAGATAGGTTGAATAAAGACCCAAAAGCCAAGCTGAGACCACAGCACCTACTTCATGAACCCTCGTCAGAGAGTTGTTCTGAAGCAGACAATATGGTGGGGAAGACTCCCTAGCTTCCCTAGGGAAATTCATTGTTTATATATAGTGCTCATGGCCCAAGAAATATCGTGGCCCTTCCCATAGAACTGGATAATACCCCTGCTTTGTCCGACCGTTTTCACATTTTGCTGCATATTCATTCCTCGGTACTGATCAATAATCCATTTTCTTTGATCACCACGTATACCTACTATCGCGGACAAAGCTTTACCGCGCATACGAATCTTGATGATTACCGATGGGAAAGTTATTTCGGGATACTCTATGGAGCCGAAATGTCAATCATGTGGTATAGATTAGGAGAACTCAGTAATCCTAATACTTAATCTGGTTTTTAATGAGTAGAATCCACATATTGGCCTTTTATCAAGTATTTCCCGTATTCCGATTACGACCCCACGTAGGTTATGAACTGCTGTCGGAAGGTCAATAATGGTTCTGTTGTGCAATAATTCCTGCTTAATATTCCATCTCTAGGGAAACCTGGCAGAGAGAGTAAATACTCCATTGACGACAGCCAGCTTGCCTTCGCTCCCGGTACAATGAGAGGGCTAGCACTTGATGCTATATTTCCTATGCGCACAGTATAATGTCGCATAATTTAAACATCCAGTGCGGGGGAGCACTGTTTGATTGTATAGCAGGGTTGGTGAGTCAAGTTTGGCCTCTATCGCCAGTATTCATCGAAAGACTTCGATCCACAATGAGAAGTACATATATATTTCGTTCACTGTTGTTCGCAGTAGGATACAAAAGTCAATTTTAGTATTCCATCCCGTGCCTCATCTACAGGGACATATAGGCCAGCTTCTCCGTATTACATGGATCGGATCGACGCGCACCTTCAGATCCGTAGCTGCACACACTGTTTAAATTGGGATCTAATCAGGTGGGTTCCTACACACACAAAAATGCCCGAGGCAAGATGTCATCGAGTAGGGGGGAATAATTAGTAATAAGGACACCAGTGCTATAAATCGCTATGACAGCGGTAGAGACTAGACGTCGATTGAATAGCCATTGCACAAATATCGAATCAGTCACAAAGCAGAAACAGAACTTCCACAGCTCCTCTCCAAAAGAAAGTTATTCCAACGTTGCGGATACCTAATTTTCATAGCCTCTTCCACTGTTCCCGCGTCCGTCAAGCGTTCCAATTCTTCCTCGAACGCTAAAATGTATTCCTTGGTCAAATCAAGCAAGTACGGGCCATCCAACTGAGAAGCTCGTTTATGCCCGGGTACCACAATGCTCGGCTGCAAGCTAGAAATCTGTTCAAGAGCATTGAGCCAGTCCCTCCTCTTCTCTGCCGTGCTAGCCTCTGCCAAGAACTGGTGACATTCACCGTAGACAATATCTCCCGCCACCACAAGGCGCAGATCCGGTACGTGCAAGAAGGATGACGCGTGGGTGTCAGAATGGGCAACATCGATCCCGTAAAGGCTGTGGCCGTCAAGGTCAAATTTACCGGTTTCGGGTAACATGTGTGGTATAACTTGTCCCTCTGCTAGGATCTGGCCATCAGGAAACCACCCTTGCCATCTGGACACTGCTGTATTCAATGTCTGTTTCACCCCATCGGCTACAGACCTCGTTGTAATGCAAGTTGCTCCGGGGAAGTGCCTTAAAATGATTGGATTGCCCAAGAAATGGTCGCCGTGTGCGTGGGTGGTGTAGATGTATTTAAGCTTCTTTCCTGGTGCCGTCTTCCTGATCCAGTTTCCCAGATCCTCTGCCTGAGATACTGTAACAGGGGTGTCGACCAGGACTGCCGATCTTGGCCCATGGATAAGAGTGCAGGATATTGGTGACCACCAGGTTTTAGATGGGTCGTGAGACCCCGTGCTAGCAGGTACTGCAGGTGCCACGTAGACGTCCACTTGTAAAGTGCTATGCATATCGGCTCTTGCAGTTGATAGTCACAGATACGTGATGGTATTGAAAAGGGGAATTCTGTGGCAAAGGAATTTGTGAGAATTTGAAGCGATCCTGAACCTGTAATATATACCCCACCGACGGGCATGGTATTACCTCCCTCGGTACTTCAAGGTCAATATTGTATTACTGATCTCGAAATCTACGTAACGATGCATTGCAATGTGTATAATGTAGTAGGGTGCGAGGTGGTCATGTTTATCCCTTTGGGGCGGTTCGCTTAATGAATTCGCTAGGGACAGAAACACCTCTAAGTACATTTAATTTACCTAGTATCTAAAATGTGAAGAGATTCGCAGCTTCTTAAGAGGTAAGGATATTGGAAATAAGCTATTTTTAAAGGACTGCGGGTGTGTTAAGAACAACTATATGACTGGGCGTGGCGAGCTGCCTATGACGAACGATGATACGCCGACAGCTGGATAGGCATTGTGTTCTATGCAACAATAAACCGGCAAGAATTCTATAAAACTATCTGTCTCGGTTACACTCAAAGTGCCCCAAGTCTCTAATTCATATCTTTGCTTTCGTTGAGGGGACTCTTAAAATTGACTGTTGACTCATACAAGCAACCAAGTTTCCCTCTTCATTCCATAGCCTGCTCTCACTATACGTGCGACCATGTCCAGCCCGGCTGCTAATCGTCTCCCTTAAGTGCCAATGGTCCATTTTGATACATGGAGAGAAGATTCTCAGTGCGAAGTCAAGGCTAGAGCAGGCGTCGACGTCCTCGAAGAAAAGGTGGTTATGCACCAATGGTAGAAAGGACAATAGTCCATCCATCATGAATCCCAAGCTCGCCACCTGTTCCCCCTCAGTCCGGAGAGGATGTTTCACACGAAGCCAATCCGCCGATGTTTTCTCCGTAACAGGTAGGTCATCCTGATGACTTTTGACGGACTTGAGCAAGCCCATCAGATTCTGGGAGGTAATGCCTTCAGGACACGGTCGACCTTCGTAAAGATTTCTGGACAGTCCAAACATTTTGTTGAACATGTTGGATTGCTCTGTCGTGATCTTTCCCGTCGCCAGATCGTTTACCAACATCTGGTCCCACGGTACGCAATGCTGCCAGTGAGTGTATGCTTGAGTTGAGGGTGCTGAATAGCTGAGGAGGGCCGGTTCGTCTTTGTGAAAATCTACCAAAAGCTGCATACATAGGCGTGATTCACCGGTTGACTCAATCCGTTGCTCAACTGCGACGCGGTATGTGGCAAAACTCTTTGTTTTCCGGAGTTGAACTGGCGTACAAATGATGTGCGCTTCTGTACTGGTTGCTCGAAGGAAATGCCCGAATGCGGAGTGCACATGAAATCCCTCAGGTGCGGTTTTGTATGCGGCGTGAATTGCGAGGGAAATAGCGTACCCTCCATACCCTATAGGTGCTGAGTTTCCCATTCGCTGTGGCAGGTACGTCGAGACATAGTTATCGCCGGCTTTTTCCACGGAAACATGTTCCGCCAATGTAGTTGCCATTATGTTCGAATATCAGAGAGCACACGCAAAGCTTCGGTACTTAGTTTTCCTGGCAGGGATTAAGGCATGGTTAATATCAAGTGTGTAAAGTGCAGTTCGTTGACCTACCATTCGCCTTATTCTCAACCATGCTCGGCCATGTCTCCCTGGCGAGGTACCATATAGCTACCACCAAGCGGGAGCCTATGCTGGCGCAATCCCTCGGTTATAGAGATAATTAAGTTCGAGGCCTCGGTAGGATTCGCAGAATACCTGGTGCCGTTATTAAACGGCCAGGCTAGCCTAAGTATACCGTGTTAGAACATAGATATACGATCATAGCCTTTAATGAGCAAGTTAGTTAAGTGACTCTAAGCGATGACTACATAGGGGCCCACTCACTGAGAGAAAATCTCGTGGCCAGAGACTATAAGGCGGGTTACAGGATGTGTCCAATCGGAAGCGGAAGAATTGGTTTACTGATCATGACTGATCATCCCGAGGATCCGTGCCCTAACCGCTGGGCAGACTGCAGTACGTATGTACATAGTTCTCTCCCCCCTTGAATGAGGTGCACTAGCCTGCAGCATGGATTATGATGCAGAGGTCTTGCGGGCGAATTACGCGTCTCTCTACTTGGCGATCAATTTCCTTTGGGTAGGGAGACTACTCATTGCTACTTCGAGGCAAAGTATATAACTGAGGGAGTTAATTAAAAAGCATATCTACAAGGAAATGTTCGAAACCGCCGGGAGCAACTGTAGCAAGACATAGAACCAATGTATAATAGAGCCCAAGTATTACAGCAAAGTACTACCCTACGGCATTTCAGCCACCTTAACCTAGTCAACATTTCAGTTAAGATAGCTAGAGTGTGCAAAACTTTCGTACGTTCAACGCCAGGAATAATGCAATAGAAGAGACGGACGCGACCCTCTTGGCTATAGGAAGAACAATAGGCCGAACCAAATGAGTACTGAACTCAAACGGAGGCTACAAATTGTGCTTCTTCGCACCAGAGGCAGATTTCTCAAACTCCCACCTGCGGAATACCCTCTATAAATCGCCTCAACCCCCCAAAGAATTCCCTTAGAACTAGGTCATTGCACTCGCAATTGCCTGGCTCACGGAGCAGCTTCTTTATCTCCAACACGCTCGAGATGTTCAGATGGTCACCAAGATCATGGTGGATCTCTTCCAGAACCCGCTATTTCACCCTCCCCTGGAGTATCAAACACCTGATTGACAAAGCCTGTTTGTTTCAACTCCTCGATGCTGATCCAGCGGCTGAATAACAGCGCCTCCTTGGCCTTGCTCAGCCCCATACTACTGGCAAAGGCAATGCTGGATCTGCCCTCTGTAACGATACCCAGCGACGAAAATGGGGTAAGAAGGTATGTCTCAGGTGTAGCGAATATCAAGTGGGGATGCGCGATCAGGGCTGCGGAGAGGCCGATGACGGGCCCATTGAGCGCAGCCACTAAGATCTTAGATGCGAGTGGAAGGCATCTGCCAGATTCCAGATTGATGTTGTTGACCACAAGAGCTGGGAGGCAGTGTCGGGGGATATCGGCACCGCTAGGCATCCGGAGACTGGCCTCGTACATCAGCTCCTCTGCTCGATCATGCTGTCAGCCTATTGTCATGTATATAAAATGGATTAGCTCCTGGAGATAGAGACAAGCTCGACTTACGTTGAGAAAAAGCGGCCCGTTCCAATGAGGAGTGTGGCTAAGAGCTCATCCTTTTGGGCGATCTCTCTCAACACTAGGGCGAGGCGGTAATAGTCATCGTGGCTTAGGGCATTGAGCTTCTGTGCTTTGTCAAGGGTGACTGTGGCAACCTTTGTTATGTATTCAACAGACACAACCTGGTTCGCCGCCATGTTTGATATAGTCTAGGAAGGCAACAGCATATATGTGTGCTTTGGACGGCCCCTCGGAAGACCCTAATATGTGCTTAATTATTTACTGCACTCGTTGCTTGTGACAAAGGCCTTGCGTCAGACAGTGGTACACTGTGGCGGACTCTGACGGTGCCCTTCATACCCACAGACATAATGCTAACGATATTCCCGGCCCGAGGCTAGACTGGGAAATGGAACACCCTCCAAACGATGGACCTACTCCCTGTTAAAATCATATGGAAGCATGAAGACTTTGAAATTGATTTATGCAGTGAAGTAATGTTCGCGTGAATCCTACGGAAACATGGCTTTGAAAGTTAGATGGATGTTTACCCGGGCGTACACTGTAGACACCGTCAAACGGAATGAGCTATACAACGTAGGATAGCTGATGTGCTACAATGGCGAGGTGGCCTGTGGCTGATGTGCCTTTAGCTACCACGGCCATCTACATGGGCATTCCTAAAAAGCGTGAGCCTGGTTGTACATGGGACATGCACCTATGGCGAATAACTACAAGCTACTAGACACAGCCATAGCACATCAAACCAATGAAATAACTAACTGAATGTATATTTACATGTGACGACTCCGAGGATCAAGAGGTATTTCAACCCTTACCTACCGATTCCCTTGGCCCTCGAATATTCTTCGAAAGAGCCCTTGCAGCTCCACTCGAGCAAGAAGCGATTCATCCTCTGGGGATATCGTGATACTATAGCCTTCTCGAGGGCTTCTGCATTCTCAGCCTTGCTTAGCTCCTCTTCAAACGTCAAGATATATTCCTTCGTGGCCTCAATGAGATATGGTCCGTTTGCCTGTGACTCCCTCTTATGGCCAGGTACAACAATGTCGGGTTTTAAAGCGGCAATCTGATCCAATGCATCCAACCATTGCTTTCTCTTCTCCTGAGTACTTGCTTCACCGAAGAACTGATAACAGTCACCGTAAACAATATCTCCACAAACAACCAGCTTGAGAGCCGGGACATACAAGAACGAGGAAGCCTCGGTGTCTGAGTGCGTCACGTCGATACCACGAAAGGCATATCCATCAATTACGAACTCCCCATCGGCGTTTAGGGGTTTCGGAATGACTTGGCCGTCCGCAATCTGGCCGTTGGGGAACATCTTGCCCCACATAGCTAGGCTCTCTGGCCATTGCTTCTCGATATCGTTAACAACAGTCGACGTCGCCACACATTGGGCCTCAGGAAAGTGTTGAACGAGCACAGGATTGCCCAGGAAGTGGTCTCCATGAGCATGGGTCGTGTAGATGAAGCGAAGCGTTTTTCCCGGTGCAGTTTCTTTGACCCACTTAGCGAGGTCCTGGGCTAAGTCGATCGTTGCGGGTGTATCGATGAGGACTGCTGACGTTGGGCCTTGAATAAGCGTACAAGAAATTGGAGAGAACAACCTTTTAGATGGGTCGGGATGGCCGTTGGCTATTGGTATGGCTGGTGCGACGTACACGTCGACTTGAAGTGTAGCAGGCATGGTAAGTCGATGTATTCAAATGCGGGAGAGACAGGTAGGTAGCTGGCAAGTTTCTCGATACAGGAATACAACCATTGCCTCAGGAGGACTCACTCTTGGCATACTTATATATGTACAAGCGAGAAGAGATACGCCGTAACGAATCATGATTACTGATATCCCAGATGACATCTATGTGCCTGATGAATCCTGATCCTTTTCCTGGAACAACTCAGCTAGCTATTGACGTATTTCTTTGTCGTATTGCCTTACACTAACCTGTAACGTCCTAAAGCTATCGCTGAGCGTCAGGCAAAATTGACCAATGTGGACACAGTGAAGAGGTTGAAATAGAATGATTATGGATGATTAGAAAATAGATTCACTACTACAGGTGGTTATCCCGGCCGTATACAAAGGGTGATCGCCTGTGGGGCCGATCAGTAATGGAGTTTTCGGCCCACTCACCGAGGACTCGGCAACAGATTACTGATGATTAGGGCTGGGCACCGATACGGTTACTATTACAAAGCTGGCCACATCAAGCAGTGGTAGTTTCCGTGGTGTGCTACACCCTTCGCGTGGTTCCCTTGCAACCTGTACCGTCATAGGCACCAGTAGAATGCCAGGAATAGACACTTGACTTTCGTGGCTCTCAATGCAAGTTACATTCGAAGTGCCACTTCACTCTGTCCCGCAATAGTGAATAATCATTCTTTACTAAACATTTCGCTGCTGACATATACCATAAGGAACCATCTGGATCGGTATCAAGACCGAGATTAACACTATATAAAGTCCATACTTGGACGCCGACCTGACCAACAGCAGCCTCTCATCACAGATGTATTAGAACATTCTCGTTTTCCCTAAGCAACATACCTGCGCATTACCTCCAATCAACCATGACCTCATCACCCATCAATAGCGTGCTAGTCATCGGGGCTAGTGGCAACGTTGGCAAGTCCACTGTAAAAGCACTGCTGGCAGAGGGCTTTCAGGTAACTGGGCTCACTCGAGAGTCATCAAAGGCGACCCTCCCAGCTGACGTGAAGCACGTCAAAACCGATTACTCGGAAGCCTCCCTGCAAGAAATTTTCAGAGGCCACGACGCAATTGTTAGCACAGTTTCAAGCATTGTCCCCGGAAATGCCCTGGCCATACAGAAGAGCTTTGTCGATGCAGCGATCGCAGCCGGAGTTAAGGTGTTTCTGCCATCTGAATACGGCGTAGACACCTCAAACCGCTCCGCGCCAGAGTTAATCCCTTTCCTTGCGGATAAACTCCAGACACTGGACTACCTCAAGTCCAAGGAGGACCAGATATCTTGGACCGCAATTTGCTCCGGTTCAATGTTCGACTGGGGCTTGAATATTCCGGGCTTCGGGGGCTGGAACGTGCCTACGTGCACCGTTACGATCTATGATGGTGGTGATATCCGCTACGAAGCCACAACTCTAGATCAGGTGGGCAGGGCTATTGCAAAGTGCTTGCAAAAGCCGGAGCTCACAAAGAACCAGTATGTCTATGTGAACAGCTTTACCATCACCCAAAATGAGACTTTACATGCCCTCGAAAAAGTGAAGGGGGAGAAGTTCAGCATGTTCAAAGGAGATGTTGAAAAGTTATGGCAGGAAGGGGCAGCGAAGTGGAAGGATGGGCAACCGCTAGGAGTGATATCTATGCTTGCCGGAGCCATCTATGGAAAGGGGAGGTTGGCACAATACTCAGTGACCAAGGGATTATGGAATGAGAAGCTAGGCTTGGGGCAGGAAAACCTGGAGGAATTTCTAAGGAGCTACGTGGCGGAGAAGAAGGGTTGATACATGAGTAGCAGTCTGCTTTCTTGCTCGAGTACCACTGGCTGAGTCTCAGTCAAAGAGACGTGTTCGTTAGACATATAACTGGTTCTATTGGTATCAATTCAAACTCATACTTATTTCGCTCAGCATCGTAGACGCAACTAAGTTACACTCATTTATGTTTGTGGAGGGCTATTCGTCATACCAGATAGTGCTACCATTTCCGTAGGGGAAGAAGAGCTTACATTTACTCACCCATGCCTTTGGTACACGAATCAAGAAAACATGAAAGGCGTAAAACAGCATTCAAAAGCCCTTTCGTTGATTAACATCGAATAATATTGTGCTAGTGGCCTACCCACTAACAAGGGATCTTGATGGCCATATCCATTGACACTAGTACCGGTGTGGCCATACCTGATAGGTACGTGCAGAGGATTCCACGGCTTTAAATCATCAATATCAATCCTACGCGTCATATGGCCAAACGGTCTTCGGTGCCCAAGGCTGAAGCCACGTGACCGTACAGGAATCGCGAGGATGACGTAGCCGATAGGGTTTCTCTTGCAGGCGGATGGGAGGCCTAAATGTCTGCATGTATTCCCAATGGACCAATGTTCGTGCTGAAAATGCGCCTTACTCCTCTTCCTTTGCTGACAGCCTGGAATCATATCGTCTGGTTGGCAAAAGGCGAAGTTCCAGAAGAGGGGAATTACGTAGACAGGTTGTGCTATCTTTTGCACCACCTAAAATTTACTGGCGCCGCTGCCTTGATCTACCTTCCGAAGAAATATCCCTAGCGAGTGTTTCCATTCCAACGGTCCCTCTTGATCTCTGCTCTGCCTCTCGCCCATCATAATCCAATATGCCGGACTCATATATCCTCATCAAAGGAGCAACGGTGATCTCTATGGAGGCATCCGGCAGAGAAGTCCTAGACAACTGCGATGTCCTCCTTGAAGACGAGTGGATTAAGGCTGTCGGCCGTGACATTTCTCTACCAACAGAAGAGAACGCCATCACTATCGACGCGGAAAACTGCATCATTACTCCAGGGTTCGTCGACGGCCACCATCACATGTGGCAGCATCTCCTGCGGGGGATCACCGTGGACTGGTCACTTTTCGGTTATTGCTGTCACTTACGGGCTGTTTACGGGAGTTTGTACGAACCAGATGATGTTTACTGCGCTAATTATGCCGCTGCATTGAGCCTGCTAAACAACGGCGTCACAACTGTCCTTGACCACTCCCACATAATGAACTCCCCCGAACATGCTGACGCAGCTGTGAGAGGCCTCAAAGATGCTGCCATCCGAGGTACATTTTGCTATGGGTTCTACCAGAACCCTACAGTACCTGGCGATCTCGCCAGTATGGCAACGGACGCATTTGACAAAGCCGCTCGACTCCAAGATGCTCTCCGTGTACGCCAGGAACATTTCCCAAATAATGATCCGAATAGCTCGCTGCTCACTTTTGGGATTGCTTTGGATGAGGCGCCGATGCAGTCTCGAGAGCAGAATATCGGGGGGTTGGAGATCGCGAGGGAGCTGGGTGCTAGGCTTAGCACTGTGCATACTTCGGTACTATCGCCTGGAGGACCAAAGGCTGAAGTCATTGAGCAATTTGCGGATGCAAATTTGATGGGGCCAGACCTCGTGTTTAGTCACGGAGGTTGGATGACCGATAGCGAGCTAGCTGCGGTGCGAAGTTCTGGGGCTGGCATTGTTGGGACGCCCGACACAGAGCTGCAGATGGGCATGGGATATCCTGTGGTCTGGAAGGCGAGTGATTTAGGTTGTCGGACGTGCCTTGGACTTGACATTACCTCGAATCAAGGTAATGATTTCATGGCACAGATGAGGCTGGCGCTTCAGACACAAAGGGCTCGTGAATATGCGCATACAGTACACAGAGAGGTCGACAGAAAAACAGCGGATGTATTACGCATGGCGACCCTGGGAGGTGCAGAGGTTATGCAGATGGAGTCTTTAATCGGTTCTATCGTTCCCGGTAAAAAGGCTGACCTGGTGATCTTCCGTTGTGACGATATTGACACGGTGCCTGTTATGGACCCTATCGGGACTGTGGTCTTCCATGCATCATCGAAGAATATCGACACCGTCATTGTCAATGGAAGAATCGTTAAACAAGACGGCCATCTTGTTGGTGTCGATTGGCAGTCATTGCGCGGTGAGATAATAAGCAGATCGCAACGGCTGCGGAACCAAGCAGCCAAAGTCGATATGGAAAAGCCGGAATCGGAGTTCCGCTCTGTATTCGAGAGCGCCATGATAGAGTGAAGGTCAATATATTGATTTATCAGATTGGAGTAATACTTTGGTTTTGATTTTGTTTTGCGTCTCGTGGAGGGGAATACATGTGAGGTTATTGTTTTCGTCAATTTCCACCACCATTATATATCTTAACCCACCCATCAGTCACGATTATAACATACCAGCATTGCAAGTGTAAATGAAGTTGAAAGGCACACGGTAAGCCGAAAGAAATGGCTTCTGATTGTCTAACTAGATGGTTTAAAAAATCTCCTCCACATAACGACGGCCGAGATTCTGCCTCACATCTCCACCGATCATATCACTCAACTTCGCCGCCGTATCATTAACCATTGCCTTTGCTCCACAAACATAGATTGAACCCTCCCTGATCTTGGCTAGAATGCCTTCTTTATTGTCCTGGACATAGTGTTGCACTCGTCTCTTCTGCCTATTGCTAGGTACCCGAAAGAGCATATCAATCAGACCATACTGCTGGGCAGTAGAAAGTGTTTCTTCGAACAAGGCTTCGTCGTGAGCCTTGAAACCAACAAAAATGCTAATAGGGGGCGATTGAAACAGGAACTCCATGCCACGTGATTCTGCCTCTTTACGAACGTGTATCTTCTGTTGTAGTAAACTTCGAATTGGAGCAAACCCGGTTCCGGTGCAAATTGCGATAAGGTGTCTCTCGGAGGAAATGAGATCCTCTCCTGGGATGATACGAACCGGAGAGTACCCGACCAAATCGCCCGGGGTAATCGCAGACAGGAATTTGTCGCTGAAGCGCCCACCCTTGTGGAGCCTGATCATGATTTCTACTAGGCCTTTCCCGAGATACTTCGCAGAGGAGGCAACGGAGAATGAGCGCGGACGAAGTAGCGGCATGTCAAGGCAGACCTTCATGCGGAGTGTATCTGGGACCTGCTGTAGGGCTGGAAGACGCTCCAAGACCTCAAGGACTGTCCCATCCGTATCCCATCTGTCACCTGAGGGAAAGGCTTCAGACAGCCACGCAAGATCTTTAAACTGTCCTTCGAGGTCCACATAATTCCGGAAAAGGTCTGCGTAGCTCAAAACCGGCATCGTGGGATCGGCAAATGGTACGGGGTGATTGGCGTTGCTGACTCCCAAAGCCGTCAGCACCCTGCCAACTTGGTTCGGCGTATTGTAGGGCAAAAGTCTCAGGTGGCTCATCTCGATGTAGTCCATATCGCCCAGATCCATGGTTATCATGACTATTCCTCCATCTCCTGACTCAGCAGGGGCTTTACTCAGCAGCCTACCCGGTTTGAATGTTTCTAGCATCCTGTAGTGTTCCAAACACTCATCCTCAGTCGATTCATTTGTAATTTGATTGCCGCCTTCCCCAGTTAATGAATCCTTGACCAAGGCCCACCACCGGTTAAAAGCTTTCATGGGCAGTGCTTCTACCGCTGTATTGCCTTTTGTAAGCCCATTCGCGATCGGAATGCCGCCAACCACTTTCATGAACTCGTGGAGTTTGACAGAGGCTGCATTAAATGTAGGGTAGGCGCTGTCTCCAACTCCCAAAATAGAGTACTTGATTGCGAGTGCGCCATTATACTCTTGGGCCCTGTCGTTCATTGCAGCTTCAAACTCAGCGCCATTCGCAGGGAACCGTCCGTCACCGGTGGTTGAGACCACCATTAGAAGGGGGTCGGAGGGTTGAATTTTGCGAAGGTCCAACAGATTGAGAATGTCAAAGTGCACTTGGAAGCCACCGGGAAGCTCCTTCACCCGTTTTTGAAGCTTTTCAGCTAGCTTTAGCGCACTGGTTCCTGTGCTACTGTAATAAATATGCACCATTCTCTTCGGGATGGCTGGTACCCCATTTCGAAGGCCGTTGGTGCCGTTTGCGATAGACAGTGCGCGTTGTACTGGCGTGACAGGTTCAGCCACCTACATATGATTCGTAAGCAAAGTGGACCTTCAGCAAAAGAGTGGAAATCCACGCACCCAATCTCCCTCAACTTTCACAAGTCGGGTTACAGGAGCCTTGACAACATCGCGTCGGCGGCGCCAGGATTTTACAGGATCGAATCGATGCCTCGCTATCAGCGGTTTTGGCTGGTAGTTTGGAGCGCCACCACGGTGCCACACTGGGACTATGGAGCCTTGAGGAGGTGCTATCCAATATGGGTCAGAATTAAGCCTGTACCCGTGCTTCGAAGCATGCTCGTCGTCAAATCGTGTCCAATCTGAGGAGGCAGCCAAAGTCCCAATGCAGGAAACCCCTTTCTGCAGAAAGGACCATCGCACGGCATAGTTTAGCTCTGCCTGTGCCCGTGACTGTGGTTAATTAGCATGGCATCTATATGTGAAATGGCTAGGAAGTAGGTTGGTCCGTACCATCCAAACCAACTGTTCATAGTCCGGTAGGTCTTCCATTGCCTCGATCTCGGCATATTCGGGATTCTTCTTATAATTCTCGATATCAAAGCCAAGGGCTTTGGCAACGCCAGGTAAAGCATTGTAGCGAAATGAATCGGCAAGATTACGGACACCAATCTCCGCATCCATATACCTGGACCGCAGGTTAGAGGATCTATACAGATCACGCCCATAAGTGTGCAACGTACCAACCAATGAACGGTGTCGCAGTATACTGTACTCCGCCAATATCAAATCCCAGCCTGCTGAGGGCAGGAAATTGATACCACTTTAGACCAAGCTTCTGGAAATTCTCGAATCTAGGATGACAGATGTCTACTAAATCACGGAGTTCATCTGGAACATCCGCCCATGCAGGCGCGTCATTATCTGCCATAGCAACTATGGGTAGAATGTCCCAATGGCTTCTTGGCTCTGGTGGTGCCCACCCAAGCTCGATGATGTCTTGTGTTAGCTCCACATTACTAGGGTCACCCAGAATGGAACCATCATCTTGTAGGTACTGTATTATGCATCAGCTGATCAACGTTTATGAAAGTTATCTATATAGATGCGTACACCAGCGAAGTTGAGCAATTGTTTGCTCAGGAACATTGGGCCTGTGCCGCTAGTTGAGCGTGGAGGAAAGGCGAAGACTAAAGTATGTCAGTAAGCGTATATTGAATAGGAAGAATGCTAACACGCCTGTTGGCCTAATCTGTCCCTTGTTAAATGCTTTAGTTGCCTCCTCAATGACGGCCTTGACCATCCCAACACTTGTCGTAACATGCCGAAGATCGCATAGGCTAGTTGAACACCGGTTAGAGGGCAGACCAGAGAAATGCTTGAACAATGACGTACTCTAGCTCCTTATAATGTGACCTCATGATACATTTCCGCGAGTTTTTCCATGCAAGTCGGATTCCATGTAAGAGCTCCTCTGCAGTCTGAGTCCACGTCGCTGTTTTTCCAAGAGTCTTTACACCATCCACCAGCATTGGCTCAATGACCTCTGATTCTTCAAGGGACTGGAGAATCTCGACGTGTCTCACCATGTACTGCGATTCTGTGTAAACTCCCTCTTGCCATAGTTGCCACAAGAAACCCAAGGCTTCCTGCTTCACCACTTCAAGAGGACGAGTCTCTCCCACCCTTGGCTCATCTGAGTGAATCAACCTTCCGGCCTGGCAGAACTGCGGAGTGCAGCCCGTTGAGGCAAGTACCGGGTTTTTCTGGATGATTGTCTGGAACTCGCATACTTGAGTTGACTGCATGATGCTAACAAGGCAGACCTTTGAGATTGGGGCTTTGAGTAAAATAACTATCAAGACAATCTGAACCTCTTGATAAAGGTTTATCTTCTTGATCTGGCCTCTGAAAGCTCTTCTTAGACAGATGCGACATGTCGAATTTATAGCCGAAGGCAACAGAAGCTCCTTCTTGGATATTGGCCCTGTATTCCGCAATATTTCACACAAAACTGCCCAGGAGGACGAGAAAGAAACGATTTAGTAATGGAAACCATGGTGAACGTCTTTCAGTGGTCAATGTGTAGCGTGATTCGTATACTCTTACTATACATTCGGTCAGCACCTTTACCTTGTGACGCACAATTCTACACTGCCTCTCAATTCTAGGGTAATACCCTTGTCTCTGTAAGTCCCTATATTGGTGCATCGCTCTGTGAAACAATATATATTGGTGCCTACGGATAATCGTCGGTGTTGTCTGCGGCGGGCGTTAGTGGGCATGAGCATTCGAAGAACATTCCGTTTTGGTATATGAGATCCCCATACCTTCCAATTTCTCTTAGTAATATTAATACTCTAATCCTAGTTCATGTACATTATCCATGTGCTTAAGCTTATAGTATTGCGCGTCTCCACCACGTGATCTATTGTAGATTCTCAGGGACACTGCGGTCCAGGAAGCAGCGGTACTGATGCCTATCTTCCAGTCTTTATTTGCTTTTGTATCACTCTCCGCTATCATAAATCCTTAAACACAGGGAGCGCAATTCAGCCGTGGGACTTACCCGGCACTTTTATGAGCCCTTGGTAGACCAAGCTTGACTTGCTCTCTTCGTACCTTGGCTACCGAGATGTGACTGTGACAATGAGGATGTGTCGAGATGATTATGGAATTGATTCCCTGCCATGGCATCATATCTTGGCGGCAACATACCGGAATCGCGCAATAGGTCGGAGGAAAAAAAGAATACACAAATACATAAAACGACAGAAAATAAACGCAGAGCAAACAAGATTGTGTGTGAATCTGTACTGCTCGGCACCTAAAAGTAGCACATGATTCAAGCAGGTATATTAATCTAAGCTGTTTTGTTTTAAAGTACGGACCTTGGCCATTGACTAGGCGTATCCCAGGCTCTTGGCACATAGGAAAGGTAGGGCCTTGGCACCACCGGGCGTAAGCTTGGAATGCTCTAATTAGTTAGTGCTAAGTGATCATCATTCTCCAGCGCGTGTGATTAGGGACATATCCGTCATCCAGCACCAAGCTGTGTGAACCTAGTGCTCCCAACACTCTTCCTACGCACTAGGTGCATGATCGGCATGCCTAACGCGAGTTAGGGCTGTACATTCGATATACTTACTGCCTTAGTTGAAGTTAACGGGCCGTTCCGATGGTGTGCTAGGTGCCCAGGATTGGACCAAGGCAGTGCCATTGCAAACGGCCTTGGCTCAATGCAGCGCCATTAACTCCTGTATGTAGGACACTCTCACTTTACATTCTTCACATCACACAATGGGCCATTCGTCGCCTCTGCCAAGAGCTCCTCAGGCCAGATCAAAATCAACGTATCCTCTCCGCTAGGCGTACTGCACACAACCTACCTCACTGGTAGGGCGGTTCTTGGCATCCTCTCCGCCTGTCGTTATACAGGATAATATACCCAGCTTGGATATGCATAACTCAAGAGCTTTATTTCTTGGCGTTGTACGACTCCGCGGAGTGGATGGAAGAGACCTCATTGATCCAGGAGGACCCACGCCTCTCCACCTGCCCTACCTTTCAACACACCAGCCAAGTTGTAGGATGTCCGCGCTACTATCCTTGGCAAACACCACAAGCAAGGGTGTCACCGTCGAGATCCTATCGTTACTGGAGCCTTGTTCGCTAAAATAGATTAAATTCAGCGAGGCCCAGGCTCAACCAGCGGACAGAGGACACTTCGGAATGCCGATCACCTTCAGTTTTCGGAGTTACGGGCAGTGTTCGTCCGGTGATCACCGACGGATCAATAAGGATATAGCAGGGCTGTCAGCCCGCCCCGGCCTGGACCCCTATTCTGCAACATCCGCAGTGGACCCTATAACTGTGGAAGCCTTGTTATCTTTTACATTTCCTCCACACTTGGCGCTTCGTTCGGCGAACTTCAGGGCAGTTATCAAGGTGATGATGCGGTGTGTTGATCTCCTGCAGAATTCAACGTCGTCAGAGGGTACCCTTGCAAACCGACGGCGTGTATGGCAACTCATGACCACTATCGTGCGGCATAGAGCTTGTAGTTTGCTTCGAGGCATCATACCAAGACACGTATGTCCGAGCGTGACGCCACCATCACTTATTGTAGCTTACTGCAGTGAAGGCATCATAATGAGAAAAGCGAATATTGATGTCGAAGCAACCTTCAGAGAGATTGGTGACCTGATCATATTGCAATGACAAAGTATCCAATAGCGTAATGTCTCCCACAACGGCCTCTCAAGCGGAAAACAGCCTCAAGTATGGTCCCGTTCACGAAACTTCGAAGATCCAAGAATCGGAGACGGACTTCTCGTCTAGCCAAGGAATATATGTACCATTCTCGGCATACGCAATTTTGAATCCGACCATGCACGATATGCAGCAATATACGTAGTCTGCAAATTTCATAGTTGTAGTTTCATCCAGGAGTCAGCGGTTGCCGCATTAGATCAGCATTCCTCGGGCTTGGCTGGAGGAGAGTCTAGACCCATCGATGCAAAAAGTAAGATAGTCACAAACCGGCTCCAGGAAGGAGGCATATAGTCTATCCAGTTAGCCGACCTGCCTCTGAAATTCGTGACAGTATCATTTCAATTGATATCGAACGCCAGATGCATATTGTAATCCCATGGTTCCATTGGCATTCTTCGTGGAAAGCAGGGCCGCTAGGTGTTCATATTATTATTATTCTTTACAGCTCTAGTGGAGACTATGCCACTGATGCCGAGCCATACTGCTCAATCTGACATGCATGACCACAACGGCTCCAGCGCACTACCATGGCCTCGATACCGGGCCTAGCCATGGCGCATGTAGGACAGTTCTTTAGATTATATGTGTTTGGTGAAGGTGCTACAGCACTGGAATTTATATCAGGTTGTAGGTTGCATTATACCGTTTCAATAGCCCTATAATAGCAGTGATAGTGTACTTACTGAAACAGAATAGTTTGAAACGGCTCTTCCTATGCCAGGGAATCGTCATGATCAATATATGACTGACAGGTCTGAAATCGCTGCTGCTGTCCTTCTAGATATCCAAAGTGACACATCAATGTGCCATGGAGAGCCACTAATGATTATATCCATTATGCTCTCGATATACTAGTCCCCGGGCAGCTCTCCTTAAGAATTAGGCAAAGTGGTGTTTGTGAGTTGGAATCCAGCTGCGTGTTCTTAGCTCATGTTACCTTTCGGTGACGTGCTAGTTTGGGTGGAAGGCTCTCTCTGCTTTGTGTTGTCTGTTCTCATTTCGTTTTGGAAGCTTGACGTATCTACTCTGCACAGTCCATATGCTTACAACAGGACTCTGCATCTGCACCATGGAATGCGACTATGACTGTTTTGTCAGAGTCTTTCATCTTGCCATCCACTCGGCTAGGCCGAATGTTGTCAAATTATCATGGGATGCAAGTGCTGATCCTACAGGGCAAACGGCTTGTCCACAATACAATGGCGGAATTCCCTTATAAATAACTAAACGCATACGATCACCTAAGCTCCGGCGGATGGTCCTGGCTCTCCTTCACTCCGGAGGCAGATTGTCGCCTGCCTACCTACGCCCAGTATCCAGATTGTTTAGGCCACATTGTACGAGAGTCAGATCTTTATTTTGTTTGAGTTCTTCCACGCCGAGTTTAGATCTACATTATCAGATAGTACTATGTATGATTGTATAATGGTCCTCCCTAAATAACTACAGAATGGTACAGCAACTGGCTGAGTCTGGTACAGGTGAGGATGTCCTCGATGGTGGAGTTATGGGTTTTCCACACCCTTCATTACCCAAAGGATTAGACTGACAAGATGTCCGTAATCCCTGGGATAACAGAGCCATCCCATCCGGCTGCAGCTTGTCAATCTCCGAGTCGGCAGGTAGTGTGCCAACGTAGGCATTGAAATTATAAATGCCGTACGGACATTGGTCAGACACATCTCGTAGACTAACTCCAGAGAGCGCTTCGATAAGGTTTCCCTCTCGGCGAACTTCGAATGACTGTACACCCACGCCCATTGGTACCGACCACGCGTGCGCACCTGCCGGTGCTTGGAACGTCCGTGTGCTCGACCCGGAGCATACCGCCATATCTGCGGGCTCCTTCAACAGCGTCACAATAAACACACTGTCCTCCATTGTCTCTGAACCGTGTGGCCTCCCGCGGAAGAAGTCCCCACTGGCAATGTTGGCAGTGTCCAACATTGTTGTGTCGGTTGCGTCGCAGTCAACCCATTTGGGAGTTGGGCGGTACCAGTAGACGAGCCTTTCTTCATGAATGAAGTCATCTGGATCGGGCAAGCCCGCTTTATACGCGGCAACGAAGGGTTTAGCCATGTCCAGCCAACCATTGTGTGGCCTTTAGATTATGCGTTAGTAGCGCATCTTGAAAACGTTGTGGTAGTACCTACATGTCTATCGCCCACTTGGATGAACCGTCATCTGTGTGGGGTGATGATAAAGGACCGACATAGTGCGACTCGCCAAAGTCATTCCAGGTGATGATTTCCACGAAGCGAGGCCGCAGAGCCAGGATTTCTTTCCATCGGTGGTACCAAAGAAGATCCGACGGAAACACCCAGTTTTTACTGTAGGGGACCTCCGCACCGAAATGTGTGAAGAACCAAGGTGATACGGCTATTCCAAAATCAGCAATATGATTCAGTAGAAACCTCGACGGGACCTGGTGCATACTGACGCGCAATATATGGCTTCCCAGCAAGTGCATATCCATAAGCATCATCGCCATCCGTCACGGCTATTTTCTGTCCCGCGGCCGGAGCCTTATTATGACCATTGCTGTCCCACGCCATCCAGTTCATGGCACCCTGGATATTATCGAAATCTCCATGGCCGGGATGGAAGTTAGGTGCAAAGAAGATTTCACAGCCAGCAGCAGTTTGGATTGCACAGGGATCGACACCATCGCCACAGAACGATGAGACAAACACCTTACCGTCTACTTTGAGCTGAGCCGGATGGTCTGCAAACTGGCGGACCTTAGTTCCGACTTCGCTACCTTGGCTGAAATGCCACCAGTTAAAGTCGAACGAGATGAACACCTTCATGTCGTTGTTGGCGGCAGATTCATAGGCGTAGTGCAGCTGGGTATCGGTGTAGGAGTCTGTCCCGATGTTCAAAGCAAAGGCATCAATGCCATACGCTTTGGCTCTTTTCATGTCTGCGTCATAGTCGCTGGCATTCTGGCGGTTACTGACAACGCCAATCTGGATGGTGTGAGTTGCGGAGTTCGTTGTCCGGTGACCTTAATCGACGCGTTATATTCACGTACTATGAAATGACAGAAAACTAGCCTGTCTTGGCCGGTTGGATCGGTGAGTGAATCCATTGCAGTGGGCACGTTCGAGGCGAATAATGATATCGTTAATGAGAGGATCAGGCAGAAGCGATACAGCACGACTTTTTAGACACAGCAGCCAAGACGTATTACGTAAGATAAAGAATCAATGAGACCAAATGGAAGTAGTAATGGAAGCAGCCA